CCCAACCCCAACCCCAACCCCAACCCCAACCCCAACCCCAACCCCAACCCCAACCCCAACCCCAACCCCAACCCCAACCCCAACCCCAACCCCAACCCCAACCCCAACCCCAACCCCAACCCCAACCCCAACCCCAACCCCAACCCCAACCCCAACCCCAACCCCAACCCCAACCCCAACCCCAACCCCAACCCCAACCCCAACCCCAACCCCAACCCCAACCCCAACCCCAACCCCAACCCCAACCCCAACCCCAACCCCAACCCCAACCCCAACCCCAACCCCAACCCCAACCCCAACCCCAACCCCAACCCCAACCCCAACCCCAACCCCAACCCCAACCCCAACCCCAACCCCAACCCCAACCCCAACCCCAACCCCAACCCCAACCCCAACCCCAACCCCAACCCCATTGTCAGATTTATCTTGAAAAAAACAAAAAAATATATCTTATTTATAGATAACTTATGTTTGCTTATAGCTAAATATAAAAAAACTAAAAACATATTTTTAAAATAATTTATTGAAATAGAAAAAAAATTAATATACTTAATAAATTACTATAAAATATGATTTGCTTATTTTTGAAAAAATAATGATAAGACAAAATCAAAATTTAGAATTATTCACTCTAATAAACCCTATTCATAAACTTTTACATCTATCACAACTATTCTCATAACAATCTAATTAATTTATATTTTTTGGTTTTAATTTTTTATATTTTAACAAATTTTGCTTTAAACAATAAGAAAATAGTATATTCAGATAAACTTTATCAGGAAACAAAAATTACAAATAATTAAAAACTCCTTATAATATTTATTAAAAATGTTAGGAAATTTAAAAGGTGGATATTCTGATTTATGGAAGGCCATTATTAGACCTCCGCGTGATGAATATACCATAGAAGAATTAGGTAGCAATAATAAAATTAAGAGATAAATTCTAATTTACAATTTATAAAACTAGGTCCTACTGAATTTAAAATTAGTGGAGTTAGAGTAAAGAGAACAGATATAGATATTAAAAATAAGTAAGGATTAACTCTTAAATGCTCACATTTCGAGCCTCTTAAACGTCCATGCAAAGAACTCCCATGTGTCATTTATTTGCACGGAAACAGTTCTTCAAGAATGGAAAGTTTGAACTGTTTAAAAGTTCTTCTTCCTTAGAATATAACATTGTTTTCTTTTGATTTTGCAGGATGCGGTTTATCTGATGGAGAATATATATCTTTAGGATGGTATGAAAGGGAAGATGTAGATACAATTGTAAATCATTTAAGATCAAGTGGAACGGTTTCATCTATTGGATTATGGGGTAATTTGTTAATCTAATTTGGGATTAAAACATTCTAAAAAATTAGGAATTTAGTTTAAAAGAAATGCATTAAAAGTAGTTAATGAATGAATGAAAGAAATAAATAAATAAATATGTTTAAAATAGAAATTATTTTATTTTAAGCAAAACAAAAAGTATAAAAGTTCAATATATTAAGTTTTAAATTTTCTTTTTCATAACTATTTGGCAAATAATATAAAAACTTACATTTGGCTTTGTAGGTAATTTAAAATTACAATTTTGATTTATAGGAAGAAGTATGGGTGCAGTAACTGCTTTGATGCATGCAGACAGAGATCCTTCTATTGCAGGTCTTGTCCTTGATTCAGCATTTTCAAGCCTTAGATAATTGGCAGAAGATCTTTGCAAGTAATACACTAAAATTCCTAAGTTTGTAATGTCAGCTGCATTAGCGATGATTAAGAGCACTATATCATCAAAAGCAAAATTTGATATTAACGATCTCAACCCCTTAAAAAATCATGTTTCTAAAGCTTTTATTCCAGCTTTATTTGTTGCAGCAAAAGATGATAACTTTATATCTCCGGAACATACTAAGGCACTTCATAAGGAATATGCAGGAGATAAAAACTTAATTATGGTAGAAGGAGATCACAACTCTTAACGTCCCCAATTTATGCTTGACTCTGTTGGAATTTTCTTCTATAACACTCTCTAGGTTGAGTTTTTAGTTCCCTAATAAAATAATAAATAAAAATAAGAGAGTAGTTCTAACATACCTGAATTCGAAAATTATAATTTGAATTCAAGAAAAATAGGAAATCATGGTGATGTATAGAATGCACTCTATTAAATAGATGATAATGATGAAGAATTTGAGCAGTAAATGAAGAAAGCTTTAGAAGAATCTTTAAAAGCCCCTGCAAGCAACAATGATAATAAACAAGACTAGTAATAAAAAAATCTAAATAAATAATTTGATTTACTAAGTTTAGATAAACCTGAATTCGAATAGTTGTAAAAACCAGGTATTAACTCTAGTGATATTAAAGATCATGTAGACTATCCTCATGAAAACATAGATTTATTGGATATGAATTAATTTGATGGTGATGATTTCACTAACAACAATAGCAACTAAATGAATTAACAAAATATTTAAAATATTAATCAGTAATAGTAGTACTAAAATTAAGGATTTTAATAGCTACCTTCTTAATAATAAAACTAAGCAAATAATATGAATAGTAACAACTTAAATAAAGCAAATAATAATGATAAATAAAATAATTTAGCAGAATACTTTTCAGAATATTGATTAATTAAAATATCAGACAGAATCTTGATAAATAACCAATTAATCAAAACCAAATATTTTACACTAAATCTTCATAAGTTTGTATTTGATGTATATCTTCCAAAATCTTTTAAGAAATAAAAGAAATAAATATTTATCTCTATTTTTATAAATAAAAGACATACATAGTTAATTTATTGAAAAATATTTGCAAGAAGTTATTTTAAATTTAATTATACATTTTTCCATACGTATTTCTATGTAATTTTTATAAATATTAAAAAATATTTTAAGAAAAAAAATACATACAAGCTTTGTCGTTTTCTAAAGCTTTTTTTAATTTGAAAATTTTAATTTTATTCAATATAATTTAAAGTATCATATAAAATATTTAAAATTTTTTTAATTAAATAATTTATTCCAATAGAAAAAAGTTTTAAAATTTAATTTGAATAAAGTATTGTAGAGAAAAAATAAATATATTTATATTTGTTATCATTTTCTTAATGTTATACTTTGTTCATTTAACTTTTATTTAATATTTTTTGCTGATTTCATTATAAAAATAAAATATGAATAACTTATAATTCGATACAATTCATTTTTCATCATATTTTTGTGGGACCTTTTCCTACCTTTGTATGAATAATGTAAGAAGGTGTTGTAGTTATTTTAGGTTTGTTAGTTTATATTATTTTTTAAATGCTTTCAGGTAATTCGCTTTACATTGCTTGCTTTAAAGTTTATTATGCTCTTTAGCTTAATGAACTCATATCATTAATTGAGAAGGCTTCATAAATAGCTCTGAGTACTTAGGTAGTGTGGTTTTTGTGTACAAGGAGAACTGCATGAGGACCTGCATCAAAAGTATAAGCCACGTGATATTCTAATGCAGAATCAAGTTGATGTATAAAGTTTATCATATTTTTGCTAAAGTCATTTAAATAGAATATTGGGGGAGTTGTGTCAAGGCACACTGCATGGAATTGGTTAGAGTCCAATCTAACTAAACGAGCTAGTTCATTATAATTTTTTTCTTCGATTGCCTTTTTTACTCCTGCAATATGGACATGAGCAGTATTTAAAGCACGGTACTTAAGAAGCTCAGATGTTTAAGTACTTTGTAACATACCTGAGGTTGAAGGAACTTCTTTTGATTCAAATGAGTAAGCAACGACAAATACATCTAAATCTTCAAAGAAAGTTTCATTGTGAGTTTATTTAGCAATACATAATTTGGATAACTGCTCATATTCCTACTCTGATAATTAAATTTCATTATTTTTGCTTTCAAACTTTTTTTGTAAGTATTAATGAGGTACTCCAGTCCATTCTACTAAGCCACCATAAATTGAGCGAGAAGCACTACCACTTCCAAGACGAGCTATTACACTTCTTTAAAATTCATACTCTTCTTTCATATGATAGACATCGAAAAGACATACTGAAAGTGCAGCTAAACCTGAAGCACTTGAAGCCAATCCACTTGCTGTAGGAAAAGAATTTACTGATTTTATTTTTAGTTTCAATTAGCTTAAGTCACCATTTAAGAATTCTTTCAAAGTTTTTCTTTTGGTATCTTAGCTTTCTCCTTCCTAAAGAGGAACTAACTCTTCTCCAAGAGCTGCAAGAGCTTTGTCTTCGAAGAATTTTAAGATCTTTTTTAGGCGTCCAGAAACAGGGTGAGGCTATCCGTTGAGAAGGAACTTGATATCTTTATACTTATTTGTCAAAGTAATTGTAGTTCTAGTTTGAAGATCTTCTGTGCTTAGGGTAATGCCTGTAGAGCTATTCAGAGGAAGAATGTACTCTTCGTCAAACTTACCCCAATATTTAACTAATGCAATATTTGGGGATGTTTCGTAAGTAGTTTTTACTTTTAAAATATCTCCTTTAACTGTTATCATTTATTTGTTAAGACTAAGTTCTTTCTCGATTATAATTGTTATATTTATATAATAACTAAATGAATAATTTTTTTGATATCTTTTCTAGATTTATCAAAAATAAATATTATCTTTTTGTTTAATATAATCAAAATATTTGTTAATTTTATTATTTATATTCTTATAAAGTATTTATTTACTATTTTTTTAAAGCAAATATTTAATTAATTGTTTCTCAGATTTGGATTAATTTTGAATTTTAGTTTTAATAATATTATTAAACAAGTTTTATATGTAAGTCACTATCTTATTTAATTTTAACGTGGATATTAAAAATCATTTATAAATAAATGACCTAATTTATTTATTTAATTATATAAATTACTATTTTCTTAGAATCTAGTGATTAAATATAACATTTCCAATATTATTATGTGTTTCTAGATTAATTAGCTGGGGAACTTATTTATTTTTATTGCTGAAGAAAAAAATTCAAAATTTAGAAAAGCTTAACTTAAATTATCAAAGAAAATAATTAAATAATTAATAAAATTTTAAAAAAATTATTAGTCACCAAATAATTATTAAAAGAGAGAGATCGGTGAATTCACCGTTTAAGATGACTAAAATATATAAAGAAAATAAGTTTTTAATGAATAATTGCCATCCACTTCAATTCTAAAGCAAACAGAAAGATGAAACCCCATTTCTTTCACTTAGCTCGGCATAATTTTTGAAGCTAAGTTTGCTATTTAGAATTGTTTTCGATCACTTAATGTTAGAACAAAATTCTAATTTATCATAGGCATAAAAATCGAATCCATATCTTTATCTATTTTTAAATCATCTTAAGCTATAATTCCCACAGGAGAGCATAAAATAAAAGTCACAGAAGCTGATTTTTAAGTTTTTTAAAAAAATGCTCAAATTAAAATTGCTATAAAAATTATCAAAGCAAAAACCCTGTAAAATCTCTCGTACCGGACCCTCTTATTCCGCTTCTTCTATTACCTAGTTTTATTTCCCAACAAATTTAAATATTAACAGCTGATTTTGATTCAAAGATCTCTAATCTAATTAAAATTTAATATTATATTAATAAAATTTAGCACACAGACTCAATTAATTATTTTGAAAAATAAATAAAAAATTAAAAAAATAAATAAAATAAATTAAATAAAAAAAACTAATTAAAATTAAATTAAATAAAATAAAAATCATTAAAATAAAAAAATAAAAATATTAATTAATACAAAATCAAACAACATCAACAAAGAGAAAAAAAAATACTCAAATTAATTGTTAAAGAATATTTAACACTTTTATCTCAAATTTTCTTATAATTTTTATTAATTTACAATTTATTTTTTTTATTTTTTTTATTTTTTTAAGAATTTTTTACTTTTTGATTTTTAGAGTTGATTTTATTTTTTAATTTACAAAGTCTTTTTGGTTCATTTTTGTTTTTTTTTGTTTGAATAATATTAATAAGTAGACACAAAAAAATTCACTATTTTAATTAATATTTATTTTTAATCTTATCGCATTTTAGATATTCACTTTGTTAATAGATTTACGATTGAAAGGAAATTAATAGAAGAAAATAACAATATCAGTTATTATTGATAATTATTTTTTTTATTTTAGCTATTTGAAATAAATAAAATAAGATGAGTAATAAAAGCTATTACGCTAAAACTGATTTTGGTCCACCTCCTCCAAATTACGTAGCAGGTTTGGCAAGAGGTGCAGTAGGTTTTATCACTCGTTCAGATATTGGTCCTGCAAATTATAGTTCTTATGATTCCTGGAGTGGTTATCAGGAAAATATATTTGCTAATGATAAATAAGATGATGAAGATAGACAAGCAGAAGAAGAATACAACAAAATTGATAATTTTATGGCAGGTCGTCGTATTAAATACATAGAAAAAAAATAGTAAGAGGAAGCCAAAAAAAATTTAGAAAAGAACCCATCTGTAGCATTTTAATTCGCAGATCTTAAGCGTGATTTGGGTGGTATTACTTATGATGAATGGAATGCTATTCCTGAAGTCTAAGACTACACTATTAAAAAGAGTAAAAATGAAAAATACACTCCTGTTCCAGACCATATTATTTAGAGCGCAAGATCGGAAGGTTCATTTAGCACTTCTTTAGATGTAACTGGTCTCCAAACTCCTCATAACATCAACGATATTGGTAAAGCCAACTAGACTATTTTTACTTCAAGATTGGATAAATCTTCAGATCAAGTTAGTGGTATTTCTACAGTTGATAAGTCAGGTTACTTAACTAGTTTAAATTCATAACTTGTGAATTCTTCAGCAGATATTGGTGATTTTAAACGTGCTCGTAATTTGATGAAGAGTTTTGTTAAAACTGATCCGAAAAATCCAGTTGGTTGGATCAGTGTTGCTCGTGTTGAAGAGTTAGATGGTAAAATTTAGGAAGCTCGTAATGTTCTTTATTAGGGCTTACCACACTGTGAGACATCTGATGAAATATGGGTAGAAATAGCTCGTTTAGAAACTCCTGAAAAAGCTCGTGCTCTGCTTGCTAAAGCAGCTACTATACTTCCTAAGAGCTTAAAAATTTGGTTAGCAGCTGCAGATTTAGAAAGTAATCGTGAGATGAAGGTTAAAATTTTAAAGAAAGCACTTGAACATATCCCTGATTAACCAAGACTTTGGAAGAAGCTTATTGAATACGAAGAAAGCTAAAAGGAAGCAAAAATTCTTCTTTATAAGGCTGTAGAATGTATTCCTGATGACTTAGATATGTGGTTAGCTCTTGCTAAACTGGAAACATACGAAAATGCAAAAGCTGTTTTAAATAAGGCACGTAAAATTCACCCTTAAGAATTGTCAATTTGGGTTAACGCTGCTAAATTAGAAGAATCTCAAGGATAACCTTAGGAAACTATCACAAAGGTGTTATAAAATGCAATCAAATATTTTTCAAGCAAAAATATCAATATTGTAAAAGAAGACTGGCTAAAAGAAGCAGCATACTGTGAAAAATCAGGAAATTTAAATACTTGTATAGCTATTGTTTAAGCTATCGTTCTTCATAACGTTCATGATAAATCTGATAAAGAACGTATCATTAAGGAAGAAGCAAAGAATATGATTGAAGGAACTTGTATTGGAACAGGACGTGCCATTTATGAATTTGGTATTGAAGCACTCAAACCTGACAATATTGACCTTTTTCAAGCAACAATCGACTTTGAATAGAATACAGGAAAAGATAAAGATAATCTAAAACGCTTGTACAAGGAAGCTACAACTCAGCATCCTAAATATGAGAGTTTTTGGATTTAAAGAATCAAGTTCCATTGGTAAGAAGCCAACAAAGTCATAGAGTAGGCATAATTATAAAATCACAGCGAAAAAAATATTGAAACTCCATCTACAGTAGATGAAGAAGCTCAAATGAATTAATAAATTACTGCACAAAAGGCAGAAATATAAAAATTGCTCTAAGAATCATAAGAAAATTTACCTGAAAGCTAACAAATCCTTGTCTTATCTATTAAATATCTTAAGAAGAATGAAGAGATAGATCAAGCAAGGGAATTAGTTTACAAAGCAAGAAAAAATAACCCAACACACTAAGTTTACCTTAGTCTACTTAAATTGGAATATTAAACAGGTGCTTTACAAAAGGCTTTCTAAGAATCTTAAAATGCAATGGGAGCATTCCCAAATTGTGAAAAGATATTTATCTTATCTGCTAAAATAGCTTATGCTCATAAATCAATTGAATAAGCTCGTTAAGTCTATGAAAAAGGGCTACGTTTTAATCCCATGAGTGTTAGTTTGATTCAAAAGTATGTAGAACTGGAAATAAATCATAAATACTTTGCTCGTGCTCGTCCTGTTCTTGAAAAATTCCGTGTTAAGCTCCCCAAAAATCCCGAACTTTGGTGCACTGCAGTATAATTAGAAATAGAAGCTGAAAATAAAAAAGGAGCTAGATATATGCTAGCCCGTGCTTTAAAGGAGTGTCCTGATTATACTCAATTATGGTCTTATGCTATCGAATTAGAGCCTAAGGCTACTCGTAAGAAAAAAACTTCTGAAGCCTTGGAAAAATGTAGATAAGATCCATATGTGAACGTTTCTGTTGCCAAATTATTTTGGAAAGAACGTAAAATGGATAAAGCACGTAAATGGATTGAGAAATCAACCTTTGAAAGACCTGAAATAATGGATTCGTGGGCTGCTCTCTATCTTTTAGTATTAGAAACTGAAGGCCGTTAATAAGCAGATGAAGTCTTAATTAAGGTTAAGCAATTAGATGTCCATAGAGAAGGTCGTTTATACTAAAAGATAAAAAAATCAGATGACGGATGGAGATATAGCTTCGATTAAATATTTATAAAAATAACAGATCAAATAAAAAAAGAACTAAGTAATATAGAGTGAACATTTTATTTTTTTAAGATTTTTAACAATTTAATTTTGTGTTAAGTTTTATTTGTATGTATATTACTTATTACACAATAAAAAAATACAAATAGTTAAACTATTGCAATCAGCCGCTTTTTCATTATGAAATTTAACTTAAATTAATTTACATGATTTAAAAAATTTTATTAATGTATTTTAAATAATCTAAAATTAAAATATTTATACATTATAAGAATTTTTAACATTTTAAATCCTTTTTAATAAAAAATATATTTTTTAAATTTTTGAGATTTTGATTTTTGATAAAGATATAAAAATAAAAATAGATAAATTAAAAAAGAAGTTTTTATATTAATTTATAAATAATTTAAATTAAATTAGCATTTTTATGTAATTTTTAATGAGAAAATTTAATTATTAATAATGTCTTGAAAATATATAAATTTTAATTTAAAAAATTCATTTTTTATTTCTTGATCTGATTTGTTAATGTAAAAGTTTATTTAATTAGTACTAAAACATAACACAAAACTGAATTAAATTTTATGATAAAAAAATTATAAGCATAATTAATATCTTGATAAATTTTAGATTTAGTAAGATGTTAGAATATTAGTTTTATTGTTCTTTCTAATTCAAAATCCATTTGAACTACCCCAAGTAAATTTTTAATTTATGCAAAATTAAATAAAGTTTAATTAGAACTGTAAAGAAAGTTCAACTTGGTTTTATTGCATTTGTTTTATAAAGATTTGGAACAATTTATAACCTTCCTGATAACCATATTTTCCTTAATCATCAAATGGATAATAATTAAGGCAATTTACTTTAGCCAAATGAGCTGCAGCTAACTAAACTAATACAGTAAATACTAAATTGTTACCAAATGCGCCACTTCCCCAATTTCCTGTGTTTATTACTACATATACATTTTAATTGTTACTTTTTGATTCTTAAACAGCTGAATAAAATGCTCTATAAACTGTTTCAAATGTATATACAATTTCAGCTTCTGTATATTCTCTAGATTAACCCTTTTAACTAAAAATTGATAAGGCTGACATGCAAATTAGATTGATTAGGTTTTTAGTTTCTTCCAATTTTGGGAAACTAAAAAATTCATTAACATCTTCTTTTTTCAATTTTTCAAAGTTATTGCCATAAATTCCGTACGGGTAGTTTTTATTTTTTTTTAAGAGATCTACATAGCATAAATATTAGCAATTTAATACTAAAATAGGATAGGAGTTCATTCCTACTCTAGTAACAGGAAAATAACCTTCTTCTTATTTAGAATAAGCTTGAATATATTATTTAATGTAAGGAAGTAGAGGAAATTAGCAGCATTAAACTTCATCTTACGCAAATAGAGGAGTATGATAAAAACCAAAGAGGTTTTTGTCAGAAAAGTTTACATACCAACTTTTTGTGGGTTACTATTAAGAATTGAAATCAGATTTGTAATTATATGGTCCATCCATCATTTATATTTTAATTTCATTATATAAAACTTGAGATATCACAGTGTTTTAATTGCATTTTATATAAATCATGATCTATTCTTTATCTTATTAGTTAAGCCTTGAAAGAGCTTCTTTATATATTTATTTTTTTATGGGGTGTACATCTTAGGGTACTTCTTTAAGTAACTCTTTTATAGATGCAGATAACCTAACTCCTATTTGGACTTCGAAAGGTTTTTGTGAATTTTCGCTTGACTTTTTGTTTCCCATGAAAATTAATTTAAGTTTATAAAAGTGTTTTGTTTTATTTTTATTTTCTCAAAAATAATATCAGAAATACATATTCAAATCACTTAATGAATTGATAAATATCTTTAAGCGTCTATATATGAATATTGATCAAACAAAACTCTACCTGCTCTTATTATTAAAAAATCTATTAAAAAAAGATATAAAAATTATACATGCCCCTTATCTATTTCAAAACTGTAGGTGGTCAAGAGCTAATAAAATTATATATATAATATTTAATTAGTATATAAAAATATTTTAAATTTACAAGAGTTCTCTATGAATTGAAAAATTAATTGAAATTAATAAATATTTAGGTGAATTATAAAAAATTTGAATTTTTTTAATTAGTAATACAATTTTTTAAATAAAAGCATACAGTTGTTGTAAATAGTATATGGATTATTAAGTAAACATATCAATTCTGTTTTTTATCATTTTGATTAACAATTTATTTTTTAGAATAAAATTCTATGACTATAGAAACAACTCTAAAGCAGATAAATACCCAAATTGTTTTGCTAAAAAAACTATTATTTCCTTCAATATCTGATATTATAATACTAAGAGGCCAAAGTGTTTTGGAAATATCAAAATTAAGAACAATAGGAAAATTATAAAAGATAAAGATAAAAAATAAAGGCATAGCACCATTAATAACTCTTTCTTTTTATTTAGTATTAGATTCGCATGAGACTAATTATTCTATTTTTTTAGTTAATTCTTCTTACTTTTATTTCAACTGAATCTCCTCCTAAGAGCATTCTTTTTCTTTATTTGTGTTGCAAACACTATCATTCAAAATTTTTAGTTCTTCTAATAATTGCTTTTCTTTTTCTAATTATTACTTAATTTTCAAAATTTATCTTTAAATTTTAGAAAATTTAACATAACTATCTGTGCTGTTATATTGTTCAGATTCTTTTTAAAGATTTTATATTTCTGTTTCTTGTTTTTCTATTTCTTCAAGTTTTAATTCATAAGGTGTTTTATCTGCTGCTCTCTTTTATTTTAATCTAAGTTCGTATTCTTGTTGCAGTTTTAGCTTTTCTTGCTTTTTTTCCTCTAATTCTTCCTTAGATTTCTCAATAATCTTATTGAAGTAATGCTTCGAGAATAAAATACCAATAAATATGACAATAAATTAGACTAATGCTATCATAAATTATTATTTCCTTCAATATTTTAAAACTATTTATTATTACTACTATTATCTTAAATAAAGATCTGAAATCTAAGATACGCTTACTTATTTACTTTAATTAATTAATAATATACCTAATTATTTCAAATGTGTTTAAATAAAGAAATTTGTAAAAAAATTTGTTTTTAAGTCATAAAAAAAATTGATAAAATATGCATTTAAAATAAATAGAAAACATTCTGTAACAGTATTATTGTTTTATTAATATTATTTTTTAATATTTTTTATTTTATTGAAATTCTGATTATTTTTTCATGAAGAATGAAGGTCTAATTGTAGGTCTCTAAAGGTTTATAGGTTAGAGAAAGTTGAATATCTAGTAATTAATTGTTCCTTTACTTTAAATATAATATTTCTTTATTTTGAAAAAAAATTTATTTAAAAAGTAATAGAAATTTTTTAAAATTTATTTATGTTAAAAAGTATGTATTAAATTAGTAAAAAATTCAACTTTAAAATGAATTAATATAAAAAGTAAAATATTATTTTTAACAAAATAATTAGATTATTTATTATAATAATTTTAATCATCCAATTTAATCCAAGCGATATTTATATAGTTTTGTAAAGATTTAATTAACACATTAAAACAAAATATAAAAATTATTGATTTAACAAATATATTTATTAATGAGTAGGATACTTTCAAGGGAAGATGAGAATTCATATAAAGAATCTTAGCAAATGATAACATCAATAACGAGAAATATACGCCCTGTTAAGTGTAAGGACCATCAAGAAGAAAATTATACTAATTTTTGCATGAGTAAAGATTGTATGAGAGCACTTTGTCCTGATTGTATGGAAAGGCATACATAATTCCATAAGTAAAATAGTACTTATCCTGACCTTTAGTCTATTAAGAGCGTTAAGGTTAAGTGCAAATAAAAATTAATGGAAATCAAAAACAATATAGATTAACTCTACGATTAGATTGAAGATTTAATTTAAAATTAGAATTTAGATGAGTCTGATGAAGGTATAAAAAAGATAAATACTGTTAGAGATACTATAATATATTAGGTTAATAGCTACTTTGATCAGCTTTTAGATAAATATAGGGCTAGAGTTTCTGCTATGATTGAAAAAGACGAAAAAATCAAGTATATCTAAGATAGGTTATCATTAATGTCTGATGAAATAGAGATAATGTCTGCAAAAATGGAGGGTACCGCTGCTTAAATCGATGCTTTCAACGAAGTAAATTCTTAATTTAATTTAGCATAATAAATAAATAGCTAGTTAAATGAATTTAATCTAAAATCATAATTTAAAGTTTATAATTTAAAAATATTTAATCTACTATTAAGATTAAAAAGAAAATTAATTTTACATAGCAAGTATCTATATAAAGATTTAAGATGCTACAAAAATAAATAAAATTATAATTCAAATCAACATAAAATTAGTTTTTAAAAAATAAAATATTTAAATAGAATAAAATTAAATAAAATTTTTTAATAAATAATATCTAAAAATTTTATTTTTTTTACTGTAGGTATAAAATTTAGATTTAAATGGATAGCTGAATGATATAGAAATTTAAGTTTAGGATATCTTGAATATATAATAACGTTAATCTATTGATATTATTGTTGAAGAAAGCAAAATTAGAATGTTAAAAACAGATTTGGTTTAATATATACGGTTAGGTTAATACATATTCTATGATTAATAAGAATAACTAAATTAACAAGCTATAAGCTAACCTCAACAATCACTAATTGCAAATCAGTCACCAAGTAAATTATTTCTTACAAAAATAAATTAAAAAAATTATCTTTTTTCAATAGTTTATTTAACAAAACAGTTTATTTTATTTTAAAAATACAAATTTTAATTTCTAAGACTAAATTGTTGAATTAGATAAAAAATTTTTTTGTTAATAAAAAATAATAGAAAGGATTTTTTTAATTTAAATTTTAATAAAAGAATTAATTAAATAAAATATTTTAATTATTTACTAATTTGATTAAAGCAATAATAAATTCATGCATTTAATTAATTAATTTTATATGTCTTTATTTATCTGAATATTAAAATTTAAAAAAATAATAAAATAGTTTAAGAGAATAAGAGTAAATATCAAGAGGAAATTAATACAAGCTTTCCAGACCATGTAGATACTGATCCTAGTTTTGATAATAAATATATGTAAAGTAATTAGAACTCATTTTATGCTGCTGATGAATCTTAAATTGCTTAAATAGAAATTAATTAAAACAGCTATTATGAGAGTGGTTGTCCTCATAAAATAATACCTTATTATAATTACTAGAATAAAAAACTTTATATGATAGATGCAACTACTTTTGAACTTAGAAATGAAGTATCTATCAATGAATTTATAGCAGATTAAGGTAGAACAGTCATAACACCTAGAGGAGATATCTATATGATTGGAGGAATCTTAAGAAATAGTGATACTGAAAAGGTTTTTAAATATGATTATACAGAAGAAAAATTTACTGAAAGATAAAGTATGATTTATGCTAGAAGCTCTTTTGCTGCTGTTTATGTCGACAAATTCATATATGTTATTGGAGGTAAAAGAGATGGATTAGCATGTTCTGAGTGTGAAAAATATGATCTAGTACAAAATAAATGGAAAGCTATTGCAAATCTAAACTACTCAGCTTTTTCATCTTCAGTTTGCACTTTTGGAAATAATTACTTATATAAATTTGGTGGAATAGGACCAGGCTAAGTGTAAAATAATAACTATGTTGAACGTTATGACATTTAGTAGAATTATTGGTAAATAATAAATTTAATGCATGAAGACATTACAGGAATTCATAGCATAGGACCTTAAAAAATGTTTGCCCTATTCTTTAACAGTGGAGCTATTTAGATAAATGATTCCACTATCTTTGTATTTGGAGGATAGCTAGAAAAGAAAATGTAAAAATCAAGCTTTTGTTTTAATATCAAAAAAGAAAAAACCAACAATTAATAAAATATAATGCATGTTTTAAACAGATTTGACTACATCCCTCTACCTTCAGCTGGTTCTTTTACATCAAACCCAATAATTCACAATAACAAGATAATATGTTTATAAAATATTGATAACTCTGTTGGGTAAGGATAAAGTTCAATTTACAGTAAAAAGAAATTACTTGTATTTGATGGAACTAATTGGATAGAAACTATATACAATTTCAATTGAAGAAAATATTGAAAATCCTAAATTAATTAATTAATTAATAATTATTTCAAAGGAGCATAATTTAAAATTTTCAATTAGTTAACTAACTAAGAAGTGAGACTTTCATTAAAACTTATCAAAATTTCTAAAAGATTTCTTTTTATATTTTTTCTATGTTATAATTGTTATCTTTAATAAGATTTTGAATCGAAATCATATAATTAAAGGTTTTTGTTTAATATATTACGAATCATAATAGGTATATTTAAAATAAATGGATCAAAATGATTATCATACAAATCTAACTAAATTTTTAAAAACATTATTCAAAAATACTTTCAAAATTTTTCAAATGATATTATTTATAGATGGTTTGTGTATATGTATGTATAAAAAAATGTGAGCGGTCTCAAACAAAATAATATAAAATTTATTTTTTAAGTTCGCTTTGATAAAAAAATTATTAACTTTTTTAATTGAGCAAAATATTAGAAATAAGAGGGAGGGTTCATTAAAAGTTTAAATTTTTTAGTGTTTTGTTTAAAAAAGGACTTTTGTTATAGAATTTTGATTATTTTAACATCCCCTATTATTGATAAATCAATTAATTAGCTATAAACTATAAAATTTACCCATAAATAATAATAACTAATATTTAGAGGGAAAATATTTAATTTAATTTCTTACTATAATTTTTAGCTTAAATTCAGCTAAAACAATTAGGAAGGATTTTATTATTAATTTAAATATAATTTATTATATAAAAAAATTATAAAAAAATTAAAAAAAACTAAGAAGTACCCACCTCTACTATATAGTTTAATGGAAAGCTAAGTTGTAAATAATTCAGATGTTAAGAATCTTTAGACTCTCTCGATGATACTTGACACCTACCTTGAAAATTGTATTCAAAATACTGATTGGGAAAATAAAGCTAATTCTTAAAGGGAGAAAGAAAAGCTTTACTAAAAAATTTTAAAGACCATAAACTAAATATTTAGCAGGATTGGCGTTGCTGCAGCAACACTTGCTATGCAACCTTAATTGAATCCATAAGAAAAATAACTAAATGATGCTTAAGTTTAATAATAAGATTAAATAAACACTAATAAAAATCCCAATATGGAAACTGAAAATGCAGTAAATGTAAATGGTTAGTTGAATTAAAATAAAGTTGACCAATTTTATGGAAACGGCTAAGCCCAAAAACTTTAAGATGGACAATAAGACAAAAATAACATGGTTCAAGTAAATAAGAATCAAATGGAAGATGAGTCTGGCTATTGCTAAAAAGTTGTGATTAATGCTCATCCTTTTAAGCAAAGATTAATTAACTAATAATAACGTATGTAGCAAGAGTTAAAATAAAAGAACGATCAATAATCTGATGTAAATTTTTTTTATATGAAATAATTTATTAAACTAACTTAAAATACTTTAGGAAGAAGATTACGATCCACCAGATAATAGTAGTGATAGTGATTTTAGATCAAGTGATGAAGAATATTCTGATAAAAAGAAAAAGTTAATTCATAAGAAAAAGCACAATAACTACTTCTCTTATAATAGCCAAAACACTTCACAAACATCTTCGAGGCCAAGAGGCAGACCTCCCAGCTTTGCTAATAGTGAGAACGGTACAGTAAGCATATAAGTAGCTCCAGTGAGTGAATAAAAAAAAATACTTGAGTACTTTAATCAACACTATGACCCATAAAAAAGGAATAAGATATATGTGATTAACTAGATCACCAAATAATTTAACTACTCCTATTCTAGTGTTTACTATCTCGTAACTAAATAGGTTGTAACAGAAGAACAAGAATACCATGAATAGATCTAGAAGCATAAACAATAATAGCATAGAAGCTCAAACTAATTCTAGACATAACTGTAGAGGTAATAAATGTAATAATAGTAATATTACTAAAATTAGTTTAGTCAATATAGTTATAAAAGTGAATAATTTAATAATGGTTATCCTCGCTAAGGCCAATCGCAATCTTCTTAACTCCACCAGAGTGACATGTAAAAAAGGAATCCTTCATATTATGAGTAGTAAAGGTAGTAGATGAGAGAAAATAAAATATCTCCAAATGATCGTTTTGCTTAAAATCTTTTAAATTAACCAAACTCTCAACCTTCTTATAATACTTAAAATCAACAGCGTAGAAATCCTATCAATTAATACTCATAGTAGTAAGGAAATTATTAAAACAGTAACTATTAGGCCTAGGAAATGTCACAAACAGACTCAGACTCTGGGTTATTCCAAAACTAAGCACACAACAGATAGATGTATCCTAAGGCAGAAGATGAATTGTTTAGAAATGATCTTAAGGTTGAATCCTTACAAGAATCTCGCAGAGTTAGTGAGCAAGGATAAGATTTACAAGCAAAGCAAATTCCAGGCAATTAATAAAATCGTCTAGTCTCATCAGAAAATAGATAAAATTTATATGGAGAATACCATCGCAGTGCCTCAAGGTAACAATACTTAAAATTAACTAAAACATATTTATATTTTAAATTTATAAAGTAGAGATACTATTTAAATTTAGTAGAAGCAAGAATGATAGAAAAAATAAATACTATTACTCATAAAAGTAATGCCAAAAATCACAAGTTTATTATGTTAACTTTGTATTTAATCTCTATTTTGTTTAAGTCATTAAATTTATATATGCTTCATTCATTATTTACCAATTTCTCTTTTCTATATTGTTTTTTTCTACTTTCACTTATCTCTCTCTATCGTTATTCTTTCTTGTTTCTAAAAATTAATAACTAAGTGGATATTTCAAATTACATATCATGTTTATCTAGAATTATTCTTACAATAAAAAAGAAGAATTCTAGAACACAAAGTTAAGTTTTTAAGAAGAACAAAACGCTGAATAAAATCAAAATATATTAAAAATAAATTAAATACAAATTCCTTCTTCTTTTAAAAAAGTTAATAAAATGAGTACTAAATCTAGAGTATAAATCTACGGAGCTGACTGGTGTCCTTACTGCAATAATGCACAAAAGCTTTTCACCAACTTGAATGTTAAGTATGAATATATTGACACTGATAAGCATCCTGAAAAGAAGCAAGAGCTTTACAAATAACTTAATTGGGATACCATTCCCATGATTTTCGTTGACGGAAAATTTGAAGGTGGTTTTACTGATGTATAGAATAAATTAAAAAGTGGAAAATTGCAATTTGATGAAGAAGAAGATTGAATTTCATCATAAATCAATAAAAGTTATTCATATATTAATATGATTATAATAAAACTGTAATTTACTTGTTTTTAGAATTGTATCTCCTTATATGAATTTAAAAATACAAAGAAAATTAAATCCAGTTCAATTTATTAATCAATTTCTTTTTTTTGTATGCTTTTAATAAAAAAAATGTATAGATAAAAGAATGTTTTTTATTTATTTATAGTGGACGCAAAGCATATTATTGTATTAATAAATAAAATATTAATTATATATAATTAGATTAGAGAGTACTGATTTATTTAAACAAAATTTCTTAAATATAAGATATAAATTTTATAGTTTTCTGACAAGAAGAATTATTTGATAAATAAAATTAAAAAAATATTTAAAAAAAATATTTTAATTTAAAATTTTAAATAGCCATTAATAAAAGATAGGAAAATTGAATTTATTAGACACTTAAGTTTAAAAAATATTGATTTGTTTATAATATAGGCTGATTATTTATTTATTAATTTTATATTTAATATCTTTATTTTATTGTGCTTTCAAATTAAATTGTCATATTTTGACAATGTAAAATATTGCTTTAAAAGAAGTGAAAGCAACAATTAGCTTGTTTCATATTGAATAGCTTATATAAGAATGTGACATTTAATTAGTATCAAAAAATTCTTTGTTAAATAATTAATTAGTTAGTTAAAATAGCAAACGCCGGGTTTTAAAAGAGAGGGAAAGAAACTTAAATAAAAAATCGCATAGAAAATTATTAATATAATTAAATCATCATTATTATATTAATTATTTGAAATAATCAAAGAATAATATTTATAACAAATAAACACAAAAAAATTTTGAATTCTTTCTACCAAATTATTAGCAAAAAAAGCAATTGAAATATTTAAAATATTTTTCAAACAAAATAAAACAAAATATAGAGACAAACAAACAAACTATTTATAGCTTATTTAGACTAATTTATAAAAACATATAATCAGTATTTAGCTAAAATGATTTAAGGAAATTTATTATTAAATGGAGTTAGTATGATATAAAATAATAGCAGCCTTGAAGGGTAAAATTAAATAAATGCCAACTTTATAAACTAAATTGGTAGCCAAACTTAAATAAATGGCAATGGAGGAATGTCTATTGAGAATAATACTGTTAATTAAAGCAGCAGCTCAGCAATAGGCAATTTTGGGTCCAATAACACTTAGTAGTAACAGCAGCAACAACAACAACAAAACAAAGATGTTTAGTAGGCACAAAAGAAAGAAAAAAAGGAAGTATATAAATTGATCATACCAGAAGTTTTTAAGGAAAAGTTTGATAAGGATTCAGAAGCTAGATGGAAATAACCAAATGTTGATATAACTGATTTCTTTAATTATGGTTTTTGTGAATAGACATTTCTCGCTTACGCTAACAAATGTCGTGCATGGACAGCTAAATTTCCTGTCAAAGAAAATTATTAGGAAAATAAATACGAACTTAACAAAATGAATGATAAGACTCCTTTAGAATACGGAGGCTGTAGCAATCCTTATGATGAAGAGCTGCTAGAAACTCCTTAAAATTATAATCCATTTGATAGGGATTAGTTTATTTAAGTAATACTAGAAAATTATATTGATAATGAAACACTGATGAAATAAAGTTAAAACTAACCAAAAAATATGGTTGAATTTCTTTTAAGAGCTAATGTCTTAACCTACTATGTTTAAAAGCATGACGAACAGCATTAAGATAGCATGGCTTAGGAAGATTAGCAAGATGGAGTAGGTCAAAGAGGATACTAAAATAACTAAAATAATTTTTAAATTCCTGATAACTATGTCGCATATAAAGAACAAAGTAAATGCCAAATAGATTTTATAGCACTTTAGTAGCAAATTATGCATAATATCAGCCAAAAAAATGAATTGATACATTAGAATGATATTGAAAAGATATACTTTTTAAATGACATTTTTAAGGAAGAATATGCAAATATGGTTTAGCTTTAGCAAAAAACAAATGCCACTTCTAACACAAAAAAGACCACAGTAAACAATACTAATTCAACTTCATCAATAGGAAATTCAAGTTTGAATAAAAACCCAGCTTCTAGTATGATGAATTTTGCAAATCCATTCATGAATCCAATGATGAACATGATGTAAGGTATGTTTAATAACCCTTACCTAATGATGAATTAACAACTACCTGCCTTCATGAAAAACCCTTACATGAATATGAAATTTAATATGAACATGATGCCTAACATGGGTAAAGGAGGAATGATGGGAATGAGTGATTTTATGAATATGGGAATGGGAAACTTAAATAAAAATAACTATTAAAATAATTATAATTAGAATAATCAATCTAATGAAAACAGATAAAACTAAAATGAATTATAAGATGATAAAGGTAACAATAACTAAATGTATTAGAAAAATAGATCAAATAATAATAATAATAACAATAAAAATTATAATAAAAACTAATACCCTAACAAATAAAACAATTACAATAACTAATATAGAAATAACAATAATAGTAATAATAATAATAACAACAATAACAGTAACGCTAATACAAGTAATAACAATGGTAATGATGATGAAGAGTATTCAAAGGATAATTTATCAATGCAAGATGAAGATGATAATTAATCATCTAACCAGCAATAGCAATCTTAATCTAACTATAATAGTAACTATAAATCGAATAATAGTAATAACAACACTAAGTATTAATCTAGAAATAATAATAACAACAGTAGTAGTAATAATTATAACTCAAATGCAAGCAGCAATAACAATAACTCAAAATAATCTAGTAATAATAATTCAAGTAGTTAGAATAATTCTAGCAACTAGCAAAGCTCAACCGGAAATTCTAGCTTATTTGATAGAATCAAAAAGAAAAATAACAACTCAAGTAGTAACGTTTCTAATAGTAACGATCGTTAATACAGCAATAATGGTACAAACAATAGTGATAATAATAAATAAAGTAGCAATAGTGGTAGATACAATAAAGATTAAAGTCCCTCTACTAATAAATCTTCAAAATATGATAAGGAGTCTTCAAGAGACCGCAGTGAGAAAGAAAAAAGAAGTAGATCTAGATCCTCTCATAAAAAATAAAACAAAGAAAGAAAGCACAATAAGCGTAGCTCTCTTTCTAAAAGCGTATCACAAAGCAGAAAAGATAGCAAGAAAAACAAAAAAAGAAGTTCAGAAAGATAAAGCAGCAATAAGTAATCTTCATCAAACAATATAAGCAGCACAAATAATAAGAGTGATAAGATTAAAGATTATAAAGACCAAAGCAGCAAATCTAACAATGATAAAAAGTATCAAAGTTCTTCAAGCATCTAAGAAGAATCAACTCCTTCTAACCGCTCTAAAGAAAATATTCAAGCAAAAGACTAATAATAGTCAAAGCAAACAAATCCTTCCAAGAGATAAGATAAAGATGAAAAAAGCAATGATAAAAAGCATGAAACTCATCCTAATTTCTTCTAAAATTATTTTAAGCAAATAAAATAAATTAAAATGCTAAATTAAAATAGTAATTAGAGATCAGACTCTTCTGAGAGGTCTAGATCGTCTTCCTCATCAAGAAAAAGCAGGGTTAATTCAAGCAAAAACAAAAAATGAAAAATATTGCTTAAATAACCATATAAATTAATTATAAATAATCATCATTTATTTTAAAATGAAGAAGTTCTAAATGAATGATGAAACTAATTTAATAAGAATCTAAATATAAAAAATAAACATTTTTACTGTAAATAGCCATCAATCAATTTAAATAAATAAAAGATATAAATAATAAATAAACAATACAAAACAACAAACACCTACCTATCAATAGTACAATTATAAATAAATAATATATTCCGATTTTCTTCAAAGTAATAAATAAACAAATTAAACATTAACTAACTAAATAAGCAAACAATAAATCAATAAATAAACATCTTAAAAATTTATTGGATAATTCTTGATTTTGGATGCTTAAATTATTTAAAAAATAATTAATTAACTAAGTACTTAATAATATTTATAATTAATATTTCAAATTTATAAATAAAGTTGGCACTATTAATAAGCAATAGATATTTATGTTATTTTAAGTTAAAATATCCTGATACAAATAATTTAATTTGATCACTTAAATAAAAGTTTATAACTCCCCATCCATATTTTTAGGAAATCTTATTTTTATACTCATTTCTTTTAAAACAAATAGGTTTTGGTTAATTCTTTTATTATTTAAGGAGAAAATAACTCAGTGAGTTTATATATTTACATATATTAGGTAGTTTATTAGTTTTAGCAGTTCTGACTCTGATTGTTTTTGTTTATTTGGGACATTTAAGAATTACACCTATTAAGATGGCGATATATTATGTCTAAGTAAGAGAGCAATATAAATAAATAACTAGGTTTATTTAAAATCTATAGAAATTTAATTTGTAAAAATGTTTATTTCAGTATTTATATTCTATGTTATATATTTATAAATTAATTAATAATTATCTTATTCTTCAAATATTATTTTTAAAATGTCATTTTTTACAATTAAAAAAATTCTTTTATCAAAATTTATTAGATTCAAGTATAATTTAAATAGAAATTTATATTTTTTGCAATGCTAAACAAAAATACTTTTCAGATATAGCTATTTGAATAGTTTCTTAAATTTTAAAATTTTACTAAATTTGATAAATTTCATGATTGTTTGGGATTAAATAATTTTACATTTTAAAATATAATTTTTGCTTTTTCTGCTTAGCTCAGAAAAATATCTTTAATTATTTTATGAAAAATTGTTGATCCACCTAAATAAATAGATTTCAAAGAAGGAGTTTAATTTTAGTATCAAATTCAAGAAATAAGAAAAAATATTTGTCCAAATATCCATATGTGAAAGATACGAATATAAAATTGAAAATTAGTAATAGTGGTTATTGGTAAAATATACCTTGAAATATTAATCTTTTTTAAAATAATCAATATATATTTATTTTCAAAAGAGTAAAGGTTCGTCAATCCAAGCACCTATTTCATACTAAAAATACAATTTTTTCAAAATAAATTTGATTTTTTTTTAATAATTTATAATAATTACATTTCACTTATATAATAATTTGTATTCTGTTTTTATTAATTATGTTTCAATAAAGAAATAAATACTGATGATCTAAGATTAATTTGTTAATAAATTAAAAAATATAAGATTAATTTAGTAGAAATAAATAAAATAAAGTAAAAGACAAGCAAAATAGCAAAAAAATAAAAAACAAGTATTAAGTTAGCTATAGAAAAATAATAAATGCTTAGCTTTAAATAAATAATTTAAAGAATACTATAAGCATATTCGGAAGTTAGTTCTTCTATTTATGATAACATACAAAGGCCTTTGTGGCTTTGTTACATACTTTAAATTCTAAAATACTATTATTTGATTTAAATGAATTTCACAAGTGAAATAGGTAATTAAGCAGGAAGCTTTTAGTCAATTTAAAATCTAATTTTGTTTAAAAGTATAAAGAATTCTATACCAAGAGATATAGTACTTAACATATTATATTTTGTTTTGGCATTGAACATATTAACTATTGGATATATTATTATTAAACTTTTTCTTATCCTTTTTGAATTTAGTAAAAATTTCAAAATTTCTGTTATAGACTATTTTCTTAGCTTTTATTGCTATGCTTTAGCTTATCCTTCACTATACTTAAGCTTTATTTGCATTTAATAAATAAATTACATCGCTTTAATGAATGCATTTCTTACACTACTCATAGGTAAATACCAAAAATAATTTTGACTTTTTCAAATAAATACAAAATATAAAATTTTACATACATTTTTTAAAATTGATTTGATGAATTCAATTATTAATTTATTTATTTACTTAAAAAGGTCTTTTTGGAGTTTGTGGTGACTATAGTTATAAATTTTTTACCAAGGATTATTTACAAAAAAGAAATAGCAATCTTCTCTTATTAGCATACATTTTAGAAATAATTGGTATTGTGATTTATAGTTATAGTGATTCTGATATCATTATTAAATTATTTTTTATAGCACAATCATTATTCAAAACATATCTCCACTTGTTTACTTAACCTTATTATTCTTAACCAATTATGATGTTAACTTTGCAAGGTGCTATTATAAGGCTTTCTATTTCTTCAATTATTTTATTATAGAACTATATCAAGTTATAAAATAAAAGCTTTGTGTTAGCAAACTTTTTTGTTATTCCCTTAGGATTTGTAATTGGAAGAGTTTTATTAAGAATAAGAATAAACTATCTTCTTGAAAATTGCTATGAATAAAGTAGTCGTCTCCTTTAATATCAATAGCCTAATAAAAAGAAGAGTTTTTCATTTATAAACGTAGACATATACTGTAGATATATCATTAATAATTATCAATTATTTTTCTCAGAATATTCTCTTTCTAAGTACTCCATCTAACTAGAATAGCTTATAACTGACCATATAACCAAATGTGAAAGTAGCCAAGATTGTGTCTGTTCAGATATTTAAAAAGTAATTTTCTTATTTGAATTTACTCTAGTTGTTGTATTCGATTCATAACCAAATTTTTAAAATAATTGATAAGTTTTGGTAATTAAAAACTGTGATGTATTTTTTATCACAAAAAATACTTACTTACTATTAAAACTTTGGTGTCCATGAAATTTTTAAAAATCATGGTAATTAACTAAAATAAATTTCAATTTAGAATGTATTGTTTACAATAATTTAATTTGATTTTTAGTGGGGGGATTTTGATCATTTTCTTAATTTTTTAAATAAAAAAGACTCAGAAAAGAATGGATGAAACAGGTGATATCTAAAGAGAAACATTTTTAGGTAATTAGCAGCGCAAAAGTCTATTGAATTAACACTTAAATTTGGTGTATTTAAACCTAATTAGATAGAGTAATTCTAAAAGCTTTATAGCTAATGTTTATTTCAGCTATTTTTCTTTCTTGGGTGATATTTTGTAAAATTAAAACACTTTGTTTATAGAAATATAAAAATTCTGCTCTTCTTCTTTACTAAAACAAATGAATATTATTGATCAAACTAGATTGAAATTATTTGTAGAAAATCTTTACAATAAATACTAATAAAAAATTAACGCTTAATAGACATATACAAATTACGAAAGTAATAGCATTTATTCTATAATATCATATGATGAGAAATTGTAAAATGCTGAAAAATAGTTTACTCTTTGCATACAAAAAAAGAAAAAACTTGTTTAATTATTATGCCAATAAGAGTTTAGTCTGAAAGATCTTTAGTAAAATCTATAAGATTTATTTGATTCTCGAGAATATTTAGGGAACTTATTAGAGAACTTAGTTGAATTTAAATGCTATAGTACATATTTAAGGTGTTTATGTGAAAGCTTTTAATCCACTTTTAAATCTAACTCTAAACTAATCAAGCAAATTCGTACAGTTAAAAAAATTACTGCGTACAGCTCAAAAATACCTTTTTACTCTGAAAACAGTTGCGTAGCCTTTTTGTCTCTTCTTGAAAATTAAGTTGGATAAATTACAAGCATTTCTAAAAATTTTTTTGAGATCACATAAATATATACTAACGATCAAAGTCTAGGTAAAAATATAGATTTTTTAATACCTAAAAATATTGCAAAGTCTCATTAAAGTCTGTTACATGACTTTTTAAAGCAAGATAGGATCAATTTAAATGTATTTACTAAGCCTCAGGCAATTTGTTAAGATAAGGATGGATGGGCAATACCATATGAAATAAAATTTTAAATTTCTTTTGTTAATTAAACACTAGAAACAGGTCTTGCGTGCTGGCTAAAAAGAATTAAAGACGAGAGGTTTCACGTACTAGCTGATTTAAATAAATAAATATCAGTAATCACACTTAGTTAATAATTATACAGATAAATTTTTTCAGAAAGGTTTACTGTTAGTAATTTAAAAAAAGTAAACCTTTCAGAGTGGATTCCTTTACTTTGCGGTTGGCAGTAAATTCTCTAGAGTAAGCAAAAAAAGCAAATTATTTAAAGTGTTAATAAATTAGAAGATAATAATTATTTTAATATGTTTGAACAGTAAGATAGCTATTAACGATTTTAATTTGATACAATATTAATTAAACCTTAAAAAGGAGTCGATCATACTTAAATTAATTAAGAGACCCTAGTTGAAGATTTAATAGATTTAGATTTATTTAGAGTTAATATAGAACTAAATTTTATTTAAAATAAACAAATGGATTATTTACACTTGACTTTCAATATACTAGAACCATTTGAAGATGAGAGGCAAAAATATGAGCATATTTTAGAGTTTAAGCAGCTTTGTTAAGAATTAAATATTTAATTCGAAAAATATGAAGAAAGCAATGAAAATGGAAGTAGTAAATCACCTTCAAAATCAACAATCAATAGAAAGAAATAAAAAATGAAATCCATTTTTTTTGTAAGTCTTTAAAATTTCTTAAATAGATGAATTTCTTAATATTCTTCTTTGTATAATAAAAAGATAATTTAATTTTATTTATTGCTAAAATTTTTTGAATTTTTAGCAGTCATTTTAGTAAAAAAACAAAATTTTCTATTTTTAGATAGATTTAAAAACTTTTTTAAAGCTATTAATAGAATACTGAAATAAAAATTTTATATCATTTAATTTAATTAATTAATAAAAATCTATTTTTATTTAGGATTAAATCATTTCTAGAGATGTTAATAATTTAGAAAAGGCTGAAGAATAAGGATCATTAGTTAATAATATCCTATCTGAAACATAAATAAACACAACAAGATAGTTATTAAGTAATAGAAATCAGTATTATATGGGGTAAGAAAATTCAAGTTAGACAAATCTAAGCTAAATAAATTACACTCATATATAATTAGGCAAATATGATGAGTTCTAAACTAATTAAAAGTAAAATAATGTGGATGGAACTCTTTCACAATTAGTTAGCACAAATTTACAATTAAATAAAATAGATAAATTGAATACTTTCAGCACAGCTAATAATTTTTATGATGAAGTAGAATCTCCAATTAAACATTATGTGGATTTAGAAAACAGATAACAAAATTATTCTATTCTAAATAACTTAGCCAAGCAAGATTCCATTAATTAATATAAAATAGGTAATTTTTAAAAATTTGCTCCTGAAAACAATCAAATAGTAGATAATAACTACAATCCATAAATTAACAACCAAATTATGTCTGATCTAAAGGTTTCAAATGATATTGCAGAATAATAAATTTAGTCTGATTTCAATAGTGATTCTATTTCTGGAACAAAGTAGCAAACTGTCAATAGATAAGCTAGTATTTCTGGAGTAAGTTCAACAAACTCAGAAAGGTAAAAAAAATAATTATTCAAATGAGCCTTAGTACTAAATTATTTTTTTTTAATTCCTAAAAATAAAAACAATTAATAAGAGTTTAGTTTTTCGCATTTTTAAAAATGAAATTTTCATGATTAATAATTTAATTTCACTTAATAAAAAGCTGATAAATTTTTTAACATTCTTATTGACTAAATAATAAAATTTTCAAGAGAAATAGTTTAAATTCTGTATATTGGCTTATTTGCAAAAAAAATATTAAAAACAAAAAATAAATAAAAATTTATTTTATTTCAAATAAAAATTATAAAAATATAAAATTTTAATTATTAAAAATAGATAAATAATAGCTAGATTCATTTCTAAAAAAAGTGGGTTAGCAGGAATATAAATTATCAATTTATTAGGAGGAGTAGCTTTGTTTGTAATGGCTATGTATTCTTTAATTATGTTTATTTAAACAAACTAAATTTTAGGTGTAGATAAGCAAAATTTTTTATTGATTAATTGGATGAGTGGAATTAATTAAGTTTTAAGCATATCTGATACAAATTTAGCAGCCTTGGAATTAATTAGGTTGAACTTTTTTAACTTTAACTAGGATCAAGAAAAATAAAATATTGTTAAAAATTTACAGTCAGAGCTAATTTAATAACATTAAAATTTAGTAGATAAAATGTATATAATGTATGACAAGCAAAGCTAAGATTAAATTGTATTCTAAAATATTGTTGGTAATTCTCTTTAGCTAATACTATATTAAGGAACGGACGAAGGTGTATTTGAAGTAAATTGTAGCTTAGTTTACAATATAATTACTTAAACTGGCTATATTGCTCTTTAAAATCATTTATTAGATTCTAAAAAAATATTTTAGCATAATATGGAATTGAATTTCTAACCTTTGAATTCTTTTATTTTTAATGTTACTAATAAAATTAATCATTCTTTTCAGGAAAGGTAAAGTAATCAAAAAACTTATTTGGTGCAGAGAATATCTATTTTTGCAATTATTTCATTTATTTTTGCTATTAGCATCATTCCTACCTATAGCTTTGTAATTAAGAAGTAATCTGATATCTTGAAACTGTTCTCTACAATAGAGCCCGAAAAGATCAATATTATGGTGTAAAACTTAAAATATTCAAAAAGAATTATTTCTATTTCAAATTAGAGGCAACAACTTTTAAAATTTAATAAGATGCTTTCTTTTAACAGTTTTAAAAGTTTCGAATAGAATTAACTGCTTGTAAAAAAGAAAAATATAAGCAATACAATTGCTTTACAAACTTAATACGGAAAGGTGACAGCAATAGTAATGATATTTTTTATCTTCTTACAAATATAACCTGTAGTCGACTACTTTACTTCAACAGAGTTCTTTTAAAATTGTTAGGATAGATACACTTCATTTAGTATTTTAACATTATTAATTTTATTTTTAATTAAATTTGATTTGATTCTAATAAAAAGTGGCAGTGATGGATATGTAGTCAATTATGAATGAGCAAGTTCAAGGAAGATATAATATTTTACTCTCAAGACTGTATCCTTAAAACGCAGTTTTAGATGTTGAATACTATTCTGAATTTCTTTCAAACAGAGATCAGTGGACTTCTGAAAACTTAAAGAGATTCTAAGACCTCTAAAATACTAAGAGTTAAAATTCTCAATATTAGACAAGCAAAATGACTAACATCTACTACAAATCTATTGAAGTTAATGCATGTGATACTTTCAAAGCAAATCCATAGTATTTTTTAAATGATTAATTTGATTATTTATTATGCTCACAAACTAACAGAGGAGTTTTGCTTTAAGGGCTTTAAATTGCTTTAAAATCATTTGTTCAAATTTGCAGTAGTTTTTATCAAATACAAAAAATTTCAGATAATAATGAATTTTAAAAATAAGTAATGCAGTTTTATTAGGCTTATTCTTTAACAGATACAATTATTTTCAAATAGTAATTAAATTAATCTTTAGATTACCTGCTGAATTTCCTTAAATCAATAAATTCAAATTAATATGATGATCAGATTAATAGATAAAAAGTATTTATTGCTTGGTAATTAACAACTATATTTGTTACATTCTTTTTTGGAATGATAAAATATTCAGATTATATTAAAAAGAAAATATAACAAACTAAAGAATATTTGAATCTTATTGAAATAGAAGTCATAGAGAATAATCCTTACCTACTTTCCTATTTGAAGAAAATATCTTGAATAATTAAATATCTTATTTAGAAGCTTATCATTAAAAAATCCCCTATCGACCCCTCTCTCTCTATCTATCTTAAAATTACATTTTTAACTAGAAATATTATTCAATAGTTAAGCTCTTTAAAAAAAAATGTAAATAATTGAAATTAAAAATAAATGAAGTCAAGCCAATAAATACTTAATTTATTAATTTACACTTTTTATTTGAATTGAAATCAAAGAAATATATAATTAATTTCTGATTTTAAATTAGTAAGCATTTATATTTATTATATTTATTTGCCATCATATTTTATTGCGCTCAAGTTATTAATCCAAATATGCAGCAATAACTCAATTTTAAAAATGAGTTTCTAATTTATTAAAATTAATTTTGTAAAAAATAATAGCTTAAATAAATGAAAATATCCTTAAATAAATTTATACTTAATACAAATATAATTAATTTTCAACTCGATCAATAGTTTCAACTTTTTCTACTTTTTATTCTTTTTCTGTCTATTTGATTATGAGAAGTAGAATACATACATTTATTAATTATTTATTTAAATTTCTTTATAATATGTCAAATGAATTTATTAAAATCTTTTCATTAATGTTTTGTATTTGATTGTATTTCTAATTAGTATTATTTTAAATTTTTGTATTTTCGTAATATATAAAAATGTAATTGAGTAAAAAAATTAGATTTTAATATTTACTAATCAAGAGAAATTCAATACAAATTTTGAATTTTTTTATAAATTGTATTATTTGTTTATTGACTATACCTATTACGCAGTATATCTTTTATTAAAAAAATTATCTCTTGAGCTCTTAAGCTTTAATCCCCCATCCTCAAAATTAAATATTTGTTTTCCACTTAAAAATATCAGAAATTTATTTTTATACTACCGTAAATACTTCAAATGTAAAGTCATTTTTTATAATTTGCAAAGAAAATTTTAGAATTAAAAACTTAATACCTGGAAAATGTAAAATTTTTACATTAAATAATTGTTATGACTTTTGAATGTTTGCATGTGAAAAAAGCTTAGAAAAAAATTTCTTTTGTTTGTTTATTTGTTTAAAAGTTAAGTAATTATTATAAATTTATATTACATTAATAACTATACAATTAGTTCTACTTATACCTCAAGGAATCTAATTTAGATATTACTAGAAGATGCTTTTACTTTAATTCAATTACTAATGGTAAGCTAAGCAAAAAAAAAAAAAAACAACTAAACAAACAAATCAAATCAAATATATGAAAATATTTAAAAAATAATAAAAATTAATTTAAAAATATTAAGCTTAAACACTCCTTCAAATTTAAAATTTCAAAAAAGTATGAGATCTTAAAGTCAAAATTTAGAAAGGATTATTAAGAGCTATTTTTACTTAAGACAGGATTTGTTTGAAAATATATAAAGACCAGCTTTAATTGGGATTGTATTGCTTTTATTTAAATATTACATTTAGATTTAGTTATGCTATTTTGAATACTATAAAAATAATCAAAACAACTCATACATAAAAAATGCTTAAAAGCTAATGCTTCTTTATTAATTCGAAAGTAATGAGGATTAATACCTGAATTTTAAAATTCTTGCAGGTTTACTATTAGTCAACTCTTTTGTAATAGCTACTGTCATATTCTGTTTCATTTTAAAAATCATAAAAAAATATGACAAAATTTATTCATTTTTCATATTCTTTCTTAAATATTTTTTGAGTACTTATACTTATGGCTTAGGGTATATTTCTGCATATATTTCTATTAAATTTTTGATAACAGAAAAAGAGTTATTTTAAATTGCTTGCGCAAATTATTCTATTACAATCACCATAAGTAATTTATATGTAAACTAATCAGTTCTTTTAAATTATTTTATTTAAATAGTTGCTATTGTTTGTTAAGGTGATCACAGCTCAGTGTATGGAAGCAAAGATTTTCTATAAAAAAGAAATCATTTAATTATTGTTATTGTTTAAAAATTAATAGATTAGATAAGCATATTTATCTATTGTAATAAAATATCTGCAAACTTTTTTATAGCTTATACTTTGGCTAATTTTATTTTAAGGTCTCTGGTTTCATTCTATGTGCACCCTTATGTTTCTTAAAGATGCTAAAAAATTGATTTTGGTACAAATCTAGCTATTATAATGATACCTTTAAGCATTCTTTTGAATTCTTTGAATATTATCAGTGCTTACATAGAAGTAACACCTTTTCTCTTAGCCCCTCTTGCTTATATGACTGGAAGTACACTAATCAAAAAAAAATATGAAAAAATCATTTAAAGTTGTTATGAAAATATTAGCCATAGTATTTCTTTTGGTAAAAAAAAAGATTTGTAACAACTACCATGTCTTTTTTACGATATCTACTGTAGATTTTTATGTAGCCATTTGGAGTTTTACTACACAGAGTATTCAAAATCAATATACTCTTAATTGATGGAAAATATAATCTAATAGCATGAAGATATTTGTTACGACTATGACTCCTGCTTCTGTAGTTAGCAAGTAAAAATTTAAATTAAGATTTTATCAGTATAAAATTATTAGATATTAAATTACTTCTATTTAAGTCAATACTATTTTTATCATTTATTAAATAGATATAGTAAAACAGTACTACTATAATTACAGATTTCTTAGACTTTAAAAGAAGAAAGCAGTATATTAACAGCTATGTAAAAAAAATATATACTATTTTACTAGGAAAGCAACACTAAATTAATCACTAAATTTATCTTAACTATTACTAATTCTTAAAATAGGAGATTAATAATAATAATATTCTACTTATAGAACTACAAAGATATAACATAATCCTAGTAAAATAAAGAATGGGTATATATGTAAGAGCTTAAGTAAATGCAATTATAGAGTAAGCTAATCAATAATATCTTAACTATTCAAGTATTTCTTTGAATGTTGTTAATAACTTAGACACAATTAAAGACCTTAAGTCAATTATTTAATACGATGAGTACCTAGTAAATGTAGAAACAAAATTTTAGGAATGCATCAGCCACAAAAGAAAGCTATTAGAATAAATATCTTCTCATCATATCAATTTAAATTACTTAAAAAAGGATTTACAGAATTTATATTATGTAAGAAATTAGTTGGAGAAGTAACTATTTATGCTTTCTTCTCTTTAAATACAGAGCACTTATCTCAAACAACTTTGTAATGCATACAACATATCCTTTAAATTTGATGAAAGATTTAGCTAAAATTTGAAAAAATTAAATATTTAGAGGAACAGAAATTTATAATTTTTAATCGAGGAAGGGTGCGGATTTTTTGTGTCTCTCTCTGGTATTAGTTTAGGTAATATTACTAAAACGACAAGAAATTTTAGTGAAATAACCAACACTTTATCTAATGGCATCGGAAAAAATATTGATTTTTTAATCCCTAAGCAGTTATAAAAAAGCCATGAAAAGCTATTAAAAAATTTCCTTTATAGAGACGGAGTTGATAATAGCACATTTAATAAACCCCTTTTGCTAGGCTGTGATGAAAAAGGATGGGCTTTTCCATTTGAGTTAAAATATCAGCTAACTCTAATAGATAATTCTCAAATCGGTTTAGCTTGTCATTTAAAAAAACACCCAGATGATCATTTCTATGCTAGTGTAAATCTCAATGTTGAATGTTAAGTTATAACAATGAGCTACAAACTTTATAAATTGCTTTTTAGTTAATCATAAATAAAATTATAAATAAATGAAATAAAACTATCTTAGTACATTCCTCTACTAATCCATATTATCTAATAATTTTTAGCTTCAGCAGAGAAAGATAATAAACTTTAGGCTACCAAATCAAATCATGAAACTTTATTTATTTTGCCTAATAAATCAAATAATTTAGAAGTAATTGATACAAAATAGAAATTTTCCGAATCTGTCATGAAATGTAATGTTTATTTAGTTTCACTAGGCTTAGAAATACATAACAAGCACTTTATGGAGTTCCTCAACATTTCATTTGATAAAATTTAGCTTGTAACGGAATAATAAAAAAAATTAGATTACGTACTGAGCTTAAATAGACATCTAACTAATCAAGATATCTCTATTTATAGTGAAATTAAAAATGAATAGACATCATTAAATATTATCAATATCCTTGATATTAATACTAATATAGAATCTCAAACAGTAAAATTCATTTTGTATTTATTTATTTACTTACTTACTTATTTTATTTTTAATTATAGCAAAGAGATATGAAATCACCTATGAATTTAATTTGTAACATTACTTCTCCAACAAATATTATTACTAGCTTGAATGATTTAGACCAAGATAAAGAAAATTTTCTGAAAAGACAAATTAATTAAACTATTGAAGGAAGTGGCATGCAAAATTTGAGTGCTTTAAATGATATTTTTAATTTGCTTAGAAGGAATAGTCCTGAGTCAAAATATAACAGCACTAATGCAACAAATTAAAACCATATTCCTAATTAAAATCTGTAATCTTTAAATGAAAATTCATTTTAAATTGTTTTAGAATCAGAAAGAAGCAAATTAAATCACACTTTTTAGCAATCTTATGTCAAATCTTATAGCTCTGATTAAGTCTAATCATCTTAGTAATTACTATAATTACTTTAACCGACATGCTTGAGCCATCATACTTCAAGTACAACTATTAGGAGTAGTTAAGAAAGCGCTTAGTAAATACAAAATATTATTTAAAATGCTTTGACAGATTAGAATGGAACTTTTGCCTAAATTTGTAACTAAGCATTAAGAATTTAGGATAAGATAAGTGATAACAATAAACCTAAGAGCTTCTAATAATTAAGTTACAACTCTCTATCAACTATTAAAGAGAGTGAATTAAAGTCTAATTTAGATAGCAAAGTTATTTCTGAATTGTAGGATAATAAACTATCAACTACGACTGGCATTAACTCGAAATAAGCAAAACAAAAGTAAAAAAAATATTTTTTTAATAATTTTTTTAATAAAATTTAAAATAAATAATAAAATAGGTATGCTCTTAATAAATTTAGCTAAAAAAATAATGGCCTTTTTGGAGTATAGATAATTATCTTTTTAGAATATTTATTGCTTTTTATTATAGGAATGATTGTATTTAGTGATTTTATAGATATTTTGAATCATTTATATATTGGTAAAGATAGTTTTTTGTACATAAACTGGATGAGCAGTTTTAATAATATTGTTAGCACTTCAAATACTGATTTATCTGCTCAATAACTCCTTAAACTCAATTTTTATGAATTTTAAAACTTAGATTAATCAGTTGAATTTAATAAGTTTTTGAGCAATGAGTTGATGTAATCTTCTTAAAGAATGAATTAGCTAATATAGGAAATACACCAACCTAATAGCTAAGATTTAATAACATTTTAAAAAATAATTGATAAGCCAACATAACAATAACTTTATTCAACTATTAATAAAAAATAATTACTTATAGATAGCACTTTTATTTATTAGTAAGTAACTTAATCTGCTTATTTACACATTGAAGCTAATAATTTGGATTAAAATAAAGCTGCTTAAATAAATGCTTAGCTGAACTTTTAAACCTTAAATTCATTAATTTATAAAATCACTATGAGCATTGATTCTGATTTTAGAAACAATTCTCAATAATAACAAAATTTATCACTTAGTAGACTCATAATATTTGCATCAGTCAGTCTAATTATTGCAATTAGCTTTTATCCTTGCCACAAGTATATCATAAACAAAGAATAGTAGATTTTAATGCTTTTTTCAACTTTTGATAAAGATATGATTAAGTAAATGCATTCTAATTTACAATATTGTGAGAAAATTTTTAAGTAATGTTCTGTTTCTAAGAGTAAAGACTTGCATTTTGCAAGAAGCAAATCTATAATTTAAAATGAAGCATCGCCTGTAAAGAAAAAAAATATAAGCACAACCACTCCTTTAACATTTTCACCTTTTAAGGTTATTTTCATAATTTTTTTAGCATTCACGTTATTGCAATTAGAGCCTTTAACTCAATATATAGTATCATCATAGTTTTACGAGGTGTGTTCATACAGGTATTCTCTTACAGGTAAATTAATTAATTAATATAATTAAATTAAAATGATTGTTATTTTAAACAAACTATAGTGAGTTTTCTCAATCTTTAATCCATAATTATAGAGATACTCTAAGGCAAATAGAATATTTTCTTATCGAAGCTATTTCCAAGTTATTCTATATTAGATTACTCTTATTTTGAAGATTTTGCTAAAAATAGATCAGTATGGGCAGAAGAAGATATAGTGGACTTTTAAAAGCAGCTTGGAAATAAGGATCTATTTTCAAAATTTAGCAAATCAGAATATAATAATTTCTTTTTTTAAGCTCTCGAAAGTAATGGGTGCAAAGCCATTAACGAAAGATAATAATATTGGGAAGATATTTAATTTAACTATTAGTAATGCTTGTAATCTAGTAATGGAATTCTTGAGTAAGGAATGATACTAGCAATAAAAAAATATATAGATGAATATCAATCTTTTTATCAATTAATACTTTAACTAAACGACAATAATTTTGCTCAAAATTTAAAAGAATACAGTAACTAAATTAATATATTAGACAGCTTTAAACACAGACAAGGATTAATTTAAAGTATTGAGATTTTGATAAATTTTCTTAAAGAAAATAATAGCTAGTAGTATTTGCAATAAATTTTGATATAAAAGATATTAATAACATGGCAATTGATATCAATATTTATAGTCTTTATATTTGGCTTTCTGAAGTATTTTGAAAATATGAAAGCTAATTTACAAAAATGCAAAAAATACATAAATTTAATAGAAACGATTATAATAATTAACAATCCTTATATTTGCTCATATTTAAAGCAAAATATTTGAAAAATGTAAGCTAAGTAACAAATTTTATAAAGCATGAAATTGATTAAATTCTTTTCCTGCAACTAAATATTAAAGTAACTCCAAATATTAAAATAAACCTAATGAAAATAAAATTATAAATCTTGAATGTTATTGTAAATATTTTTATATAAAATTTTATTGTTATAATAATGGTTATAGGTTAAATTTATTATAAGATTCATGTTTATTACTCATTCTCATTTTAGTTTTTCTGATCCACTATTTCATATCAGGTTTTTGATATATCTTAAAGGTAGGAATTATTTAGTCTGAGATAAAAATACAAAATAATCTTTCTCAAAAAATTCAGAAATGAATTTAGAGTATTAAATTTCAATTTACTTTTTATGTAAATGATTCATGCACAATAAAAAACTTTTCATTTCTCACTAATTTTTAGAAATTAATTAATTTTTTTTCAGTAATTTAAGATAATCATTTTCTATCTTAAACTAGATCAAAATTCAAGTTTATGACAACTAGTAATGACGAATTTTAAAAAGCATGCAACTGTCACAAAATTCATCATATTGTTTAAAAAAAAATAGGGAAATTTCAAAAAAGATACTTCCTCTTAATAATAAATAACACTCTCTCTTTCTCTTTCTTTATTTATTTATTTCTCTCCCTCTCTCTTTGTATTTTAAGAATATTTCAAAAATAAATTATTTGTCTTTGATTTAAACAATATTTATTTAAAATAAAAAAATAAAATCAAAAGCAATAAATTAGATGTAAAAGTATCTTTTAATAGCCCTATTAGCTGCTTCTTTTGTAGCAATCGTTTCTGCTTAAGCAACTTAAGACCAAGTACTCACCCTAGAAAACTACGAAGCCATTTTAAATCAATGTCTCTAAAAAGTATAAAATACCTGTGATGGAGCTACAAACAAGCTTAGAAAAGAAAAGGACTACATTTTTGTTGATAATAAGCAAAAATTATAAAATATTAACAAAAAAAATCAATAAAGTTTCTAGCAAGTACACACAAACAATACCTTTAACGGTACAGTTTCAACTAATTCTACAGTACCATGCGGCAATTTTACAAATTCTACTTCTCCCATCAATTCAACTAATCCCCATAGCTCCTATAACAACACTTACACAAATTAAACTCACCCAACAAATACAACAAATCCTAATTAAAATAAAACTTAGTGTTATCCTTCTAATAACTCAACAAACACAACAAAATTGAGAAAGTAAAAGGGACACACTTTTGTTAACAACAAGAATACATCTGAAAGTATTGAAGAGCACTTCAAAAATTTTAGTTTCTAGCAAGTTAATGTCAATTCTACTAACAACTGCACAAATTCTACATCACCATGTAAAAACTCAACAAATACAACTACTCCTACAAACACTACAAGTCCTACAAATACTACAACTCCAGTAGCTCCTAAGAACAATACCACACCAACTAATACTACAAGCCCAACTAATACCACAACTCCAAATAATCCTCCAGTCACCCCTAAGAATAACACTGCACCAACTAATAATACAACTCCAACTAATCCTACAGTTCCTGTTAAGAATAATACCACTACACCAACTAACTCCACAAACACAACTACACCTTCTAATCCCACTAATCCCACTAATCCTACTAATCCAACAGTTCCTAGTCAACCCACTACTGATAATGGAAGCTGCAAAAAGGCTAGAGATAGTTATGCTTAATGCATTACTAGCAGCTATGATCTTGGTTTATATTAAAAGTCTAGTTTTTATGATGCTGGATTTTAAGGATATGGAAAATATCTTGCCACTGCTTCATAGAATTGTGAAAACTAAGCTTTAGCAAATAACTAATAATCTGCATTTGCTAAAAGATAACTTGACTAATTTAACGCTTGCTATGCAAATATGGCAGGAGTCTAAACTAGACCTACTACTTCTTAGACTATCAGTGAATTTGCCAGATATTCTACTGGTTGTAAATCTAAATTTGCTTCTGCATGCGATTAACCTTGCTTGGCCTCATATTCTAAATTTGAATAATGTGTTCAAGCATGCGAATCAACTATCAAGGTTTATACTGGATATGACATGTAAGGATAAGTCAAAAATCATATGACAGCATGTGTTAAATCATGTAATTTAAGCACATCTATCTCAAAAGATAAAAAGGCAGGCCTTGTCTTTAAGTGTATCGCAGAAAATTCATCTCTTGTCGATCCTAAAAAGGTTTCTTCATTCATGCTCTAATTCTTTGCTTTATTATCTTTTGCATTCCTATTATTCTGAAAAATGTTTTGCTAAAGGTTTTTATGTTTATAATATCAAATTTAACAAAATAAATTGATTGTCTGATTTAAATTTTACTTTCTCTTTAATTTCAGTAAATAATGAATGAATGATTACTTTTTTTTAAAAAACAAAATTTATTCCAAAAAGATAAATTTAAATTTTTTTCTTTAATTATTTTTTTTATTTCTGTGAAATTAAATTGTAAAAATAATTTTAGTTTCTTTCTCTCAATAAATAAAAAAGTGATAAGATTATATTTCTTGGTGAATTAGTGGATTTTTAGTAGATAAAATATTATAGCTTCAAAAAAAATTGAAATTATTTGTTTACATAGCATAGAGCTTTCTAATTTAAAAATACATCATTTGAAGTTTAACTAAAAATCATAAAATAAAGCAAATACCAAATCCTATTGGAAATTATGAAGTTAATTTATAAATAAAAATGGATAATAGGTTTTGGGTAAAATATTATAAATTTTTGTACAATTAGCTTTTATTTATGAAAGTTGAATATCAATTAATATATAAAATAACATTTTTTTGTTTTGTCAACAAATAAATATAATTAAAAAAGGAAGCTATAGTGTTGAATTTATTACTTTATTTATAATTAACTAGCTATTTGTGATTTAATACAAAAATGTAAGATAGAACAACAATAAAATTTTTATATTAATTATCATTTTGATAAATTGAAAGAAAAATGAATTTGTGTTTATATATTTATTTTTTCTTTTATTTGTTATTAATTTGAAGTATGTATGGGGTCAATGGGTATTTGTTTGCTATCTTGCTTGCTTGTTCATTTTAAGAATTTAGAAAGCCATTAGAAACCATCAGCGTAGCCAATCTTTTTAGAAACAGAGCACATAAACAATTCAATGGGACGGCCGTCTATTTCGGTAATCTTTTCTATACCAATTTATGATGAATTTGCTAATCCAAAGTTTATTCTAAGTTCATCTTCAGAGGCAGCTCCTTAAATGTCAATCTTATTACCAAGAATTACAATTGGAACCTTTTCAAGTTCTTTGGTTTAAATGATTTTGTTAAATTCAATTTTTGATTCTTCAAAACGAGCACGGTCAGAGCTATCAACTAAGTAGACAATGCCATCAATAGAAGCAAAATAATTTTTCCATGTTTTTCTAACAGCTTCATGACCACCTAAATCGAAGGCTTTAAAGCGGATGTTTCCTAATACTAATTCTTCGGTGTGGGAACCAAGAGTTGGATCGTGCTAAACGAGACGACCATCTTTCAATCTTCTTAACAAAGTAGTCTTACCAGCATTATCTAAACCTAAAAATAATATTTTTCCATTTTTCTTGTAAAGACCTAAGTAGCCTAACATATTTTTGAAAAAGTCGAAAATGAACATTTTTAATCGCAGCTTTTTATGTATTTATGTATAATTATTTATTTATTTAGATGTTTTAATTAAAATTATATATTTTTGATATTAAATTTTTTTATCAATTTTAATAAGTAAAAATAAAGTTGTTTTCAATTTATATCTGCATTAAAACTTGATTATATAGTGAATTATTATCACATACATAAATTGCATAAAGAGTTTCTTACTCTCAAATCAATGAAACTTTTATGGTTTTTTTCATTAATTTTCCCTTTTCCCCCATTTTAATCATTAATGCTTTTATTAATTTAAATGAATATTTTTATAATTAATTCAAATAGTTAACATCAAATGCTATCTCTTTACGAATTCACGATTTTCTTCCACGTATGTTTTGTTTGGATTCTGGCCAAAGAGGAGTAAATGAGTGGTATAAATTTTAAAAACAAATTAATTAATTTTATATACCCTATTTTATTAAGCTTTTTAGCCTAAATAAAATTATCAAAGTGGGATAAGAGTAAAAGTATAATTTAATCTAAAAATGAACGATACAATATAAAATGAAGATTTTTATTATGTCTTCTTTTCAAAAATTAAAATAATTTAATCTTAGCACAAAGCAGATTAAAAAGCATTTTATTTTCATAAAATTTTTGATAATAAAGATTAAAAATTATTTAATACCTTGTAAATAAATTTATACAAATAAATAAAGCTCTTTTTTCTGATTAATTACGTCATTAACTTTTAAATTATGCAATGTCAATATGTTGTAATTTACTCTTTATTTAATTATTTTAAGGAAAATTCAAAGTAATAATACTTTAAAACAATTGTAATTTTAATAAAAATCTTTTTGTGGTTTATAAAAAAATAATATTTTTAAAAAGTTCTCCACTTAAAAATTTGTTTTTTTTAAATGATAAAAAAACAATTTAATTATGTTAATTCTTAACTCATTTCAGAATTGATATTAAAGTATTTAACTTTAAAATATGTATTCAATAAAATTCAATTCATAAATAAAATAAATGTAAAAAATTCTCAATATGCTAACTCAATCAAATTAATAAAAAAATATTTTTTTAATGAATTTTTTATGTATCATTTATTTGATGCTTGTAAGTTGTTAAAATAAAATTGTAAGCATTTATTTTAGTATTATTTGCATAGTATTTGAAATTCATGAATAAAGATCTAATAATAATTGCCAGTCATCTATAGAATTATTAATATCTATATATATAGACAGTATTTAATTTTCAAAATTTTAGTTAACACAAATAAAGCTAAGTCAATCAATAGTCAGTACTCTCTTTGATTTTTAGTTAATGCAAGTATTTAAAATAAATCTAAATTTAATAAAAAGTTACTTAGAGATCAAATAAACTGGTAAATAATAAATAAGTATAATAAGTTGAATAAAAAATAGCGATAATAAATAAATGATTAAAGATAAATTTTCCAACAAAACTATTTCACTTTCTGGTGTTAGATAAAAAATAGAGTAGTTTTTTATAGAGTAACTACTGTAAATATTTACAAAATTTGATAGGCCTTTCAATTTGAGTATATTCCTTCTTCTTATTAAACATTTTTATGTGCTACAATTCAATTTTAGCAAGGATTATTATGAAAGTAAAATGTTAGATTATAAAAGCAACTATTAATTCTACTAGTTATTGATAATTGAAGAATGGTTTGATGAGTAAAATCTACTATTTTATATATTATTGAGTCTTAATATAGCTCTAGCTCTTTCTTTGATTGTTTTTGTTTCTTTTTTTCTGCTTTCTAAGTAGCTCAAAATTTTTAATTTCTACTCGTTTTACTTCAAAACATATGGCTATTTAGTATTTCTCCTGTCACTTTTATTTAGTTTAAATGATAAATATTAAAATTTCGGATACTTGCAAGTGCTTAACATAACTATAACTATCTTATTGTGTAATAAAATTTATAATTTTTTTTTCAAAAATTGGGATGATACTAATATGTAATTTTTTTACAAAATATTATTGGTTTGACTTAAACAGTAAAATCAAATTTTATAGAATCTTTTGTTTGCCTTTATTTTAAAATTAGAAAAATAATTTTTTGATAAATCTAAAAATAATAATTTACTTTTTAAAGATTATGCTATTCCTTTTCATTTTCTTTAATTTAATGCTTAATTTTGTAAAATAAAATAGAATTAATCATCTTTGTCTGTGAATTAGATCATAGGTATGAAATAAATGATTTCCTTGCTAAAAAGAGTTCTTATAGTGATTTTATTTTAATGATTCTATAGCTTGTATCTATCGTTGTATCTAGGTTTTTTAATCAACTAATTCCTCCTTATTGTGGATTTTTTTATAATTTAATTAAAATAATCTATGACTTATGGAAAATTCCTTATTCTCATCTCTAAATATAGTAAATTGATATAATATTTACTTCGATTAATTTGTACATTTCACTCACTTTAATATTGTTATAAAATCTACACACAGAAGTGAATATAAATGTAATAATAATTTGTATTATTCCTTTTTGTATTTAATTTGGTAAATAATTGCATTGCTAAAGAGTTAATCAGATCATTTCCAAAATTGAACTACAAAAATCATTAAACAATTTAGGGAATTAATAAAATAGTTTAGATATTAATCATTTAGATATTTATCTCAGGTATTTATATTAGAATGTAGACTGCTCTCTTTCTCACTATGTCACTTCTTTTGACTCAGTATTTTTAAGTTAAATAATTATTGAGCATCACTAAAGTTGCAATCAGTATCCTAACTGTTTTTGTGAGTAATATGTAAATAGACCTTAATATTATATAAAAATAAAATTTTTACTTTCAAATATTAAATCTTATTTTTTTCGAATTTTGCTAAAAGCCTAGAATTTCTTAAATGAAATATATTATTTAACTAAAATTATATATGTTAAAATACTTTTATTGATAAAAAGATGAATAAAGAAGACATAACAAAAAACGATCTCTTAAATGATAACTATAGAAGACAATATCTTATTTATTACATTTAATAAATTTATAAAAATTATTTACATAGTATACCTAATAGATAGATTGATAATTAAATATATTCAGGTTATATAGCATTTGTTATAGATGGGCTTGAGAATCAATCAATTGCTTTCAGAGAGATTTTAATTTAAAAATCTAGAAAATATAAATAGTCTACCTTTCTTTAAAAATAAAGAATTCTATACTTTTTAAACTTGGCTATTCAAAAGTTTCGAAATAAATAACTAAATAACCAAAATAAAATTAACCTCTTTTCTATTATTGAATTTGATTAGGTATTAGAATAGTCTTAACACGAATACTACAAATGTTTACTTAAAAAGCTTGAATTAATCAAACTTATTGGAGTCGATTTTATTAATTTACAATCATTTGAAAAGGAAGCTAATCAGCTATTTTTTGACCGTTAAAGGCTTTATGAAAAATTATTTGCTTTGTAAAAATGTAATCCAAATAATTAACCCTTGTAAATAATTTGTGAAGGCTATGATGAATGCCTTTCTATTCAAAAAACATTTTAAATTCTCTACTAATAATAAAATAATAATAAAGGCAAATTTAAAAAAAGTATTCCATTTTATTCAGAAGATGCTGCAGTTGCTTACATTTCTATGCAAACTAACATTGGAAAAATAATTAAAGTCTCAAGTAATTTTTCTTAAGTAGTTCCTTTAGTTAAAGATAGCAAATAAGCAATAGGAAAAAACATAAATTTTATGCAACCAGAATAAATTGCTTTAGTTCATTAAAATATATTGCAAAATTGTTTAGATAAAAAAACACTAAGTGAAGAAATCAAAGATTACCCTTTGATTTTAGCTAAGGATCAAAACGGATGGGCTATTCCTTATCATGTTAAAATATAAATGTGTATGATTGGTTTTGATGAGTTAGGAGCAAGTGGTTGGTTAAAGTAAATAATTGACAACAATATATATTTAATGAGTTCTTCTGTAAAAAACAATCTGAAAATTTTCTTAGTAGATTAAAACTTCTTTAAAACTATCTTATAGGATATAGTATTATTCCAAGATATTAAGAAAATCAATTTAAGTAGTATCATTCCTTTGATAAATTTAATTTTAGAAAAAGGTATACAGGGATAGTTTTATGAAGTCCTTGCAATAAAGCCTTAAGATTTCAATGATGCAATGAAATAAAGAGATTATTATGATGAAAAGTTAATTCAAGACTTATTAGAAATGAATTTATATAAAATAAAATTTACCTTTTATAATTTAAATAACTAATTTATACAATTTATTCAGTATTAAATAACTTCGATAACTCCCATCTACAATTTCAGTCAAAAAAGAGAAGCTATTAAAAATTTTAAAGCTTAGATAATTTAGTTTGTTGATTTTTAGTAATTAAAAGTTACTTACGAAGAAGTCATCAAATCTTAAATTTCTATTAATTAAGATTTATTAGATAATAATAATGGAATTAAGTCATCTCATAATATTAGTATAGAGGAAGCAGTTTTTAGTATGTAGGATCAACCTTAATTTAAAGATTAAAATTAAGAATTAATTAATATAGATTTATCTTCTATTAATAGTAAGTTTCCTTCTTAGAAATCTATACGAGATTGCAAATCTTACCAGACCTTAACTTATGAAACAAGGAATAAACAATAAAGTGTAAAATATTCTTCGAGAAGTAACATTTAAGTTAAAAATAAGTCATAGCAAAGGTTAAACAGCTTTTCTTCTCAACAATCGATATTCTCTTAGTAGAATCATTAACAAATAGAAAATGTTCTCTATCCTTAAAATACAGTAGACACTCATAGGAGCTTGCAAATTTTAAGCATAGAATCATTTACTTCACCTATAAATTCAGGTAGAAAACCAATTTTATTCTAAGAGTAGGCTAAACAAGCTTTAACTAGCAAAAATATAAGCCATCCTATTCTCGAAAATTCATAAGAAGAGGAAAATTTGTCTTTTAAAATCTAAGAGAAAAAAAAGTTAAGAAATTTAAATTTCTTCCCTCAGTAAAAAATAGACCAATAAAAATATTCCCATCCTTTAACTTTGAGCGATCCTATTTCGTCTAACTAGCAACCAGCAATTAGAAGTAATTAAAATATCATAAAAGAAGAAATTGAAAAAGATGTAAGTGTTAGTACCACCTTATCAGCTAAGTCTTCTGTTAAGTAATAATATTATACTTATTTAATAAAAAAAATAATTATTTATTTTTAAAAAATAGGGCTTACATTTTAAGTAATATAAAGTCTAAAACTAATTCTAAAAAACTAAAAATTATTAACATATTTGGAATTGTTTGTATAGCAATAATTACTCTAGTTAACATAATTGCATTTATATATCAAGCTGAGGAGTTTTACATATAGAAGTAAAATTATGAATAGATATTTTGGTGCTTTGAGCTAAAGAGATTTACATCTTTGATATAAAGTAATAGAGACTTACTAAATAGTTTAATATCAGGCTATTATACCTTTAATTCAGAGTTAGAAGGGAAGAGAACCTATGGGTATATTAAAATTGTAGATATGTATTTATATGAATCTTATAAGAATTTAACAGTTGAGTTGGTTTAAACAAAAGCCATAAATATCGATATATTTACCAAAGCAAATGAGTATTAGGTCCAACATTTTATACCGAACTCACTTGAACCAACTTAAATAACTGCAATGAGTACTCCTTTGACGTTTAAGCTTCTTTTTTTTCAATATTATTCTTATTTGGCTATGTATGACACAAGTCCAATTCAATACAATGCTCTTGCTTCTAAAATTAATGATTTATCATTAAGTAACGAGCTACAAAATGTATATGATAGCAACACATAAATTTTTTATTCATTTATTGATTAAAGCAGGTAATTAGTGACTATACAATTATATTGTATTTCAATAATAACTGCATTTATTTGCATTCTTGTGATACCTATATACTACTAAAGTTAGAAAAAAAAGGAAAATATCTTAAAGCTATTTGCAGTTTTTACTTAAGAATAAATAAAATAGATGCTTTAAGCAGTAAGCCTAAACTTGGAAAGATATTAAATTTAATTTGTCAAAAAAGAAAGAACATTGTCAAATATGAAGCTTGAACTATATTCATCGTATCATAGAAATTAAATATCTGATCTTTAACTGAAACCTTAAAATAACTAGTCTATCATCTAATCAAAAAATATTTTGGTTTAAACTTTTAACTTAAAAAAGAAAAGCATAAGCTCTACTTCTACTATTTCAAAGTTTAGCTTAAATTTAATATTAGGAATATTAGCTTGCTTAGCTTTGAATTAGTTTTATCCAGTCTCAAATTATATAATATAAATGCGTTAAATAGATTACTTTTAACAAAATCTAGACTTTTTAAGTAATTTTTTTTCATTTCATATTTAAATTTACTAAAAATAATTTTATAAAAAGATGAATTTAATTTCTTTGTTGATAACATTACAATATTTATCAAGCTGCGTTATGTAATTACTTATCAATATTTCAGCAAAGCTCCTTAGGCAGAACTATCTGCTGAGTTAGAAAATCTAAAAAGTACTCATGATATTTAGAAATAATTATTTCAAAAACTAATAGAAACATTTTCAAAATTTGAAAGCTTCGATGGATATGAAAGAGAGTAGTATTAAAATTATTTAAGCAAAGTATTTAAAAGTAACATTTGCGATACAATTTTTGACCCTAATTAAAACCACTTCAGAGATATTTAAATTTCATATGAAGTGTGTAAGTAAATAAAAGGAGGAATATTCTAAAAGGGATTGATTGTTTCATTTAAAGATTTGATAGGGTAATTTTAAAGCTTTTATGAGGGAGCCATAACTAATGATTTCTAAGTATTTAAAAAAGTGATTGAAAACTTTTAGAAGAGCAATAATTTATTAGAGGAATATAGCATGTATTAGTACACTCTTTTTATATGTAAAGTAATTCATTACTTCTTCTAAGATGTCTATACACAGCAATATGAATTTGGGTTAAAGCTATCTTTGATTATAATAACTTTATAATCATTTATAATAATTATAGCACTATTGATCAGTTGGATATTTTTTTTTAGATAAATAGGAAAAAATATTTATAAATCTAAAAAATTGCTAGGACTAATTGATATTAACATATTATTGGCAAATCCATATATTTTATCATATTTTAAACGCAATTACTGAATTATTTATTTCATATTAAAAATTTATATTTTTATAAACTACATTTTTTAGAAATTAACTAACTAACCCATAAAACAGTTAAATTAATTTTATTTTTTTCAATTTTTTATTGATTCTCATATTATAAATTAATTAATTTAATTTCATTTTTAAAATTTTGTAATCAATAACTGGTTTTATTAAACACTAAATTATTTACTGAAAACTTTTTGCTCATTTAATTTGAGTTACACTACTTTTGTATTTTTGTTAATTAAGAAAAATAACTTTAGTTATTAATATTGCTAACTAAATTACATTTTTATATAATCTATATATCTCCATTATAAATAATATACTTAAATCCTTAATCTATGTCATATTATAAATAAACAGTTTTATATAAAGGTATTTAATATTGATAATTTGTATTTGCTATTAATTTAATTTCTTATAAAACTATTATTTTTAAGTTTACTAAGCTGTTCGCATATTTTTGAAAATGAGTTTAAAATATATTTTGCGTTTCGTTTATTTTACCAAACGAACTAACTCAGTTTTTTAATTATCTGTAAAATCTCTAATCAATTTCTATTTTTAATTTGCATGACACGCAATAAAATTCCAAATATTTATTTTAGAGAGAGTGATTAAATTGATAATAAATATTTGTGTGATTATAAATTTTAACTTACAAATATCAAAATTTTTTGCTAATTTTATTTGCTTCTAACTTCTCTATGGATGAGGATTTTTAAACAGATAATCAATTATTTTAGTCTAACCAAAAAAATGATAATTAATCATAAAAAAAAAATGTTAAAAAAAAATAAATATTAAAAAACATTACAAAAATTTATATCATGGGTATTTTTAAATTTTTGATATCTGATTTTGGTAATGTTAATTAAAAAATGCTCTTTAAGTTTGAAAGCATATTTATATAAAATTCTAAATATTAATAATTCATGGAGTTACTCACTCAGAAATAGATTCTATTGATTTAAATAAAAAAAATTTTTTGGAGGAAAATATTAAAATCAAACAACAAAAATAACTCTTCTCTAACAAAAATAGATAGCTACTATATCTTACATTCTAATGAATAATACCTCAATATAAATCGCTACTTTTTATTCTACAAAGCAAACTGATAGATAGTTAATATGATTAAGATGACCAATTAACTCAAGTATTGTTATAAAAAAACTTTTTTAAGAATAATAAAATGTAAAGCAAGGAATGCAATATGCTAATATTTTAATTGAGATAACCAATATCCAAAGCTCTATTTAAAATATAAGGAATTATTTAAAAAACAGCTGATTTTCATTTTTGTTTGAATCAATAAAGTAAGAATTTTTTTATAAATTAATATTGGTTGATTATTTGTTTTTTACTGATAAATAAATTTAGATATTATTTATATTTAATAATTAATAATAAGATACAACCAGAAACAAAAAGAAGGAAAGAACTAACAATAAAACAATAGGGATGCAATAAACGAAATTTAAATAGTAGTCAAATATTTTATTTGGGTAAAAAATCAAACACAAATTTTAAGAATTCATTGCTTATGAGCTTTACTGGTTGCTTAATAAATATAATAGGTCTTACTTATTAAGTGTTATTTTAGTAATCATCAAGCAATTTGAAATCATGAATTTTAACTTCAACAAAAAATTGTACCAAGAGACTCTAAATAAAGCAGCAAATAATAACTAGTATTTTAAAATCTTGATTATTGAGGAGTGGCCTGACAGTGCTATAGATTTAGTTTTTTATTTTTGTATTAGCCTTAACATTTTGCTAATAATTTACTTAATAATCTCTATACTCTTTATGTTTATGTCAAAGAAGATTAAAGGATAATCATTCATATCATTCTTCTTTAAGGCGTATTATCAAGTAATTTTTCTTGGTTCTATATACTCTAGTCTCTGTTAGATAGGAAACATACCTTTGATTTCCATCATTAATATGATTATGACTCTAATAATATGTAAGCATTCAACTATATTTTTTTAATTACACACTGTTATTTTTACATAAAAAAATTGAAAAATTTTCTGTACAAAAAGCAAATACACATACAAGAAAAATGTACAACTTTTTATAAAAGTCAGATTTTAACTATTTTTAATGGATAGATTAACATAAAATTTACTTAACACTAAATTTAGTTTGAGTGAGTAACTTAAAAATATTATAACTTTTTAATTTATTATTTATAAATTTTAATAAGTAACATTAATAAATTTACAAGTACTTAGTTACACTTATTTAATATATAACATACTGCTTGATAATTAAATGAGAATTTTCTAATTTACAATTTTATTCTAATATAAATAGAAATCATTATCACTTTGAATGACTTTGACTATAGATTTGTTTCAAAAGATTTCTTATCTAGAAGATACTATGACCATGAAATATTTTTTGTCTTACTTAAAGTTATTTGTCTATTTTTTTTGAAGTATGGATAATACAATATGCTTCCTTATGTAGCTCTTATTTTCAATTTTATTAAGCTCATTTATTATTTGCTAAAACATCCACTTTCAAATTAAAAAATTCAAGAATTCGAGTTTTGCTTAACTACTACAAATATGTATATCTCCCTCATATTCATATTAGGGTCATTCAACAATTCTCTTTTTGATTATATTTTCATTATTTTATGCTGCATTCCTTTCTCTTATTTTGCTGGGAAAAATATCTTTAGGTTTAGATTGGTTTCATTTTTATAAAATTTTAAAGGATAATATATTACTGCAAATACTTAGAAAGAACTCTAATCATTAGATTTTTATTTAAGATATATAAACAACAACATAGATTGTACTTTAATTTAATACGTCTCCTCACCTCTAACTATTATTCTAGAAAAAATCATAACAGAGCATCACCAAACATGTAAATTGTACCCTAACTGCTTCTGTGCAAAAAATGTAATCTATTTCTTTTAATTAATTTAAATATTTAATTTTTGGCAAGTAAATTAAAAAAAAATAAATGTAAATTAGAAAATTCAATCTATAGATTCATAATATAATTACAATTACTTTCAAAAATAGCCACAACTTTAATTTAATCTAAATTTTATTTAATTACTGATATTCCAAAATTGAGTTTTTCTATCTACTGTGGAGGGATAGATCTAATAAAATACTTACAAATTATATTTACATCACATTATTTAATAATAACCACAAATTAAAAATATAGATTGGAAGATATGATATCACAAAAGAGGATATTTTTGGAATTGAGTATCGCAAGTAATACTTAGACTACTACATTTTGAATTCATTTAGAGATCAAATTAAGAATAATAAGTTAGAAATTAATAGATTTTATTACAGTTATATCACTTTTTGTGTTAATGCTTTAAAAAATTAAATGATTTCTTTCAAAGAAATACTAACAATGCGCTAAATCAAATACAACAAAGTTAATCTCAGACATAAGCAAGCAATCAATTATTTATATGATTTGGCTTGTGAAGAATTCGAAATTGATGCTTAAATGATTCAAAATTCAAATCATGAAAAAATAATTGATGTCATTGACTATGACGAGAGCTTAGAATAATGCTCCAAGGAATATCGCTAATGCTTGAATTTAAAATACGATTTATTATAGACAATAGGACATGATTACATTAAATTACATATGTTGGAGTAATAGGCTTCTTCTTTATAATAAAAACGATAACTTTTGATTGATGAGCTAAATAAACTATTCTAAAAAAATAGCTCCAGTGCTATCTTGTAAAATATTTGTGAAGGCTTAGAGGAGTGTTTAATTATAGAACCAATTTTCACTAAAAAATATGAGTAATAGCGTAAATCAGGCTATTTTCATAAGAACAAAATTCCTTTATACACTGAAAACTCAGCTGCTATTTATATTACTTTGCTGACAGATATTGGTAAAATACTTAAGGTATCCAAGAATTTCAAAGATGTTGTGCCTTTAGTATAAAATAATTTAGAAGCTATTGGAAAGAATATAAGCTTTATGTAACCTGATGAGATAGCATAAGGACATAATTAAATACTTATGAGTAGCTTAGAAAGAAAAAGCTTTAATTTCTCAGTTAAGAACTATCCTATTATTATTGGGAAAAATGCTCAAGGATGGTCAATACCATATCACATCAAGATATAGCTTTGCATGCTAGGAAATTTTGAGTTAGGAGCTTGTGGCTGGATTAAGCAAATAAAAGATGGTTGTATGTATATTTTAACTTCAATGGCTAAAGATGACTTTAAAGTAATGACAATGGACTAAACCATTTATTAAATAATGCTTTAAGGTTATTTCTCTCGCTCATAAATTAAAGGCATGAGACTTAAAAATATTATTCCAATGCTTTAGGCTATTATTGAAAAAGGTTAATAAGGATAAACTTATGAGACAATAGTTGTTTAGCCTTATACTATTCAAGACACTATTTAGGAGAGAGATATTTGTGATGAAAAAATTATCAATTAATTATTTAAATCTAACTTATTTAATATGAAATTTAGCTTCTACACACTAGTTAATCCTCATGTTTCATTCACCATATTTTAAATTTCTTCATTCAAACCTTTAGACGATTTACATAATAAGAAAGAAGCATTAAAAAACTTTAAAATTTAGATATATGATTATATGGACCCAAAAAAACTAACAGCTAATATTGCTTAAAGTTTTAACAGTCTAAATTTAATTTAGGATCAATCCTAGGAGCTAGTTAAAACAGCTTAAAATATAAATATCTAGCAAAGTTAGATAATCAGTTTGCAAAACATTAAAAATGAGCATAAAAATGAAGAAAGTAATTAATTTATATAGAACTAAACAACTTAGGAGTCCTCACTTATTAAAGAATATCCAAAATAGACAAAAGAAAAATAAATAGATGTTAATTAATCAACAAAACCAAAACCCTTTCTAAACTAAATAATGGAAACATCAAATGAACACTGTAATTTAGAAAATACACCTGGATTAGATTTTAAAAAACCAAATAGAATCTCTATCGACTGTATTGAACCACTAAATAATAAGCAAAAAGATGGTAATTTAAAATTAACACAAATGGATTCAGGCACAAGCAGGTAACATAATTTATCAGAATAGTTGGTATTAGGATTAGAAACATAGAGCTTTGCTACATTTACAAATTAGTTGAAATCAATTGGACAAAATGCTTAAGATAGCACTCCTTAAATACTATCAGTTGAGACACATCATCTTTTTAGCTCTGACTCTCTCTTTTTTTCACCTCTATCCTCAAATAGAAAACTTCTCCAGAATCCTGAAGTAAGCAAAACTTTAAATAGCAAGGTAGATTTAAATTAAATCAGCTCACCTATTGTTGAAAATTCATTTGAAGAAGAGCAAGGAACTAAAAATAATTAAAATTCAATCTCGTATAATACAAGCATGAATAAAAATTATTTATAATATTAATCAAAAAATTTGTCTATTTAAAATAATCTTACAAATGTTCAAAAGTCCGAAAACAACAATTAATCTCATTCCCATTCAGGTAATACATCTAAGAACGTTGATAAGAAAACATAAGATGAAAAGGCTCTGTTCGAAGAAAAGGATAAAGAAGGAAGTGTAAAAACAGGAAAGACATCTCGATCTACAGCAAGGTTTTTAGAAATTTTATTTTATCTTTACAATTAATTAATAAATATTTGTTGATATATAAATAATAGATAATAAATAATCAGCACTATTAGATCAAAAAATAACTCTTACAGTGTCCGTTTTATAAATTACTTGGGAATTTTTTGCATATTTGTTATATGTGTGTTAAATATGGCAAGCTTCTTCGTTTAATATAATGACCAAAAATAATAAAAGCTAAATTTTGAAAAGATAGCCTGGTGTTTCTAGATAAAGAGATACATTTCTTTTGCTTTTGGAAATATAGGGCTTATGAATGGGATTGGTGTGAAATTGTATCAGTTTTAATCTCCATTACAGATGGGAGCTTTCGTGAATTATGTGTTGGAATAAAACAAATTAATATTTTAGAAATACAAAAATTCAACAAATGAACTTATACAAGGAGATCTACAAGACATCTATGTTTTTAGCAGAGTGAACAGCTATTAAATTAATATTTCTTTTGCTAATGTTATGGATTAATCATAAATCACCTACATGCCTACAATCTTAACATAAAAATTAACATAATTTTAACAAAATATATATTACACGACCTCTATGTTAGACCAAAATAATCTTAATTATGGGCAATTAGGTATAAACTATAATGATATTTATATAGCCCTTGATAGCATATATAATGACAATAAATAACATTTTTTTGATTAAGTTGATACTAGTAAAACGATAATTACCATATAATTAATTATTATTTCCATAATCACTGGTCTATTCTTTATTCTGATTATCCCCATTTATACTTATTCTATGTATAAAAAAGAAGAAATATTGAAGCTATTTGCCACTATACCTGCTGAAAAAATTATCTTAATGATGATGAAAGTAAGTAAGTATATTGACAAGTAAGAGCAAATGGATATAATTAACTAAAAATCTAAAAATGTAGTTTTAAGCTCTTTAAATCACATAGATAAATATTTAAAAAACAATACAAACCTCAAGTTTTCAGTAAAATAAATTTAATAATTCTCTTCAAATTAAATAGTACTGAAAAAACCAATAGATAATATGAAAAAGAAAAATATTAGCTCAACAAATAGCATTCATAAAATAAATTTACTGCTTTTTGCTGCCTTAATTATATTTTTGGTTATGACTATATTCTATCCAATTTGTAATTACATAATTACGATTTCTCAAGTCAATAACTTCACAAACATCTTGAAATTCTTAAGTAAATATTTTATATAAAAAAAATTTTTTGCAAAACAAAAATACAATTTGTCATATTTGGGCGAGCACCACTCTAACAAATTTAAGCTAAATTATTTAGTCCAAATGAATTATTTTTACTTAAATAATTTGAATATTTTTGGTACCTTTGTCTTTATATTGGGTACCTTTTAAAAACCTCTCTCTATGTTGATAAAATTTTTTCAATCCCAAGTAACCCAATATACATAAGTGCCACTGTATCTAAATTATTTGTTAGAAATTAAATTGTAGATTTAACCTTAATTTATTCTTAAAAAATATAAATAGATTCTTTTGATTATTTTATTGATAACTTGATAAGCTAATATTCCATTAAATGTGGATACACATTTGCAATAAATATGGCTATGTTCTTTCCTGATGGATATCTAGATACTTATATATAGGTTGCCTAATCCTATACCAGCACCACATAACAACTTTTAGACGATATGGTAAGCAATTATCAAATTTTTTAAACACAAAATGGATATAACTAAGACTCTTACAATAATTTCTTTTATCCATTCTTCAAAGATGATGTCTGTAATGTAGTCTTTTAAACTGGCTAGAATCATTTAAGAGATGTTTCTCTCACATTTGATTAATGTAAATAAAGTGCTTAAGGAGTGTTTTCGAAAGGATATTTGGTTGCAATTAAAACTATAACAAATATGTTGGACACTTATTTTGAAGTTGCATACACAAAAAATGTCACTCTATTTAATAGTATGAATTATTAACTTTAATAGCAGCTGCCAATCGATAAGGAATACAAATTTATTTTAGATTTTTTAGATCTTGGTGATGTCCTACATAATTTCTTTTAAGATATTTATAGTAATTATCATGACTACGTTTTGTATTTATAAATTTTTTTGGTTTCACTTTAAATTTTGACAATTTTCTTTGTGATGGCATTTGCTTGGAGATCCTTTTATAATTTCTTGAGTAAAACATATTACAAAACAAAATAACTTTTAGATTTGATCGAAGTCAACACTATTCTCGATAATCCTTATATGGTATCTTATTTCAAAAAAAATAAGTGAAAAATGAAAAAATTTAATTAATTCTTTTGTCTTTTATCGACTTAGTAAGAAAGGACAAATTAAACAACCAAAAATCAAAAATAAACAATTAATTATTTAAATAAAATTTCATGTAAAAACACCATAAATAATCAATTTTAAGTATTTTTATATCTAAAATGTAAAGTTATGAATTAAATTCTATTTTTATAAAATGTTTTAATCATCAGTTAATTTTTTTTTTAATTTATAATTTAAACAATTTTTCTTATGATTCCACGAAAGATATCTATAATATTGTATATTGTGTTTGCTAAAATTAATGCGCAATAAGTTTCTGATATCCAAATTACTGGTAAAATGAATTTAGGTAGTGTATTTTTGATATCCTAAAATTTAAATGCAAAAGAATCATCTCAAAATTAGAAAATCAAATTACACAAAACTTTTAAATCAAGAAAAAAAAAGAAAAATAAAAATAATCTTTTTGAGAAGTAAATAAAGAAATGAGTAAGACAGTTAAGTATCAAAACTAAAGAGAATAAAACTTGAAAGAAAAAACAAAAGTGATCATAAAAAAATTTATATCTGAAGAAAGCTTTAGACTCCTTTAAGGATATGATAGATCATACTATTTAAGCATTTTCTTACTAATATTTAGGCAGTTTTGTATTCTTTAGTTTAATTTTAATGACTAGTTATATTCAGATATCATAAACAAAAATAAATCTACTAGCAACAAATATATTAATATATTTATAATGTAGGAATGGAATGATTCAATAATATAAGCAGTCTTTTTTACATGCCTAGCTATAACTATGTTCCTTTTGTTTATTTTAGTTGCTAATTTTACTTTTTATGCATACAAAAAAAAAATTAAAAAGCTCTCATTAGTCTGCTTTTGCTATAAAATATATCCTTACATAGTATATTTACCTTCTATTTATTCAAGCCTTTGCCTGCTTCGTACCTATATTGTTCTAAGCCTTTTGAACATGGCTCTGACTTTGATAGTGTGTAAATATTTCATTTATATCTTTGAATAGAAAATAAAATTCTTTCCATATAAAAAAATCAATTATTTGCATTTTAATATGCATGAATTAAGAATTTATAACTTAATAAATTATAGAATGGTAAATATTTATTCAATCATAATTTTTCGTTAGTATTTTAAGAAAAATTATGTTGATAAGTAACTTTATAATAAATTTAGATTAATAAATATAAAGAACCTAAAAATCTCAAATTATAACCTTAAATAAATTAAAGTTAGTTAATATTTTTTTATTTATTTATATAATATGTAACAACATAGAATTATCAATAGTATCACTGGATTTTGATTTCAGATTCATAACTAAAGATTTTCTTGCTAAAAGGAAGACTAGGAGTGAGATTTTCATTTAATTGCTTGGCGGATCGGTGCTATGTATACTCTATTTTGGATTCTATTTAATTCTTCCATTCTTAGGATTTACATATAATTTAATTAAGACTGTGCACTACTTGCTTTAAAATCCTTTTTAATCCTAAGAATTATAATAAATAGAATTTAGTCTAACAATTACTAACATGTATATTTCTCTTATATTTATTCTAAGATAAAATACTTCTTTCGGAAGTGATTTTATACTCTTATTTTTATGTTGTGTTCCTCTTAGCTATTTTGCAGGCAAAAAGATTTATGAATTTAGGCTCAAACATATTTTATCATACTTTTAGAGTGGGAAAAATATATTAAAGGAATCTGGAGAAATTAAATCAGAAAGAAAATTAGAGCAAATAGATTTTTATTTCAGATTTATTTATCAATAAATTGATTGTTCTCTAGCCTCATACATGACATCTACTACCTCAATAATATTAGAATAGATAGTTACTTTACATCATGAGTATTGTGAGGATTATCCTACCTGTTTTTGCTTTCAAAATGTATTTTCTTATTTTTTATTAGATTAATTCAAATCAAATTGATTGATTTTTGATCAATCAAATCAACCTTTTAATTTTTTTTTATGATAAAAATAAACAAATTTAATCGCAAAAAGATATTTAAAAAATAAACAATCTTATCCACAAATTAAATTATGCTTTCTACTATTTTTACTATCCAATTTTCCAATCTTAAAATTCTGGAAAGTAAAAACTCTTATTTTTTTCCATCATCATATACTAATAAAGCGTTAATTTTTATTTAATCTAAAATATAAGATAGGTAATTCTTTATTGAATAGAGAAGAGTTAATTGGGGAAGAATATCGTAAGTAGTATTTACAGCATTATATATTAAATTGTTACCACAGCTTTTTGAAGGAAAACAAACTCTGTTTTAACTTTTTCCACTATAGCTATTTAGCGTTTATTATCAATGGCATATAAAATGAAAATATTTCTTTTAGAGAAATATTGAGACTGTAGAATTCTTCCATTCATTAATATACACTAGAGTAAATACTTATGATAAATTATTTCTTTGATTTAGCCTGTTCAGAGTTTGAATTAGACGCTATGAAAATTCAAATTGAGTAAAATGAAAAATTAATTGATATCATCCTTTTCGATGAGGATATCGAAAATTGTAACAAACAACTGAAAGACTGTCTAAATTTGAAATATGATATTTTACAGAATATTGGAAAGGATTATATTAACTTAAAAGATTTAGAAAAATAATTACAAATATTACTTCATAAAAGAGTGAATTTGCGAAGAGAACTTATTAGATTATAAAAAATCCACTCTTTGAGCTCAGATTTAATTAGTTTGTGTGAAGGTTTCGAAGAATGTCTAACTATTGATTAAGACTTAACAAAATTAATGTAAATGCAAAAGAGTAATAGGTTTGGTGTGAAGAATTATCTTTTAAACTACTCTGATGATTCAGCTGCTATATATATATCTTTGTTAAATGAAATAGGTAAAATTTTAAAAGTATCTAAAAATTTCAAAGACATAGTCCCTTTGGTCACAATAAATTAAGAAGCAATTGGGAAAAACGTTAAGTTTTTATTGCCTAACGAAATTGCGTAGGTACATGATGAAATTCTTTACAAAAGCATGATATTAAGAAAACAGATAAATTACAATGTAAAGGATTATCCTCTTCTATTAGGAAAAGACAGAGATGGATGGGCTATAGCTTATAATTTAAAAATTTAAACTTTTATACTGAATAATAATGAATTAGGTTGTTGCGGTTTACTAAAATAAATTAAGGGTGATAATATGTACTTAATGTGTCTAAAAAAAGAGAACAATAGAATAGCTATTTAAGATAAAAAATTTTATAGATACATTCTGAATAAATATTTTTCTCAGTCTGAAGCCAAATAAGTTTTTATTTCTAGCATTATTCCTATTTTTAAAATGCTACAAGTAAAAGGAATTTAAGGATAGCAATATGAAACTCTACTTTTTTAACCTTAAAATATTGAAGAAGCAACTTTAGATTTGAGTACTGCCAATCAATAATTTATTTAAATGGTAAGCAAAAGAAAGATCTATTTAATAAAATTCTCTTTCTACTAAATTGAAAATGAAATAATTTAGCTTACTCAGCTGCAAGTAAGTTAAATAAAACCTCTTCTGGATATCAATTCAAAAAAAGATGCACTTCGCAATTTCAAAATTTAGTTGCATCAGTATGCAAACGAGGATTCAGTAAAAAATTTGAGTGAACTAAATGATTATTTGAATTCTATTATAGAAAAAACAGACTGTGAGGATATTTAATAAAACTTAAATACATAGATTGAAAGTGAAGAGAGATCCAATTTACTTGATAATACTTAAAGATTCAACAACGAGACTGAATAATACTAAAAATCAGAAGATAATTTTATATTTATAGACTCAAGTAATAAAATTGCCATAAATGAAGATAAGCTCCTTTCAAAACCTATAGATACCTTAGGATAGATCTAGGAAGAAACTGAGTAAAATTCCCTTTGCTCTCCAGAGCTTGATAAAAGAAAGGTTAAGATTAAATAGATCAATCTAATAAAAAATGAATAATTAATTCAATTAAGTAGAAAGCCAAATTTATTTGATTTTTAGCATCCGAATAATAAAATTTACAGTTCTACTTATTAGAATTAATAACAACAAGTATAATCTATTGGAAGCTTAGGCACTTTGGCAACTTAAAAATATTTAAGTACAAATAATATATAGAATCAAGTTTTTTCTTCAGAAATTAATTCTCCACAAAACCTTTTGAGCTAAGAAAGTAATCACAATTAAAATATTTTAAGTTCAGACTCAATGCACTTTTCGCCTAAGTCTTCTCAAAGAAAAATGTTAATACAGTCAAACGAGCAAAACAAATACAATCAATTCAAAATTGATAAAAATGTTCATCAAAATCAACTAAATACTATTGAAGATGAAGTTAATCAAAAATATACTACTAGAAAAAGAGAATCGACACAATCGACTAATTATTATGAAATAAAAAATTAAATGACAAGAAATAGAAATACTTCAACAATTAAAAATAGAAAAACTTCGGAAATCAAAAGTAACATTAAAAGTGGGAACTAAAAGTAAGAAGGCTATTCAAATAATATAAGAACACCATAGAATGATGGGAATGCTGATGATTTCAAAGATGAGGGCAGTGTAAAATCATCAAAATCCTAAAGATCTTAGTCAAAGTAAATTATTTTAAACTAAAATTGTTTATATTTCTATTTATTTATTTGTTTAATTTTTAATTTTTTTATTATAAAGGATTTAAATACTTAGCACGATCAGAAAAAAAGGGGATTCAAAATGTTTGAAATTAATAAACATTCTTGGTATTTTATCTATTATAATAATCTGTTGCTTAAATATAACAATTTTTGAGCTATAATTGAATTTTCAATACATTTAAAAAATTAACTTCGAGCAAATTAACTGGACTTTTTCCTTAAAGAGATTTATAAATATCTTTTTTGGGAACAATTTTTTAATTTTAGGATTAAAATCTAATTTCTATTAAATAAAAGACTAGAATATTTTTAAAAAGCTTGGAAAATTAATATTGGGAGCTAACGCCTACATGTATTAAGGGTATTAAAATCAAACCTAATAACTTATTTAAGGTAACCTTGATGACATATACGTATTTTAAGAAATAAATAATTACAGTACAGAGCTATCTATAGCAAGCACAACAAACTCAACACAAATTACAAATTATACTTCTCATCTTACTTTTAAGATAGCTTTTTTTCAAACTATTGGATATTATGTAGCAAGTTTATTGGATACTAATTAATACAATACTTAAGTTGGTTTGCAAAACTTTATGAGTATAAATAGCTCCCTTGATGAGATATATGAAAACAACCAAAATTACTAGCTTGATAAAATTGACAATATAAAAAGTTTTATTTTTGGCCAGCTCATAGTGATTTCAGTTGTCACAGGAATTTTTTCTTGTTTAAGTATCCCTATTTATATGTTTAACATGAAGAAAAAAGAAGATATTTTGAAATTATTTGCAACTATATCACCTGATAAAATCTTGTAAATGATGATGCAAATTAATAGATATCTAGAAATGGTGGAAAACATGGAATCAAAAAAACATAGATCGAGGAATATAAGTCATTAACCTTCATAATCTTAACTTAAATAAAAGAATTCTGAGCCTTAAAATATACAAAACTCACACATATCAGTTGATAGAGATAATTTATTTTTTTCATCTAATTAAATTATTTTTAAAAAACCTCTCGAAAATATGAAAAAGAAAAATATAAGTTCTACAAGCTCTATTAAAAAGTTTAGCTTTAAATTAGTAATAGGGATAGTGATTTGTTTCTGCTTTACATTATTCTATCCTGTAGCTAATTATGTTTCTAGCTTACAAAACATAGACACCTATCAGATGAACATCTACTTTTTAAGTAATTAAATTCAAAAATAAAATTATATTTCTAAATTTTTAAAAATAATTTTTAACTTTATTTTCTTTTGCTTGAAATTAGAATAGAGAGAGAAATTATTTTTTGTATATTTATTTTTTTTAATTTTTAAATTTTTAAATTGAGAAATAGAAAGAAAAATTTAATTATTATGTGAAATAGATTGTTTTATTCAAATTTATTCAAAATTTATTGCGAGTTACACATAAAATTTACAATAATAAATTGGTAATTCATTTTTATTATATTTTAATAACTAGATGCATTTGATTATTTGATTGATAACTTAACTTCCCTTTTTTGCTTAAAATATTCCCATACTTACCTTTTGATAGCTACTAAAGGGAAATATCCTTAGCTCCCATTTTATTCAAATACCATTAAATCTTAACTTTCAAAAACTTAGTCTTACCTTGATAGAGTTATGGATAATTTCTAAAAATATGAAGATTATAATGGTTACATGCAGAGCTATTATGATAGTTTAATGATACCTTTAGTTAAATCAGATATTTGCAAAACTTTGAATGGTACTAATCCTGTTTATTTTAGAGAAATTAGCTTTGATTATGATAATTGTGTTAGTTGTCTAAATGGGATTTTTTAATAGGGTTTGGTTGTTATGGTAAAATAAATTATGTCATTGATAAATTAGTATAATGAATTTTCTTCAAATAATAACTTTACGGTATTTGCAAAGGGTTTCATGTAATATTAAATGCAAACTAATATAAGCAGTGAATACTAGTTTTTCATTTATCAAATGTACTTAAGTAAGATAGTGCATTACTTTCAAGAAGACACATATAATATATACTATGACTACAACCATAATATGCAAATCTGGCTGATATCAATCTAAATTGTACTTCTATTTTTTGTAGCAATTTTTGGATGGAGAAATTTCTATAATACTTTGAGTAATACATATTTTTAGGCCAAATAAAATTTAGACATAATTGATATCAATATATTGGTTGATAATCCATATATAATATCTTATTTTAAAAAAAATATTTGAAGGAAAAACATTAAAATGTTAAATCAAAATATTAATCTTTTAAAAAATAAAAATTTTTATTATTTTAGTTTTATTGTATTTGATGTAAAATATTTTATCTCAATATTTTCTATTCACAAAATTTTTGAAGCTTTTTATTTAAAATAAAAATTAAAAATGTACGAAATATAAAAGTTTGTTTTGATTATATTCAAATTTATTAAATATTTTTTGCTATAATCTATGTTTAAAAAATAAAACAATAATTCTTTTATGTTTAAACTTTGATGAATTAATCATTTTTTAAATTCAGAAATGAATTTTAAAATTTAAAGTTACAATAGAGTTTATTTGCCATTAGAGTTTTTCTTCTTTTGTTCTAGAAAAATAAAGAATAAAATCTATTAACCAAATTTCTATTTGAAGATTAAATTAATATCTATTACTACCAAATGTAAAAATATAAAAAGTAACCAAAAAAAAAGAAAATCATGAAATAAATAGTATAGAATATAGTTAAGTTTTCAAAAAATATTTACCTTTTAGTTTGAAAACAATTCTGGTTGGTTGGTTATTTGTAAATTTCATTGGAATGTTAAAGAAAAAAAATTATAAACAACTAAGTGCTAAGTGTTTAGTTTGTTAATTATTAGCTATATTTTTCAAATAAAATATACATTTGTAATTAAATAATAAAAAATCAAAATTTAATAATAATTTTTGATTTATTGTTTGCATAGTACTCAACAAGTTTAAAATTAGCATGAATCTTAATTTAAAAGGAAACAAAAATATAGTTTAAAATTTTTCAAGGTATGTTAGGAAGAAGATTGAATCATTTTACGTTTAAGAGACATATTTATTATTTAACTCATTTGATAGACCTTATTTAGTTGGCATATTTTTAATTATATTTAGACAATATGAAATATTGCAATTTAATTTTAATAATGACTCATACAAATAATTGCTCAATAATAATTAGAGTACAAACTCATATATCAAAGCAATGATTATGGAGTAATGGCCAAATTTACTTGTCGAGTTTATCTTTTATATTCTTTTTGTTTTAAACATCATCTTATATCTATACTTAGCGTTTAGGCTCTCATTATATCTTTCAGGAAGATAATTTAGGAATTTAAAAATATTCTCGCTTCTTTTCAGAGCATACACTTATATAAATTTTATAGCTTCAATTTATGCAAGCTTGTGTTTTTATTCAAAGCAAAGTGAAATGTCTATTATTAATATATTTCTCACCATATCGCTACGTAAAATTATTTAAATTTTATTTAAACATCAAACTTAACAGAAAGAAATTCTTACTTATTTGATTTTATAAAGCATAGAGAGTAGAAAATTTAAATATATAAAAGCTTTAACTTATTCAATTAATATACACTTTTGTTCAACATATGAATTCTATAAACTAATTTTAAATATAGAATTTATAATATGCTCAACTGACTTCGACATTAGATACACTACGAAGGATTACTTAGCTAAAAAGAGTTCTAAGCATGACTATTTTTTTATCACTCTAAAAATAGTGGTTATATTTGTTATAAAATTTGGAAGCTATAAAATTTTACCTTTTTTTGGATTCTTTTTCAACTTGATCAAGCTAATTTATCTGTATATATATCATCCGTTCTAGAATTTTAAAATATAATAAATTGAGTTTAGTCTTACTTTGACGAATGTAGGAATTTCATTTATCATGTTAGGAGAATTTAATAACTATAAAACAGATTTTATATTTGGTTTGTTAGTTTGTATACCTCTGAGCTATTAAGCTGGATATTACCTTATGACTCATAAATTATTATAAAATAATATAAAAGCACTTACAATTATCCACACTTAAAAAGGGGTGTAAAAAACAGTTAAATAATTGGAGAGAATAGATTTATTTTTAAGATATGTAGCTTATAATGTGAGTACTAATTTGTCTCATTATCTGGAATCTCCTAACTCGCTAATTTTAGAAAAAATCGTTACAGAGCATCACTTAAATTGTGAAGAATATCCTCACTGCTTTTGCAGAAAATATGTAAATTATTTTTATGGAGCCTTTTTAACTATTGTTTAATGAAAAGTAAGATGAAGAAATTACTAAAAATGACTTCGTTGGCGATAACATTAGAAAATAATACTTAGAGTATTATATTAGAAATACCTATATTTCAGAATGCAAGTTGCTGAAGAATCAATCAAGTGATTTTCTTTTTAGTTATTATGCGTTTATGATTAACTGGACTAAAAATTAGACAACATCCTTTAGAGAAATTCTTTCACACAAAGAAAAATACTCCAAGCGAATTACTCTAAGATAAAAAATGTTGCTGAAATATATTTTTAATTTGGCTTCTTAGTAGTTTGAATTGGAGGCACAAAGGATATATTAAAAAACACATGGGTAGCTCTTGGATATTATTTCATTTGATGAAAATTTAGAAGATGCATCTTCATAGTATCGTCAGTGCCTCAAGGAAAAATAAGAATTATTACTAATAATGTGTAAGGACTATATAAATTTAAATTAATTAGAAAAATAAGCCTTGAAACTGTAGGAAAGAAGGACAAGACTGCAAGATGATTTAGTTAGATTATTTTAAGTCAACAGCACAAGTCTTTCGTTGCTTAGTTTATGTGAAGGCTTTGAAGAATGCCTTACGATAGAACCTATATTTAGGATGATGTATTTAAATAAAATTAAATTGGGCTAGAAAAAAAATCGTATACCTTATTACTAAGATGATTCCTGTGCTATTTTTATTTCATTGCTTAATGATATTGGAAAAATACTTAAAGTATCAAAAAATTTCAAAGATGTAGTACCTATTGTAAAGAAGAACTCTGATGCAATAGGCAGAAATGTGAACTTTTTAATGAATGAAGAAATAGCTATTGTCCATGATGCAATATTGCTTCATTGTGTTTAAAAAAAGCTAGTTAATTAAGACATGAAACATTATCCTACTATTATTGGAATAGATTCTGATGGCTGGTCAATTCCTTACAGCTTTAAGGTCTAGCTTTGCATGCTAAGCGATAAGTAACTAGGTGCTTGTGGATGGTTAAAATAAATAGTTGACGGAAATTTATATGTAACTACCTCACCTATTACTGAAAATTATAGATTTAATGTCTTTGATGAAAAGTTCTTCAACATTCTTTTCAAGGGAAACTTTACTTAAAATGAAGCTAAGAAGATTAGATTAGGGTTATTAATGCCAATAATGAAGCATCTTGCTTAAAAAGGTTCACCTGGATCATCTTATGAAACTATAATCATTAAACCCATCAACATTAGTGAAGCTAGTATAGAAAGAGACATTTATGATCCAAATATCATATAAGACCTTACTCATCTTAATCTATATTAAATACGCTTTACCTACTATCCAGTTAACACTCACTATGTTTAATTTGTAGCATTTTAAGTTTATCATTTAAAACCGCTGTATGACGTTAATTAAAAGAGAGAAGCAATTAAAAATTTTAGGATTTAAATTTAAGAATATGCTGATGCTGAGGTAATTAAATAAAAACTAGTAAATTAGCAAAATAAATTAATAGAGATAAGAGAAACTTCAAAAGATAATTTTGGGTCCATAGATAGTTCTATGCTAGGAATAAATTCTCTCTCTTATATTGAAGATAATTTGGTGTCAATGTAAAAAAGGACAGATGGCAGAGGTACACGAAAGGAATCTTTGGTAATAACTCCTAGAAACTTCTAAATGGATCTTTAGTAAAAATATGTAAAAGCTAGTTAACAAAACATTTAAAATGATTCTGAGTCTTAATATTACGATACTCCCAGAGATCTTACAAGCTTGTAGGATGTCAATAGTTAAAAAAGGTAAATAGAAGAGGAGTACTTTAAAGTAGAAAATAATAGGGTAAAATAATTAAATAATGGTTATGCTAAAGGGAAACCCCCTACTGTTAAGAGTGAATAAATGATTGTAAATCAATTGTTGACTTAAAATTAAAATGCTCAATTAATGCAAGGATAACCAGGTATTCTAATGTAAGAAGCTCCCTTAAAAGCTTTAAATGGCTTTAGAGATTAAAAATTAATTTTAAATACAAATTTGAATGATTTCTAAAATATTGATAGTGCAAATTAGTAGCATATTATGAGTGATTCTACTTACTTTTCACCTGCATCATCACAAAGAAAAGCACTTATATTCCCTGATACTTAAAGACAATATAACACTGATGCTATTATATATGATACAGCAATCTAAGAAAACACTGCTGCAGAAAATGGAGATGAAGAAGGCTATTAAAACGATAATCCAAGGAAAAGAGTATCTTCATTTAAAAATAGCATGTATTCTTAGAGCAGAAAAAAAAATGTATCAATTCAAGAAAACTTACCAATCATGAAAAACAATATAAATTTAGAATAAATTATTTCTAACTCTAATGATGTAGTAGATTAGGATTTAGAATTTGAAGATTAAAACTCATAAGAGCTTTCAAATTAAGCTTAAGAAGATTTAGAAGAAGAAACTTAAAATAAATTTAAAGAAGGAGAAAGAGATAGTACTAAAACTGGAAAGACATCTAAATCTTCTGTTAGGTTTAATTTTAATATTCCTCAATTATTTATTTATAAATTAATTATTTAAAAAGAATTTCAATTTTTTTAGAGAAAAAAAACAAATATTTTAAGCAGAAATCTCACTGAATAGCATTTAAATATTATAGTAACTTGATAATTATAACCCCAAATAATATTTAAAATATTTAGAATATTTTAATAAATTTTGATATTATTGTTTAAATTTTTTATATTTTACGATTACTGGGTTTGAGTGAATAATAAATACAAAGCAAACTAAAATTTCAATTTAACAAAATAAAAATTTACTAAATTATTTTTTGTTTTTAATTAAAATAATAAATTTTTATTATAAATAAAAAAGATAACATATGCTAAACACAATACGATCAAAAAAATTCTCTAATAGCTTAAGAGCTACAAACATGATAGGAGTGGTCTCAATAATTATAATTTTCAGTCTTAATATTATTAGCTTTTTCATTTAGTATGATGATTTGCTAAATCAATAAAGCAATTTCCAAAAAATATTTTGGATTTACTAAGAAAAAAAATATTTATCTTTAATGTTTGCAAATCAAGGAATTTAAAATAGTTTTGATACAGGCTTAATAAGCTATGCTAATAAATCTGACTTATAACAATTAGGATAAACTCTCAAATATTTTTCTAATTATACATATATTTCTTACTATGAATATATGAGAATGGCTACATAAGTAACAAATAGGCCTGTTTATGTCTTTGAAGTTATGAATTCATACGACATACAAGTTCTGATACTTGATTCAATTTACCATACAAAATTTGCAGTAAAAGTAAATTTTTACTACGAAATGCTCTACTTTATAAATTTTTTGAATGTAATGATGTACAATAAATATGATGGTGGGTATTCTTAAGAATCTATGTACGCCAATTATCAATATATATTTATGTCTCTTGAAGATGTTTATAGAATGAATCTCAAAAATTTCAATTCTTAAATAAATGAAACAAAATTGCTTTTAACTATTTAGCTAGTTCTCATATCTGTTGTAACTGGATTGTTTGCACTTTTAATGATACCTGTTCATATTCATAGCTAAAATTAAAAAGAAGAGATATTGAAATTGTTTGCAACAATAGCTCCTGATAAAATTATCTATATGATGCAGTCAATAAGCATGCATTTAGACTAGCAAGAAAGGATTGAATTATAAAAATAAAAAATGAGGTCTTCAAGATTCTAAGAAAAATAATTCCTTTAATCAGCAAGATAGTATGGAACTGGTATTTAAATTAGAATGAGCTAGTCAAATAGGGCTAGTGTTTACTCTAAAAATTATGAAAATATTTAAAAAAGTTTGATAAATTTAAAGAAAAAAAACACAAGCTCAACAAACAACATACCTAAAATATCAAGAAAGTTTCTTTTAGGATTATTTTTTGGCTTAATCAGCATGCAATTTTATGGAGTCAGTAAATTTATTCTAGGCAGCTTAGAAATAGATGATTTTTAAACACAGATAAATTTCTTAGGTAAAATTTTAAACAGCTTCAAACAAACTTTTTCAAATTTCTTTTAATTAACTTAATAAATTTTATTATATTAGCATCATTCGATATGTTCTTTGACAATATTGCAAGCTAGATTAATGCAAGATACAATTTAATTCCAGGAATTGATAATTAATACATACCCTTAGAAACTAAATAAAATTATTTAGATTTTTCTTCTGGTTTTTAGCAAGCAGGACCTCAAAAATTGAATTTGTTATTGAATCAATTTTAGAACTATGAAAACTTTTCTGGAAGTTAGAAATAGAAATATCAAAACTTTTTATAACCTCTTTTTAAAAGTAATGTTTGTGATGTAATTTAAAATTCTCCACAAAGCTATATAGAAAATTTAGAATTTAATGTAAGTTAATGCTAAAATCTCTTAGGAGGAGTATTTTAGCAAGGTCTGTTTGTAGTGGCACAAAAATATATGGAAATTTATAACAACTTTATGGAAGGAGTAGTAAATTTAGACGTAAATTAAGCTCAAGCTACAATGGAGAATATGTATTAGACATTAAATCTAAACGATGAGTTCAATTTTTCAATTTAAATAATGATGACTACTAAAATTGTTCACAACTTCTTTTAAGATATTTACTCAATTGATTTTAATTAGAATTTAATGATATCAGTCATTCTTTTAGTAGTTTAGTTAGTTATCTTGCTATTTGTTTTGCTAGTTGGATGGAGAATTTATTACAAAGGAATAGGTACATAGTTCTATTAAACTAAATAATTGTTAGACTTAATTGATCTAACTATCTTACTAGAAAGTCCGTATGTAGTATCATATTTTAAGAAGAATACTTGAAATTGTTTATAAAATTTATTGTATATACCTTAAAAATTAGAAGTTTTATAATTAATTAATGTAAAAATATACTTTTTTTTAAAAAAAATAATTTCTCTAATTTTAAACTTTTTTTAGCAAAATTCTTAGCCTAATTATTTTTAATTTAATACATTTTTATGATTTTTATTAACTATAATCATAGCAAAAAAAAATAAGGAAAAATGAAGATTGATTAGATGGTTTTAAAATAACTCAACTAATTATTAATATAAAATTTTCATGATACAATAAATTAATATATTAAAACTCACTAAATAAATTAAATGGTTTTTTTCTTAGAAATATAAATTTAGGATTCATTTAATAACAAAAAAATTTAATAAACTCATAATTAATGTTAATGCTATAATTAATAATTAAGAGTCGTTAAAATCTAAAAAGCATGTTAAAAAATACTTATTTATCAAATTTTATTGAGCATATTAATTATTAGATAGCAAAGGATTGTATAATTCAAATAAAAATTCTCCTTTAATTCATTATTATTTATTTTATTAAATGGCAAGTTTAAAAAATAAATTAGTATGGGTTTTTTAAATAAGCAAATTAAAGTGTTAGTTGATAGAAATATAAATAAATAATCATTCATTTAACAAAATTTAAGTCAAAAAAAATCTTAAGTAACTGCTAATTGTATAAATTAATAAAAATTGCTTCTTAAAAACCATTTAAAAAAACAATTTACTTACTTATTATTTTTTAAAAATATGATTGAAAAAATTTAATAAGTAGAATGTTTATTTATTTATTTATTTTTGTTTTTGACAAAGTTTAATAAACGTAAGTAATTTAAATTAAATATCAAGCAAATTTAAATAAATTATTCAAAGTGAAAGTTGTAGAAGTAGAAGAAATGAAATAAAAAGCAACATTTTTTATAATTTAATATTTTACTGATAGGAGCTATTTGCTAATTGCGAAAGGTTAAAGTAGTAAGATAGTCAGTTTAAGCTTACTAATTATTAGGTAGATTAGTTTTTTGGTTAGATTATATTCAAGTTTTTTAGCATATGTTAGCATCTCTTATGATTCTAATTACAAATAGTAAGACAATCAAATATACTTTTTATTTAATGAATCATCAAGAGATATCTTAGGGAGCATAAGTTTAATCCTTTTCCTTTGTATAAATATACTGCTTTTTGCTTGTTTAGTTTATGATATTATTTTATTTTAGTATAACAAGACTTTTAGAGGTAGTGGATTAGTTAAATTTTTTTTTAAATCCTACAACTATCTTTGTTTTCCAGTAGGTTTAGTTGTGAGCTTTCTATATTCACCTTCTTTTTACTAGTACTTGAGCATTCTGAACATTATTTTATCTATAGTTTTAAGTATTTTTAAAAATTTAGTCATTTAATTTAAAATTTTTTTTTTATAGGTTAGATTGTCTCTTTATTAGATTATGACTATAGCTTTTATATGACTGATTGCTTAGCAAAAAGATTTAGCAAGTTAAATCCTTTTATAAAATTATTAGATTTTTTATCTATAGCTTTGCTATCATAAAATTCAAAAAGTATTTTCATTTTTGGGGTTATATTCTCATTATTTTCTCAATCATCCTAGTTAATATTCATGCATTATAAGAATTTATATTTGCACGAATGGGCAAGATTGTTAATTTCATAGTTTTCAGTATTAAATATAAATCTGCTTATAAACAGTTTGTATTATATTTCAAGCAATAGTTCTCCAAATATTGCTACTATTTTTATTCTCTTTACTCTATCTTTAAAAATAGGGTTTGTGTTAAATACCTTAATCGATTATTAAATGATCAATACTATTAGTAATGATATAAAATAATAATACATTCTTAGAAAAGATTACAGAAATTTAATAAAACTTGATAAATTTTTAAGACTAATTAATTAATAAAACTCAACATACTACTATGAGTATATAAAGGAGTATTTATCCCAATAGATAGAAAATGCTTTCGTAAGCCATTTGATTCAATGTAAACTTAGATCAAATTGCTTTTGCTAAAATGTAAATAATAATTACCTTTTTTATACTTTTACATTTTATTCACCATGACATTTTTCACTTTAAATCTATTTTTTAATAATAAATTTTAAAATCTTTTTGATATTGACAAATCAGATAAAATCTGAATTTTTATTAATTATTTCATTCAATATAAAATTAATTAATTATTATTATCTTTCAAAAAAATTATTTAAATGAAAAATATTTTTCAAATAGTAGCTATGGAGAATGTTTTTCTTAATTGAAAATATCGACTTTAAATTAAATTATTTTATTTATCTAAATAATTTGAATAAATTATTTAAATGAGTTTTTTAACATTAAAAAAACCATAAAAAGAAATAAATAAGATTTTATTTAATTTTTTAAAAATAAATTTGAATAGTTGGAGTATGACTAAGATTAGGAAAACAGAATATCATATCTTTTAAATGAAAAGAATAGAGAAAATATTCTATAACTTACTTACAGTATTCTAAGGTTTCATATTTAAGAGTCTCCAAACGATTTAAGTGACTTTTAAATAAGCTACTACTACTATGTTGAAGATGTAATGGAAAACATGAATCAATCAATAACTGAATTATATCAACTATAAAAGTGCTTTTAAAAATTTAATCCGTTTGAGATATAAATTGTAAGAAGATTGATTGATCAAGTAAGAAATAAAGTGGAAAAAGAAGAGTAAAAAAAAATCAAAAGCATATCAGAAGAGTCTTCAAATTAACTAAAACTTAACAAAATAAATTTTTTAAATGTAATAAAATTTGATGAAAAACTATCAATAGCTTACAGCTAATTTTTAAATTGTTTAATTTAAAAAAGAAAAATTTTATCAACCATCAACTAAGATATTGTAAATTTGGATTCTTTTGAAAATTAAGCATCATAACTTATTAAAGATAGAGATATTCTCAAATCTTCTATTGACTAATTAGTTAAATAAAATAGCTCTTAAAACTAATTATTGAGGCTTTGCAAAATTTTTGATTTTGTTTTAGATATAGATGACTTTTTTTAGAGAAAGATTTAGTTTTTAATTCAATTTAATCTTTAAACTGTAATACCTTTTTACTCTTTAGAATAAGGAGCTGTATATGTCTCACTTATAAATTTAGGAATAATAAAAAAGGTATCTAAAAATTTTGATAAGGTTGTTTAGCTTCTAACTAACAAAGAATATATAGGAAAAAATATTAACTTTATACAACCAGATGCATTAGCTTAACATCATGATAGCATCATAAAAAATTGTATTTAAAGTAAAGTTATTTCTAAATAAATTACTAACTATCCGCTGTTAATTGGTAAAGATAAGAATAACTGGGCAGTTCCTTACTCTATAAAGATGCAGATAACTATGATCGGATTAGAAGATTTTGGAGTATGTAGCATAATTTAGCAAATAAAGGACTCTTCTTACTATTTGATGACAACAGCTGATCTAGGCTTCAAAAGTTTAATCATGAGTTAGTCATTTTATTAAAAAATATTTTCGACTTGCTATAGACCAATAGAGTTAAATAATATTAAATTCAGTCATGTTATTCCTATTTTGGGAAGTTTATTTGATAATAACAATGAAAGTTCTGAATTTTAGACCATATTAATCAAACCTCTCTTCAAAGAACAAATAAAAAATCCTATTTAGATTTTAAACAATCCTTTACTGTTCTAGCAGCTAATGGATTTAGATATTCATTTAATTCAAGGAAAATACATTCATATTTAAAATACATACATTTCTTTTATTTATATTGTCATTTTTTCTTGTGAGCCTGTAACATATTTGAGTTCTAAAAAGGAAGCTTTAAAGGAATTTAGGAAGGAAATTTAAGTCAATTACTAAACTGATATGTATAATGATGTTAATATAGATTTTATCTAACCAGAATTTTCAGCGACTAAGGACGAATAAGAAGAGTATCAAATAAATCATTTTTACAACTTAACGAAATTAACAATGTTTAAAAAACGGTTAGAAAATATAACATATGCTTCTAGGCTACAAAAAATTATTAGGTAAAACAGATTAAAGATTAAACAGATGTATAAAGCTTAGTAAGAACTTGCTTTGTAATAATCTCAATTCTCTGATTCATATTTTAAAATCCATGATTTTGATAACCAGTTTTCAAAAATGGATGAAATATAAGAAATTGAAGCATGTAATTTAAGTAGTATTAACAATAGTAATTTATTAAAGAGTTCTAGTAGCAATAATTTATTGCTTAGTAATAGGAAAAATTCCACCTCCGTTGACTAACAGAGCTTTAATTAACAAGCTTCGAAATCTTCAAATTGGAAAAACGTTTTATATGGCATAGAACAACTAATTTTTGATAGCCAAAAATAAGAAAAACTAATATTTGCTGAAAAAAAAATGAGGCAACTAAAAAATAAAAATTTTATTCTCAAGAATATGCCAATAGATTAAAATAAATATGCTAAGCTTGATGATGATGACAAAATAGAGTAAGAATAAGAAAGCAATTCTTCTATTGATGTCAGTGATTTGTTTAACTAAAATGAAAAAAATGACAAGTATGCTGAAGGAAGTGTTAACAACTCAATAGGGAAAAAGAAACAGCAAAAGTAAATAAAATTTAATTGTTTTTTATTTTTAATATTTTTAATGTTTTATAAATTAAAATTTTTATTTAAAAAGAGATTAACTTGTCGCTTCAATATATTAGAAAAAGTAAGTGCCAAAAATTTTTTATAGTGGCTATTTATTAGATTTGGTTTTGTTAGCACTTGTCATAGTTTCTACTTCTATGAGCTATGTTGATTAAAAAAACTTTGTTTAAGAATACTAAAATAGAGATAAAATCTTTACAGATATTATCAATTTCAAAAAATTAATACATGATTAAATAGCAAATATATTTATAGAAGATGGTTTTTTTAAAGATTACTTTTAATTGAGCGGTACTGATTTTTAAAATCAGTTTTTAACTAGTATAGCTAATGCTCAAACTGATAATATAAAGCAATATAAGACTATTTTAGAAAATCTATTTATAAATTATTAAAATGAAATCTATATAGATGAAGTGTTATCTTATGAAACTAACTACAATACTCTTAGTTAAATTTAAAACAATATTTCCGCTTAATAAATAAATAACACTTACTTATTATTAAATTTAATTACCTTTTAATCAATTTTTACAATGTTTGAACTGCCAGTAAATCTTGATAGCAACATCTATCAAAATGAATTAAGAGTAAATTAAATTTAAATTACAGAATAAATTGCTAATATATTTAACCAATTAGACTCAGATTAAATTACTTAATTTTAATCGTAAAGTTAAATATATTTGATTTTTATTTATCTTCTAACTATCTTTCTCTTCTTTTACAACATACTCTTGGTATATTTTTATTCACTTTGCTTCTCTTTAAAGTAAGAGGTTTTGTCACTTTTTGCTACAATTAACCTTAAAAAAATAGATGAGATGACATTCAAAACAAAGATATTGATAAAATACATTCAAGAATTAAAATTAAAAAACAAATTACTATAAATGAATGATTAAGAAAATGAAAGCTTTTTGAATTTTGTTTTTAGAGATGAAAATAAAAATAATATAAAGAAAAAGAATATAAGCTCTACTGTTTATAAATCAAATTTAACTATTCAAAAAGTTTTAATAGGATTGTTTTTTTCAGGACTAATTTTAATTGAACCAATATTAGACTATTATTTCATTTAAATATAAGTCAACTCTATCGACATTGATGGAACTCTAATTAGTAAATTTAGCATTTAAAATATTTTTATTTATTTATTTTTTTAATTTTAATTTTAATTTAAGAAAAAATTTAACAATTGTTTCTCAAAAATCTATAAAAAATAAGAAAAATTTCAGTTAAAAGAGTTAAAAAGCTAATATAATTTTTTAATTTTAAATAAAAGGAGAGTCTTAAAAGCTGATATCTGTATTTTCTAATTTTAACCAGCATAAATTTACTTATTTATTCTATGAAATTGGCTCATAAGAATATACATTTAACTATACATAGAGTTATTAACAATAGCTTCTAACTCAATACTACGATGATATTAAAACTTAAATGGGTAGTTTCATGTAGTCATATTAAAAATTTTCAGATTCTAGCTTTATGAGGTAAAAGATTAATAATATAACTTATCTGATAGACTCAAGTATGTGCGACTAGCTATAGCTCTATTCTTCTATTTTATTACAATATAACTAAACAGATTTCACTTAATGTGTATGGCTCTATGAAGCCACATAAAATAGTGGATTCTATATTTCCACTAAAAGATATTCGGATGTTCAACTTTAGTTATTAAATTAATTTAATAGTAATCTAACAGCTTAGTAACAATAAGCGTATCTTGATAAATATTTCCAGCAAAATTCTATTTCTGACTAATATTATGAGTTAAAAATTCTAGATTAAATATCTTAAATTATAGTATATCTAATCAGATCCCAATAATAAAATCTCTTTGATACTATTAACTTAATTATAATAATGTCAACCGTCTTTTAACTGCTATTAGTAATAAATGTCTCTTATTTCATTGTAAAGCATATGTTTCAAAAACTTCAAAATCAATATTTGAATGTTAGAAAATTTTTGACTCTGATAGAATACGATATAATTGTTGAAAATCCATACTTTATCTCATATTTAAAGAAAGAAATTTGAAAAACAAATAAAAATATCAACCATAAAACAAAATAAATAGCATTTTCTTCTGTTTTAAAAGAAAATAGTTTAAAAACCAAAAATAAATGAAAAATTCAAAAGAAAAAAGAAAATATTGTAAATAAAATAAATTTTTATTATTATTAAGAGAATAAAAATGTATTTTATAAATTTATATTTAATATTTTGATTTTAAGATTAAATAAATTCCTCAATCAATCAATCACTCACTAAATAAAATCATTTTTACTTCTTTTTAATTAGTAAGTAAAATATAATTTTTAAAACAAGTCAAATAAATTTCAGAATCATCAAAATCAAAATTTTTTTGGTTTATCTAAAATAATATCTGCTTTTTTTTTAATTTCTTTAAAAGATTAATAACCAATTAAAAAATTAGTTTATTAAAAGTTTTCTGGGTATCTTTTCCTTTTTTTTAAATGAAACTCGAACACCCATCTAAATATTAAGAATCAGCCAAAATAATTAGATAATTATTTAAATATAAATAAATCTAAAAATAGTACCTATTTTTCAAGTATAATTATTTCTAAATAATTTTTATTTTATGCTAGAATTCATATATTAAATATCATAATTATAAAAATACTAATAAGCTCTAAAATAATATTTATTTAAATAATTTTATCATTTAACATTTAAATATTAGTATGATAACATCATCCTATTTTTATACTTTAAATATTAAGAAAATTCTTTCAAGTGGTTCTAACTATACTTTTCAATACTAGCTATCTTATAAATATTAAGTACTATTAAATATTTCTAAATTACTAAGTTAATAGTTTACAGGAGATATACTTGTATTTTATTTTAAATTATCCTATAAAAAGAAATTTAATTTTAGATTTTTTAATGCTTTTTATGCCCTATTTCAAAAAAAAGATTTTATTGAATAAATAAGTATTAGGTAGAATTATTGTAATAATTACTCATTTGATTTATATTAAATAATAAGAAATTAAGTTATACATGAAATTTCAAATAATAAATGCTATTAAAAGTAAATATAAATTAATTTGATTAAGTTTCGGATGATAATTGAAATCATAAATTAATTAATTTTAATTTTTGTTAAATTTAGATAAGATAAAAGAATATATTTATAGTAAGGAAAGTAAATATAAAAAATCAATAAATTACAATGAACAAAGTTATTTCAGGCATAAATTATAGAATTAAAACTTATTACTTAGAGCATTTTTGTCCTACTATTCATGTATTTTAGACTACACAGCTAATTGGTGCTATTTTAATTCTTATAAGCTTTTATTGGAACTTATGTTTCCTCATATCTAAGTAGTCTCTTTAAATGATGTAAAGCGTTGATTAAAATATTCCAGATTTGAGATCAATTTCTTTTTTGAACCCTCAAGTAAATTCTATTAATGTGATTTATGCTGGAATAGCTTTAAATTTTTCATTATTTATATGCTTGATTATAGATGGAATACTATTTACTTACTAACAAAAACTGAACAATTTCTTAAAAAGTTTTCATAGAAAAATGCAGCTTTATATTAGCTTTATTGCTCAAATATACAACTATGTCATATTTATTCCGTTAGTGTATCATACTTTGCTTCAATATGATTTGTATTATATCTCATGCATCTCATTTATTAGCTGTATTCTTATAAGTAATCTTTCTTTCTTTTTTATATAAAAAGATGTTTTTAACTGAAATAATTGTTAGAAGAAAATTTAACTCTTTAATTCCACAGTCTGTGAATTTTATGCATTGATTACAATTTTTTTAATAAAAACTGAACAAAAGGTTTTTAATCATTCTTTAATATCTAAATATAAACGATTTTTGTCATAAATGCATAATTACACTACATAATTTACATAATATTATCTATTTTAATTTTATAATTATTGAACATACTTTAATTATTAAAATAATAATAGGTACTGCAATCAGTTTACATAATTAAAGTTATGGCTTCTCTAACTAGCATACTCTAGGTTTTAGAACTCCTTTTGTTTGGTAATTTTGCTTGCGCTTCTTGGAAGTTATAAATTGCATTTTTTTATCTTTTGTAAATGAATTAACGGGTCTTATTATTGTCAATTTCATATTAGCAATATATTAGCTTATTTATCTGTCATTTGGATGTTTTTTAAATAGAATAAAAACTCTTTTTTGGATGGTGTTTTTTAACTGTTTGTATTTGTTTCTTGCTATTACTTTATTTATTGGCGATGTTAATAACCAATAAATATCTATGATCCTACTAGCTCTAATAGTTATTCCTATATCCTATTCGATTACATAGATTATCTCTAAAAAGGATTTAGATTTTGAAGTACTTAAATAAAATAAAGATAAATATAATCCTAAGAAAGATTTTTTAATTCGTCAACTCCTACTACTTTCAAAGCTAGATTACGAAGATTATAGGACTAGCTCTTTATCTCAGTTTCATGAAATCATTTCATTAGATCACATTATCAACTGCACTTAATATCCTAAATGTTTCTGTTTTGATACTGTAAAATATTTTAAAATTCAAGAATAATCTTACTTAAATTTAATTTATTTTAGTCCATTTATTTATTTTACTAAATTAATTTTAAGATAAATCAATTAGATTAGTATAAATATGAAGATTTTTAATAATCAGTTTTATCTGGAAGATTAAGATTAAAATTTCTAAACTAGTTTATATATGAGCTTTTTAAGAATTTTTGTAGTAATAAAAGACTCTTGAAGAATAGTGGTTATACTATTGATGCCTATTTAAGCTTTATTAATTATTTGATAGATATTAAAAAATCTAAAGTTTAAGTTTTCTGTGAGCTTGTCAAATTGAATTCGAAATAAAACATTTCGTTAAGAGAGAGAGCATTGCTTCAGGAAACATACAAAAAGGCATAAAAAAATTTCGATAATCAAACAATCGCTTAAACTTAAATCCATGCTAAAAAAGTAGATAAAGAATAATAAATTTAGTAAAATGTAGTCTATGAAAAAACAAGGGGAAGTTCAAAAAAGTCATTTGTCTCAGTTGAGTTGAGAGATTATTTATGTGGAATTAAATTTGATGAAGGACTTAATTCGCTCTAATAACTTTACGAAAAATGCTTAGCATAAAAAGAAAATATCCTCAAAATGCTCAGCAATGATTTCATAAATTTGAAAGACTTTAAATAAAAAGCTATTGAATATTACAATAATAGATTATTATTATAAAATACTCTAAAAAATCTAAGCAGAATTCATTATAATAGTTAAAAGCTTTAATTCTTTATGGATAGATATGTGTAAATAATGGCTTTCGGATAAAGAAAAAAAGATATTTTTAAAAATTACAAAAAGAATAAATAAAATTTCAATGAGTTTAACTCTGAATCTAGCAACATTATTTTAAAGATGTTTAACAAAGTAGATTAAAAAATTTTTGATAAAGATAATTGTGTAATATTTATTACATTGATTGATGATATTGGTACGATTAAAAGATCGCAAAGTAAATTTGAACCAATGTTTGGCTATTCCCTTAAAGAAGCTCTAGGAAAAAATATTTCTATTATTTTACCAAACTAAATAGCTCCCTTTCATAATGCTATTCTATAAGATTTTGTGGATGAGTAATTATAGTATGATGAAAGCTCAAATAACCTAAGAAATAAATATAGCAATACGAAGTCTTTGTTATTAGCTAAAAATTAAGATGGATGGGCAGTTCCAATTTCAATTGTTTTTAAAACTGATAACATAGGTTTAGAAGATTGCGGACTAACAACTCATATTATCAAATTAAAATCTGATTCTGCATTTATAATGACGTCAGTTTAATAATTCTAAATTTAATTAATTTCTGAAATTTTGTTTGACAGATTATTTAATCGATTTATAAACAACCAATCAGATTTAAGAAGAATTTATTTAAATAAAATAATCCCTTTGCTGCATTATTTTGAAAAGAAATGGGTAAAAATATAAGAAACTACTGACTCAGATATCCATAAGGATTTTGTAAAGACAATAGCATTTCTCCCAAAATATGATCAAAAGATTAATTCCTTCAAAACTAATTCATTATCAACAACAAATACTTTTGGATTAGCAAATACAAGGAAGAAAAGATCTTTTATATTTGAAGCTATGGAATATTCGCAGCTGGATAATGAAATAAAAAATTACAGTGTAGAAAGTATGGATGTTTTTTCTGTGTAGATTAAATTTACTCATACAACCAATAAGTACTTTTCTTATAATGTAATTGAGATAGCTTCCTTTAGAAAGCTGCTAGATACTTAGGAAATAAAAGAGTGTCTTTAGACTTTTTCAGGCATGATGAAATCTCTTCTTGATATTTCTTATCCTTTATAAAGAGAATATGCTAAGTTAGACATGTTAAATTAAAGCTAAATTTAATTGCAAAGCTCATATTCAAGTATGATTTTATTTTATTTGTTAAAAAAAATTTATTATTATTATTATTTTATTTTATTTAGGAGAGTAAAGCGCGAATCACACTCTTTAAATGTAAAGAGTTAAAAAGCCATATTAATAGTTGGAAGAAATCTTAGATCGCTCAGAATTAAAGCAAGAAGAAGAGATTTAATCTTAGTAAAATATTAAGAATGTAAATAATAATGAATAAGGTAATGAAAATAATAATGAATAAAATGATGATAAAACTCCTAAAGATCAGAGTATCTACTTAGATCTTAAGAAACTAAAATTAGAAGTGAGAGATTTATCAAATTAGCATATACAAAGTAGTAGTAGGATGGATTTAGACTATCAACACAATTAAAGTTTTATCAATTCAAGTTCTAATTTTTTTGATTAAAGTTAATTTATTGACTAGTAAAATAGAACTTCCAAAAATCATTAAATACTACAATTATAAAATATGGACAATAAAAACTCTTCCTACACAAAAATTCCAAATATTTAAGAGACAAATATAAATCATATAGATGCAAATTAATATGTTTAAACTTTATAAAGCTTAAATAAAATAGCTGTTAAAGAGTTTGAAAAAGCAGAAGAGTTTAATCATTTCTCAGCTAAAGATTCAACTTATTATAACACAGAATTATAAACTAACGCATAAAATATCAATACTACAGATAGAATTTATGATACTTAAGGATAAGGGTAGGATTAAGGAAAATTAGAAAAGCTACTGTTTGAACATAAAAGTTCATTTTAAGAGATTTCAGTTAACAAATAGAAATCTCAAAATCAAATTTAAAACTCTAAAAATATGACAACATCTTTGCAAATGAAGATGAGTGAAAAAAAAAATTAGCAAGACAACTTAATGATGCATGCAAAGTAAATTGGAGTAAGTAAGAACTAATAAGATAATAATCAAAAATTAAATAAAAGATTTTCAGAGTAGACATTTAAAAAAACAGGTACTATCTATAGCAAAAATCAGGAATATAATTTTGGTCAAAACTCAAGTTTCGAGAAAAAGAATTCAAAAGCACAACAGGATCTAGATATTTACTAAAACAAGTGGATTTATGAAAATGAATTTGAAGGAGAAGATATCCTTAAAAAACGCTAAAACAATAATGGTAATGGATCCTATTCTTCTAGTGATGACTATTACTACAAATATGAAAAAAAGAAATCTAATTTAGTTGCTACAAGCTCTATTCATACTTCAAAAAGCCACAACTATGAATAAAAAAGGAACTTAAAAGCTTCAATCACTTCTAAAAGGAAGAATTTTCTCATGATTGCATTAACTTTGTTTGGATTGTGTTCAGTCTCTGTAGTGGTAGCTCTGACTCTATTCTAATATTTTAATATACTAAATTAATTCTCTCTGGCTTAAACATGTTTTTAATTTTTACCTTGGCCTATGAGCATTCGTGGTAGCTATGTAATAACTATGTAATAGGAATCTATAATATCGCTTATTAATCACAATACATTTCAAGGTATTTAAGATAATAATTATTTGCAAACTTCAATTTAAACTCTAAACGATGCAACTAAAAGTTTAGTTTAATTATTCTATTAATATCAATCTTCCGATTAAACAAGAATGACATTTTTCAATTATTTAAATGAAAATTAATTGCATTTAGTTACAAGCATAGATGATAGACTATCTAAAAATCCAGAAACATATAACCCTGCTGAAAAAGATATCAGAAATGTTACTGTAGCATATTTTATTTAGGCAATTTGTGGTTATTTTAATTAAATCTCTCACTAAATATAAAATACTTTATATTATCAGAAGATATAAACAGACAATTTTATTGATTTCAACAACCACTTAGTTAAATTGCAATCGTAAATATAAGATGATGCTACAAGCATAATTAATTCCATATAGTAGTAAGTGTTAATATTACTCATACTCGTCATTGTTTTAGCAATAATTCTAATAGGCGCTATTTTCCCAATATATTACTTTGTTCAAATTTAGAATGAGTTAATTTTAAAATTATTTGCAACCATTCAGCCTGAGCATCTTAAAGCAATGATGATTCCAATTTAACTTGCACAATCTGAAGAAAAATCAAGCAAATTCAAGATATTACCTGAAAATTTTAAAAAGAAGAAAACTATATCTAGTACAAGCGTACTACCTAAATTCAAACCAATTTTTGTAGTCTACTGTTTGATATCATTTGCTATCTTAATAATCCAGCCAATAACAAATTATATTTTAAATCATGCATTTTAGCAAGAGACCTTCCTAAACATAGATTTATTATGTAAATTTTATTATTAAATAAATTAAATTACTTAATTAAATTTTTTTAAATGTAATAAATTAGTGAATCTTTATGATCTTAAAGCAAATTTTATAAGTAGTGTTGCAGTATTTTTTTCAGTAATTGGTGATCAAATGGAATTAGGAATTTAATTGTATAATATTAATTATTACTAAACAAGAATGGGATAGCTTATCAATACAAATTAGTAAAAGTTAGACTAAATGTACTCTACTATGAGCAGTAGTTATGCATAGTCGCGCTACTAGTAATCTTACTATGATAACTTCTTATACAAAATCATCTAAGATAATATGTGCTAAGCATACTAAAATTATCCTTAATTTATTTCACAAGAGGATTAAATTGATCAAAAGGTTTGTAACTCAATTTATAATGGATCACTCCAAAAGGGATTTGAATTTAGTGTAAAGTTGTTTTTATCTAGTTTTGTGGATTTACATCAAATAATTGAAGATAAACCAAACTTTAAAAAAAATATGATTTAATGGGAAAGTGAAAATAAGATTTAAGAATTTAATAAATTTTTTAACATACTATATAATTCTATTAATATAATGAGAGATTTCATGCTATAGATGATGAAAGATTAGCTAGAAATGATGAAAGAAATATAAACAATATTGCTCTTATTTTAGTTATTTGCACTATTTTTTGTTTTCCTTGTTGGCTGGGTAAAATTTTACAACTATGTGACAGAAGAAATGTACTTAGTAAAAAATTTGATAAGCATAATTTCGATTGAAGTTGTTTTGGAAAACCCATACATTATGTCTTATTTAAATCAATGAAATAGAATAAATAAACTTATTATTACATATTTCAAAATAGTTTTTTTAAATTTATTTTAAAAATAAAATGTAAAGATAATTTTTTATCAAAAAAGTATTTTTACTTTAAAATTGTGCTAAATTATGAATTAATTTACAAAAGTATTATTAAACTACTTAATTTAAATATTTTAATCTCAAATTATGTTCTAAGTCAATGTAAGATTATAATATCAATATTGAAAATATATATTTTCATAGCTAATATTATTTAATTAAAATTTCAAATTTTCACATTTCGTTTAATTTCTTATTAATCAATTGTTTTTTACTCAATTCAAATAGTATTTAAACAAATATCAATTTTTTAAGCTTTTTTTTATAACTTATTAATAATTTATTAATCAATAATTTTATTTTATTGATAAATAATTTTTTCTTCTTGATTTCTTAGTAAAATTATTATTTTTTATTTTGATTAAACTAATAAAAATAAATTTTTTAAAAAAATAATTTTATTTCATATATATTTATATATGTGTAAGACTAACATATTTTAGAGTAATAACATACAATCTCATAGCTTAGTAAGTTTACAAAATATAATCATTACATTTTATTAATTTTTTTTAGTTATCTATTAACTTTTGAAATCATCAATAAATACTTTTTAAAATCTGTTTAGATCTTTTTGATAAATCAAATATTTACCACTAAAATAAATTATACTCTTATTTGAAATAAATAAAGTCGAAAATCTTTTGAATTTTTTAACGATTATTAAAGTAAAAATTTATTTATCAACGCAAGTTTTGATAAATTTTGTTTTAAATATTTTAGATTAAGTTTATTAAATTAGTAATAATAAAATCTAATCAAATTTACAAAGTAAATAATGTGATCAAATAATTTAACTATTTTGATAAAAATAATAGATATTTATTAATCAGATTGGCATTCATTAAAATTATATATTTCATTATTTTTGTTAATTTTGTTTTTTAAAAAAATTAAAACAAGTTTAGGTAAAAAAATTTAACACTATAAGAACTATCAGAATGAATAAATTTAAGGCCTATTTATTGAAATATTATTAGTAGTAGATATGCATATCATTTCATAAATTTAACAGGAGGCTTTTATTTAGTTAGTTTTTGCTGTTTATAAGGTTTGCTTGGTAAATGTAGCTTTCATACACAAGCAGTGCAGCAGAAAAGTTAATAACTATAGATCCTAATTTTAGCAACATAAATTATATAGATGGACTAAAGTATATGAATGAACAAACAGATAGTGTTTGCATCTATATTTTGATAAGCGTTAATTGTCTATTGTTTATCTAATTTGCATTAGACATAATATTTTACAAAACACAAAATTTAAAATACAGGACATACAATCATTATAACTAGACCCTACTCAGCTTTTTAATGCAAAACTATAATTACCTATTTTTAATACCTAGTATTTATTTATATGTCAGCTAAATATAAAATAAGATTATCTACATAATACCGCTCTTAATGAGTATCACAATTGGTAAACATTTTCTCCAGTTATTAATACTTTTTATTCATTTTATATTTGCTTTTTTTTATTTTAATTAATATCTCTTTATAAATAGGTGTAACCAGTATAATTCATGACTAAAGATATGAGTTTAGAATGAAAGACTTTCTAGGATGGAGATCTCATTTTTAGTATGGACTTTTGTAATGCCTTTTAGAGATTCTCTCGTGTATTTACCTTGGATTTTTTAAAAATGAAGTTGGATAATCAATAATTACTACTATATTAGGTTTACTATCTCTCTTAATATTAATAAAAGCAAAACCATTTTAACATAGATTAATTAGATAATTTAGCTATTTTTACTCTTGTTACTTTTCCTTATTTACAATCATACTTATGTTTACTTTAATAAAGAATAATAGCTTCGCTTTTTCTTTGATGGCTTTACTTATCTTACCTATATCATTTAAATTATCAAATTTATTAGACCAGTATTAAACATCTTTCACTAAGGTCTTTGAATTTATTTAAGAAAATGATGTTAAAAATTATGATTTTGAATTGAGAACTTTGATTCAAAATATCAAATTAGAGTATGAAGACTATAGATTGAATAGTTTTTCGCTTTTCTTGGACCAACTTTCTATAAGGCATAAATTAAAATGTTCTAAAAAAGAATGCTTTTGTTAATAGACTGTAACCTATATTTTTATTTATTTAATTAATTAAAATTTATAAGATAATTAAATAATTAGGACTCATCTAAAAAAGATTACTAGATTACTGTTATCAGTGGTTAATAAAGAAATTTTTTTTTAGGAGACTTTATCATTAACTGTTATTAAGACTATCTGAAATAAATCGAAGTAAAGAAACAGTAGCTTGATACTTGTTCATGCTTGAGTTACTTGAACTACTTGCTCTTCTCGAATAGATCTAAAGTTCTTGCATTTACCGAGTTAATTAGATATAGAAATCATCCTGAACTCTCTTTGAGGGAGTAATCTCTTATGAGTGAATTATTTAAAACAGCTAATAAGTAGATGCTAAGTAAAGAAAGTAAAAGTTTTAATAATAACTTTCAAAAGAGCAAACATTCAAATATTAATTTTGAATTTTCAAATTTTTTAATTTATTTTCAAAAATGATTAACATAAATTAATTTAAATAGATGATAAAAGCTTTATGGGTGCTATCAAATACGACGAGCTAATAGAAGAAGCTGAAAAATAATTTTAAGAAACAATCAAAATGAAGGAAAAATTTTTAATATTACTGTTTAGTGATTTTATAGAATTAAAAGAACTAAGATAAGATGCTATTAAACTAAAATAGTCTAGAGATTAATTACAAAAATAATTAGTGGAACTAAGTAAAATTCACTATTCTAACCAGTCGTTATAATTTCTATTAGATAATTACATCAGTTTACTTGCATTTGGGTAAACAAAAAAAATTTTATTCAAGAAAAAGAATCAAAGCATATTTGCGGCGAAAAATCGAAAGTAATTGAATATAGATTAAAATCTATTTGATAAAGATTGCTGTATCCTTTTTATCACTTTAGTCAATAGAATAGGAACTATCAAAAAATTTTAAAACAAAATTACTCAAGTTTTTGGCTACTCTTAAAAAGATCTTCAAGATAAAAATATTTCAATTTTAATTCCTTCTCCAACCTAAAAATTCCATGATAATCTTCTTAAAATATACGTTGAAGGTATAAATGAGACTAAAAAAGAAGAAGATTATATCGATTAAATTGAATAAGATATAGCTCTACAGCTGGTTGAATATCAAAAGAAGGGAGGAAGTTTGAATACTTAGATTATGAAAGAAATCATATCTAAGAGAGAGTCTTCAAGCAGGTTTTTTCCTATGCTATTGGCATTAAATGCAAAAGGCTGGGCAGTCCCCGTTTCTCTTACTATAAAATTTGATTGCATTAATTAAGATGATTGCGGGGCTATAGGATTAATTTAGAAACTACACTCAGACTATTACTATTTACAAGTTGATTCTGATAATTTCTAAATATAAGCTGTTTCTGAGTAACTTTATTAAAAAGCTTTTGGAGATATCTTTATACAAAATGATATTAAAAGAATATACTTTAATCGGTTTGCACCATTTTTAAAGCATCATACTCAGATATCTAAGAAGAAATCTTAAAAACCTTTAATCTTAACTGAATTTTTGAAACAATCTAATAACATTGTCAGTTCTGAATAAAAAATAAATTTTAATACAAGTACAATAGAGAACAATGATGTTTAAAAAACATATATTTTTATTCCCAAAGAAAATCTCGCTGAAAAGAATACTGTTTATTTTTATGATAAGCCTATTATCAATGATTAACAACAAAAAATATAAATTGAAAATTACTCTCTTGAGCTTTATGATATTTATGTGACTAAATTCAAAATTTATGTCAAAGAAAATTCCTTCTTTTCATATTCAATCTTAGAATTTCATAGCTTTAGAAAGGTAACAGATTTCAAAGAATTAAGAGAAACTATGACAAAACTTTAGAAGAGATTTATTGACATTTTGTAGATAAATTATGATATTACAAATAACCTGAGATATATTGATTAAATGGAGAATATTTAACTAATTTCGCAGGCCAGTAAATTAATTATAAAAAATTATCTATTCCAAATTTGTTTTAAATTTTTACTTAAAATATATCAAAATAGATGTCAACAGCTTTTTAGATATTATTGAAGAGTAAATTAAGTAAAAAAGTGATGATTAATTACTATAGTCAGGACTTATACCTATTTCATCTGAGAGGTATGAAGAAAATATAGAGGCAACTGATAGAAACCAGAATAGATTTGATTAAAGATCTAATTTAATTCACCTTGATCCTAAAACTAATATGGTTTCTCATTAAAACTAAAAAGAAGATAATGAAAATTAACAAGTCAAATAGAAAATAAGTTAATTAGAATAAAATGACTAACATGAATTATTCAAACTTGATTCAACTCTAGTGAATGCAGAAGGGGAAAATCATGATAATTTAGTTTTAAAAAATGATAAATAAAAACTTAAGCAACAAAATTTATAATTATTGAATCCTCCAAGCAATAAATTTGCTTCAAATAAAAAACAAAAACTATAAAAATTGTAGTAAGAATAAAATAATACAAAAGGATAAAATAATAATGAACAGAAAGATTTAAAATCATTAGAGCTATCTTACAATATTTTATCTCCAAATGAACAATCAATAATATCTTATAGCCAAGATCAATCCAGAGTTTTTATAAATTAAAACTAATTTCAAAATTCAATCACTGATAGAGTAGAAGTGGATGATTTAATTTAAAATTAAAATAATTTTAGTATCACCTATACAAGATATAATCATGATGAAATTACATCAAATGTAGATCAGCAAAAAAAATATAAACAATTGAAAAACAATATTTTTTTGGGAGAATAAAATTAAAGAGAAAATGAGGAAATAGTTTCGTAGTTATCAAATAATAATTAGTATTCAGGATACAATAAACCTTTTTTTAAAGAACATTTCGAAGATTTAGATAGAACTGGATTGTTTCCCATTTAGAATAATTAGTATGGATCTATTTCCATACTATCTCCAAATTAAATTTATAGTAAACTCTCATTAAATACAACCACATCAAGAAATATTCTTTCAAATAAACCTTTACTTAATAATATCATTCTCTAAAGATTAAATTAGGAAATGTTAAAGGAAACTGACAGAAATAGGCTTATTAAAATGGAAACACTACGTGCATCATTAAAAAACCATAATTTAGAAGATTTAGAACTTTGGAAACTATCTTCTATAAGAAAAGAGGTATAAATGTAAGCTCCTTAACCTGACTATGGCATAGACAGAAAAAGCAAATTAGAAACTAGCTATATTGTTAAAGCAGAGATAGAATCATCTGCAGATTGCACGGATACAATAGATAGGGAGGAAAGAATCAAAAGAGAACTGCAGGAGCGTTCTAGAATGGTAGCAGTTAGTTCTCGCTAAAGTAGTTAAAGCAACAACACAGACATGAAAAGAAACTTAAAAAAATCACTAAACTCATAGAAAAAGAATTTTTTGATGATAGTACTGACTATTTTTGGATTTTTAGCATTAGCTTCAATACTAACTCTTACTATGTTTTAGTACTTCAGAATTAATTCTTCATTTTCAACTGTCTAGAGAGATTTTTATTTTATTCCATGGCCTATCGATTTGAGAAGTGACTACACTATCCCTCTTCTTTATCAAGGAATTTTAAAATTGATTCAAACTGGTTAATTCAATAGTATTAAAGATCCAACCCTTCAAACTACTATACTAGAACGTATGTCAACTTCTTAGAAGCATCTTTTTTCTATTTTCAACTATTATTAAACAGCTGATATTAATGATAGAGATTATTTCACATACATTAATAATAGTCCTATTGATTTGTTACTAGGCATTGATGATGCTGTTATCCCTGATGAAAGACAGAAAACTTACTTTGCTTAAGATAAAATTTAGATGGAAGTCAATTTAGACTATTTCATTTAAGTTCTTTCTGCATATCAATATAAAGTAGTCATAAATTAGGGAAATTTAAACTACTATGAGAAGATTTAAATAGATAACTATTCAACTTTAGAAAGCTAGGCTTTGTTAGTTTCATAGGTGGCTATGGATTGTGCTAAAAGTAGCAACGATGATGCTGTATAATAAACTTTAGTCTTATTAATATTAGTAATAATTGTTTCTTTTGTTTTGATAACTGCTATATTTCCACTTTACTACTATGTATAAACTAATAATTAATAATGCTTAAAACTATTTGCTACAATTTCTTCGGAATAATTAACCTCTATGCTAAAGCCTATTTAGTTTACTTTAGCCATGAGTAAAAGTATAAAAATTACAACCATGAACTTCAATACAAACTTTCAAAATAAATACAAAAAACGTAAAAACATATCTTCTACAAGTCTTTTACCAAAATTTAAATATATCCTGCTTGTTTGTGGAATTGTAGCTTTTCTTATTTTGATTATATAACCTATCGTCAACTACGTCTTACTCCTTTAGTTTTAGAAAGAAGTTGATCTAAATATTCATCTTTTGAGTAAATTCTAAATTAATTTGACTTATTTATTTTAAAATAATTTTAAATAATTAATTAGGCAGTTTGTATAGTATTAGATCTTTGTTAATAAGCACATCTGCACTGAATTATTAATACATGTCATACAGAACTGATGATAAAACATTTTTATATAATCCTTAATTTTTTGCAGAATAGATTCCATAAATTAATAAAAGATTCTCAACTGGAATTAGCTAAATGTATTAGATCATATAATAAGACCAAGGATCTTCTAGACATAATCAGCATTTATATGATAATTTTTTGTATTAATTGTTAACTAAAAATGTATGCGACTCAGTATTATAATATCCTGAATATGTTTCCCAAGAAAATTAAATAGATGACACTCTCTGCAGAAAAGTGAGAAGCGGGCTATTGACGAAAGGATTCGAATTATCTGTAAAAGACTATTACTAACACATTCAATCTCTTGAAGTACTTTATTAATTAAAAACTGTTTAGCAGTTCTAAGCAGAGATATAAATATGGACTGAACAAACCAAAATTAAAGAATTTGATTAGTATTTTACATTACTAACAAAATCTGTTCTAATTATGAAAGATTTTATGATTTCTATGATGAATAACTACCTAGATTATATGAAATTCATCTAGACTGTTTTGTTAATTTTTTAGATTTTTGCTTTAATTTTCTTATTCGTATTTGGATGGATTAATTTCTATCTCAATATTTAAAGCGACATGCTCTTAACGAAATAGCTCTTCAGTGTGCTCTCCATTGAAACCGTTTTAGAAAATCCATATATCCTATCATTTTTAAATAAGTGAATATGTATATTAATATATTTTTTTATTATTGTTTTGCATACACATTCTTAAACAAATTCAAACAAAATTTAATTAAATTTAAAAAAATATTATTTTTAAGCCACAAAAAAAACTTTGCTTGGTTAGGATAAATGTAAAAATTTCAAAGTAAACTTTCAAGAGCACCATTATCCTCCATATAAATAGCGTGTAATGTAATGTTAATTTTATTTTACAGTATTAAATAAAAAAACTAAGCAAAATAAAATTTTTTAACAAGAATAAATTGATTTAAAGTAAATTATGCATTAGTTATTCTACAAAATTTAAGCAAAGAAACAATCAAGAAGAGATAATTAAGAAATGAATTTATTTGAAAATATAAAAAAGAAAGACAAAACAAAGCAAAAGAAGTAAAATATGTCAAAAACTTAGATATCTAAAAGTATCATAACCACTAAATTGTAGGAATTCTATATCCATTAGTTATATAAATGCTTTAAGATTTACAAAAGAGGAAATATCATAGGATCATGTTTACTATTAATTCATTTTGCTTACTAAATAATACTAATCATGTCTAAGGATACTCTAAGAGAAGCGATAAATCTTGACCCATCATTTAACAGCTTTAAATCTATAATTGAGTTGATACCTAGCAGTGTCAAATATTAAATTACCATCACTCTGTTTTCAATTAACACTAGCTTAATTCTCATAATATTTATTATATTCATAGCATCTTTTAAAAAATCTATTATTCTAGTTAAATACCTCGCTTATTATATTAGCTTCATAATTTAGATATATAATTATATCTATTTTATTCCAACTCTTGTTTTTTCAATAGATTGTATGAATTAATATTTTATTCCTAAACTCAATATAGCTCTTAGTCTTGTTATAAGTAAAATTATTTTATTTTTTAAATACTCATAATTAGTATTTTATGCTTACTTTCTTTTACAAATTCAAAAAGGTATCTGTGTAGCTATTCATGATTCTGATTTCTCAATAATTAACTAAGATTTCTTAGGCAAAAGGAATAAGTCCATCAAACTAACATGCTTACTATTACTTGAGCTTGTTTAAGTAATATTTTATGTAAAAGTTGATGATATTAATGGCATTACTTTAGTCAGTATGCTCTCTGCACTGTTTAGATTAGCTTTTTTCGATGTTTATAACAAAGTTATAGTTTGTAAGATCAATCTTGTTTAATAATTTTTCATTTTGATATTATCTTTCACTCTATACTTATCAAATATATTCTCTAATAAATATGCAATATTTTTGTCTGCTTTAATAATATTTGCTTTCTCCATAAAGCTGAGTTAATTGATTTGCAATTATTATTTTAGCTTAGAGAGGCTTAGGTAGATGGATAGCATATAAAAATACCCCAATACGTTAGACATGTTTCTTCGATTAATTATTTAATAGATCAAAATAGAGTATGAGGATTATAGAGTACTGGAGCAATCTTTGATTTTGGAAGATATATCAATATAACATATTACTTCATGTTAAAATTATCCTTATTGCTTTTGTTATACTAAAGTAATTAAAATTTTAGATAGATTGAAAATTAGTTCTATTTAATTAATTTTAAAATAAAATTCATAATTATTTATCAAAAAAAAATATACCACAATATTTGAAAAAAAATAAAATATTTTTACTTAAAAAGGAAGAAGATAAAACTAATTGTAAGCAACATGTAATTGGTGGGAAACAAAGAAGACAATTTGTTTATGATTTTATTTTGAGGACATATTAAGATTATATCTAAAGGATAATATTAAAGAAGAGTAAAAGGGATTCCTAAATTTGCTTTAGTTATCTATATTTTCTTGCATAATCAAAATTGTCTAAATAGTTATGCTTTGTAGAAATAATTAAAATAAGCAGAACTTTAGATTTATCAATCAAAGAAAAAGGAATCATGAACGAAATATTGAATTAAGCTGTAAACTCTTTTGACGAGAATGTTATTGTATTTGATAGAAATAGTGATCACACTGTTAATCAATTAAAAACAAACTAAAATACTATTATAGATTAAAGTGCTTAAAAGAATTCAGTGGAATTAATTGACTTATTTATAGGAATAACATTTGATGAAAGGTTAAACGAAATTGAATAAGATTACTATCATTTAATAAATGATAAAATAGATGTCGTGCAATTACTTTGTAATGACACCATAGATATTACACACTTTAAAATTAAAGCAAATCTATTTTCTTAAAAAAGGAATAAATTTCTTACTTAATTGCAAGAGCTAAGTAAAATAAATAGACTTAATTCTAAAATTTAGTTGATGCAAGAAGGTTATATCAATTATTTTTCATTCGGAGAGAAGAAAAAGCAATTATTTAAAAAAGTAAAAGCCTACTAGAACAATTAAAGTGATAGCAACTAGATAAATAAATAAGAGACTGAGATTTAATCCTCCAACATAAGTGTTATCAAGAGAAAAAAAATAAAACTTGAGTAGGGAATTTTCGAAAGAAAAAATTGTGTCATTTTTGTGAGTTTACTCGGCGAGCCTGGTATAGTAAAAAGAGTTCAACATTAATTTGAAAATATTTTTGGATATAGTACAAAGTAAATTATTGGATAAAACATCAACTTGATAATACCAAATATGATTAAAAAATTTCACAATTCTATATTGCTAGATTTTATTAACAATCCCTATTTAGAAAAAGGAAATTAGATAGATTACGGAAGCTAAATAAATTAAGAAAATTAAAATTTTGATAACTAATACTAAATATATGATTTACGTTAGTTGCTTCTGGCCAAGGATTTGAACGGATGGGCTATTCCAGTTAAAATAGCAATGAAAACAGATGTAATAGGGTTTGAAGATTGTGGAATAACAAGCTATATTTAACAAATTAAAGATGATTGTTCTTACATACTGAGTAACTGCGGCTATTTTAAATGCGAGTTAATGAGCTAAAAGCTATATGAAAGAATGTTTACTTAGTATATAACCACATCTGAGATCAGTCATATCTATTTTAATAGAGTAATTCCAATACTACATTATTTAGAGAAAGAATGGCTAAAACTTAGTTCTAGCAACACTAATCCAGACTCATTTATTCATCCTAATCAAAGAGACTTTTTCAGTACAATAGCGTTTTTACCCAAGATAAATACAAGTTTAGTAAAGAAAAGATAATATAAATTTACTCAAAAACTTGAATACGATAATTTATAGGATGAGATAGATAAATACAGCATCGAGCACTATGATATTTACTAAGTAAAGTTAAGATTGTTTCTTAATAGAAATAAATACTTTTAATACAATATTATTCAAGTCTCTCAAATTAGAAAACTTATGCATCCCTTTGAAATGAAAGAAAATTTAATTAATTTTGCTAATCAAATGTAATTATTTTTAGGAATCAAATACAACACACACAGAGATATTCATAATATCTAACTGCTTTTAGACTTATAGCAATTTGATGCTACATCTTAATGTAAGGCATTAACCTACTAAATATATATAAGATTTATAATTTTCAAAATTCTTTAATTATATTTTGAATAGTTTTAATAATTATTTAAATTATTTTTTCAAAATAAAATAATGATTTTCTATAAATTTAGTTTAAAATATTTAACTTTTTTTAGTATAAAATAGTTTTTTTGAAATTCCATAAACAATTTAAGAAGATAATGAATAAATATCAGACCGAAAGAAAGACTATTCATATATTTTTCATTCTAAATCTACCTAAAAAACATTTGAGAATGGAGAAAAATAAATACTTGATTAAACAAGTGAAATGAAATAAAAAACTGTATTTAATCAAGATAAATTTGATGAAACTCATCATTAATTATAAATGACAGGAAGAAACGTATAAGATATTGACAATAATTACAGTTAATAAAACCTAGTTCACCTTTCTTCAAGGAATGACTTAAATACTATTGTAAATGGTTTAGATGCTACATAGAACTAAATTTTGGATCAAAATCAAAGCTCAAGATATTTATTTTCAAAAAATATTTTATAAGAAGAGAGAGAATTATAGCAGCCTATTTAAGGTTAAATTGGTAGTCTTTAATAAATGCTAACATAAAATCATTTGTTATTACAAAACGAAGGAGAAGATGATTATAAGAAAAATACAAAAAATATCAAAGTAATAGATGACATGACAACTGTACAAGAAAAATCTGAAAGCAAACAATTAAATAGCATTTATCAATCATCACATAATTAAAAAAATGTAGGAAGTTTTTCAAAAAATTTTACTACCCAAAATAGCTTTAACTCTAAAAACTTAGAATTGACATAGTTTTATAACTCTTAAAAAACCTAAAATAGCAAGAGAAAAGGATATAAAAAATTATTTAGCAAGGGTTAAACAGAAATTCAAAACCAACTTCAGAATTTCAAAGAGTACGGTTTTTCGAAACCAGATTTCAAGATGCTCAAATATTAAAACAAAGGAGATGATTATTTAAATTAAGCCTAGTCTTTTACAGTTTCAAATGAAAGAGAGAAAAAGTTAAGAAAGGAGTAGGAAGAAAAGTCAAAAGCTCTAGAAGCAAGCTCTATTAAAAGTAGTTAAAGCTACAATCACGATTTTAAGAAGTAGATTAGAAAGAAAGTATTATAAAGGAGCCAAAATTTTAATCTTAAAATTCTAAACATATTTGGGTATATTTCTCTCTTTTGTATTTCAATAATCACAATTTATGAATACTTAAATTCTATATACTCATTTTAAATTGTAGAATAAACATTTCACTATGTTTCCTGGCCAATGAGTTTTAGAAGCAGCTATTCTATTTCTGCAGCTTACATTGCTATGATATATATGACAGAAAATAAAATTTTTAACAGCCTAAATGAAGCTTCTGGCTATGAGAAAATAGTTGAAGGGCGCTTAAATCAAACAACTGTTAGACTTAAAAAGGTGTTCCTGACTTATGAAGATAGCAATTTCAATGAAATAAATTTTTTTAAAAGAGTAAACGAAGAATTAACTTATTTTACATTAACTAAAGATATTTATGTTTAGACAGGTAATATTTATGACTATCAACCATAATATAAAATTAATATTACGATGACTCTTGCTTACTTCCTACAGAACTCTATTGCCAATATTTATAGATTTTCATTAAGAAAAAACAATTTAGTAGAATAAATTATCAGAATAGATAATTTTCCTACTTTAAATGCAAATGTGACTACAGTAGACCAAAACATTCACGATGAAACCAACGATGTATTAAATTCTATGAATTCTTAAGCCCTTTTACTAATGCTCATTGTTATTTTAGTTTCGTTTACATTGATTATAATGATATTTCCTCTTTATTATACAATACAAAAGAAAAATGAATAAATTCTTAAACTTTTTGCTACAATGCATTAGAACTCTTTAGATGCAGTATTACAACCACTATATATATCTATATTAATGTAAAATAAAAGATAGAGCTAAAATTTAACCATGAAACCTCATATTCAAAAAAAGAAAAATATTTCCACAACAAATTCACTTCCAAAATACAAGATCTCGTACATTATTTTTACTATGATTGCTTTTATCTGTTTAATAGTACAACCAATCGTTAACTTAATTCTAATCAATAATTTCTAGGATTAGAATCTTCAAAATTTGGCCCTATTAAGTAAATATTTTTAAATATTTAATTTTTGTCATTTTTCAATTATTATCTTCTTTAAATATTTCAAAGAAATTGGATGATAATTAATTTAAAATTTAAAAAGGTAATTTGTATGATATGAGAGCATAATTAATCAGCAATACTGCTTAGAATTACAATTATTTAACACATAGATTAGATACAAATTACTAACTGTACAACCCTAATTATTATAAAAATAGAATAGCTTAGCTTATAACATAAAATCAAGGTAAGTTAAATAATATGTACAGTGTTTTGAACTCATAAACTAATATTGTTAGATTTTAACAAAGTAAATTTAATTCGTTCTTTAACTAAATATTTTATGGAAATGTTTGTGAAGCTTTATAAAATAACCCAGATTATGTATCTCAAGAAAATAATGTAAATTACAATGAATGCATTAATATTGGAAACGGAAGATTTAAATAAGGATTTATAATAGTGCTAAAAAATTTCTTAAGCACAATTGAAGATTTAAGTTACATTTACAAAATACAAGATAAAAATTTATTTAAAGAGGCTGCATATAAGTGGGAGAATACAGTAAATATAAAGATATTTGATGATACCTTTGTAGTACTTGCAAAATCAATGGATAGTTTTAAAGATTTCATGCTTACTATGATTTCCGAATATGTTGATTATGTGAAAATGATTTTAACTGCACTTTTAATTTTCTAATTTTGCATGCTCATTTTGATATTCTATTTTGGGTGGGTTAAATTCTATTAACTGACATCATAGGATATGCATCAAGTAAAATCTCTTTTTAGTATCTTTCCAATAGATATTGTTTTAGATAATCCTTACATCATATCTTTCCTAAATAAATGATATCTATGTATTTTTATGTATTTTTAAAAACTCATTTATGTTACAGTTTATAAATATTTAAATTATAAAATTAAAAATTCATGCTTAATAATTAATTCTTTTTTCTTTTTCAAATTAATTAATTTAATTTAATATTTTTCAAGCTAAATAACTTAACTTTTTTTTAACAATTTTTTTGAATTTCAATGTTTGTTTAACATGCAAAAATTGTAAAATTAGATATATAAAATTTAATATTTCAAAGATTTTACTGAATGAAAAATTTATGGATTTTAAAAATATTTAATTAGTTTAATTAAAAAATGTATTTAAATTTTGTAATAAAATTAAATTTATCTATTAAAATTATGTTATTAAATAAGTGGAAAGCGTAGTAAGAATAAAATTGTGACGAAATTAAAGAATTCAATTATTTGTTTTAAAGAATTCTGAAAATTTTCATGATAGAGGAAACTATTTGCACTATTTATATTTTTTTATTTATTTGAAAAGTAAATGATAACACAGTAACATAAAATAAGAAAAATGAAAAAATCTTGTAAAGATAATATTTTTATAAAGAAAAAAAATTTTACACTAATAAAAGAGTACTTTTTTTATAAATATAATTTATACATTTGATTGTTATGACTGGTAATGTTTATTAAGAAAACATAATTAATTTTATGGTAAAATCTGATTAAAAAATAATAAAACAAATAATACATAAATTTTTATTTTGTTAGTTAGCTTGTAAAAAGAAAGATGGATTTGTCTAACAACTTACTTAAAAATAGAATTTAAGAAGCCATAAAGAATTACTATGAAAAGAAATTCTTAATAACTTTGAAGATGTTTAAAAGACCTAAACTACTCAGCATAATTGTTTTATGCACTCGCTACTTTTATTAGCTTGAATTATTAATCTCTGAATAGATAATCTAAACACTCAAAGATATCGATAACAACTTCGATATCCTGCTTCAACTTTAGTTATTAAAAAGCTATAGCTTCTCGAATGATATATTATATGCTTTTTGCGGTTTTAATATCATAATTTTTTCTCTTTTCATTTTATTCTTTATCCTCCACATAACAAAAATAAAATATACCAAATTTCAGAAGAAAGTAACATTAGTCTTTAGTATAATAACTCAGCTGTATAATTATATTTTTTTCATCCCTTCTCTATACTTTTCTTTAAGTCTACTTGATACCTCAATAGTACCGTATATAAATCTACCATTGACATTTATTATAAGTAAAATATTTTTTAATTTAAATTCAATAATTTAACATAAAATATTTTTTTGAAGATAATTTTAATTTGATCTTAAAAATGTAATAAATATTAGGCATCATAATTATTATACACGACTAAGATTTTAATATTATAGTATCAGATTACTTAGCAAGAAATAGTTCCTTTTTAACTAAAATTTTATTCTTACTACTTGAAACTATTTAGGTTTTCATATATGCTTTGGTTAAGGATTAAAAAGGAACTTGCATTATTTCACTGATCTTAGCAGTTTTTAAGATTGCCTTCTCCTTTTAATACAGAAGCAATATAATTTCACATTATAGCCTTTTTCTCTCGCTCACTATTTTCTCTATTACATCAATAACTACCATTTGTATATTTAGTAAGATTCATTTTTCTTTCATAGTTTGTTTCTTAATCGCTATATCTTTATCATACTCTATAAGCTGCATTGTCTGCAGCTAGTATTATTGTATAGAAAAGCTAAAATCTATAGATAATATTGTTGAAAAGCCCTAAGTATTGAATTTGCTTCTTAGATAATTTTTGTAATAGATAAAAGTGGAATTCGAAAATTATAGAGTGAATGACTATTCTTTAGTACTAGAATAAATTATTGCAGATCATATATTAAACTGTACTCAATATCCATCATGCTATTGCAGTTATCAAGTAATTTAATTTACTATTATAGTATAATAATTATTTTTAATTTAGAGATTTTTGTCTATTTCTTTAATTACTTATCATATTATTTTTTAGGAAGAAAACTAAAATGCTACTGAGAGTAAGTTAAATCTTATGAGTGGTGAATTGAGAAAAAGGTATCTTCTAGACTTTATATTCAAAAATTTGTAAGAATCAGTGGAGTAAATGATGAAAAATAAATATGGAGTCAATATTGAATTAGTATTTAGCTATTTAAATTTTTTAATTGAAATTTAAAAATCCAAATTATTATTTTATGTCGAACTTATTAGAATTGAAAAATAGCTAAATTTATCCCCTCTCTAAATGTGTTTTGCAAATGAAATTTATGATAAAGCTTAAGATTTCTTCTAAGACCTATACGTTTCTTAAAGTAGGATATATAAGAGTGACTAAGATAAAACAGTGAATAATATCTATAGAGAGGAGATAAATAAATCTAAATAAATCTAATTAGCAGATTTATTAGGAGCAATTAGTTTTGATGAATTAATAAATAAGGCTGAAAAAGAATTTTACAAAGTGATAGAGTTGAAGGATGACATATTAATATTGCTCAGTTAAGATTCTATAAGCTTAGATGTACTTAAGAGTAAATCATAGCACTACTATAAACAGCGAGAAGATATTTTAAAAACACTTAAGAGGCTTTATAAAATCAATAGTAAAAGTTATAGGCTTAACTATTTGATCGATAATTACTGCTTAGTTATGAGTTTTGGTGGTAGTAAATATTCAGTTTTTGTCAGAGATAATGCTGGAAATTTTAATGAGTTTGATGAAGATTTTAATCATAAAAGCTATGAAAAGTTAAATATAAAAATTCAAAATCAAGTGCAATTATTTTCGAGATCAGTCTGTATTCTTTTCATAACTTTAATTGATTCTCCAGGTACAATCAAAAGACTGCAAAGTAGTTTTTAATCAATATTTGGTTACACTTCTTAGGAGGCTTTAAATAAAGACATTTCTTTAATTATTCCAAAGCTTATTGGTGAACATCACTACTCTTTATTAATGGAATATTTTTCATAGCCAAACGTTTATGAAAATTCGTTATAGAGAAGTTCCCTTTCTTCACTATTGGCTAGAGATGTTGATGGTTGGGCTGTTCCTATATCAGTGTATTTTAAAAGTGACTCATTAGGAGTTATAGATTGTGGTCTAACAGCGTATATTGAAAAGATTAAAAATGATTATTTTTACCTTATGCTCAGCGAAAGTGATTTTAGAGTATAGCTTATGAGTTAAGAGCTTTTTGAAAAAATATTTAAAGAAATAGCTCATAAGAGCGATATAGAGAAAATATATTTTATTAAAATAATTCCTATGCTTAAATACTTTGAAAAGCTAAAGTCTAATGGCTACTTAAAATATTAAAATTGTTTCGATACTATTGGATTTATTCCAAAATAAAATTCTTTTATTAGTAAGGAAATGTCTATTTAGGAGCATTTGAATTACTAGAATTTGTTAATTAATCTGTAAGATCTTAATTTATAAGAATATAATATTTACAGAGTGAGATTTAAAATCGTTTCTGTAAGAAATAAATTCTTTGAGTACCACACAATAGAATTTCATTAGTTTAGATTGATAAAAACTCCATAATCTATAAAAGAGTGTTTGAAATTTCTAAAATTTTAGTTCTAGAATTTGTTAAATATAAATATTAACTTTGATAGGTAGATGCATTCCTTAATTCAGTTTCAGACACAAGCTTATTCACAGTAGAACTATTTCAGTAAATTTTTTCAATTTTTTATTTAAATAAAATTTAATATTTTTAATTAGATAGTTAATTTGGACACTATGACTAAGATTCAGACTCTTTAAAAGAAAGAGATAGACCTTAATTAGGCTAAGTAGAAAGCATAAGATATTTAGATTAAGGAGCTAAATTTGATAATTAATCTTCAGATGAGCAATAATAATAGTAATAAAAAGCAAAAGAGTACTTTTAATATAACAGTCAATTAGATAGTTTGAAATTATCTCCTCGTCCTTCAAATACAGCAGAAACTGATATGCATGTAAAGTCTCATTTTAGTAGAATGGATGTATAATCTCAAATTAAGGAAGATAATGTTAAACAATCCTAGAATGTTACAACAGCAAAAAAACTTGATTAAAACGAACTTGATCAATATGATATACATATTGAGACTGATTTAAATATACATACGAATCATCATGAAATTATTTCTCCATAAATTACTTCTACAAGGTAGCTAAATCAAAATGGGGAATCAAAATACTTTCCTTCTCTGAAAAAAGAAGCCAGTAATACAAATAGAAATTTAAACTATACTTCAATCTAGGCAATAATAGATGATGAGGAAGACTACATCAAAAATCTAGCTCCAATATCATCACAAAGAGTTAATTTAAAATAAGAGAATGATCTAGCACCTATTATAGAATAAAAATAAGATAAAAAAGGGAAAAAAAATAATTGGTTCAATGTGATAAATTAAAAAATAAAGGAAAAAATAATTGGTTAATAAAATGGTTAAAATTAAATGGATTCATAAATTTTTCAATAGGCAAGCTACGTAAACGGAAATAGGCCTTTTAATTTAATTCAATTTAATTTACTTAATAAGCAATCTAATGGAGCAGAAGATAGAGAAAAAGAAATAGAAAATTTTATAAACAGTTTGGCATAGATAGAATCATCAAAGAGAGAATTAAATTAATTGGCGAATAATGACCAATAATTTAACAGTGAAGATGATAGCAACTAAGATGAAGACCAAAAGAAAAACTGTTAGAAACAAAAAAGTGAAGACGATTCATCAGAAAATAGCTAAAATGATTCAACTAATTAGAAAAAAAATGATGTGTAAAAAAATTAAAAGAAAGAATTTACAGATAAAAAATCTTTTACAAAAGCAAAAATCTTATAGAATAAGATGAATAAAAACATTTAAAGAGAGATATAAGTTACAGCTGAGGCAAATTCTTCACTTAATAGCTCAAGTCTTTCCAAGAATGCCAAGAAGGCTTTAAGGAGGAATATATTAGAAAAAAAAAATAATTTACTTCTTAAGATACTAAAAATATTTGGAATTGTTTCTCTACTTTGCATAATAGGAATTACTCTTGTAACTTATTTTTAAATGATAAACAATTTCGATATAGCTTAGTAAACTTTTAAATATTTGCCGTGGCCTCTCGTTTTTCGCTGTAATTATTCTTTATCTTCTCATTATATGGCAATACTGCAAATAATTAAAAGAAAGGTTTTTAATAACCCAAGATTCGATACATCTTATTAAAGCGAAATAAAAAGTAGAGTTGATTTCTCTGTTTCTGACATGAATAGTCTTTTTCTTGATTATGAAAATGGAGATTAAAGCAAATTAACATTCTTTAAATAATTAAGCTATTAATAGGTCAATATGATACTAAATAAAGATTTAGAATCTGTGGATGGTGATATACTAAAATTTAATTAGAAAGATAAAAATATTGTGCAAATGTCAATGGCATATTTTTTATAGTCATCTGTAGGTTATGTTTATCGCTATTCAACTGCTTAAAATAACTTGTATGAGTAAATAGTTAGATTAGATAACGTAGCTTCTTTAATTTCTAATGTTACTGGAATTGAAGATTCTATTTTATCATAGTGTAATGATATATTGTCTTCTCTAAAATAATCAGCATTAATTCTGATGATTGTTGTATTTTTTATCATTTTTATTTTTGTTGTAAGCATTCATCCTTTGTATGCTTATGCATAGATTAAACAAGAAAATATTCTCAAGCTATTTGCAACAATTTCACAAAGCCATTTAATTGAAATGATAAAACCAATTAATTAAATTCTACTTCTAGCCCACTCACATTAAAAAATAAGGCTACCAGAAGTCTTGTAGCGTTCATTGTATATAAAAAAGAGAAAAAATATTTCTTCAACAGACTCCTTAAAAAGAGTAAGGAAAAGCTTTATCATACTCTCCATTATAGTTTTTTGTTCTTTGATCATACAACCTATAATAAATTATACATACATATCAGATTTTTACGACCAGGCTTCTGACAATATCTATTTAGTTTGTAATATCATTAAGCAATTTAAAAATTTTTTTAAAATTAATTAAAAATTCAATTTAATAAAAACAAATAAAGAGAATAATATAATTTCACATTTATAAAAAAAAATATTTTTATTTGATGTATTCATTCTAATTTAAGTAGATTCTTACTTAATTAAGGAATGACTGATTTAAGGAGTTAAGGAATAATTCCAGTTTCAAAAAAATAATTTCAAATGCACTACTTAAATTAGAATTAATACATTATCTTAATAAAAAATTTTTTGAAAGAAAAATAAAACTCTTAAACAATTTTTTTTTACTAAATAATATTTTTATTTAAAAATAAGCAATATTATACGATTTGAGAGCATAATCTGTGAGCAATACTTCCTAAAATTACTAATATTTGCTATCTGTATTAGATCCAACTTATTTACTGTATAACACTAACTACTACATAGCTAGAATACCAAATTTAGTAATACAAAATGATTAAAAAATTAAAGGTATGATAGATATCTTAAACTAAAATGAAGGCAAAAAGAAATATAATTAAGAGCAATTTAATAGCTTTTTTAATTAAATTATATATGGTGATTTATGTTAAGCTATGACTTCTTACCCTTAGTATGTAACTATTGAAAATAGGATTAACTATGACTCCTGTATAAATATTAGGAACGGAATGCTTTTAAAAGGATTTGCCCTTGCTTACAAGGATTTTCTATCAGAATTCAAAGAACTTTCAGGCATTTATAATATAACTGATCCTTAAAAAGTAAAATATAATTTAATTGATTGGGAATAGAGGGTTGATCTAAGAGATTTTGATGATTACTTTACAGTCCTATCCTAATCTATGAATGCTATTAAAGATTTTATTCTTTTAATGATGTAAGATTAGCTTTCATATAATTAAAACATAGAAACTATTTTATTGGTTTATTAATATGTTGTACTTGCTTTTGTATTCTACTTTGGCTGGGTTAACTTTTAAAAAACAGTTAAAAGAGAAATATTTTAAGTGAGGTTGCTATTGACTATTTTAAACATTGAAGTAATTCTTGAAAACCCATATATTTTATCCTTTATAAATAAATGAGTTCAATATTAAATCTAAATTTATTATAATAAATTAATTATTTAACCTTCTTTTAAATCTATTTTATAAAAAATAATAATAATAAAATTAGATTTTATTTTTTGTAAAAATAAATATTTATCTGAGTTGATAGTGTTATTAGATATTATTAATTAAACAATTAAAATCAAAAAAATCCTCTTCTATTAAATTCCTACTTCACCTTAAAATTGAAAATTATTTTTATTGAATAATTTAAATAATTTTTTTAATTAGATAAAATTATCATAATTGAAAATATAAAATAATATCATCATTTTATTTTGTATTGTTTATGAAAAAATATGTTTATTTTGTAAGATATATTTCTTGCCAATAATTGTTTAATAATATGAAACTATTCCATTATAAATAAATGAAACTAAAGTGTATTAATATTTATTTTTTAATTTATGAAAAAAATAATATTAAGTATTGTGATTTATTCTAAATTTCAGAATTTAAATAGAATATTAACAATAAACTTATGACTTTTTTAAATAGTTTCTTATAATAGTGTATCATTCTGATTTTTATTTAAAAATAAAAAATAAACTCTCAACTTTAAACAAATATGCACATAGGCACAAAATTTAAGGGAAATTTAGTAATCGTGATTAAAAAATAAAATAAAAGCATAGACAATAAATTAATAAAATCCTTTAAACTAAATAAATTTTTTAAATAATATTAGCTACTCAATTTTTATTACTCAAAATATAAATATTTTTCTCATATTTTACATTTATAAGAAGCCAAAATTATTTTAAATGCTAAAAATAAATATATATAAATTAAATGAAATACTTTTTTTTCTTTTTGGTTTAAAATTTATTATTCAACAATTTATTGATTTAATTTTTTTAGTATAAAAACAAAAAAAATAAAATATTTAGAAAATAGAAAAATACTACATAGAGAGTTAAAAATTTAATTGAGATATCACTCTTTAAATATCATCATAAATGTTTGAAGAAGATACTTAACCATATTTTAGGTATAATCTTCTACTACATTGTCATATACCATTTAGAAAATTGCTTTATGGTCTTTCTTATTGTAATTTATCTTGACCCAAACATTTGTGTCAATATTTTTGAGATACAATTAGCCACCTATGCATTAATAATCTTGCAAACCATCAACATTGCCTAGATTTAAGAAACTTGGGAAATAATTAGTGTAATCATATTAGCTGCTAGCTATATTTTTATCAACATTAATCTCTTCAGAGCTAATTAAATTTCAGAAAAAAAATTTTAAATATAAAATAAGCATTGAAAATTTACCGTATCATGATATGGGCATACTCTTGATAAGCACTGTTTATTGATTCTATAGTGCTTTGAGCTGAAGGGTTGATATATTTATTAATTGTGTTAGGAATAGGGAATATAGCTTGATTGAGATTTCCGTTTATTGTATATTTAACAGTACACTGGATTATTTTATAAGGCATTTCATTAAATTCAGTTATGATCTATTATTGATGTTAAGAATTTTCTTTAAATACTTCAGATAATGCATTGGGTTTCTTATAAACAGTAATTGATTAATCTCCTTCATAATTAATTTAAACATTTTGCATTTAGGAATTTAAAGATTTGTTTTCATAGAAAATTGAAATTAGTAAAAATATCTTGCCATCTATATCTTTGGTTTCTGTTATTAAACCTACATTAAGGTAATTATCTTGATATATAGCCATTTTATTTTTTAGACAACTCTTTTTAAATCTATACATCTAGCTCTTATCCCCTGATAAATAAGAGAAGTAAGTGGGATTGTAGTTGATTTCTTTACCCATAAAGTTTTTAGGATATTACTTTTTAGGTTTTAAGCTATGAGTTGACTAATTAAGTGATGGAACATTATTTTGATAATTCGTATTATATTAATTTTAAGAATACATCTCATCAGGACTTAAGTATTGTTCGTAAACTTTTCTTGGAGACTTTTAGATAAATAATATCAAATAAAATTTCTTCATGAAAATAATTTTTTATACAACAAAATAATGTTTGAATTTTTAAAAATAATCTTTTTAATTTTCATTTTATTTAGAATTTAATAAATATAATTTCATTTTACCACAAATTAGGTGGCATTGTTTTGTTAGTATTGAGCTCCCATCATCCCTTATAAGTTGTCTTCGCTTCTGTAAAGAAGTCTATCTGCAGTAGCCTTTTCTTACAAGCTGTTAGTATTAGTAACTCTATCCATTTCGTTGTAATCAGGTTCGTACTTAACCATAGGACTAAATATTTAAGAACGAGATTGACGATCAGGAGATAAAAATGTTTTAGTCTTCAAGTTGTTTAAAAGCAATTCGTTTTCCTTACGAAGAGTTTCTAAATTCCTTGACAAATCAGTCTCTCTTCTTTGCTTTTCTAATTTAAGTGTTTCCATGGCCTGACGAGTATACTTAAGTTCTGTATTGTATTTCTTTTCCTTAAGCTCCAATTCCCTATTCTTCATATCCTATTCTTTAACAAATTGCTCATCTTTCTCATATAATTTTTTTGTAATCAAATTATTAGCTAAGACTAAATCTTCCATATTTTATTCCTGCATCTCGTTTTCTTTCTTTAAGTGAGAGATAGTCTTCTACATTTAGTTTACTTAAGCCTGTAAATTTTATTCTTTGAGTGAAAACATTTAGACCTCCTTTTTCATTCTTTCATTTTATTCCATCATCTCTTTGTAGAGTTTTTTCTCTTCCTCGCTTAATTTACTTGCTTAAATAATTCTATCTATATCTTCTCTGTGTTGTATTCCTAAACTGTCAATTCTGTTCTCGAGGTCAGCTTTTTCTCTCTGAAGGTCCTTTATCTCTTGCTCTTACTCATCAATCTTTTTAAATTATTTAATTAATATAATAATTCGCATTTAAACTTTACTCTATCATGGAATTTTTTTATTTAGCTCTCAGAAGATCCTTTGAATTAATCTATGATTTCCTTTTTCTTTGAAATGGTGTGTTCAAGCTAAAGTATAACTTATTCTTTTTGATAAACTTACTGCTCCTTTTCGAAAACAGTTTATTTGATTTAGTTTATTTCTATGTCCTTTTAAACAATGTTTTCTTTGTATATCTAGATTTATGATTCAGTCATTGTAAAATCTTCTTTAATATCATCAATAGCTTTTTTAAGAGAAAGTTGTTCTTATTAAAGGTCCTTGATTTTATCATCTTTATATTCTAGCTCTTTCCCAAGTACCTCTATCTTAGAACGAAGTTCTTAAATTTTGCTATCCTTTTCTCTGATGTAATTTTGGTTGAAATTAGATTCTTTGCTCTTTAGCAGTCTCAATTCATTTCTTAATTCTTAATTTTCAAGCTCTCTTTGAGTTAGTTCTTGTTAATATTTTAAAGCTTCATCTTCCAACTAATTTAAACTCTTTTACATTTAGTCTATGTGATTATTGTAGGACTTCTAAGTTGTGTTAATGTAGTCTTGTAATTATTAACGTGTTTTTTAATTCTCATCTTCCATCGCCTTCTTTTTATCAAGGAGTATCTGCTACTACTCAGTTTTTTATTACTCATATTATTTAATTATAGATCTTTATTATTCTAAATCTTTGGATTATTATTCTATAAACTATTTTTATTAGAAAATAGTTTTGTCTTTTTCTTAAAGTCTTCTTTCCATCTCTAGCTTTTCTTAATTAGCAATACGATTGAATTAGCCTTCTTCAGAATTTTTTTATACTAATTTTTATTCAAGATCTCTGTTTTTTATACTTAGTTAAGTGATCTGTGATTAAAGTTTAGATATTTCAATTTCTTTTTCTCTTCTTACTTCATTTATCTAATATCTTAGTTAGGATAATTCTCCTGATAATTATTTATCTTTGCTGAAAATGGGTACTTTTCTTCCATCTTAAAACGAATGTTAACTAGGCATTCTATCTTCTTGAGTGTTTTGGATGTGGCTTCGTTCATCTTAGTTATTGAGAGCTTGCATAAATCTGGATTGATTCAAATTATCATGATTATCCTTATAATAAAAGTTTTATTTAACTATTTTAAAAATAAAAATAATCTTTTACTCTGATTTAGGAATTTTAGAAATCTGAAGACTAATGAATCTAGCTTTTAAGAGTAGGTCCTTGACTTAGCGCTACTTGTTCAAATCCAGAAGGAATGTTGTTTCTATTGTTGTTAAAAGGATAGGCCTATAAGGTTTTATTTTACTCTAACTTCGTAAATGGTAAATTTATAGAGTTTGCATATTACGGCGAAATTAAATTTGGATTTGCTGGAATCCTTTGTGATGATGATTCTTCTTTTGGTTTTGATTTTGGAGCTATTGAACTATTTATGTGCTAAATTTAATTTTTTTTGGATATTTCGTTTGTTAACTCATTATCAAAACTATCACTTTACTCTAATTTTGAATTTAATTGTGGTTTATTTTATGCTTTTTTTCTTGTGTTATGTTTAGACTCTTCCTCATCATCATCTTCATCATCTAGATTTTAGCTGACATCAAAATCAACTCTTTAACTATCTTTAAAGGTTTGCTATTGTTGCTGGTTTCCTTAGAATTAGATTTAATTTGATTGAGGTGGTTTTGATTAATTCAGCTGAATACCTTGAGGTTCATAAAATTCTTCATCTCCAAAGTATCCTCCATGGCTTTTTGGTTAGTGAGGAGCACCTTACTGATTAGATGGCATTGAAGAAGGCTGATTAGTGAATGGATTTTTTTTAGATTGTCCCATTGAAGAGTAAGGTTGATTATTGAATTAATCTCCACCTGCATCAGAAGTCCTCATTTAAGAGTTCTATGAGATATTTGAAATTTAAGGTTTAGCTTAAAGTTGTGGTAATTAAGAAATATTTTATTATTTCAGCTAAGAATTTTGATTTTGGTTTGCTTAAGGAAATGAAGACTAGCTCGGGACTTTTTTCTATTTGATATCACTATCATACAAGAAATCATCGTCTTAGTCAAATCCCATTAATTAGTCTGGATTTTGATTTGCATTCATTCCAAATTAACCTTTAGAGTCCGATTACTAATTATGTTTTTATTGGATATTTGAAGGATGATTTCCCATATATTTTGACATAGCTTACTCTGGATTTATATTTTAATTTTTTAATTGAATCATCTCAGGGGTGTTATATAATCCTTATGCAGGAACTTATCCTGCCTTTGATTGATTAAGGCCTTTCATATTTTGCTAGCTTTTTCTTTCTTCTTCATCTTCATACTCTCCTTAGTCCTCAGGAATATTATGGTTATGCATCATCTAACTCTTCTTCTGTGCTTCTTACATACGACGGATTTCTTCTTGTTATTATTATTACTATTATTGTTCTAATAGCTTCTTTTATCTTTCTTCTTCAATTGCTCTTTACCTTGCTTGCTCCTCTTCTTTTTAGCGCTGAAGTTGCTATTATCTTTATTGTTCTTCCTACTCTTTCTAACGCTTAATTTCTTACTATCTTTTTTCTTCTTCTTCCTAGATTTTTTTCTATCTCATTAACTCCTCCTATCTTTACCTTTCTTCTTGCCTTTTTGCTTCTTCTAACTCTTATTGCTTTCTTTTTTCCTCTAACTCTCTTTATTATCTCTCTTCCTCTTGTATTCTTTAATTTTCAAGTTCCTATTGTTATCTTTCGTGTTCTTATTAGCGCTCATATTCTTCTTATTATTGCTTTAAAAACTCTTCTTACTCTTTCAAATGTTTTTAGTTTTCGTTTTGTTATTATGCATGCTAATTATTATTACCACCAAGCTATTAAAGAATAATATTTTTAAGCTATTAGTAATTGATTTAAGCTGCTTAATTTTGTTCAATTAAGGAATATAATTCATTGCATTACTCTGCTTTATCTAGAAGCTATTCATAATACTTATCATCGAAATCATTATTCTACTTGAACACGTTATCCAAAAATTTAGAAAATTGATTAAATTATTCAGTAAACATTAGCAAATCAGCTTGTTCATCATTATTCTTCAGTGTATCCAATAAAATTTCTACAAATCCTTCATATTCTAAAACTTAATTTTCTATTTCCTGAGTAGATATTTTTTTGTTTGATGGACCTCCCTAAGTGGGTGTTTAGCTTTATTTGATTGATTGCTATTACTACTAATTTTTACTACCTGTCTAAGACTATTGTATTTTCTGTTAATTTCCTGCATCATCACCTCCAGCTTTCTGTATTTAACCATTTATATATAATCCTATCTGTTATGTCTTGAAGAGTTTCACCTTTTTTTTAAATTTTTGTAAGTAAAATTAATTTGAGTATTGTATATAAATTGAAGAACAATGTTGTTAAACAATAAAGTAAAAATTAATTTTAATTACATTGCTAATATCTGGAAATTTAATTCCTGCCTTCTTTAACTAATCGTAATATTCTTTGTATTTGCTTTCAGGGAACCATTAAGACCAGAACAAGAAACCTTCTACTATGTAAGTATAGAAAGTAACTGATATTTATTGTTCTCTCATATCTGGCTTTGATGAAAATATATTTGTGTTTGGTTTTATTTTAGCATAATCGATGAAGGAACGGAGTAATTAGTTCTCAGCTAAAATAAGGTTAAAAAAATCGTTACCAGCTTCTATACAAGATTTGACTAATCTTAAAGCACCTAATCTAACAATTGGTTTCTACTTTTTGTCATTAATAATTTTATTTAAAGTTTCAATAAACTCTTCAATATTTAAACTAGGATCTTCATTTTAAAGTAGCTTTTTGTAAACATTGGTATCCTTCCATGTTTTTTCATTCTCAAGAAGAGAAATCAATTTTTTTGTGTCCATTCTTTGGTTTCAAATTGAATTATTCAGCTAATTTTTTAAATTGGTTTTATCCTTGCTTGCTTGCTTTCTTACTTATTATATATAAAATATGATATGCTAATTAACTATCAATCTATCTATCTTAAATTGAAATAATCTGATATATAATTTGATTAAAAATATATTCAAGATCAATAAAGATAATTAATTTTTATTTCAGTGCCAATAAAACTAATAAAAATTATTTGAATCAGTATGAATGATTATATTCATACTTACAAACAAATATACATTCATTCATAAAGTCTTTTTTATTTATATGTTGAAACGATTTATTTATTTTTCAAATGTTCCATCCATTTATTAAGTTAGACTGGTTTATAAGATATAAACATAACAATTTAAGCTGGTATTTTAATACAAAGTCTACTTACTTTTCAAAATTTTATCAGTTAAAATATTTTAAATCAAAAATAGTTAAGCAATTTGTAGATATATATATATATATATCTATCACTTTAAAATGAATCAATTAATCAATAAATCTTATCAATTAATTCTTTATTTTTAAATATTCTAATTAAAAAATATTAATTTATAAAATAAATAAAATTAAAACAAATCTTTCTTTTTTTTTAAATTGATATTAATTTACAATTTAAAACTTTGATTAAATACATATTTAACAGAAAGTACTTGCATTTACTGTACCTCGGTGATGTTATTATCATTAAGCTATTAAGCTTAATAGTTTGCTAATTTTAATTTTTAATTCTCTTAAATAACTTTTCTTTTAGATCTTGAGTTTTGGAATTTAAATTAAACTAACTCTCAATCACTATAAAAGTTCACAAATTTTTTTTTTCGTCTTATTCAATTTGTCTGTCATATCATCTTTCTAATTAAAGGTTTAGCAGAAAAGAATTTACTTAAAACAATTAATTAACTTAAAATATTTATATTCACTCCTATCTTACCACCTACTAAACATATTTTTCATATGTTTTTTAACTGCTGTGTTAATTGTACTTATTTCCATTTTAAGTTCACAGTTTTAAAGATTATTTTATATATTTTTGATATCTCCCAAAATTAATATGTTTTAAGTAGAAACACCTGGTTTTGTTATACGTTATTCATCGTTTTCAATTTAATCATATATGAATTTTAGCCTCTGAAGTAATTTACTTGCTTAGTTGTTACAATTTTTTAGTTCTTTTTACCTATATTTAATCAACTACCAAAATATTTATATTTAAAGTACAACTAAGTCTTTAATTTCTATAATTTTATTATATTAATCTAATTCCTCCAGCCTAACACAGTAATTATTAAAATATAAAACACTAAGTGTAATTATATAAAGTTCGTATTATTCTGGGTTCTCTTTTGATTATTTTAGAATATTAAAAACTTCATTTTTGTTATCATAATGAGGGAAATTTTTATATACATTACTACTCAAAGTTTCCAAATGACTTACTTGACTTACTAGACCTATATTTTTATTTAAATAATTAATTAAATTTTTCAAATAATTTATTTATTTTTTTTTCAATTCTTTTATAAAATGAAATATTTGGTTGGTTTTTTATTTATTTTTTTACTTGTCTATTAAGTTGAGCCTGTTGTTTTGTTGATTGAAAATGGTAAATTTTTTTCTTCAATTTACTTAAATTAACCTGCTGCGTTATTATCAAATAAATCTAATGTTCCTTCTTGTCCATTATTCAGAAAAAGTTAACTATATTTCTAAGTATTAATTGCATTTATTGTTCCCTACTGATTAGGATGTTACTCTTCAATCATGCCACGAGTAGATACATTTTTAAATTTTAAAAATTGCTTCTCAAAATGAAGTTAGAGAATTTTAAAAGTAAATATCTATTTTTTTTAAAAATAGTCTATATAGAAATGTTTATCTTCATCAGTTTTATCAATACTATCAAACTTTTATTATTCTAAAAAAAAATCATCATGCTATATACTTTTTAGTTCTTAAGGATATGTCATCAAGTACAGTAAAATAAATACTGCATTTAAATCTTAATTTCTTTCACAGTTCATCTTTTTAAGTTAAACACAATACTAACAATTTTTATTTTGCTCTTTTGAACAAAATCCACATTATGAATTTCTCTAATTATATTAATTACAATTATCACATTCATAGGATTGCTTACAATCCAAATATTATCCTAAAAATGGTTTATTTACTAGTTAATACTCATTCCATTTATAAACATTAAAAAAATTATCTAAAATCATATTTTTTATATCATCATCATTCTTATGTTAATAAAAAAACTAGTAAATCCTTTTTTTATTTTTAAAATATTAATATTTTTATATAGAGTAACAAAAAAATACTAAATAAATAGAAAATACCCTCGATTAAGAATCTTATACTTAATATCTCCTACTTCAAAATATTTTAATACCCATATATTTTAAAGAGAGATATCAAGAATGGATAATTATTCTTCATGCAACTTATCAATGAAGGGTATAATGTCACTCAATTTTGTAATTTTTTAAATAAATTCTTATGTAAGATCTAAAGATTTTATTTCTAGTAATTTATAAATCGGAGCATAATTATCGCTAATGTCCTCATATATTAGGTAATAATAAACATCTTCTTCTAGTTATCCTTCTATAACCTCCTGAATTTAAATAGGGAACCAACATTAAATCTTTTATTTTTACCACGATTACTAATAAAAATGTTATTTTCAAATAAATTAATTTGTCGATTTAGGAAAAAGCTAATTTTACCTTCTCAATCATATAATCTATGAGTTTTTTACTGGTATTTGTATTTTTAATTTTTTCCATCAAATATTTTATATTAGGCTAAGTAAGATGTATCATTTGATAGAATTATATATCATCTCTTTTTATAATTTAGTAATCGGCCATTTTAAAAGTATTTTATAAATCCTTATCATTATATTTTATGCCTTCCATTGTTAATTTTTTTGTTGAAAAATTGATAAATTTGAGAGTCAAATTAAAAATCCTTATTTTTTAATTAAAGTGAAATGTATAATTTAATAATATTTTGTTTTTTAGCAGAAAATAATCATTATGATACAATATCAAAATATTCTTTGTTTCTTTGTTTCTTTTTTGCTTCAATTTTATGAAATAATTCCTACTTATCTATCACATTATTGTTTTAATTTATTCATTCTCTTTTAATAAACTAAGCATTTTTCAAAGTTTCAAACATTTTCATAAATTTAATATCTTAAATTTATCTCTTATTAATATTTTTATTCAATTTCTAAAGATATGTAAAATATTTTATTATTTTTAAATAAAATGAAATTAATTTGCATATTATTTTTTATCAAAAATTATTAAAAAAAGCTGAAGTATTTAATAAAATTTCTATATTTTACATAAAAAACTTACTTTTCTATTTTACAATCAAACAGTAATGATTTTCAAGATATTTTTTCTAAAGTCAAAAGAAAATTATATATCCAAAAGTAGTATCACTTTTATAAATTAGATGTAAAGATGTTTATTTATTTTTTATTAAAATATATAATTAAAACCTTTTTAGTTTTATTTTATTTATATTTTGAATTTGAATTATTTATTTATTTAAAGTTAAGAAAATAATTACAATCATAAAATTAATTAAAAAATGGTTATTAATAAAATAAATATGAATATAATAAAATCTGAATTTATAAAAATCTAAATAGTTTATTATGCCATTCATTTATTTTTATACAGTATGTTCATACAGTAAATAAACGATTAACTGGGACAGTGGATAAAATTTAATATTTTCATATTAAAATATGAATCATTCAAATTTTTTAAAAGCCAGTTTTTATCTTGTGCGACCTTAATTTATGATGATTTACCATAAATAAAGTTAATAGATTTATTTATTGTATTTTTTAATAACAAAATATTTTTATTAGAATTTATTTTTAATTTTAATAAAATATTTATTGATGATTGATTATATTTTTATATAAATAAATATAAATTTTTTACATCCTCCAATGTATTAAATAATAATTATGCTTCATTTTTTAAATTTAGGGAAAATAAAATATAAATTAGCAATAAAAGTTTTGCGAATGTTTCTTTTTTTTTTTGAAGTTTCATCATTTTTAATAGTAAGACTTTATTATTTAAAGTCGCTTAGTGTGTTGTTTTAGGTTTTATTTTGTCAACTAGAAAAATTAGAACCAGTCTCTGAAGAAGTTTGTATTGAAGTATCTCCTTAATTTGCTGCAACTTAACTTGAAATAGATCTAAAACCAAAATATCTACCACTTCCAATCATGAGTAAATTGGAATTACTTTAGCTTGTAGTTAACCTTCTTTAAGAGTTTTCATTCTATGAGCTATTTGTTGTTATTACTGTATCATCATCAAGTTCTTATCCTTCTAAATTATTATAAAGTATTGAATTAAAGTTGTTGTTATTGTTGCGGCTACTGCTGCTCGCATTAGTTGTTTAACTTTCATTATCAATATGAGATCTTAAAGTACTAGTAAAAAATGACGATCCTAAACCATTATCTTCATAGTTAGACCAAGAACCTATATTAGTTCTTCTGCTATTACTTTCTATACTACTATTACTTTCATAGTTATTTATTCCCTACTATTGTTGGTACTATTAATTCTATCTATTAGAATATAAAGGGCTTCTATTAATTATAGACTGTTATCTTGATAAATTGTTATAGCTATTACCAGTTACTCTTCTATATGCTTGAGCTAATCTTTAAAGCGCATTCCTTTATAAAATTCTAATTATGTCTGAGCTATTATTATTGTGTAGTCTTAGTATATTATCAATAAGTGAACCAGGATTAGGGTTATGTTCTCCTAATTAGTCATTAGTGTTAGGTGATAAGGTGCTAGATTCATAAATTTACTAATTATCTAAACTGCTACTACTTGAATCTGAAAAACCTCTTGTAGCTGCAGCTCCTTAAAATATTTATGTAATGCATTTATCTACTGCGAGAAGATATAAATTGTCCACTAATTTTAAGAAATCTGAATATTCCTACTTTTTTGCTATTCTCTAAGATTGTTTAAGCTACTTTCTAATTTCTAGTAAAAATATTTTATCATTTTCATTTGAAAGAATAATGGTGTCTAAAGTTCTTCTCAAATAAGATTTTAATGTTTATCTGACATCTAACTTGTCAATTTTGTCTTAATAGTATTCTAGGACTTGTTACTCAATAGGTTTATTTGATAACTCAATAGACTGAATAGTTAGACTTTATTTTTATGTCAAACTATCCTGTTTCTCTTCATAAGATATAGATCCAATCAGAGTGTGACTGTTAACTAAAATATTTATATCTTCTTGGTCCTATTAAACATTTTTTTCTTTTGCTTTTTCTACATTTTCTTAGAATTTTAACTATTTCTAATCAGATTATACTACAGACTCAATGTTTTTTTCAGGTAAATTATTTTAACTTTGCAATATTGAATTTACCTAATTGCCATTTAGCTTCTCAAAAAACTTTTTTTCTTTATTTTTTCTCCTCTTAACACTGGTAGAAGTCTCTCTTATTTTAAAACCCATTATGAATTAATATGGCTAAAAGAATTTAAGCTTTGATGTATGGTTAGTTTTTCTAAATAAATTTTGCTAGATAAATAATTATTAATAATTCATAAGGCTATAATTTTCTGATTTCGTTGTCTGATTAATTACCCACAATCAATACCAGAATAAAGTATATTTCTATTTTAATCTTCTTATTCTAATTTTTAAAGAAAAAATTTTGATCATACATTGACCAAAAAATTTTTTTTATTTACTGAGTGGTTTGATATTATTATTAATTTTTATTTTTATAAACAAATTAAATTATTTCTATCATAATTTTTATTTTGCTTATTGATAAAATAATTTTTATTTTTATTTTAAAGAATAAATAAACAATCTTTGAAGCTATTTTTTCAATAAAATGAATTTCATTTGCCTTAGAAATTCAAACAGTTTCTTTAAAATTAAATCATTATAATAATGTTTAATTTAATAAATAGTGAAATATCTTAAATATTTATTCTTATTCATACAATAAATTTTTAAAGTTGTATTTTGAAAATAGAATTTAAAATATTAAAATAAAATTAAAAATTATAATTTAATAATTTGTTTTATTTGATAAATAAATTTTATTATTTTATTATCATAATCTGTCTTCAAACAAATCTTTATGCTTTTATTTTTTATTTAATAATTGTTAAGTTAAAATAATTTTCTTAGTATTATTAAATTATTTTCTAACTATTTTTTTTAAAACTCAATCTTATTCCTTAAAAAAAAAATTGATATTAATAATTTACAATTAGAAAATTATTTAAAATTAGTTTTGACAAATTAATTAAAATATTTTTTTGGTTTTAAAGTAGCAAATTGAAATTAATCATAATATCTGATTTATCATATGAAAGAATTTATTTAATCTTCAAATTTTAATTACAAAATAAAATACATTAATATTCTTTTTTGAAGGAAATGATGGCACATTAAAAATTATTTTAATGTTAATTTTTATTTTAATTTTAATATTTTTAAATTATAAGCTGTAATTTAAAATAAATGCATTTTTTTAGCTCAAAAGATAAAAAAATTATAATGATTATTTACTGTTAAAGCTAAAACATTGAAGATGATTTGAGAGTTTGATTTTTGTAATTATAAATTTTTAAACTTGCAATTATTATTTATTGATTAAATATTTTTGAATTATAATCACTCAATTAAATACATCACTTTTTTCAATTAATTAATTGTTAAATGGAATTTGAAAAAAAATAATTACTTTTAATTTGTTTATTTATTTATTTTGTTAATTAAGCACATACAATATCTATAAAGATACAAATACATTCATTATTTGAATAAAATAAAAAAGTTAGATAGATAGATAAATGAGTAAAAGCAGAAATAACTACAATAGGGAAGAATATAAAGAGGGTATGTAAACTAGAATTAATAAAACTAAACTCCATTAAATTAATTGTTTTTTTGTTTAAATAAGATTATTTGAAAATTCTTCCACCAGGAACTGACGAAAATCAAAATGTTTATGGAAATTTGTATATTAGTGTAGGAGATCTTATGTGGCTTAAAACATCCTTCCCTCCTGAAAACACTAAAATTAGGGTTTCATTTTGGGGTTAATAAGGTAGTGGTAGAGTAATTATAGCTAAAAATTCTGCTGAAGAATTAAAAAATTATTATGTCAGCGAATTAGAATATGAAATTAGGTGTCCTGTAGTATTATTTTAAAAATATTTACAGGATATGGTCAAACTTAAAATAGATATTTTAGATAAAAGAAACGATAAAGTTGTTGGAAATGTTTTTATAAACATGTTATTATTTTTAAAAAACAATCCTAAAGCTGTTAACACTCCTATTGAAGACATAAAGGGATTATTTCCCATATTTAAAGTTCAAACAAATTGCAATAAACCAAACATGACTGAAAAAATTGGAGAGATTGAACTAGAAATGAATGTCAGATTTACCAAGTAGCCTCTTAATAAAAAATGTAATTAATTTAATAACCAATATTTAGCTTAATTTTATTAGGTATTTTTATATCAAGATATTTTGAAAAGTATTAGTAAATACTCAAATCATATTCATATTAATTTTTATTTAATAGTTGATCCTAGCCAGTAACATTTAGATAGTTCATTTATGTACAATGAATTAAAAGCTAACTAAGGTCTTGATCAAAATATGCAAGATTAAATATTGTAAGAGAACAGATCTTAACAAAAGAATATAGATGATGGTAAAAAATAAGGTGTATAACTTTAGAAATAAGGGAAACAATTATCCAAGATTTAGGAAGAACCAAGCTAAATGTAAATTGAAGATAATAGATATGGTTTGTAAAATTAGTAAAAAATGGTAGATATACCTTCAAATTAAAATGGGAATTAGAGATAATCAAGGCTAAGTTTATAAGAAAGAAATATTCACTTTTAAAATGAATAAAATCAAGAAGGTGAATTATCTTCTAAAAATAAAGAAAATTAGAAATAAGCAGAAGAAGATGAGCAAGCAATTACAAATGTCAAGATCCAAAAAATAATTAAAGATAAGTAAAGTGAGGAGTATTTACATATGCTAGAGAAATAACAATAAAAAATTATGGAGTAGTCTACTAGGTTTGATGAATTTGAAATACTAGATCCAGATTTAGAGTTACTAAAATTAAGAATGGATGAAGCTGAATTAATATCCGGACTCACTGCAGGAATCTATGCAGATTTAGTAAATGTTCCTCCAGAAAAAATTCCTGAATAAGAAAATTTAGATCTTAAAAGTGTAAATACATATGTAGTCCATGCAGATTCTTTCTTGGCAACTAATATGCTCTATAAGAAGAAATTGTAAAAGTCTTAACTATCTCTTACTATCTAGGTTCCTATTTTTGAATTTGCTGAAGATGGTACACAGAAGGTATTTTATGATTAGTTATATATTCCATGCCGTAGATAGCTATCATTAGAATAATCTCGCTTTGAATTTAACTAGAGTTTTCCATGTAAAATGTCTCTTCGTGAGACGAATATTTCCTAATTCACAGATTCTCGTATTTATTTTTAATTATTTGTTGGGGATGAAGATCCGTCTAGTCGTATTGAATTTGCAAGAGGAGAATTTAGATTTGATTAGTTATTGCTAAAGCCTTATCTTAAGGGAGCCTTTGAAATTCCAATGTATCCTTCCTCAAACTTTGTTGCTGGTTAAGGTAAAACTACAAACACAGTAGGAATTGGAGGAAATACAAAGACCATCGGAACTTAAAATAACTTGAATAAAACAAATAACAAAAAAGAAAATAACTAAAGTAATTAAATTGCTGGAGAATTGTGCATATCTGTAGCCTTGCTTAATAAGATATCTCCTTATCTTTCTGATTAAATTAATCTTCATCCAAACGTTGCTTAGAGATAAAAGTAAGAAATTTAAACAAAATAATCTATTAAAAGGTACACAGAAATATCCAGCATGAATAAAATTCCATTTTAAATCTTTCTTTTTGTCACATCACTAAACAACATGTCTAGAAATGTAAGTGTCAATGAATAAATCTTAATTCGCCATAAATTATATGGAAGAAATGAAAATTTAGAAGGATTGATGACAAATACAGATTTTGCTACTAAATCAATTATATTTAATTATAAGTCCATAATGCCCGTTGACGAGCAGTAAATCTAAAAAATGAATGTAGTACCATTTGTTTTAGAAATATGGAAAAAAAATAAAATCAATAACCAAGCATACTCCCCATCTACAGCAGAAGATTTCTTAGGTTTAATTAGACTCAATATGAAATCCATCCCTGAGCTAATTTTGAATCCTTAAGCATTTGCCAGCAATGTTTATCCTACTTTATTAGTAGAAGGTGAAATGCCTATTTGGGATCCTTCTACAAATAAAAATATAGGTAATTGTAATTTAGCCTTAGCTTTTGGAACTGTTTAGCAAGTTTAATTCTACGAATAAAAGGCTAATGAAAAGCAACAGCTTAATAAACTAAATTACTAATCTACCCTTCCCATAAACTAAATATAATAAAAATAACAGCAATAAACATATTAATAATAATCAGATTTAACTTTTATTCCTAAAAATAATAAAAATTTAATATTAGTTTCTGATGATAACGCTTTAGTTAAACATCAGTAATAAATGTTTATAGTAAATGATTAAAGTTAAGGAGCTGTCAATAAGGATAATCAAGTTGAAACATTATCAGAAAACGTTGCTAACAGCTAATTATCTTAAGAAAAGTAAATCCACAAAGTAAATAAAAATATTTCTTTTTAAAAAAAACTTCTTTGTTTGAGTAAATTCAAAAAACCTCAAAACAAAAACTATTTTTAATTTTAATTTTATTTCCAATTTTTGAAAAAATTATTTATTACTAAAAAGTTTAAAAAGATAAGATTTGACAACATGGAATACTCAAAAGAGGCTATAAACAAAGTGTTTGTTTTAATAATGGAAAATATAAGAAGAAATAAAAGACGTGCATAAAATATTTTAAGGAATTTTATTTTAAAGGCGGAGAAACACCAGAAAAGAGTAACTCTTAGGGAGTTTTACAATTTTTTAAATGATTTACCAATACAAGAAACTCTGCATATTAAAAATGGTTATTTGCATAAATTAATCTCTGTTCTAGATTTTGAAGAGAGTGGTGAGATCAACACAACTGATTTTGTAAAGAGCTATAACAGTTTTTTAAATTATGAAGACATATTAAGAGATTCTTACTCTTATGCTGTAAAAGAGTTTTCTCTTATACTTATAAATAAATCCTTTACAATAGCTGATTTTGAGAGAATTATAACAAGGTAAATAATATAAGTTAAATATACTATTTTTAAGGTTCATACTTTCATTAAAATTTAGATTTAGTGAATTTGGATTTGTGAGAAGAGAACACTTCAAAAGTATACTTGAAAAAGATTTTGAATGTGATAATATACTTGTAAATAGATTAATAGATCTTTTGGATATTCATGAAGATGGACTTATTTAATCAAATATGTTACCTGATTATTTAAGAAATATAGAAGTTTATGAAAAGCTTAACTACATACACTGTGATTCATCTAGATATGCTGAATTAGTCAAACAGAATCTGTAAGAAAATGTATTAAAAAATGAAGAAGGAGTTTAAGAGCTTATAATGAATGATGAATTAGCTGATAAGGTTATGAGTGCTAGAGACATACAATATCTAATTCAAGGATTAGGTTTAGATATATCCTTCTGGGAAGCAACATGCATAATTGAATCAATAAGATTATAGTTAAATGTTCCAGTAACAGATCCCTCAGATGAATTTTAATTGCCATTTGTATATCTTTCTGATTGGTTACAATTTATAATGAAACAGAAGAAAGAAGACCCTTAGTTTAATTACTACTCATACTTAGTTGAATAGAGAAACAGAATTATAGAAGAATAGCTGTTGAATAACTAATTATCTGACAGAAGAGGAGGTTAAAAGTCTGTTCCTGTTACTTAAAGAAACTAAAACCTAACAGAAAACAGCTCTAATAAATATACAGACCGCTCACAAAATAGAAAAAGTGATGCAAAATAATAAATACAAGAAGACGATGAAGAAGATTTAATTTAATTAGTTAAAAATAATTACAAAAAAGTTTGAAGTCGAATTATTAAAATAATTTAAAAATTTTTTTTTATTTATTTATAAATATTTTGTTAAAGTAATTTTTATGGATAATATTAATACACACATATACTATTCATTTACAATTATTTTTGTGGTTTTATATTTCTTAAATAAGATATCTAGATAAAAATACAGAAACAAGGTTTAATGTAATTCAATCTCTAATTTTTGTATTGTTTATCTCAATATTAAAAATAGAAATATATGAATAATTAAATGTATTTTGAAGCTTTGATCAGCAATTTTTTTAGAAATGCCTTAAAATGGTTTTAATTTAATAACAATTTTGTTTTAAATTTGATGTCTTTAAGATAAAATGAAAAAAGATGTCAATTTTCCTTGGATTAACCATACTTTTTAGAGTATTAAATACTCTATTCACTATGGCATCCATTTAATGCTTTACAGCCTTTAAATAAAAAATAAAAGAGTCTAAATTGATTTATAAAAGTGTAAATAAATAGTCTTTTTACAAAAGAATCCTCCTAATGCTGCCATAAATAGTACAATCAAAACAGGTATTATGTTAAAATTGATTATTTCTTCTTAAAAATGACTCATATTTTATTATATAAATATAATATAATTCGACTAAATTTTGTTTGATATTTTATAAAGTAATGAATTTTTTTTAATTAAATTAGAACATTTTGAATTTTTTGGCTGATTTCTTTTTAATTGATTTACTTAAACATAATTTACAATACTAGTTTGTATATATTCAATATCGATTTATATAATTTATATTCATTATTATATATTAAATTTTTTTGAGCCCACTTAATTTATTTATTAGAATGTAATTAACTTAGTTAGTTAGTTAGAATAATTTTTTAATTGTATCAGTGGCTATCTAATTATAATAAAAATGTACAAATATTCTTTTAATTAAATTTTGAAAATGTATTGTAAGTTTTATTTTAAATCCTATTTCCTTTGCGCCCAAAGAATATGCTAGTTAAATTACATTTAGTTAAATATTTAAAACTTTTTATCATTATTATTATTATTATATTACATTGTTGTTTATTTGTTTACTTATCTATTTTATTAGTGGCATTAATTTTTTTGCTCTTAATATTTTTTATTTAGGCTGTTTTTAACACATTCGTTTATATCTTCATTCATTTATTGACTAAATAAATATATCATTTATTTTCTGTTTGTTGCCTTTATTTTTATAGATATTAGTAATATTTTGTTATAAATTCATCTTAACCAGAGTGAGAGATAGACCCTTTTCTGGTATCTCTTATTATTTTAATCGCTTATTAGTCATTAATATCTGGATTTATTTCAAGTAAAACACAAGCGCCTATTGTTCCAGTTCTATTAAGTCCTGCAAAGCAGTGGATTATTATGTTTTTTTTATTATTTAATTATGGTAAAAGTTGTTGATTAATGAATTTATGAAGGTCTTCTTCATTACTTGGTACAGAATTATCAGGAATAGGATATCTCAGTTACGTGATTCCTTATTCTTATGCAAGTTTTTCAATTTAATCTAACCCATAAAACATTATTTCACAATCTTCAAGCAATGTTAGCAAAATATCACAATTAAAATCTTCTTTGTAAGTTACAAAAGAGGAATTATTTTAAGTCAACGGACGGCATGTCAAGCCTATTGAACATTAGTTATAATTTCCTAGGTGCAGCTTGTCTATTTAGTTAACTTGAGATAATTCTTTTGTTTGCTTATCCATTACTTAAATTTGAATAAATAATTAAAAAATTTAACATAGAATTTTTAATAATTTGATAATTATTTATATATTAGTCAAACAACATTATAATGAAAAAAAAGTTTATTCTTAAAAATAATAAAATACAAATAATATTTTTAAATTAATGAATATAAATGATAGTATATTATAAAAACATACCATCCTAAATAGAACTCAATTTCATAAAATAAACAGATATATTTGAGCATATTATAGGCAGTTTTTATTTAAAAATTAGTTTTCTTAATTAAATATCAATTATTAAAGAAAATGTATAATCAATCATTGATTCATTTACTATTTAGTTTAATTATTTTTACCTGATAAAAAATAAATCATCTATATAAAAAAAGCCAATCAATCAAATATAAGAAAATTGTTTATAAATATGGTTTACATACAAGCTTTAATCTAAGAAAAGAAAGAATAATTTTAAGGCTTGAATGTAGATTTAAAAGAGTTCAGAGAAATTCTTCACAAAATAGGAGAAATAAATACAAAATATGCATTGGATGAAGAAGTTATTGTCTAGCTATACAATGTACTCTTCCAAAAATAAGAAGGGTATGTAACAATAGAGGGAATAGAAGCCCTTATTCTTTAATGCTTATTAGAGGAATAAAGCTAATACTAAAAAAATGAGTAATAAAGTTAGGATTTAGATTAGTTAGAAATTAAGAGTATGAAACACATTTAGCTTGAGGAAAACTGTCTTGTCTCAACCTACTAGCACTTAAATTTTGATTCTATAAATTAGATACTATTTATTTATAACAAAGCGCTCAAAATTGCCAAGGCTTAAGACTAAGATAAGTGCGAGTTACAATTAATTCTTAAGCAGATAGACATTTTGAATAAGTAGGGCAAGTTATTACTTGATAGCGATTTAGCTAAATAAATATTTCAAATGTTAAGCTGTAAAATTGAAGAGAACAATTAAGATTACGTTTTTAATAATGAATTATAGTAGTATATAAGTAAATATGAAAACTACATTCTACTTAATAAATATGGTTAGAATAACATAGAAAATTATGAGTAAGCATATGTTTTCCACGAAAGTGAAGAAGAATGCACAAGTTGTGACAGTTAAAACAATTCTTAAAATGAAATAAATAAAAGAGGTACTGAAAATAATTCTATGGTAGGACAACAAAAAGATAGTAATTAAGATAAAAAAAGTTAGCAAATATCAAATTAACAATTTACCTCAGTCATTAGCTCACTTTCTAACATATAAGATATGAATTCTTATAAATATTTAGATAATAGAAATTATTTTATAGAAAATAATTATGTGTAAAGCATGAGAGACTTATATCCAGTACTAAGTGAATTTGAGTCTAAAGATAAAAATTACAAAGGCATAGTTGAAAAAATTTAACAATTTTATTCTTCTCTTTAATAAGAAATATAGAATTTATAGTAGCAACTCTATGAAAAGGACAGCTAAATCTAACATTTTGCTGAAATTAAGTCAATGAAAGCCTAAAGAATTAGTGAAATGCAAAAAAAAGAAGAAGAATACATACACCAAATTTCCTATCTCGAAGATAAAATATGTAATTTATAAGAAAATATTGAGCAGCTTAATAAACAGATAAAAGAATATCAAAGCAAAGAAAAAGAATATAATCAAATTGAGTAAGAACATGACAGATAAGTAAAAGAGTTAAAAAGCAAAGATTAAGAAATAAAGGAATTAAAACATTAACTTTTTGAATTAAAAAAGAACTTTCATGAGTCAAAATAAACCTAATTGTCATAAGAATAAGAAATTCTACATTTAAAGAGTAAAATAGAGAAGAGCCCTGCAGAGTAAAAATTAGATATGATTTATTATTTTTTATTTTTGCCACTACTGGTTGCTTTTTAGAATTTATAAATGAATTATTTTGTCTATTTAAATATATTAAATATCTATTTGCTTTCTTTAACTTTTAATTGTTTAATTTGGCTGAATAAATATTTACAAAATACTTATTAATTAATTTTTAATCAAATTTCTTTACAGTATTTTTATAACAAATCAAATAAATTTTCCCACACTAGAATTGATTGATATTAAGTTTAATAAATTTATAAGCTTTTTAATGAGGAATTAATTTAAATATTTACTTAAATTATAATAAGATCGCAAAATAGTTCTTTGTATAGCACAGAAAGACAGAATTTTGAATAGCTTAATGGTGTTATTTCATATTTAGAAGATGAAAATTCTCAGTTAAAGTAAGAAAATGAGCAACTGAAATAAAAAGTTTAGCATTATGTAAAAGTAATTGAGGATAATGAAGAAAGTAATAATAATTTATAATCAGAAGTATTTACTTTAAAAAAGCAAATAAATGAAATAAATGATTCCTTTTGCAACTCTCTAAATGATATAAATTTAAGTACTAAGTAAGAGTTGTCCATTTAGCAGTTAGCTCATAGAAAATCAAAAAGTTTATTTAATAGATTGTCTTGGCAAGCTGAAATATAATAACTAAACAATCCCTATACAAATGATAATGATTTGGTTTAAACAAATTTGGAAAACGATCTAGAATAGATTTTGTCAAATAAATAAATAGAATCGGAAGAAAATACTTAAAATTAAGTAAAATAAAATGATAATGATCAATAAAAAACTGCTTCAAAAAAATAACGCACTAAATAAATTTCTTTTTAAAATTAAGAAAATTTTTTAGGTGATATATTAAATGATACAAAATAGAATAATAAGGTAGAGTAAGTTAGAAGCGGTTTTAAAAGGACTAATTGCTTCAGTTTTGCAGCTTTAGAAGTTATTTAAAGTTATCAAAAACTTCAAACAAAAAAAGATGTCTTGGAATAGGAGTAATATTAGAGATCTCCAGAAATGACTACAAGTTAAATACCTAGTATTTAATCTACTAAAATGTAATTGAATTAAGAAGACTATATGACTACTAGCGTGTAAGTAATGTAGACTAGTATATAAAAACAAAATGATGAGAATAGATATCCTGAAAGTAAATGTAATTTGTTTGATAAGCTTTTTATTTGTTTAAATGTAATTTTCAAAATTAAAAATTTTAATGTTTAGGTACAATTCCGAAAACAGAAAATACTTAAGACAAAGTGACGCCAAGCTTTTAATAAATGTTGTAAGGTGATACTAATTTTTATTGGAATTAGTTGAACAAACAATTGTTTTCAAATAACTAAAATAAATATAATCAAAATTTTATTGAAGAAGAAAATAGCATTAATGAAAGCAGGAAATAGATTACTATTCAGTAATTTAGTGTATTATAAGATTTCAGCAGAGGTAAAGAAAATAATGCATAGACTTAAGGTTTTTCCTTCCCATAAGTAAACTAACTTATCAATACAGATAACTTAAATTTAAAAGAAGATCCTAGAGTTATTTAAATTAGAGAAACATACGAATCTAATTTAAAAAGAAATAGCTCAGAAAATACTTTGAAGGAAAATACGAATTTATGTAAAAACGATACAAATTTATCTGTTGAATATTTTTATTCTGATTCCATATATAGAATTAACGCTTAAAATGAAAAAGAGCGCAGAATTTTATTTATAACTTCTTAATATGTGTACATCATTAATCCTACTGAAAATTTTAAGATAGTTAGAAAATTTTAAGTGCGATTAATAAATAGAATAACTTTTAGCAACATAAGTTCTAATCTTTGCGTAATTCACGTATTGAATTAATCAGATTACGTTATTGAATCTTGTAGAAGGTTTGATTTGAATATATTCTTAAAGAATTTATTCAAGGCTCTAAATTTACCCACCTATATGATTTCATTTGCAGAAAATCTTTTAATAAGATCTAAGAAAAAAGATAAGATATTTAAGTCCCCAGTTTAATCTGTTTAAAACGAAAACGTAATTCCTTTTATTTAAAAATATGAATATTAAATATTTACTAAAATTAGACCGAAAATTCATTAGGTACAGATTAGAACAAAATGAAATGTTTACCACCTCAAAATGAATCTACGAGCATAGTAAATAAGAATATTCTGGAATAAAAAATAAATGCTAATATCCAATCTAATAGCTTTAATAATAAATTGTATTTTTTCAACATCTAAATGAAAATTAATTAAAATATGATATCAAATTTTTTATTCAATCCATGGAAACCATATCTATTATAAATAAATAATACCCAAGCAATAATATTTAAAGATTAAAAATAAGATGTAAAAATAATGGAGGTTAGTTTGATAGGAGCAAGGATCCATGAAGAAATGCAAAACAAAGATAAAGTCATTATCTTTTAAATAAAAAACTAAACAAATCCTATTTTAATTAAAGTAAGTGATTCTGATGAATATAAATAATTACTCGCGTTAGCTTAAATAATAACAGAAAACTGAAAATTTTGATTATATTCTTATTGAAGCACTGCATATTTTTTATATAACATAAATAAAATACATCAGAAAATACGCTGTATTAAAATTAGTTAGTTAATTGTTGTTTGTTAATCATCAAAAAAACAAACTTTAAATTTTATGCAAGTTTATATATATATATTTAATGAATCTAAGTAGAAAATACTAATTTCTTTAAAAATTAAATATTCATTCAGATAATTTCATATAAAAATCCATATTTTTTCATCATGATTGGTAATTTTTATTCTGACACAAATTTATTTCAATATTTTTGGCTTTAAATATTGATTTTACTCTATTAAAAATAAGTTTTTAATTTAAATAAATTGAATACACCACAAATTAAGTTAATCAAAGTAAACAATCTATTTTATCTTCATCAATTTATTAGGTAGATGATCAAAATTTTATTTCTTTATAATTAAAAAAAAATAAATTAATATCTAAATTATTCACTTTATTTTAAAAATGCAATCTAATTTACAATACTCTCCCAAATTTATTTTTCCTCAACATGAAATTGAACGTCTAATTGAATTTCTTTCTTAAGTCTAATCTGACTAAAATGTTAATTTAAAGAATTACGATGAGCGCTTTCAAGAATACTTGTCAAAATAAACATATTAATATCTATAAGGATTGAATTAAACTCCAATTAGCAATTAAAACTAAGAAGTCAACAAAGAAAGCTACATAAAAATATTAAACCTCTTATTTCCTAAATAAAATGAATAATTTATGCTTCAAAAACAACAAAATATATAATAAAACATCTGTAATTAGTAAGATTCTTATCAAATTTTCCTTCTGAATACACTAATCTAATTAAGTAACAACTCAAAATGCTAATAAAACAGCACTTAATAAATTGAAAATATAAATGCTTATAGTGAAAATATCGATAAAAGCTTTAATTAATTCGATGCTGACTCTTAGCAATGCAAGGATTATATTTAAAAACTCATTTGCACAGTAATCCTCAAAGATTTAGAAATAAATTCTTTGAAATAACAACTATAAAAATAAGTAATTGCTTAGTTTAGCTAAAAATAAGAAGACCCTAAGAATGAAAGTTAGAAGACCCTTTCAAAAATTAACAAATAACTAGATGAAATAATGAATTTAATTGAAATGAAAGAAATTCTATAAAATGAGTGTGATTGTTCAAAATCTCATGTTTTTTAAAATCAAAAGTAATTCATTATTTATTTGAAATTCTTATATTAATTTTTTGAACATAATTTATTTTAAAAATAGATTATTTAACTTTGATATCAAAAACTAAGAAATTGATTTGTAAAAATTATAGTAAAAAACTGAAGCTGTTAAAAATAAAATCGAACAATTCCTAGATGAAATGAGACAAAATAAAATCTAAATTACTTAGTAACTCAAAAGTTTAGATGTTGATTAAAACAATCAAATTTATAAAATTCAAAACAAAAAGCAAAAAATTGATTTTAGAAAATCTAAGACATGCATGTCGCTTGATTCTAAACTCTAAGCATAAAGCTAATAGCAGTAAAAATACACTCTTTGCTAACCTAATAAAAATTTCAGTGATTAAAAACTTGTTAAAATGATAGAAAAAAACTCCTCTGAAACACCTAAAAGTACCACTTTTTTAATTATCTTATTTTATCTAATTATAATTTTAATTATATTAAAAAGGAAACAGCTTAAAATAGAATTATGAAAACCCAATAAACAATCAAAATATAAAAAGAAAATCCTCCTTTTTCCATAATTAAAAATTCAAAACTTTTAATGAGGCTGATAATAATAGTAATTGCCTTCAATTCATTGACACTGACTTCGCTGGCATAAAAAACATGACATCAATTTAAACTTTATTAAGAAAAAAATAAACTGAAAATACAGAAAATGTTTCTTACTTTTTTAGTGATTAAGTTAAAAAATTTTCTCATTCCAAAAAATGCGAGGAGAAAGTTATCTGCCTTGATGAAAGTAGCTTTTATGTTTTAAATGGCACTGACAATTTAAATGGATATAAAAAATTCCCTATCAAAGATATTTCAAAAATTATAATATCTCAATCAAATTAGAATCTGTGCTCCATACATATCTAATAGGAGTTTGAACTTATAATAGAAACATCTCACAGAGAGTTACTTCTAAAATATATAATAAATATATTTTAAGATGTTCTAAAAATAAATTAACCAATTATTTAAAATTCTTCTTCTCATAAACAATAAAAAACACAAAAATAATAAAACATACTCAAAAATGCTATATTAAATTAAACTAAATAATATTTAGATTAAAATACAATTCAAAATTATCAACAAGAAATTAATAAATCGTTCGACTCCATATCACAAATCTAACAATGATAATTTTTGTATAACCATAAAATTAATATATAAAAATACTTCTTTAAAATAAGGGTGACAAAATGATATTTGAAAGTTGCTTTAAAAGCTGATCAATTATCAATCACTTAAATAATAATGATATAAATAACTTTTAATAAACAAATGAATTCTAACTTGGTAATAATCAAGGAAATTAAACAAAATTTGTATAATACTAATACAAATCTAGTTTTTCTATTCAAATTTCACTTAAAAAATAATTTATTATAAAAATAAGCAATTAAAATTTTAAAATAAAAAATTAATTTATTTAAATTTTATATTTTACTATCTAACTCCTTAAAATAAATATGTTTCAAATTATTATTCCATCTATCAATTTTTTATTCATTTTTAGAAAGCTAGTTAATATTTTTTTTTGGATAAAAAAATTTGTAATTTGTGATGAACTACACTCAGTTTTTAAAAATCAAATTTATTATCTTCTAACAAACAAACAATTAATTTCTATTTTTCAAAAAGATTTTGAAAGCTTTTAAATACTTTCTTACACGTCATTTGCAATTTTTTGATGAATAAATAACAAAGATCGATATCATTCAACTCGGTCTCTCCATTTCGAAAATAATATCCACCTTTGCCAAAAGTTCCTCTCACTTTTGGATTAAATTTAGAGCTCTAAAAAAGATAACATTATATATAATTTTACGAATAATATTCAAATGTTAAACTAGATAATAGTGCAAACAATTAACAAATTTAACCAGAAAAAACTAATCTAATATTAAAATAAGAAGAGAGAGGTACTTCAAATAAATTAGCAAAGTAAAATTCTAGTTTCAATGATATTTATTATGAAAATATTACTACAAATGCTACAAACGCGTTTGATTCATAAACAAGAAGAGCCACCTCTAAATTATCAAATTATAGTATTAATAATTCAAAAACACACATAAAACCACCTATATAATAATTACATATAAGCCAAAGAAAATCTCAAGTTGATAATTTTAATTAAAACAAGAACAGTAGCTTCGTTATGGTATTATTCGTTTATAATTCCTTATATGTGTTAAATTTTAAAATTGAGAAGGGAAAAAAAATTATAATTAACTGACTCAATTATATGTTTGTTATCATATTAAAATTTTAATATTTAAACTTTTTTTACTATACTTATTTTAGAATGAAGTTAGCAAAGAATAGCTCAGGGTCGATTACAGTCAAGGAATTGCATAAAGAAGCATTTCTTCTAAAAATTCTTATAGGGATAGAATTAGTTAAAATGTGTTAAATAATAGAACAAATTAGATGTAAATTTAAAACAATTCATGTGATGGCATAAATAAATAGAAACAGATCAATAAAAAATAATTAAAAGGAAATTTTGCCAATGATTTTGGCTAGGATAATGATGCCTTTAAAGTACCTGATCAACCAAGATAATACAATCCTATTCATATTTCATTTTATCATAATTATCATGATTAAAAGAAACCTAGATAATAAAATCTAATCTAGGAAAGTGATAAAAATAGCTTTTCTAACGCTGAATCACTAATTCCAAAAGAGAAAAAACAGCTAAAATCTGATGAAAAAGTATATAATAACTTTTTAAAAATTAAGGAACGTAAATAATCTAATGATGTTTATAAAAATGCTAATACAGTGGTAGTTAACTCAGCAAAGTAAGCTAACTTAACTGAGCAACGTTATAAAAAATTATAAGATCCAGATAGGATATTGTAATATATTGAATAAAAAGAAATAGGCTTTGATACAACTCCAGATATTTTAAATGCAATAGAAATAGCTCAAAAAAATACAGATGAATAACTGATAAATAGAAAAAGATAGCCATTAGCACCTATCCCTGTTTGGCAAGAGGATAATTAAAATTCTAAAAAGACTAATCTTGTCAAACATATTTAAAAATTTGATCTAGATTTTAATCAAATCGACGAAAAATAAATTAATTAATATATACAATAAAAAGAAGACTTCCTAAATTAAATTGAAATACAAAGGTATTTTGAAATAAATTAATCTTTTTAATTTGAAAATTAACTTTTAGAAGGATTAAATGATTTTTTATTGTACTATTTTTATAGTAAAATATGCTTTCTTTCTTTGAATAATCCATTGAAATTAAATAGCTTTATTGTATTAAAAAATGGATTTTGCAATTAATTTTTATATAATTTTTGATACCTATTGTTCAATATTTTGTGCATTATAAATAGATATAATGAAAGATATAACTTAAGTAAAGAAAAAGTAGACCAGAAGATGAAAAATAAAAAAAAATACTAAATACAAAAAGAATTAGAAAAGGAGCATGATTCTTTTGAAGATTTACATATCCCACTTTCAAAATTAGAAATCAATAAAAGCGATAGCCCTAACTTATAAAAAATCAAAATAAAAAATGCTAAAGACAGTCCAAAAGTAGTTATTTCTACTAAATAATCTTCTTTTGACATGAAATATGGTTCAATATAGCCATTTAAAAAATATCGAAGAGAATTTGACGAGTATTCCACTTAACAAAAGTATTTGATGAAAACTCAAGAATAAAGCCCTTTAAATAACGGATATTCTGGGTAATTCTATTTATATTTTCTTATATAAAATTATTAATTTTTTAAAGTAAAATAGAAAAAATGAAAAAACAAAACGAGCAACTATCCAAAATAACTAACCTTCTTCATCAGATATAAAGAGACGATCCATTATTTTGATTTGTTATGTTTTTATGTTATAAATAAATCATTTATGATATTATTTTCTCTTAAAAAAAAAAATATTTTTTCTACATTTCCAAAATTTATTAACTCCTTTATTTTTTTATTTATGAATTTTTATTTAAATATTTTATGAAGCCTATACAAGTAAGAATCATTTGTTTGACCTATCTTTTTGAATAAGAGATATTTATTTTAATAATTTATTTAATGTATAAATATTTAATAGAACTTAAATTTAATTTATATATAACTAATTAATAATATTCCACAAATTAATCTTATAAAAATCTATCTCTAAACAGTAAAATATATAAAAAATATATTAGCAAAAAATTTTTGTTAATATTTTACTTTATGAAAATCAATAATTTTCATTTTATCTTAAAGAAATTGTCAATAAAATTAATATATCTTAAAAATATACAAATAAAATTAAACTTATTTATTCTAAATTTAAGTAGCATATTTGAAATAATTATTTTAAAAGTCAGCTGTTTCAATCTCTCATTAAATTAATTACTTCTTAAAAGATAATTCCCTTAATAAATTTGAAGGAATAGGGAAGTGTAAAATAATATTACTTTTAGCAAAAAAATAAAAAAAATAAAATTTTTAATTTCATTAAAAAAAACAAAAGAATTTTTGAAATATTATAGCAATTAAAAAAAATAGTAAAGTATAATAAATAATTTATTATTAGAATTAATGAATTAAAATTTTCATTTTTAGATTTAGGTCTAGCATATCATTTGGTTAACTAAAAATAAAAAAATGAATGGTTCATAGTCTTGAAAAATGAATATTGGTGGTAATATTTGAAATTTAGAAAAAAAGTTAAGCAAATAATCATTTTTTTCTTAAATAATTTGTTCAGTGATTTTGCTTTGGTATATTGTTTACTATAATGAAATATTAAAATTCACCAATCATATGATTTCATTAAAACTTAGCTAGTATTTGTTAACAGAATTTACATTAAATTTACTTTACTGCTTTAAGAAATATTGTTAGAATCTATTTTGCGAGAAGTAAATTAATTAAATAAAAGAAAATCAAAGATTTAATTAAAAATACAATAATAATTTAGTTAATCGTACAAATTTAGAATAAAAAGAACACTATGGTTAAATTTTTACTTTTATTCTGTGTAATTAGATTAACCTTTTCTCAAATATGTAGTAGTTTTTGTTTAAAATGCAATAATCCACAGCTGCTATGTGATTAATGCCAAGAAGGTTTTGTTGTAAATAATTAAAATGGAAAGTGCCAATCTAATTGCAAATATGGTCAATATTACTATTAAGAAATAAATTAATGTGTTTCTATTTGCCCTGATAAATATTATAATGATGATGAGTCATTCACCTGTAGGTAATTATAAAATTGTCCTTTTTTATCGGAGCAGGGATTACAATTTTTCGATGAGTTTAGGCTCTCTGTTACACTCTAAGATTTTGTTGTGGCAGCCGGTGTAAGTTATTTGTATGAAGATTTTACCTTAAAAATCTTTAATGCAACTAATGGAAAATATCTTGGATACTTGGATGGACATGATTCTGAAATTATAATGCTGAATGTAATTGAATCTACATAGCAACTATTAAGTATAAGTGAAAATTAGATGATTTGGTGGAATCTTTACTATGGATAAAAGGACTATGTGATTGAATTTGGTAAATTAGATGACAACTAACAAATGTTCCAAAATCAAATACAAAGTAGCAAAAGAAGTACTTATATGTATAAATTAGATAAAGGGATTTAAATTTATTATGATGAACAAATTATTATTTTAATGCTAAATCCAAAATAATTTGGAATTCTTTATCATTAAAATATGAGAAATCACTTAACCTCAACTATAAATATATAATAATTTTAGTAATATTTTTAATTGTTTGACACTGTCCATGTATCAGCAATAAAGGGATTTTTTAAAATCTAAGACGGCATTATAGGTAGTTATTCTAGTCAATAGATTCTAACTTGGGATATTAAGTAAAATAAAACGATTAGTGGATCTAAAGGTGTTTGCAACTTTGATAAGTAAATAATACAAAGAGTAATAAAAGTAAACGAAAATTAAAACATAATATAATTCACCAATCTCCCTTCTTTACAAATTTACGATGTAGAATTTAACTTTTGCATCTCAGCAGAATTTGATCCACCTCCTCACGATGACAAAGATAACAAATTTATTATCGAAGATATTTTAGTTTTTGATTAAATTTAAAAATTAATAATTGTTAGAACTAAAAAATCAATATTCTTTTATAAATTGTAGAAATACATAGATACTGCTAGTGACAATAAATTATATTACACATTAATCTAAATAGGTGAGTAAAACTCTAATAATGTGTTTGTACAAATAATTCCTAATTTTAATTATATTTTAGTTTTGCAATCATCTGGGCTTTTAAAATATTTTCTGATTACTCAAACTGAGGATAGCATAGGCTTAGATCTTATCGGAGATATCGATTTTTAATTTAATTAATAAATGTATATTACAGATATTCACTTTCAAAAAGAAAGCTTAACCACTATTTTGATTGGTAAGGGAATTATATGTGCTAAATTTAACTCTGCTAAAAATGATGAATTTTTTGATTATGAAATTATTTCATCTTTAAAAAACATTTCTCCATAACTTAATGGTCACAGAAGCTAGATAAATGGAATTGTTATAGATAGAGTCTTTAAAAACAGAATAATTACTTACAGTTCTGATGGGTCTTTTAAAGTTTGGTAAATGCTTGAAGACATATCTCATATGGATGGCTTTACTCCCATAAATTCTTAAGGGGGATATTTAGAAAAAGCTAGCTTGTTATTTGATTAATATCATCCTTAATGCAATATTATTGAAAGTAGTAAGTGCTCTTGGGGAGTTATAAATTTAGAATAAATAGAATAGAATTTAATTTTAACATAATACTCAGATAATTTTATAATCATATGGGAATATTATGAAGACACGATATCACTTAAATTTAGGTACAGCTTAGCCGATGAATCTATAAAATTGAATAACTATTAATATAATAAGGATTTAAAATATTTGCTTATTTGTAGTGAGTAATAGCTAGTAATATTTGATACCTAAAACGATGGTGAAGTTATTTTTAATGAGGCAAACTTTTATCATCGAGGGTACTTCTTTAAAGGTGATAAAAGTTATGATAATAACTATACTTTAGTGTATCTTCTCAATTTAGGCGCGAAATTTAAGTTTATGGCATATTATTATGACATAAATACATAATAATTCACTCTACAGAAACAGAATAGTTTTAAAAATCAATACATTTATTCTGAAATATTTTCAGATAGCGTCATAATTTGTGTTACAGCAAATAATTTGTATTACTAATTAAAAAAAAATCCTGATCACATCAACGTCAGCATGAAATTTCCAATTGTTTATTTTACCCGTGATCCTGAATCATCAAAAACTTTTCTTTTATTTAAAAATGGTATGGTAGGCATAGGTGATGCTACAAAATTTTAGTATTTTAATATTACTAGTTCTAGCGTTACACTAAGATGCACAGCAATAGCTAAAAATCCTCTAATACTATTTTACTTTTAAAATAATGTCTATTATCCAGGATACAATCATGTAATAAATTTCAACTTAAACAAATTTTAACAATTTAATATGTAAATAAATACACTTAGGTATTGGGTATCAATGACAAATTTGAAGTGGTTTTTTATTTGGTTTTTGATTACACAATTTCTTCAATTAATGTTGACTCGAATAATTCTAAGCTATATATTGGATTTTAAAATGGTAAAATTTATCATGGCAGCTATGTTAAACAATAAATAAACACCAGAGACAATATCGCTAATTTAAACATGCCACTCTATTCGACCTCTTTGAGATAACTCTTTTATAGAGGCACAGTAAGAACAAAAATTAAAAAAAACATATTTAATTTAAAAAAATGAATTTATTATATAGACATCAATACTCAAGAAAGACTTATTTACTAACTAATTAGTTGAATTTAATTAGAGCGGAAAGTAAGCAGTGCATAAGCAGAAATTAGAGGGATATCTAGTTGATGAAATAAATAATTTCTTAATTACTTTTTCAAAAGAAACTAGTACTTGCCTCTATAGATGGTCTCTTTAGAACCCATAATAAAATTAAAAAATTAGTGATTCAGATACCAAAGGCATTTCTAGAGCATTTTTAGATTTAAAAGGTGATATTCTGATAGGTTACAGTGAAAATTGGCAAGATCCAAATAACTACTGGTTTAATATTATTGTTTGGTAATATAGCACTCTAAAGAAGCTCTATATTAATTAAAGTCATAAGCTATTTTTTGAAGACTAAAAAAAGGATGAGCTTCCAGAAAATATAAGCTAAATGGTGTATACAGTCAGGCAAATAATTTACATGCCTAACAATCAAACAATAGTTAGTCTTAATAATTATTTCAATGTCTTTATTTATTATTATACCAAAGACTAATCTGATTAGATTGCAATTAAAAATATATTTAAGCTTTTTTATGATGACTAAAGTAATTACCTTTATGCAAGAATTGTTGATAATCTATCTCAATCGATATAAATTTATGATCTTTAATTTAAGTTGAAATCAACTAAAGTTGAACACACTTTCGAAATCAGAGATATTATTTTTTCAGGAAATAAAGCTATTATCTATGATGTTTAAACTATCCTAGTCTTAGATAGATAAAATTTATAACAAATTTAAAAATTTTCTACAGTTAATCCTAAAGTTACTAGCTTGATTGTATCCTCTAAATTAAATTTAGCTATAGTATGGAATAATTTTATGACAGATGACGTTTTATTCTATAAAATTGGTATCTTTGAATTAACAACTGGTAAATCTATTTATGAGTTGTAGCCTTAATCAAGTACTGACTATGGTAATAATAATTTGGTATATTTAGAGGAATCAACTTGCTAACTTTATTATACAAGAACTACTGGGAATATATATTCTTTTAATGTATGTGAATTATATAATTCAGGGGTTTATTCAGCGAATATGTAAAATATTACAGATATGCTCTATATACCAGAATTTAACTATCTTTTAACAATAAATTCGAATCAGGCTTGGTAAAATACTATTTATTTTTAATACTAATTTTATTTATAATTTTATTTTAGCTTAACTAGAGTAGAGTCATCTATAAGCTCTAAATAAAGATTTTCTTCTCTTTATTCTTAGAAGAATAATAATTATTTTATGAATAAAGCAAGTGATAAAATTTATTACATAGATTTTGATAGCTCAGTATGGCAGTTGAATAACAAAAATTATAACTTTGGGTATATTTCATAACTCGATAAAATTTAATATAGCAAATATTACAACAATTATTTTTATGTTGTCTCCAAAACTCACCTTTATTCATACGATTTGGATTTCAAATTAATTAGAAGTATTGAAATACATCTAAAAAACATTTATTTTTCTGGAGATTACATTTTCTTTCAAAATTAAAACTTCGTACTTGGCAAGTTAAATATTAAGGATTTTTCTCTCGATTCAGCTTTTTAAATCCCATTAAGCTATTATATTTTTGACTTTTTCGTTTTAGAATCTTTCAGTGAATTTATTTTTTATGATGGATCATAAAAGATATTTCGATATAATTATGTAACAAACTAAAAGATTTATGAAGAGCCTGTATTACAACCATTTTAAAAAGGATATTTCTTTAGATAACTCAATATGATTATTCACATCTAAAAGAACTCAGATATTATTTTTTATTACAATTTAACAGCTAATATGAAATCTTAAGATTCAGCAAATATATATTAATTTAAAAATTCTGATTTTCAATCAGTTGCCACTTAAAAATTATTTTTTGACAAAGATAATTTAAACCTAATTATAAGTTATGCAGATAATACAATTAGAGTCTTCAAATTATCCTTAGTAGATAATTAAATTTAATCACTAACCTAAATTAAAGCAATCCCATAACCTTCTGTCACAAATATTTTAAAAATAAAGATACGAAACTAAAATTTATAGCTATTTTTACCATGGTAAGTCATAGAATATGACAGACAAACTTTTATCTAAAAAAATAATTTCAATAGCAGTTAAGTATTTTAAAGTTTGTAAGACTACTCTATCAGTAAAGATTATCCTAACTATGGTTTTATTTGGTAGTAAGACTCAATAAGGATGATCAATGTTTAACAACAAATGATCATTTTTAAATTTGATTTAAGCTATCCATAGTTAACAAGCTATTAAATTTAAGAACAGATCTATTAATTTGATATTGAATTAAAAGGAATAAGCAACGGTGTATTTTTTAAATACAATTTTTTAATTCCTAAATAAACTTCAATTATAAATCAAAATACTTCCTATAAAGAATGCTATTTCTCGGTAGGACCTATAACATAATTTTACAATTAAGAAAATTAGCTCAACACATTGATTTACTCATTAAATAAACTTTCATTTTAAATTGAACGAACACTGTTATAAGTAAATTATTTTTATTATTAAAAAACTAAAATTTAACTGAAAATTAAAAATAAAATAGATATCACCCTAGCTTAGTATTTATTATTAAAAAGAAATTGATGTCTATAACTCAAAAGTGCTGTTTGATGGAAAAAAAGAACAAGGTGATCTTAAGCAATTAAATATCAAATCAGACACATTTTATGAAGAACCCTTGAAAGAAGTTTAAATTTAAAACTATATTTTAAATATAACTGATAGTGGATTTATGACCTTTAATAAAGCAACAAAAAAGGCAACTTTTAAAGATTTGAAATTTACAGGCAATTGCAAAAACAGTACACTCAACTTTTAAAATATGGATTATGTCATTCTAGAGAATATCATTTTTGATTCTATAGATCTGGATAATAATTCTACTTTATTAAAGTTGACTAACTTACAGTTTGCTCTTTTAAAAAATGTCACATTTACAAATATAACTTTATATCAGACAGCAAAATTAATTTTACTCAAAAACATATTCAGATTTTTTATAGCAAATTTAACAATCAATGGTATGAATTTATATAATCATGAAAGTACTAGTATAATATAAATATCTAACATAAAAAATGGTTTAATAAAGGATAGTTTTCTATCAGATTTAAAATTAGTTGAACCAAATAATACAAAAGGCAATTATTTTTTAATAGATCTTTAAGGAAACTCAATACTTAATATAAAGAAGCTAATTTACTAAAATTCAAGCTATATTAGTCTAATCAATAGCTAGAATAGCTATGAAGAAGATCAGAAAATATATTTCAGAGTACGTGATCAAGTAAGTTTAAGTGAACTAGATGTATTCAACATCAAAAATTTAAGATAATCTTTGATTTATGCTACAGGTTATTAGATGATACTTCAAAAATGTAATTTTTAAAATATTGATTGCCTTGAATGTGAAGGAGGTATTGGCAATTTTCATTAAATTAATATTCTCTCCATCTCAAATACAACATTTGATTCTGCAAAAGCTAAAAATGGAGGAGCAATAGCTATTCTTGAAAGCAGATTTAACTAATCAAGTATTTAAGATTGTAATTTTTATAATAATTCTGCTTAAAGTAGTGGTGGAGCCATTTATTTAAAAATGAGCGACTTGGAATTTATCAGAAATAAAGTGGAAAATAACACAGCCCTAATAGGTGGAGGAATCAGATATATAGGTATCTAACCTAAATTTGTAGTAAAAATATTATAAGATAAAGAAAATAAAAAATTAAATTAATTTATTTCTAATCGAGCTTCTCTTCATAGTTAAGATTATGGTTCTTATTTATACTCAGCTACTGTGTAATCTAATTTAGTTATGATTGAAATACCAAAAAAAAGAAATTTAGGAGAAGAAACTTTAGAGCTTGGCTAAATAAATTAATTAGATTTAGTTATCAAGGAATATGAAATCCATGATTTTTAAAGTGGAGGAACAATAGATTTATCCTTTCAAATAGTTGACTTAGAAAACAAGCCTATCAAATTTGACTTAGATAATGTCTATGAAAAAAAATACCCTGCAGAAGTGATAGATGAGATATAACAAGTTTAAGTAAAAGCAACAATAGAGAATAATGAAATAAAAATATATGGTTAATACATCACAAATTATTAATAATATGATATGACAAATCTTTAATTTTCAATCAAAGAAATGTAAATAATTTCTATGCCATAAACCTCAAATTCTATATTCTTGGAAGTTCCTGCTATTAAAAGAGCTAGCACTTCTAATTAAATCTTCTAAAACGGTAATTTAAAAAATTTTTATCATCTAATTTAAATTTTTTATAATATTTTTTCACTTGTTTATTTGCTTTATCTATCTATTTATTTAATTAAAATAGGTCCATTCTACATCAAGCTTGTTATCTACTTCAGAAAATGTGTGCAAGGAGAGATTTATACGCCTAGCAGTAATCTGTTTTTGTGTGGTGAATGTAAGGTTGGTACTTATTCGCTTGAAGAACCTATTAAAGGTAGAGTTTAATATAAGATTATAAAAATATAATTTTTTTTTTTTAATAGAAAAATCTGATTTGCAAATTTGCAATAGATGTCCAATTGAGGCTGATCATTGCTTTAGAAATGAAATAAAACTTAAAAATGGATATTGGAGGATTTCAAACTAGACAGACTCAATTATAAAGTGTTCAAATAACCCACTAAATTGTGTTGGAGATGAGGAGAAAGGATATTGTAAAATTGGACATTATGGACCTTTATGCGAAGAATGCGATGTAGAAGGTATAGTTTGGGGGAAAAAATATGTAACAGATGGAAGATACAATTGTGTAGATTGTACAGAATTATAAACTGATTTTAAATATTTTCTACCTTCTATGATAGTTGGTTTACTGATGGTAGTTTATATGGTTATAAGTATAAGGATAGCAATAGATATAAGTACCCATATTATTGTTGGATATTACTTAAGAAAGATGAATATAATTAGTATCTCAAAGTCAGCTTTTATGGATACGACGAATATGAATATGAAGGCTATGATGAATTATATGCAAATAGCGTTGCTTGTAAATACTTTTGAAGTGGAATTGCCTGAATTTTTGAAAATCCTGCCAGAATATGTAGGTAATAAATAAGATACTTTCTTTTCATAAATAATTTTATAAATATTAAATAAAAAGGTTAACCAATAAGTAATTTTTTGTATACTTTGGACTGCTTTTTAAATGATATAGCAAATGAGGATTTTCCTGTGGTTTACATCAGAACAATTTGGAGTTTAGCAATGCCTTTTTTATATATTTTAGGCATGGGAATCATATATTTTTTCTTAATCTTATGTAGATTTACAAAACATAGTAAAGTAAATAAAATTTGGAATTATTATTTCAAAAGAAAAACATTTAATTCTTAAAAAATATTTTATAAAATTAGCAACACATAATAAGTGGTTTGGTTTTCTTGATATTCTTCTTCTAGCCGAGCATGATTTCTAATTTGTTAAGGGTAATGTCTTGCAGAAAAATAGATGGTAAGAGATATCTCCTCGCAGATATTACTTAGAACTGCTATTCTTAAACTCATATTTTATACATTTTTTACATTTGTATACCTGGAATAATTATGTGGGGTATATTGATACCTTTAATTATATTGAGAAAATTATATTAAAATAAAAATAACCTAGATAATGCACTAGTAAGAATACCTTATGGATTCTTATACTAAGATTATAAATACGATAAATATTATTGGGAGTTTTTGAAGAGTTATATGAAAATTCTAATTGTTGTTATCCATAATTTTTATGGTGATCCTTACAGTAAAAAGAAAGCTCATTTGATAATTTATTTAAATTTTTTTTTATAAATAGATAACTAATTAGTCCTTACTATCATAATAATGCTCATATATCAAGTTGCATTATTAGTTATGAAGCCTTACTAAATGAGATACTTTTAGAATATAGAGAAAAGATCTATGGAAGTTTTAATAGTTATTGTCACTATGAATATATTCTTATATAATAGGCCTAGTATTGTTTAGCAGTAAATATTTTATGTAATAGTCTTAGCAATTCATAATATTTATCAGTTATTCTTAATTTGGGAAGTAGTAAAAGCTAAATCCAAAATCATTTACAGCTAAAACAAAGAAAAAATATAATAATTACTAAAAAAATACTTTCCTTGGTTTGTGAGGGTGATATAAATGAAAGAAAATAATTCTATGAAAGTATTTAGGAACTGGAAAAGAATAAGAAATGAAATTATTTTTGCAAAAAAAAAGAAATAAAAATTAATTTAATAGAAAAATGCTAAAATATATTTCGATGATGAGCTTGAATAAGAGAGAGAAAAAGTTAAAAAAATACCAATAACAAGCTCATAACTATCTATGAGAGCAGATTTATCATCCCACAAAAGTAAAATAAATAAATAATTTAATTTTTATTTAAAAATTAAAATAGTTTTACAAAAAGAAATATAAAATCAGCCAATTTCTTTATTTTATATTTAATAAAAATTAATTTTATAACAGATTTGTAATATGATAGTAGTAGTTGCGATAATTTAGATATGATTTCTTAAAGATGTAATTTATCTTTATTAAATTTCAAATCCATATAATAAATTTAAATATTTAGCATTTATTATGAGAGATCATATAAGCATTATATCGCCTTAAAACTATTAGAAAGACTAGTAAAACTCTTTTTTAATAAAATCACCTAGTTCTCAGAACGAATCATTGATATCTCCAAAATGTAATAGTTTTAAACCATTATAAAAATAACTTATTTTTTATGTTTAAAAGATTAATTGAGTAGAAATAATTCACTTTTTATTGATTCAGGCGCTAAAAACAGCTTTAGAAGCTAATATGATGATAATACAACCAAGGATAGATAGTTTGACAGATTGTTTGAGGCCCTTATGCTTCAAAAGAAATTTTAGTCATAAAATGAAACAGTTTAAGGTGATGATGAAGAGGAGGAGGATTTTAATTAGTTCAGAGATGAGAGTATTTATTAAAACTAAAGATAATATTTAATTTACAAAAATCTCTCAAAAGTTCCAACAATTTTAATTTAAACGCAGGCTTCAGAAAATTAGCTTAAAAGGTAAATAGTTATTCTCATATTGATAAGTATTAAATTATATTTATATAGCCTTAAAATAGAGAGTCTTAATTAAATTAATGAGCAAGAATCTTTGGCATTAAAAGATTCGTCTTTACTCTTACCTTAAAAAAATATAAATTCAGTTCAACCAAAATACTCTAATTTTTAAGAAAAGCAAAATAGTTTATTTAACTAAGAAAGAATGAAATCAAGCTAAGAAAAAATGAACATAAACTAATAACAGAATTCAACTTTGAGACTAAAGAATGATAACTCCGAATTCTGTGAATCAGTGTGTGAAAGTGAATCTTATTCTCCATTAAAGTTAACGAATTTTTTACAATTTAATTAATTAAGTTTTTTGATGGATAAAAATTAAAAATACTTTGATAAAGAAGATTAAAACAGTTAAGTTTTCAGCTTTTCAGATAAAAAAAGCTAATAAAATTTAGATAATATTAATAAAAGCTAAGTAGAGCAAATTATCAATATTACTGAAAAATAAAATGTAGATTTTAATTTTTCTTTTGATAAAAATAATTGTAAAACTCCACAAAAGCATTTAAGATATCATTTAGACTAAGATAATCAATTAGATAACAAGAAATAAATTATTTAACTGAAAAATTAAAATTAGCATACGAGCTCAGATAGTTAATATGACCTAGATCAAAGTTATTCCATGGAATAACCTTAGAAGAATATAAATAACATTTAACTAAAATAATTTACTTTTGATAAATTTTAAACCTAAGAACATAATTAACCTTTGTATGAAGAGAAAAATTAAGAAAGTATTATGAAATAATAGAATATTTGCAAATTAGAATTAACAGAATAAGATAACCACGAAGAATATGATAAAAAAAAAGCTTAAACCGAGGAAGATTAGAATGTTGAAGATTAAGCTATTAAAAATTTAAATTATATACGTCAAAATACTGTTGTTAAAAATTCCACAAATAAAAATGATAATTAAAATACAGAAACAGATAAAAACGAGGAATAAAAAAGCAAAAAATAAACTTAGCTTGACATGCTATTTGGAGATTCTGAAGCACAGCCTAAGTCATTCCTTAACAAATTAAAAGTATTTTTTTTTTTTTTTGATATATAATAACAAATTGTTATAAAGAAATAGGTTACTAGTGAATATTATAATGAGGCGGTATTTGCGAATCATGATTGGATTAATTCTAGTAATTCAATAAATACGTTTAAAAATGATAATAGATTTGATGTATACACTCTCAAAAATAATCTCGCCTCTAATGTGGTTGCTAAGAATATCTAAACAGATCCTGACTCAGCAATTTAATAATAAGATTATTCTAGCTCTAGAATATAAGAAATAAGCTCAGATTCTGATGGAAATAGAGTAATACTGACGTTTTGTCCTTAGGATTAAAAAGATGTTGCTGAAAACTCTATTTAATCTTAGTCATTAAACAATTAAAAAACTAATGAGAATATCTGAATCAGTAAATATATCTAAATAAATTATGCTCTAGGTATAAAATCGTTAATAATTTCTAAGAAGTAGATACAAATCATAAATATAGAGGAAAAGTAAAATTTCAAAACAAAATTTTGCAAAATGCAAAAAATTTTATTAACAATACATTTAAAACAACGTAGAATGACATATAGTATGGAATGACATTGTTGTGACATGATTGTTATTCTACGCTATATCAAAATTTATTAAATTATTAATGAAAGGCAATTTGGAAAATAAATGTGTTTTTTTACTTAATAACACGAAAATAAATAAATTAAAATTTTTAAAACTATTATAAAATATTCTATTTAAGATGTATTAAGAGTGTATATTTATGTACGAGTATTTCTATTCTATTCTAATTTCTTTATTTTTCTTTTTGAAATTTTTTGATTAGGTACTATATTTTTGAATATGAGATATTTAATTTAATTGATTTATTTCATGTATCAATAGTTAATAATACTTCTATATAATTTATATGTAACTAATTTATAATATTCCATTAATTAATCTTATAAAAATCTATCTCCAAAAATAAAATAAATAAAAAAATGCAATAGCAAAAGTTAGTGTAAATATTTTACTTTATGAATATTAAAAAATACTATTTTATCTAAAAAGATTGTCAATAAAAAATTTGTATATTTTAAAAATATACAAATAGCATTAAAGTTATTTATTCTAAATTTAGTAGAGTAAATAAAATAACTTTAAACAAAAAACAACATTAATAAAATTTTTAATTTCATTAAAAACTACAAAATAATTTTTTAAATACAATTACTGTTAATAAAAAAAAAATAAATAAAATTATTATTAAATATAAAAATTAATAATTTAAAATTTATAATTTTTAGATTTAGAGTAAATAATTAATACTCTTGAAAAATGAATATTGGTAATATTTAAAATTTAGAAAAAAAGCTAAGTTAATAAGCATTTTTTTCATAAATAATTTGTTCAGTGATATAGTTTTGATATATTATTTACTGTAATTTACAAAGAGAAATTCACCAATCTCTGATTTGATATAAATTTAGCTAGAATTTATTAACAGAATTTACATTCAATTTATTAGCAGCTTTAATAATTGATAAAGTTTATTTAGCGATATAGCTTTGATGCATTGTTTAATGTAATTAAAATATAAATATTCATCAATCTCTGATTTTACATAAATTTAGCTAGAATTTGTTAACAGAATTTACATTAAATTTACTTCACTCTTTTAATAAATATAGATAGAGTTTGTTTAGAAATATAGCTTTGATGTATTATGTAATCGAAATATAGAATATCACCAATTTCAGATTTTATATAAATTTAGCTAGAATTTGTTAACAAAATTTACATTAAATTTACTTCACTGTTATATTAAATATAGATAGAGTTTGTTTAGCAATAAATTAATTAATTAAATAAAAAAAAGAAAAAAAGAAAATCAAAGATTTAACTAAAAATAAAAGAATATTTTATTTAATCATACAAATTTAGAATAAAAAGAAAACTATGGTTAAATTTTTGGTTTTATTTTGTATAATTAGATTTACTCTTTCTCAAATATGTAGTAACTTTTGTTTATAATGCAATAATCGACAACTATTATGTGAGTAATGTCAAGAAGGTTTTGTTGTTAATAATTAAAATGGGAAGTGCCAATCTAATTGCAAATATGGCCAATATTACTATTTAGAAACAAACTAATGCGTTTCTATTTGCCCTGATAAATATTATAATGATGATGATTCATTCACCTGTAGGTAATTATAAAATTGTCCTTTTTTATCTGAGCAGGGATTACAATTTTTTGATGAGTTTAGGCTATCTGTTACACTCTAAGATCTTGTTGTGACAGCTGGTGTAAGTTATCTTTATGATGATTTTACCTTAAAAATTTTTAATGCAACTAATGGAAAATATCTTGGATACTTGGATGGACATGATTCTGAAGTTTTAATGCTGAATGTAATTGAATCCACATAGCAACTTTTAAGTATAAGTGAAAATTAGATGATTTGGTGGAATCTTTACTATGGATAAATGGATTATGTGATTGAATTTGGTTAATTAGATGAAAACCAACAAATTTCCCCAAATCAAATACAAAGTAATAAAAATAGTACATATATGTATAGTTTAGATAAAGGGATTTAAATTTATTATGATGAACAAATTATTATTTTAATGCTAAATCCAAAATAATTTGGAATTCTTTATCATTAAAATATGAGAAATGACTTAACTTCAACTAAAAATATTTAATAATTTTAGTAATATTTTTAATTATTTGAAACTTGTCATATATCAGCAATAAAGGGTTTTTTTAAAATCTAAGATGACATTATCTGTAGTTATTCTAGTTAATAGATTATAACTTGGGATATTAAGTAAAATAAAACGATTAGTGGATCTAAGGGTGTTTGCAACTTCGATAAGTAAATAATACAAAGAGTTATTAAATTAAACGAACAATAAAACATACTATAATTCACCAATGACCCTTATTTACAAATTTATGATGTTGACTTGAATCTTTGCATCTAAGTAGAATATGATCCACCTCCTCTCAATGATAAAGACAACAAATTTATTATAGAAGATATTTTAGTTTTTGACTAAATTTAAAAATTAATAATTGTTAGAACTAAAAAATCAATATTCTTCTATAAATTGTAGGAATACATAGACACCCTTAATGACAATAAAATATATTATACATTTATCTAAATAGGTGAGTAAAACTCTAATAATGTGTTTATATAAATAATTCCAAACTTTAATTATGTTTTAGTTTTGCAATCTTCTGGGCTTTTAAATTATTTTCTAGTTACTCAAACTGATGATAGCATAGGATTAGATCTTATAGGAATTATCGATTTTTAATTTAATTAATAAATGTATATTACAGATATTCACTTTCAAAAAGAAAGCTTAACCACTATTTTGATTGGTAAGGGAATTATATGTGCTAAGTTTAACTCTGCTGATAATGATAAATTTTTTGATTATGAAATTATTTCTTCTTTAAAAAACATTTCTCCATAACTTAATGGTCACAGAAGCTAGATAAATGGAATTGTTATAGATAGGGTCTTTAAAAATAGAATAATTACTTACAGTTCTGATGGGTCTTTTAAAATTTGGTAAATGCTTGAAGATATATCTCATATAGATGGCTTTACACCTGTAAATTCTTAAGGGGGGTATTTAGAAAAAGCCAGTTTGTTATTTGATTAATATCATCCTGAATGTAATATTATTGAAAGTAGTAAGTGTCCTTGGGGAGTTATAAATTTAGAATAAATAGAATAAAATTTAATTTTAACTTAATACTCAGATAATTTTATAATCATATGGGAATATTATGAAGACACGATATCATTTAAATTTAGGTATAGCTTAGGTGATGAATCTATAAAATTAAATAATTATTAATATAATAAGGATTTAAAATATTTGCTTATTTGTAGTGAGTAATAGCTAGTAATATTTGATACCTAAAACGATGGTGAAGTTATTTTTAAAGAGGCAAATGTTTACCATCGAGGGTACTTCTTTAAAGGTGATATAAGTTATGATAATAACTATACTTTAGTGTATCTTATCAATTTAGGTGCTAATTTTTAGTTTATGGCATATTATTATGACATAAATACAAAATAATTCACTCTATAAAAACAGAATATTTTTAGAAATAAGTACATTTATTCTGAAATATTTTCAGATAACGTCATAATTTGTGTTACAGCAAACTATTTGTATTACTAATTAAAAATAAATCCTGATCACATCAGAGTTAGTATGAGATTTTCTATTGCTTATTTTACCCGTGATCCTGAATCATCAAAAACTTTTCTTTTAATTAGAAATGGTATGGTAGGCATAGGTGATGCTCCTAAATTTAAGTATTTTAGTATTACTAGTTCTAGCTTCACACTAAAATGCACAGCAATAGCCAAAAATCCTCTAATACTATTTTACTTTTAAAATAATGTCTATTATCAAGGATACAATCATGTAATAATAAATTTTTAACTTAATTAAATTTTAACAATTTAATGTATACACTTAGGTATTGGGTATTAACGAAAAATTTGAAGTAGTTTTTTATATGGTTTTAGATTACACAATTTCTTCAATTAATGTTGACTCTAATAATTCTAAACTATTTATTGGATTTTAAAATGGTAAAATTTATCATGGCAGCTATGTTAAATAGCAAATAAATACCAGAGACACTATAGCTAATTTAAACATGCCATTCTATTCCACCTCTTTGAGATAACTCTTTTATAGAGGCACAGTAAAATAACATTACAAATAATATATTTAATTAAAAAAAAATGGAATTTATTAAAAAGACATCAGTACTCAAGAAAGACTTATTTACAAACTAACTAGTTGAATTTAATTATAGCGGAAATTAAACAGTTCATAAGCAGAAATTAGAGGGATATCTAGTTGATGAAATAAATAATTTCTTAATTACTTTTTCAAAAGAAACTAGTACTTGCCTCTATAGATGGTCTCTTTAGAATCCTTAATAAAATTAAAAAATTAGTGATTCAGATACTAAAGGTATTTCTAAAATATTTTTAGATTTAAAAGGTGATATTCTGATAGGTTACAGTGAAAATTGGCAAGATCCAAATAACTATTAGTTTGATTTTATTGTTTGGTAATATAGCACTCTAAAGAAGCTCTATATTAATTAAAGTCATAAGCTATTTTTTGAAGATTTAAAAAAGGATGAGCTTCCAGAAAACATAAGTTAAATGGAGTATATAGTCAGACAAATAATTTACATGCCTAACAATCAAACAATAGTTAGTCTTAATAGTTACTTCAATGTCTTTGTTTATTATTACACCATAGACTAATCTGATTAGATTACAATTAATAATGTTGTTAAACTTTTTTATGATGACTAAAGTAATTACCTTTATGCAAAAATTGTTGATAATCTATCTCAAGCCATATAAATTTATGACCTTTAATTTAAGTTGAAATCAACTAAAGTTGAACACATTTTCGAAATCAGAGATATTATTTTTTCAGGTGATAAAGCTATTATCTATGATATTTAAACTATTCTAATCTTAGACAGATAAAATTTATAACAAATTTAAAAATTTTCTACAGTTAATCCTAAGGTGACAAGCTTGATAATATCCTCTAAATTAAATTTAGCTATTGTATGGAATAATTTTATGACAGATAATGTTTTATCTGATAAAATTGGTATTTTTGAATTAACAACAGGTAAATCTATTTATGAGTTGTAACCTTAATCAATTACTGACTATGGTAATACTAATTTGGTATATTTAGAGGAATCAACTTGCTAGCTTTATTATACAAGAACTACTGGAAATATATATTCTTTTAATGTATGCGAATTATACAATTCAGGAGTTTATTCAGCAAATATGTAAAATATTCTTAACATAATCTATATACCAGAATTTAACTATCTTTCAACAATAAATTCAAATCAGGCTTGGTAAAATAATATATATTTTTAATACTAATTTTATTTATAATTTTATTTTAGCTTAACTAGGGTAGAGTCATCTATAAGCTCTAAATAGAGATTTTCTTCTCTTTATTCTTAGAAGAATAATAATTATTTTATGAATAAAGCAAGTGATAAAATTTATTACATAGATTTTGATAGCTCAGTATGGCAGTTGAATAACAAAAATTATAACTTTGGATACATTTCATAGCTAGATAAAATTTAATTTAGCAAATAATACAACAATTATTTTTATGTTATCACCAAAAACCACCTTTATTAATACGATTTGGATTTCACATTAATTAGAAGTATTGAAATACATCTAAAAAATATTTATTTTTCTGGAGATTACATTTTCTTTTAAAATTAAAACTTTGTACTTTGCAAGTTAAATATTAAGGATTTTTCTCTCGATTCCACTTTTTAAATTTCATTAAGTTATTATATTTATGACTTTTTCGTTTTAGAATCTTTCAATGAATTTATTTTTTATGATGGATCATAAAAGATATATAGATATAATTATGTCACAAACCAAAAGGTTTATGAAGAGCCTGTATTATAGCCATTTTAAAAAGGATATTTCTTCAGATAACTCAATATGATTATTCACATCTAAAAGAACTCAGATATTATTTTTTATTATAATTTAACAGCTAATATGAAATCTTAAGATTCAGCAAATATATATTAATTTAAAAATTCTGATTTTCAATCAGTTGCCACTTAAAAATTATTTTTTGACAAAGATAATTTAAACCTAATTATAAGTTATGCAGATAATACAATTAGAGTCTTCAAATTATCCTTAGTAGATAATTTAATTTAATCACTAAACTTAATTAAAACAATCCCATAACCTTCTGTCACAAATATTTTAAGAATAAAGATAAAAAATTAAAATATATAGATGTTTTTACCATGGTAAGTCATAGAATATGACAGACAAACTTTTATCTAAAAAAATAATTTCAATAGCAGTTAAGTATTTTAAAATTTGTAAGACTACTCTATCAGTAAAGATTATCCTAACTATGGTATTATTTTGTAGTAAGACTCTATAAGGATGATCAATGTTTAACAGCAAAAAATTATTTCTAAATTTGATTTAAGCTATCCATAGTTAACAAGCTATTAAATTTAAGAACAGATCTATTAATTTGATATTGAATTAAAAGGAATAAGCAATGGTGTATTTTTTAAATACAATTTTTTAATTCCTAAATAAGTTTCAATAATAAATCAAAATACTTCTTATAAAGAATGCTATTTCTCGGTAGGACCTATAACATAATTTTACAATTAAGAAAATAAGCTTAACACAATGATTTACTCTTTAAATAAACTTTCATTTTAAATTGAGCGAACAATGTTATAAGTAAATTATTTTATTATTAAAAATCTAAAATTTAACTGAAAATTAAAAATAAAATAGATATCACCCTAGCTTAGTATTTATTATCAAAAAGAAATTGATATGTATAACTCAAAAGTACAGTTTGATGGAAAAAAATAAAATGGTGATCTTAAGCAATTAAATATCAAATCAGACACATTTTATGAAGAACCCTTGAAAGAAGTTTAAATTTAAAACTATATTTTAGATATAACTGATAGTGGATTTATGACCTTTAATAAAGCAACAAAAAAGGTAACTTTTAAAGATTTGAAATTTACAGGTAATTGCAAAAATAGTACGCTTAACTTTTAAAATATGGATTATGTCATTCTAGAGAATATTATTTTTGATTCGATAGATCTGGATAATAATTCTACTTTATTGAAGTTGACTAACTTACAGTTTGTTCTTTTAAAAAACATCACATTTACAAATATAACTTTACATCATACAGCAAAATTAATTTTACTCAAAAACATATTCAGATTTTTTATAGCAAATTTAACAATCAATGGCATGAATTTATATAACCCTGAAAGTACTAGCATAATATAAATATCTAACATAAAAAATGGTTTTATAAAGGATAGTTTTCTATCAGATTTAAAATTAGTTGAACCAAACAATAAAAAAGGCATTTATTTTTTGATAGATCTTTAAGGAAATTCAATGCTAAGTATTCAAACACTAACTTATTAAAATTCAAGCTATATCAGTTTAATTAATAGCTAGAATAGCTATGAATAAGATCAGAAAATATATTTCAGAGTCCTTGATCAAGTAAGCTTAAGTGAACTAGATGTTTTCAACATCAAAAATTTAAGATAATCTTTGATTTATGCTACAGGTCATTAAGTGACACTTCAAAAATGTAATTTTTAAAATATTGATTGCTTTGAATGTGAAGGAGGGATTGCAAATTTTCATTAAATTAATATTCTCTCTATCTTTAATTCAATATTTGATTCTGCAAAAGCTAAAAACGGAGGAGCAATAGCTATTCTTGAAAGTAGGTTTAACTAATCAAGCATTTAAGATTGCAATTTTTATAATAATTCTGCTTAAAGTAGTGGTGGAGCCATTTATTTAAAAATGAGCGATTTGGAATTTATCGGAAATATAGTGGAAAATAACACAGCCCTAATAGGTGGAGGAATCAGATATATAGGAATATAACCTAAATTTGTTGAAAAAATATAAAAAGATAAAGAAAATAAAAAATTAAATTAATTTATTTCTAATCGAGCTTCACTTCATAGCTAAGATTATGGTTCTTATTTATACTCAGCAACTGTGTAATCTAATTTAGATTTGATTGAAATACCTAAAAAAAAGTATTTAGGAGAAGAAAATTTAGAGATTAACTAAATAAATTAATAAGATTTAGTTATCAAGGAATATGAAATCCATGATTTTTAAAGTGGAGGAACAATAGATTTATCCTTTCAAATAGTTGACGTAGAAAACAAGCCTATAAATTTTGATTTAGATAATGTATATGAAAAAAAATACCTTGCAGAAGTGATAGATGAGATTTAGAAAGTTTAAGTAAAAGCAACAGTAGAGAATAATGATATTAAAATTTATGGTTAATACATCACTAATTATTAATAGTATGATATGTAAAATCTTTAGTTTTCAATCAAAGAAATGTAAATCATTTCTATGCCATCAACTTCAAATTCTATATTCTTGGAAGTTCCTGCTATTAAAAGAGTTATCAATTCCAATCAAATATTTTAAAATGGTAATTTTTTAAATTTATCATCGAGTTATATTTATTTATAATATATTTTCTTTTGTTAATTTATTTTATTTATTTAATTAAAATAGGTCCATTCTACATCAAGATTGTTATATACTTCAGAAAATGTGTGCAAGGAGAGATTTACACTCCTAGCAGCAATATGTATTTTTGTGGTGAATGCAAGGTTGGTACTTATTCGCTTGAAGAACCTATTAAAGGTAGAGTTTTATATTATGATTATAAATATATAATTTTTTTTAATAGAAAAATCTGATTTGCAAATTTGCAATAGATGTCCAGCTGAGGCTGACCATTGCTTTAGAAATAAAATAAAACTTAAAAATGGATATTGGAGGATTTCAAACTAGACTGACTCAATTATAAAATGCTCAAATAACCCATTAAATTGTGTTGGAGATGAGGAGAAAGGATATTGTAAAATTGGACATTATGGACCTTTATGCGAAGAGTGTGATGTAAATGGTATTGTTTGGGGGAAAAAATATGTAACAGATGGAAGATACAACTGTGTAGATTGTACAGAATTATAAAATGATTTTAAATATTTTTTACCTTCTATAATAGTCGGTATACTGATGGTTTTTTATATGGTTATAAGTATAAGGATAGCAATAGATATAAGTACTCGTATTATTGTTGGATATTACTTAAGAAAGATGAATATAATTAGTATCTCAAAGTCTGCTTTTATGGATACAACAAATATGAATATGAAGGCTATGATGAACTATATGTAAATAGCGTTGCTCGTAAATACTTTTGATGTGGAATTGCCTGAATTTTTTAAAATCCTTCCAGAGTATGTAGGTAAATAATAAGCTATTTTCTATCATAATTAATTTTTTAAATATTAATTATTAAATAAAAAGGTTAACCAATAAGTAATTTTTTGTATACTTTGGACTGCTTTTTAAACGAAATAGCAAATGAGGATTTTCCTGTGGTTTACATTAGAACAATTTGGAGTTTGGCAATGCCTATTTTATACATTTTTGGTATGGGAATCATATATTTTTTCTTAATCTTATGTAGATTTACAAAACACAGTAAGGTAAATAAAATTTGAAATTATTATTTCAAAAGAAAAACATTTAATTCTTAAAAAATATTTTATAAAATTAGCAACATATAATAAGTGGTTTGGTTTTCTTGATATTCTTCTTCTAACCGAGCATGATTTCTAATTTGTTAAGGGTAATGTCTTGCAGAAAAATAGATAATAAGAGATATATCCTAGCAGACGTTACTTAGAGCTGCTATTCTTAAACTCATATTTTATACATTTTTTACATTTGTATACCTGGAATAATTATGTGGGGTTTATTGATACCTTTGTTTATATTGAGAAAATTATATTAAAATAAAAGTAACCTAGATAATGCACTAGTAAGAATACCTTATGGATTCTTGTACTAAGATTACAAATAAGATAAATATTATTGGGAATTTTTGAAGAGTTATATGAAAATTCTATTTGTTGTTATTCATAATTTTTATGGTGATCCATACAGTAAAAAGAAAACTTATTTGATAATTTATTTAAACTATTTTTTATAAATAGATAACTAATTAGTCCTTACTATGATAATTATGCTCATATATCAAGTTGCATTAATAATTATGAAGCCTTACTAAATGAGATACTTTTAGAATATAGAGTAAAGGTCTATGGGAGTTTTAATAGTTATTGTCACTATGAATATATTCTTATATAATAGGCCTAGTATTGTTTAGCAGTAAATATTTTATGTAACAGTCTTAGCGATACATAATTTTTATCAGTTATTCTTAATATGGTGTGTAGTAAAAGCGAAATACAAAATTATTTATAACTAAAACAAAGAAAAAATATAATTATTGCTAAAAAAATACTTTCCTTGGTTTTTGAGGCTGATATAAATGAAAGAAACTAATTCTATGAAAGTATTTAAGAACTGGAAAAGGATAAGAAATGAAATTATAATTGCAAAAAAAAAGAAATAAAAGTTAATTTAATAGAAAAATGTTAAAATATATTTCGATGATGAGCTTGAATAAGAGAGAGAAAAAGTTAAAAAAATACCAATAACAATCTCATAATTATCTATGAGAGCAGAGTTATCATCCCATAAAAGTATATTAAAAAATAAATAAAATTAATTTACTAACAATTATTAATAATTTTATAATAGATTTGCAACATGATAACTGTAGCTGTGACAATTTAGATATAATCTCTTAAAGATGTAAATTATTTTATTCAAATTTCATATCCAAAAAATAAATTTATATATTTAGCTTTTATTATGAGAGATCATATCAGCATTATATCGCCTTAAAACTATAACAAAGACTAGCAAAACTCTTTTTTAATAAAATCACCAACTTCTTAGAACGAACCATTGTTCTCTCCAAAATGTAATAATTTTATACCATTATAAAAATAACTTATTTTTATGTTTAAAAGATTAATCGAGTAGAAAAAATTCACTTTTCATTGATTCAAGTGCTAAAAGCAGTTTTAGAAGTTAATATGATGATAATAAAACAAATAACAGATAGTTTGACAGATTGTTTGAGGCCCTTATGCTTCAAAAAAAAATTTAGTCATAAAATGAAACAATTTAAGGAGATGATGAAGAGGAGGAGGATTTTAATTAGGTAAGAGATCCAAGTACTTATTCAAACTAAAGATAATATTTAATTTATAATAATCTCTCAAAAGTTCCAACAATTTTAATTTAAGCACAGGCTTCAGAAAATTAGCTTAAAAGGTAAATAGTTATTCTCATATTTATAAGTATTAAAATATTTTTTATAGCCTTAAAATATAGAATTTTAATTAAATCAATGAGGAAGAATCTTTGGTATTAAATGATTCACCTTTGCTCTTACCTTAAAAAAATATAAATTCCTTCCAACCAAAATACTCTAATTTTTCATAAAACCAAAATATATTTGAGAATCAAAATAATTTATTTAACTAAGAAAGAATGAAATCAAGCTTAAAAAATATGAACATAAACAAATAATAGAATTAAAAATTGAGATTAAAGAATGATAACTCAGAATAATATGAATCAGTATGTGAAAACGAACCTTATTCTCCGTTTAATTTAAATAATTTTTTACAATTTAAGTAATTAAGTAGTTTGATGGATAAAAATTAAAAATACTTTGGTAAAGAAGATTAAAATAGTTAAGCTCTCAGCTCTTCAGATAAAAAAAGCTAATAAAATTTAAGTATTTTAAAAAAAAACTAAATCGAGCAAGTGATCAACAATACTGAAAAATAAAATTTAGAAAGATATTATTAAGACTAAGATGATCAATTAGATAACAAGAAATAAATTATTTAACTGAAAAATTAAAGTTAGCATATGAACTCATTTAGTTAATTTGACCAAGACCAAAGTTAGTCTATGGAATAACATTAGAAGAATATAAATAGCATTTAACCAAAATAATTTAATTTTAATAAATTATAAACCTAAGTACTAAGTTAGTCTTTGCATGTAGAAAAGAATTAAGAAATTATTATGAACTAATAAAATATTTGCAAATTATAAGATTAGTTAGAATTAGCAGAATAAAATGAACAAGAAGAATAAGATTTTAAAAAAGCTTAAACTTAAGTAGATTAGAATTTTGAAGATTAAGCTATTAAAGATTTAAATTAGATACGTCAAAACGATGTTGTTGAAAATTCTAATAGTTAAAATAATAATTAAAATACAGAAACAGATAAAAATGAGGAATAAAAAAGCAACAAATAAGCTTAGCTTGATATTTTATTTGGAGATATTGAAGCACAGCCTAAGTCGTTCCTTAACAAATTAAAAGTATATTTTTTTTTTTTGAAATAAAAAAACAAATTGTTATAAAGAAATAGGTTACTAGTGAATATTATAATAAGGTGGATTTAGTCAATCATGATTGGATTAATTCTAGTAATTCAATAAAGACATTTAAAAATGATGATAGGTTTGATGTGTACACTCTCAAAAATAATCTAGCCTCTAATGTGATTGCTAAGAATATATAAACAGATCCTGACTCAGCAATTTAATAATAAGATTATTTTAGCTCTAGGATATAAGAAATAAGCTCAAATTTTGATGGAAATGGAGTATTAATAAACATTTTGTCAATAGGATTAAAAAGATGTAACTGAAAATACTATTTAATCTTAGTCATTAAACAATTAAAACTAATGAGAATATCTGAACAAACAAATCTAAATAAAGTTAGCCATATGTATAAAAATTGTTAAATAATTCTAAGAAGTTGATACAAAGCATAAAAATCAAGTAAAACTAAAATCACAAAATGAAATTTTACAAAATACACAAATTTTATTTAAAACAAACTAATTTATAAATTAATTTTTCTGTCTTATTCATTAGTTTATTTGTCAAGTAAATTGTTTAATTTTAAATTATTTTAAAATAAAGCGTTTTAATAATCAAAATTTTCTTTCATATTTTTAAAGATAACAAAATAAATAGATATTTTATTAAATTGTAAACTGATTTATTCAATTTTCATTGTATTTTGCAGAGTTCTGTCAAAAAATTAAATCACTGTTCAAAAGATCTTAGTAAATTAAATTTTTTTAGGGTAGTTAAAAGTAGAGAAATAATTATATATTTTAGCTGTAAAATTGAATTAAAATGGAAGGAAATCTAATCTACGCACTAATAGTTAGAGACTAGGAAACAATATTATGTGATTACACCAAAGCATCTGGAAATTTTGAACAAAGAATCATGGAAGTAGTTGGAAACATTAATCCTACAGTGAGAGAAACATGCTTATTAGGAAACTTTAATTTCCACTCAATTGGTTTACAGAGATATTTGTTTGTCTGTATGGCTGATAAACAATACCCTTCCAGGGTGGCTTTTAAATTTTTATAGGAGCTTTAAGATTCATTTTATTCGCATATTAATGAAAATGACAGAGAAAATGCAAATGCATTTGGATTAAACAAGAATTTTAGAAAAGTAATAAAAGAAAAGCTTGAGCACTACAATACTTTAGATGCAGATAATTTAATGAAAGTATAGGCAGCAGTTAGAGATGTGTAAAATGTAATGATCAAAAATCTAGATAGAGTAATCGACAACAACATTAAAATTGAAATCCTGCAAGATAAAGCTGTTGCAATGAAAATGAAGAGTGAAGAATTAAAAAAGAATTCAAGAAAGGTTTACTGTATTTAGTGTACCAGAAATTTCAAAATCACATTAATTTTGATAATAACTGTGATATTGGCTGTATGGCTGATCTTTTCATTAGTATGCGGATTTAATTTCCATTGCCTTTCTGATTGAATTGACTGATCAATCAATCATAAACTCAGTAACTCCTTCATAAAAATACAAACTAAATTAAACCAAACTTTCTCCTTTAAAATGTTAGTACAAAATTAATAAAAGAATTAAGTAATAAAAAGTAAGCATTAAAATAAAAAATAGATAAATACCTATTATAATTATATATAACAAATTTTAGTAATTTATTCATATATCAAACAATTTATTTATTATGTGAGATATTCATTATAAGTATATTACAAGCATCTTTAATTGTTTATTTGTTATTAAAGAATAAATTTATTTTGCTCTATTTATATATTTTTTTACAAAATCAAGCAAAAATTTTTGTTGTAATTAAGCAAATTTATATATTAATAAAAAAAACTTCAATAATTATAAAAATGTAATTTATTTATTTTTAAAAATTCCATACAAAAAATATGCTATATTTATCTTAAAATTAATAATAAGCAAGCAGCAATTTCAAAGAAGAAAAATTAATGAGAGAATAAAAATTATTGTTAATTTATAATTTAAAATAATTAATAAATGCTAAAATATACTTCCCTTCGATTAGATTATTGGCACTTGACTATAAGCAAATAAATGTAAGTTGATAATTTTATTTTTCAAACTTAACTTTCTAATTTAGTTAAGTCAACGATTGCCAAAGTTAATTTTTACACTTTGATTTATTGATATTACAGCTTACTCTCATTTTTAATTAATATTTTTATTTTAATAATTCAAATTAAAGAACTCAACTTATTGCATCATCAAATATATTTTATGCATAAACATTATTTTTAGATTTATTAATACCATGCTTTTTTTTGGCTACCTGTGATTCATTAAATTGTTAAAAATCCAGTCAAACTTGAAAGTTAATTTGTAAAGTTAATGATGCAATATATGATAAGAATCAAATATCGACAAAGAATTTTTAGATATGAAGAAAGAAATTTATTAATTTATGAAAAATTATAATTTTGTCAAGATATTTTTATTAGATTTGTAAGATACGATTTTCTTTTATAATAAATGACAAATATCTATTTCAAATTTAAAATTTAAGCAAGAGGAAATTAAATATATAGGAAGAAAAATAACCATTTAATAATTTCTGATAATCAAATTAAAATATAAATAACTATTTTTATCTTAAATACTTTTTCATTAAAAAAATGAAATTTATTCACTACTTAAAAATAGATATACCAAAAACTCCTATCAGAGGTTCGGTATCTTTTTTGAAAAATTATGATTATAAATAGAAATAAACCACTAGAATTATTATTAGATGGTTTATTTATTTAATATGGCTATTAACATTTTTAATGCTAAATTCAAGCAAAATCTAGATTATTGAAAAAAAATTAAGGCAAAATTTAAGCTATTTACATAGAACTAAGCTATAAGCTATCTGTTTAATAAGGAGATTTATATAAAATTAATTACAATAATTTAAATATTGATATTTTTTTTATTAAATTGCTATTGTATTTTTAAGTTATGATTTTGTTTTCTTCACAATAGGTATTTTAATTGATAAATTAAATTCCTATTTGAGTAGTCGACTTTATTTAAGTTTATTGAATTAATTTTCTTTAGAAAATGAAAAAAAGCTTGTTTATGTCGTGATTTTTCAAATTTTGGCATTAAAAAGCTATTGAAATATGAAAGAAATTAAGATCTTTACAAAATATTGTGTAATAAAAATTTTTTTTTGTGAATTATTGGCAAATTTTCAATGTTGCTAATTTTATTTATAATTTGTAGCTTTTATATAATCTATCAAAAATAGAGTATCATAAAATTTCTTATGATTAGAATTATCAAAATTTTATGTGTTTCTAATTATTTATTAATATTTGTTTGGAGGTCATTTGCATTTTTAGATGCAGCTTGTTGGCAAAGCTATAGAATTAATTTTATTTGTTTTATTTATTGTATAAAGTTACTAGTAGTAAATGGATTTTAATAAAAAATGTATGTAGTAAGCAAAGACTTTTAACAAATCAAATCTACTATCTATAAATATAACACTAGATGTTTTGTAATTAAAGCAGAATCTATTAGACCAATAAGACTGGTTATTTAGATAATTTAAGTAAAAATCAGGGTTTTTAAAGACTTATGAATACTTTAATTTTTTTAATAAAAAAATTGTACTAGAAGATTGATGAAAAAGTATATGTCATCTGAGCATCTTCTAACCAGAATTTTATGAATATTTATCTTAATCAAGTAATAAATTAAAGTAATTAATCTTATAAATAATAAATTGAGTGCAAAAAAACAATTTTTACGCACTTTTAAATTTCATTTAACTTCTAAATGCTCAAAATGGTTAGTTTACCTTTTTTTAATTTTTTTAGGGAGCAAAAATCAACTGGCTATTTTGATTCAGAGAAGAAAGATAAGCCAAATAAAGCAATAAAAAGGATATTTCATAAATATTTTTTTGTACTTACTCTTTTTAATCAAGGATAAAGCGTTTCATGTGAGGAGAAGATGTAAACTCGCTAATCAAAGAAAAGAAGCTCTTTGAATAGAATTTTTTTAGAAATTTGGAGGAGATATTATTTTGAAATCTGATATATAAAAGATATTTTACTCCACTTTTAATATAAGCACATAAAAATTTACAAATTTTATAAACAGATGTAATAGATATCGAAGATCAAAGTTAAAGCGCTTTTTGAAAAATTAATATTGAAATAGATAGCGATTAATTTAAATCAAAATTAATTATAATAATTATAGGCACAGTCTGACCACTAAATTATTCAAAGATTTTTAATGTTCTGGCTTGGTATTCTCAAAGTCCAAAAACTTATAAACTAAACATAAATAAATTATGAGTTTTACCGAATTCTTTTCTGCTTTAAAATTAATTTAATATTAAAAATGATCAACTTCAAACCATTTTATTTCAGTTATTTATTGATAAGCAATTGGCATTTATTCAATTAAATTTAGTCATTAGTAAGTATTTTTTATTCGCTAAAATTAAGTCGCGATAACTTCCAATAATATATTTCTACTTCGAAAACCTTTGAATTTTTTTTTTTTGACTCAAAAATTAACTCTTAACACTTAATAATAAGGTTAGATGTTATAATCCAACAAAAAATGCGCAACAAAAATTAAAAATAAATAACTTTGCTATTCTTAATTCGCATAAAATTAAATATGTTGAAGTCATAATTTAGATTCAGTAATTTGGATTTGAGCAATTTATTTTCACAAATTTTGCAAATAAACAAATAACAATAACAAAATAAATTAGAATACTAATAATCAAAATTACAAAGCTATTCTCTCATAAATTATCAGTAAGTTATTAGTTACTGCATTTGTAAATGAAAAATTAAATTTTTCTAAAAAATTAAATGGCTAAAAAATTTTTGTCAAAATAAATTTGTTTATGTTTATTCAAGAATATAAAACGAAATTTATGTAATCAACCTTTTACAATCTTGAATGTATTTCTTTTTTATTTAAACAAAATCTGAGAGCATTTTTACTTTCCTAATTCTCCTCTAATTTATTACAGCTCATTATATCCTAAAATAAGCTAAAATAAGAGTAATCTTAGCATTTAGATTTAGAAATAATAAATATTTATTAGCAATAATTGTAATGTTTTTCATAAAAAATCAATGGTTAGTAGCATATTTTGTAAATACTAAAGTTGATTTTAGTAGTAAAACCTTGAATTTCAGGTTATTCCACCAATTAATTGTGAATAAATCATATAAAATTAACGACTGCAGGTATAATTACGTATTTCTTAGATAATTTTTAAAAAAATAATGTTAAATATTTGATATTTTTATTATTATCATCATCATACATCTTCTTTGGTTAAAGTTTTTAGTGCTTTGAAATACATTATAACAAAGCAAAGAGAATAACGAGTCTATTTATCTATAAATATACTTCATAGACAATTAGTGTAAACATATTTTTGGAGAATATTTATTTTCCACAAAAGAATAGATTATGAAATGAATTGCTTTTACTTCATGAATAGTGGTCTGTGGAAAATATTATTTAAAAATAAATATGTAAGAAGTAATTAATAATTGTTAAGGAAGCATCTATTGAAGATAGTCATTTCTTAAAAATTAAGAAATAGAATTGCAATGAAGGATGTATGAAAAGAGAAATTTATAATTAATTGAAGAAAAAAAAGCTTGAATCTTATTTAGTATGATTTATCAAAAATTTTTGCAAAATATTAATTAATTGAAAAAATCTTGCTTGAACTATCTATTTATCTATCTTTGAGATCATATTTTTTGCTTTAGATAAAAAATTTAGATTTCGTTCGCACTCGATCATTTTAATTAATTGGGGAATGAGTGTGACTAATTTCTTATAAATCAAAGTCAAAAATTGCAAGAAATTAGTTACTACCACTATCTTTAGTATACAAGTTTCAAAAAGTGTAAGTCGAAGGAGATAAGTATAGATTTTTAATTCTATGTAAGATATTTATAATGAAATTTGGCAAAAACACCAACTGAAGACTATGAGTCTCCTCTTTAATACAAGACTATAAATTTTCAATTCACATTTCAGACACTCAAGATCATAATTTATGTTTTTTTATGCTTGATATTCCAAAAAAATCGATTTATAATATTTTATATCTTGAACTGATTGATAGATGAGATAGAGAAAGGTTTTTTTTCGAATGTTGAGATATACAAGGTAATAGATGAAATATTGATTGGTAATTCATCAGAAATAAGATTAATCTATGTATAGGTTCCTCATAAACGTTTTAGTTATTTTTTAAATGTAAAAGTAGAAACTTAATAAATGCAAAAACTTGTTTCCCCACCCTCTATAGTTTAACATTTCTTCTAAAGTGACACTTAAATATATTTTTTTACAATTATATTTATAAGCAAACAAAATATTTATTTAAGTGTCTTTAGTATATGAATTACATACTAAAAAGAGCTGCTTGCTAAATAAATTAGTAGAAACATAGGTTGTTTAGTTATTTGATCAAATTAATATTATTTGAGTAGTCCATTAATTTTTTTTAGTAATTGCTTTTTTTTAAAAAAAAAAGAACTGTAGTAAAAGGACAATTTGATTTTGAAATCTATTTTTTCCTTATACTTAATTGATCAATCCAAACATCAGATGAAGAAAAAATATTCGAGCATTCAGTTCAATATAGCTCGAAAAAACTGAAACTTTTCCAAAAATATTTAATATCCACTTGAATGTCTTAGATTTTTAATCTTGTAAAATGCAAATTAATAAAATAATTTATTCAGATGTAGTCAATTACTTGCTAATCTTATATTGCAACTTAAAATTTTTGGAATAATAATTGTTGGAGATTTTTTTATAGTATTTTGTCAAAAATTTTTATTGTGAAAAAAAAAAAAAACTTTCTCCACTTTTGTTTGATTTTGCAAAAATAACAGAAATATTCAATGAGACTGAAATATAAATTTCAACTAAGCTAATTTTTTTTCCCATAGCTATAAGCAATTTTAGAGAATCTGTTGTAATTGTAAAGTCGAAAAAACTATTGTGGTGTGTGGTAAAGATTAATTACTATTATCAATATTTAAAAAACATAATAAATGAATTAAAAATCAAAGGATGATAGTCAGCTTTTAAAATATATTAGCAATTAAGAATTTCCTTCTTTTCTTTATTACAACCTTTAATAAAATTTTAGTTCCAAATATTTCTTTGAGATTTGTTTACTCAAACAATTTATCAGACTTAATTATCTTCTTTTCTAATATTTAATAATTATTTATCAAATTATATCAATAAATTTGTAAGTACAAATACGATATGTGCAAGAGAAAGTATTAAAGCACTCTCTAACTCTTTTCATTTCTAAATCAAAAACAAAATTTGTGCATGCATTTCTCAAATTAAAATAAATATGCAATTGAAGACTTTTTGGCAAGCTTAAGAAGAAACATTTGCTAATAAAAATTCTACTAAATTCTCATAGAAAATATATTGATTATAAAAAGAAATAAAATTATGAGTTGGAAAGATTTTTGTATAATATTTGGTGTTAAAAATTAAAAATAATTAAAATAACTTTTGTATAGTTTAATATCGAGTGATGAAGATTTGTTACTTATATAAAGGACATTATTTTTATAATAAAATGATATATTTATATTTATTTATTTATAATAATTGAGATAGATTTGATTATGTTTTAAATTTGTTATTAAATTTTTTATATGTATTTTATTAATTTTTTAGCCTTTGTTACTTTTTAAACTGATAAAGTAGTTTGTATATATATTTATTTATTTGTTATTCTTTGATTGATTAATAATGAGAGAATGATGTTTTATATACCCTTATCTGAATTTAAATTTCTAATTAATTCTACTGCATATTAAGTGTCTGCGCTTCATTAACTCTTTTATTTTTGCATTTAAAGATCAATTCCATCCAAAATGATGTAATTAATTTTATTTTATTCGTAGAATACATGATAAAAGAAATTCTAAATGGGGTAAGGAAGCAATAGTTTTAAATATTCAAAATTTTTTATTATAATCCTCTTAGCGTATTAAATTATCTAAGTGTAATCAATTTCAAAAATTTTGCAAGCTATTGAATATGGAAATTAAAAAATTGTGATGTTGGTAATATGTATCACAAATAGTCTCATAATTAGCAATTAGCAAAGTTGTTCAAGGAGAGGTAGTATTTAAGTTCTTATTCAACTTGTGCCTTTGTCTTTCTATATCTTTTCTTGCGTTGAGATCCCTTTCCATAATATCTTTCTTAGAACTCTTGACAGCTTTAGAGGTATTCATCTGCCATACGAGAATTCTCATAAGTAATTGAATTTGGAGAGTTGCTGCAAGAAGAAGAATCAGCACAGCTCTATTCACAGTATTATTCATCAACATTTATTTCAGTAATCCTCATATAAGCTTGATATATTACCATATTTTGTGAATAAATAGGATCACAAAGTGGGATAATAGAGCTTTAACAATTAACTGGAACTTTTTTTCCATCTGTGCGGCACATCATTAAATTGTTATCAGAAATTATATTAAATGAATTGTATTTTTGAGCGTTAATAGTTTATTGCAAACGAGAAATGTTGAGAACAGCACGTGATGAAGCATCAAATAATTCAGCATCACCGAAACGGAGAATGTGGTCTGCATATGATTGTTGAGAACCACTGAGGAAATTTACGAGGTTCTGGGAGAGGCCCTTTTAGACTTCGCGGTATACTTAATTATAGTCAAGTACATAAACAGAGTAAGTGTAATACTTGGAGGGAATTGTTTATGAACGAATGCGCTTGATGTTAAAGTGAATAGCTTCTAAAGTCTTTTCGTCGAAGAGAGCATCACTTTGCAAGGAGCTAGTTATTTATGAAACTTCATTCATTGTTTGAGAGTAGGTACTGATTGTTTGATAGAGACTTAAAAGGTATTAATTTTTCAAATTTTACTCCATTTAACTAACGATTTCTAATTAACTGAGTAATTAATTAGAGTTCTACTGGAAGTAAGGGAGAGTTTAGACCGATAAAGTTGGATTATAGACTTCATAATGAAGAAAATTTTCATCTGAATTTATGATAGATACTTTTTTTGTAGTTGAATTAGTCAAATTTCCTGAATTAGAAAAAGGGTTTTAGCTTAAGGAGCTTAAAGAAGGAGAATTTAAAGAGCTGCTTGATGAAGTCTTAATTCTTGGGATTTCATAATTTTATGGGATTTCATAGTCGCTTCCTCCCATACAAATATTTGATTGGCTTAAGTTGCTGGAACCATTGGCTTGGTCAAGGGAAACACCGTTAACCTTGAGTATGTCTTCTATATTTAAAAATATATCTCCTGGTAAGTGGAAAAGTGATTGGGTAACAGTGTTGCTGTTATATGATAGAGCTTCTTTCTTAAGTACAGGTAAAGATGAATTCAATTAAGGTTGAATGCTAGCAAATTCACACCTCTTCATTTGTTTTTTTTTTTGAATGATTATTAAATTTATAATTTATTTATTTTTTCTTTTAATTATATTTTTATGGTTAAATCCTTGGTGAATATTGATGTTTGAGTGTTGGATGGATGGACTTTCAGAAATATTTATTTGTAAATTAGGAATTTTATATTTGAAATTACTATAGATTTTCAATTAAATCTTGTTTTTCTTCAATTGTTTGTTTATTTTGCTTTTAAAGAAGATGTGATTTTGTTTTATTTTTTTTTAATTTATTTTTTATATTTTGTGTTTTCCTTTTAAGGCTAATTTATTATGCGCACACATCAAGCATAATTCATATTCATAAATTTTAATATAATTCAATTATTTCTAACATTAATAACATTAAGAAGGTCTTTGTTTATTTAGAAGATTAATAATTTGATTTATTAAATAAAAAGCATGTGTTTCCCTTTATTTCCAATCATTTTTTTTTTTTTTCGTTGAAAGTATTTTTATCAGTAAAGCCTTTAGAAATTAAATGATTTATTTCATAATTCCAATAGAAAACATAGATAGCCAATTTAAAAAAATTGGAATAAAGATCTCATATTAATTATTTTAATACCTGCAAGATTTATTGAATCTTTGAATGGACTTTTAAGAATTTGTAATGACCCTTATCTTGTATAAATAGTTTTTAAGCAAAATAAGTGATGGCAAGAGAGATTGAAAAGAGCTTACTCAAAATTGAAATTAAATAAATTAATTTCTTTTCATCTCTCAAAATTAGAAATGCGCAAATAAGTTATCGGCTAGAAGAGATTGTTAATCATGAAATGAAAATTAAAACCTTAATTAAAATTAATTGATCCTATTAAATTTTGAGCGATAAGTAAAAATAAAGTGATATAACCAATCTATTCTTTTGCTTATAGGGAGAACAGTAAATAATAATTAAGACTCTCAAAATTACAAAAATTAAATGTGTGGGTTGTATTTGCAAAATATTAATGGGCTGTATGCACTTAAATTTTAATAAACCCCATAAATAAGTACCTTTTGTCTAAATGTAGAGTAAAGCGAATTTATAAATATAGTAAAATTGTAATAAATAATAGATACGCATCCGATTAATTTTTAACGCTAATTTTCAGATTAAATTCAGACATGACAGTCAATAAATAAATGCTTTAATATTTTCTATTCTAAAATAAACTCTTTGACTTAAACATGTAAAAAAATTATCAAATGCTTTTGTTATGGCTGGTAAATTTCGGAAGAACAATCTAAAAATTAAAAATATTCCCAAAACTTAACAAACCTACTCCTAATTTAAGCGAGCGAATAGGAAAAAAATTTATTGCTTTTAGCAATTAATTAAATAATTTAGGTAAAATTATTAAAATATTCAGTATGCTTATTTTGCAAATCAGCTTCAGTGATTACAATTAAATATGCAGAATCTGATTTCCTTTGAAATTCTGTTTAGCTTAATGAAACCATTTAGTATTTATTTAACAAATTATTAAATAATCGATATCTTGAAGAAAAGGTGATTAAATGTTATCCACAAGATTATTTAAATTACAAATGTATACTCCGAAATGATGAGATGTTAGCTAGAAGATATGATACTTTCAAAAGCAAATTGATTCTTATTAAATTTGATGCGCTTATACTTCTACCGGTCTTAATTTACAATCTGTAATCGCTATCAGGAAACAAATTCGATTAATTAAAACAAAATAATAACTTTTATTCACATCAACTTATATTTTTTTACTTAAAAAGCTCACACTCAAATGGCAAGTGTATGGAAAAATGTAAGTATACTCGAATTGAATTAAAATTACTGATTTTAGCAAGAAAAATATTCTACTTTTTATCTTCAAGTCAGGAAATTTCATGTGGAAAGATTTACTTAAAAGAAAAAAAAATTAAATTTATAAGTTTATCACTAGTATTACGTCTTTTTAATTAATCTAAAGGCTTATTACATATTTTACTTATTTTCTACACAATTACGTCCTGATTTACTAGTTGCTTGCTATTTATTATCTTCATATTAAATTAATTTAACACAGCTATTGAGACATCAATCATAAAAGACTTCTTAGTAATCTTAATTTTTTTTAAACAAAGAACCATTAAAAATGACTGGCTTAAAGTACGATAACTTTATTTGAAAGAAGAGTAATTAGAGTACTTTTTAAATATAAATTAAAAGAAAAAATTTAATTTTATTTATTGCTTATATTCATTTAATGTAACCCCTTTGTTCATCTCTCCAACATCTCAAATGCAACTGGAGTTGCTCTAAATCGAAAGTAGACTAATTAAAATTTTACATTGTCTGGTTAAATAAATCTAACTTTTTATTTTGAAATGTGCATTATTTCATAGTATTTAACAATTTTGAGTGTTTGATGGGATTATTATATTTTATTTATCTTTTAATATTTAAGATGTGTTGTGGGTGTGATTCTCTAAAAACTTCTATCAGGTTCATAAAAAAATTATAATAATGCGTTGAATTTGCAACGCGGCTGAATATATTTTCGTATGCAGCCTACTTTTACCAAGTAACAAATTTTGTTTTGAGTGCAAAATAAAAAACTTGAAATTAATTAATCAAAAGATGCTTGAAAAAATTGAATGTTTAAATTAATTATAATATCTCCAATCTTTCTAGTTTTAGTTTTGTGAACCAACCTAATTTTGCTAATTAGCCTGCTTACTCTGTAGAATTATTGAAATATTTTTATTTACATTCACCTATTCGTCTTTCAACAGATTAATCAGAAATAAATAATAGAATATAAATTAAAGTATGAAATTTAAAACATAGGTAATCTAAAATGGGTCTATTCTAGGCATATTTAGAAATAAAATAAAAAATTTGTATAATAGAGAAAAAAATATTGAAAAACTACTCCAAGTTTTAAACATCATTACTAAAATTTTTGTTATTTAAATGCGATAATCACCATAAATTTACATAGAAAATTAGATTAAGAATTATCTCTAATTCTTACAGTTAGCCAGCTCTTTCTCAATTTATAAACAGCTCTAATGAAGAGGTAAAAAAAAATTACCTTGGTCGTTAACTATACTGCTACTGTATCTTTTTTTAAATGTATATACTATGATAAATTTTTAAATTAAGTTAATAAAATAATCATTTTATAAAAATTATAATTTATAAATGCTTTTATGATATTTTCATCAATTAAATATATTTTTTTTCAAGCTGTTATGTAGTAATATAAATGTTATCAAAGTAAACGTATGTTTAAAACTATTAAATAAAATAAAATTGTAAAAATAATAATTTTAATTACCTATAACACATATACTTTTTAAAGAATATTATTTTTATTAAAATTATAAACTATTTCGTTAGTATTTTGAATTTCTAATTCATTACAATTACTTGCTTTATAAATAATTCACAAAAACAAAAACTCCAAAATACACATTAGAATACTTAAAATCAATTTATTGCAAATAATATTTTTTTAAATACCTTAGTAAATAAATCTAAGCTTATATTGTTGTTTGAAAGAGTAAGAAGTATGAAAACTTATACTATTAGAACGATTCGTTAAAAAATTTGGCTATAAAACTTGAGAAACTTTTCAAAAAAAAATGTAAATCGCAAATTTTTTAAATAGAAAATATTTTTTTAAAACACAATATTATGTAACAGGATTTAATAAAAATATGAATTTTAATAAAAAAAAAACAATTTTATAAACTCAAATTGTTATAGATTGTTTTATTCCATTTTTTTTAGTAGATAATAGTTTGTTTAGTAAAAAATTTTTAGACATATTCACAATGTAAAAATTTTCGTAAAAAAAAACAAAAATACGAACTAAATATCAAAGGTACAATAGAAATATTTATAAATTTAATGAAATAAATTGATATTAAAACACTTTGTACAAATATACTTTGAAAATAACAGTTATATTACTTTTAGCATTTATCGGTTATTAAGATTGATAGAGGAAGGTGAGTAAAAACAGATAAATGTAAATAGGAGGAAAAATCAGTTTAACTTTGTAAATTTTATTTTATGAGAATACATCATGAAAAAAGCAGGTAAAATATGATAGATTCTGAATTGGTTTACTAATCTAAAAAGCAGAATATTTGTTCAAGTCTTTTAAATTATGCATCATCAAAAATAGATTGATCTTATGATAAATCAAAACTAACAATTATAATACAAATTTCTATACAAACAGATAAAATTTTAATTTTTTCATCATATCTTAAGTAACAATCGAAAATTTTAATTTGGGTACAGATTTTTTTTTTTGCTGTAAAACAATAAGCCCAATATAAAATATGATTAGTATTTATGGGTAATTTCATTCTCATTTCAGTAAACATAATCATCGAAACATTTTATTACTTAAGGTTTTAACTGAATTAGGAGTAGATTTTAAAAAATAATTAAGACAAACAAATATTAATGGCTAATACATATTATAAAAATAAAATATAATACAAATTTGAAAAAAAACCAATTCATAATAACTTCAGTTTTTAAATTAGAATAAATTTTATTTGCTCTCTTTCTTTCTCTCTCAAGCTTTTCATTATTTTTAAAAATTCTTCTTTATTTTTTTGTTGCTTTTAACATATTAAATCGATTTATTAAACTAAGTCCTTCTAGATTATCTATTTTCATACGGGTAGGTTAAATTAACAAACTAAGACTGATAAGAGTAGTAACTAAAAAAAATAAATCAAAAATTGTAAATAAAATTAAAGAAGTCAACAATTTATTTATAGTGTAAGTACATGAAAATACTTTATTAAACGTGACTTCAAGTAATTATTGTCTAAGCTTTTTACTTTACGCAAAAAATCTGCTCATCGAAGAGGTTTACTAAAATTTTAACAGCAGTAAAATTCAGTCAGTTAATTATTAATTCTTAATGTTTAATTTTTGTTGTATATAATCACTTCATTACTATTTACACTTTAATTGTTTTCTAAAACAAACATTTATTAATAAATAAATTTTAGCTAGCAAATGAATCCTGAAATAATCTGACATTAGTTATATTTTAGGTTTTATTTAAGAGATCAGGTATTAACTTACTTTTTATGAAGAATTCTTTTTTATCACAAAATTTGCTTATACTAAAGTAATCAATAATTAACTTAATAAATGGAATTTTTATAACTATAAATCCTCACTAATTCATAAATTTCATTTAAATTCTATCAATTTAAAAATAATCATCAAATTTACTTAAATTTAAAGGAATTAAGTATGTTTATTTATTTTAGCTTAGTCTAAAAAAGGCTCATTTAAATATTACCCAAAATGTATTTATAAAATATGTAAGAAGTATTGAAATTAAAATTTTGCTATATTTAGTTAAAACAGTCATTAACATAATTTTATAAAATTAATTTTTAACACTAAATAATAATATATATAAATCCAACAAGCTTACAAACTTATTATTATTATAGAAATCCTAATGCTAAAAAATATTTACCCTTTATTTATTTCATATAATAACAGAAATTCAGATTATCAAACCAAGCGAATACAAATTAATATTTGGTTGAAAATTAAAAAATATTTAATTTAAACAAATTACTTATAGATTACTATTTATTAAAGTGGTTTATTTTCACATACCTAAATAAGAAATTTATTATTATCCAAATATTTATTTTAAAAATAAGCCAAAATAATTAAATTACTTAACTTTATTTAGGAAGGAAAGAATATTAAAAATCAAAACTTTTATCAATATTTTTTTATTTTAAATTTATTATGGAATATTTAAAAAAAGTTAGAAGACATTCATCTTTGATATTTATTAAATGCACATAAATAATTAAAAAATATTTTTGTTTAATTTTTGAATCATATAATTTCAATATAAAGTAATAAAATATTTTAAGATTTAAACAAATTATTTTTTCTTTTTTTGAGAATTTTTTCAAAAAAAGTTATTTTATCAATACTTTTGAAATTAAAAATGTTAGATTGAATTGATTACAAAACAAAACAATATATACAAATAAAAAAATTTTTCAATACTTGCAGCGTATTCAATTAAAAAAATAATAGAAAATATTTTATTTTTTATTTAAAGAAAGTTTGTATTTAGTTTTAATATAAATTAAAATGAAAAAATCAAAATAGAAAAAATTATATTTTAAATTCAAATATTTGTTATTGAATAGTTAATTAATGATCTATGATATTATATATATTTAAATATTTTAATCTTAATATAAAAATATAATAATAAAAAAAAGAAGAATGAAGGAAGGAAGACCAATCAGTCAGTCAGCCAAGCTAATATTCTTTATCCTTCCTTTTAATTATTCTATTTTATGAAAATTTTTTATCAAATAGTAAATCATTATTTAAGCTATAGTTTTTTATGTTTTTTGTTTACTGCAATAAAAATAATTCAAAGAAATAAAAAAAATAATAGTAATTATAATTTTAAAAGGATAAATATTAGTTCTTTATTCCATTTGTTATTATAAAACTTTTCAAAAATAACTTTGAGTGAATAACTTTTTAAAAACTTTTCTTGCTTGATGTATTTAGGCCAAAATATGTTCTTTTAGTAAATATTAATTTCTTTTTTCAAATTAAGTTTTATTTAAATAAATTTAAAAATAAACAAATTAAATGAAAGATTTATAATAAAAATAAAATATTTAAAGTAACATTAGTTGATATGCTAGTATTTTAGTGAAAATTATAGCTTATTTTGATAATATTTATTAAATTTTTTGATAAAAATAACATCAAAATAAAAAGAAAAATAGACTCACTCTAATATTTAAAATTTCATCTATAAGTTTTATATTATTAATTAAAATTATTCTAAATTATGAAAAGTATTTTTAAATATATTTATCATCTCGAAAAGCCTTTTTTAAATATACTTATCAACTCTTAAAGCATTCTTTAAATTCTTCAATAAAAAATTGAATTATTAAAAGAATTAAATAATTAATTATTTGATATTAGGTAACTTAAGTGTTAGCGTTATTGGTTATTTATTTTTTATAAAAAAATCAATAATAATTGATAAATCAACAAAATATATCTCAAAAATATGTTCTTTAGGTATTAGGCTTTATTTTATTAATACAGTTTTTAATAATAAAACCCATTTATTTTGACTTATCTAATAATAAACAAAAATTAAAAAAAAATAAACAAAAAAAGAGCATTAAAGTTATTAATTGCATCAGTAGAATAAATAATAATTAAATAGAATAATAATAATTAACAAAAAAGATGAAAAAAATTATTGAAACTTTTAAGGATTTTGACATATTTTCTGAGTCAATTCAATTCAATTCTAGTAAATAGAGATTGAGAAAAAGGACAATAATTGGTGCATTTTTAACAACTTCAATAATTACATTAACTGGGATTTACTTTGTTTACGAATCACATCTCTACTTTAATGGAGAAATAGATCCTAAATTCAGATAACAATCGTTTGTATCTAACAAAGTTAATATTCTGTTAAATAATGAAATGTTTGGATTTGATTTCTTCTCTCTTTACAAAGATATTTCTTACTTAAACTAAATTTAATCAAAGCAAAATAAAACATATATAGTATTTATACCAGCTTATATTTTTAGTAATAGCACTTCCTCATTTCGTGTACCTTTAGATATAGTTTAGTGTAAAAGCCCAGAATTGAAAGGTATGAATTGCATTGATGTGAGTAAAATTCCTAATTAACAGATTAGCTTAGACAATGCTAATAAATTATTTTCTCTCATCACATTGTATGTTTATAGGTGTTAGGATGTTGATTAGTATAAAACTTTTGTGCCAAATAATTGCGCAAACGAAGATTAAATAGACGAATTTATTAATAAGTCAACTTACCGTTTAAATATTAAAATACAAACATCTTAATATAATACAACTTCATAAAAAATGTAAGTTCAATATAGGAGTTAGGTATTTTAAAATACTTTAAACATAGTTTCTGGTTATGAATTTAAAATGTAAAGCCAAGTAACGAAAGTCAGCTAAGGTATTTTAGTTTAATCTTAACAAAGTTTTGCTTCTCTAGTTTCTTATTAATTGATAACATAAACTTTTGACCGTTAATATATTATTAATGACAGTGGTAGCTAATATTTTAGTTAAATATTTATTGATGCTGATGAAAGCGTGTTCTTTGTCAATATTTAATATCCATTATTTACAGAAATTTTAGCTCTTTGTAATAGTACTCTAGCTTTGTTGCTAATTTTAGGATCATATTGTAGAAAAATGGCATAAAATTTAATTAGAAGAGAAATTCTATTTACTTTATTTAAAAACTTTTTTTCAGGCACTTATCTAAATATTTTATAACATAACAATTTAGTTAATTTTTAAAATTTAACTGAAGGCTAAGGCGTATTAAAAATTTAAGATGATTAAAATTTAAAAATTTAAGGTGATATTGAGGAAACTAACCACAATATTATGCCTCCTTGTTTATCTCCAAAACCAAATTAAAAAGTATTTAGATTGTTTTTGGGAAAAAGCAACTGCTAAGAAGATGAATTATAAAGCGATTATATCAAAGAACAGGGTGACACTAAAATAAAATCAAATATTAGTTCTCTTGAGCAAAGCATTAAAAAGAAAATAGAGAAATAATTAAGCTTAAATAATAGAGCAGATTAAGAACTATCATTAAAAAATGAATGTGAGTTTGATAAAGATAAAAATTTAGCAACATTAAGATCACCTGAAAATTAATAGAAAAACTAGCAAAAGCTTAAAGATTGTGAGAGCGCTTAAACCTTAGTAACTTATAATGAAAATGATTAAATGCCTAGCCAATTAAGAAACTCTCTTTATTAACAAAAATAACAGCTGTTAGTGAAAGATTCTAAAGGAAAGCTAATAAACTAAATATCTTAAGTACCTTAGTTTCAGTTTAAATAAAAACAATAAAAGAAGTTGGATTAAATAAAACCTGATGTTTAAAAAATGTAAAAATAAAGATTAAAAAGTATTAATTAACCAACAGATAAATATTTAGAAGCAATAAATGACTAAAAATTGCAATAAAAAGTTGAAAATTTAATATTCCCTAAAAAGTAATTAATTGCATTTTTATTTAAATTTAAATATTTTAGATTTTTTTATTATTTATTTATATTTTTCTAAATATTTATATTTTAATTCTTTTTCCAAATTAATAAAAATTTTCTGACATTTTAAAATTTAGGCTGTGTAAAGGAAAGAAATATTTAGAATCTAAAGGATTGAAATAACAAACATTGACTTAAATGGAATAGTTTGTTGATGAAAGCTTAGATTTCTTTAAATTTTACAAAGATATTTTGCTTTTAAAGAAAGCTATTATGATTTTATTAAATTAAGAACAGCTTGCTACTTTATAAATAATTGGAACTGATATAACATAGATAGAGTCTACTCCTATTACTTAAAGAGGTTTTATAAATTAGTATTAATTTTATTTTATAAATATATTTTTATTTAACTAGATGAATATCCTATTAATCATTTAAAAGAGTAATTTAATGTGATGCAATCTAAAGAACTATAAATGAAATACATCAGTTAATTTTTGAAAAAATCACATAATTAATTAAATTTAGATATCATCGATTAGAGAATATTTTCTTCATTACTTAAAAATTAATGAAAGTTAAAGTTCCATGCTTGCTTTAGATAATTAATTTGTTATGAATTAATTACTATTTTGTAGTTGAATTGTTTTATTTTTTGTTTATTACTTTTAAATTTAATGGTAAATTTAATATAATTTTATTTATGTAATTAAATTTTCTTCAAAAATACTTTTCAGGGTAAAGCATTAAAATAACATGAAAATTAATTAATATGTTTTGTCCTTAAGTAGCTATAAAATTGAAGCTCTTATTGACCTATTTTATAAGGTCCATATTAAAACTATTTAATTTTTATCCACAAATATAAATTTTTTAATTTAGATTTTGTAAGGTAAGAGTTATTTAGAATTTAAAGAATTGAAAAATAAGTTTTAAATTAGATAGAATAATTAGATGATGGAAGCTTGGATTTCATTAAGTTTTACAAAGATATTTTATTTTTTAAAAAGACTCTATTGATCTTATTAAATAAATAATTGTTATAAATTATTGATACAGACATTGAATAAGCAAACTCAAAACAAAAAACTTCTGCAATGAATACTAAAACAGGTTTTAAAAAATTTATAAATATTGAAAAGAATTTTTTCAATTATTTCAATTAGTAATGCAATTTGATATTACCTAAAGATCTCCAATAGAAATATATCAAGTAGCTTTTATTAAAGAGCTAAAAAACAAAAATTTACATTCTCTTGAAATATAAAAAAAATGTAAAATTAATGTATTTATTGTATTTTAGGATGTTTTCTTTGTTAGTTTAAATTTTAATTAAATGCAAATTTAAAATATATAATTTACTAACTATTGAACAAAATTTATAGTTAAAATTTTTTTGTCAAACTTATAAATTAAAATGTTTTCATCCATTAATCATTATTAACAAACATAGTTATCTAAATAAAATATAAGAAAATAAGACTAAAACTCTATTTAATTCTATCATATTCAATTTAAATTTTATTTAATTTTCTTTAATTTTACAGAATTTTTTTAATTTTAATCAAAACTAGACAAATTAATAGATAGATAACCTAAGTAAAAATCTATCATGTTAAGTAAAAAAAGAGTTAATTAAGATTGGAATATCTAAAATTAATTTATTTTGTAAGTAAAAGCAAAAGAATTATTATTAAAAAATTTTTTCATATTCTGATAATTAAAATATAGAAAAAAAGAAATTTATTTTACCGTAATTCCTTTGACTATAAGAGGTATGGTAAAAGCAATTGATTTTAAATTAAAAGAAAGGATTCTTTACCTTGTCTCTATAAACTTTTATTTCTGCCTCTTATAAGGAGATTTCGTAGTATCGACATTCTTTAATTTATCATAGAAGAATTATTTGAAAATTTTTTATTAGAAGCATTAATAAATCATTTAATATTTAAGATATAAATCAAATTTTTATCAATTATTTTAAACCAAAAAAATGATTATTATAAAATATTATTAAATTAAATTTATGTTAGATGGTGATTAGATATTTTAAACACAAATACATAAATACATATTTTTATTTTATGTAATTTAATAAATAATATTAATTAATTATTTCGGCATATAAAGTTTTTATTTATTTAAGATAAAATAAATGTTATTTTTTAAACTAAAATATATTTTAATAAAAAGTAGAAAAACTAGCAAGATAGAAAGAATTATTATATTCTGGTTGATAGATAAATCTTTTAATATAAATATTTCATTGAAAATGAAGATAATTAATCTATGAGGTGAAAATTAAAAACTAACTATTAATAAAAAATATTGGTTTAAGAAAAACAAAAGAATTATTATAGGAATACAATTAATAAGCTAAAGAAAGAATTAATTAATTCATAAATTAAACTAATTATAGGAAAATGGAAGAGACAAAATTGCGTATTGCTATCGTTAATAAGGATAAGTGCAAACCCAAAAAGTGTAAACAAGAATGTAAATCTGCTTGCCCTATTAACAAATCAGGCAAATAGTGTGTTATTGTTACTCCTAGTGATAAGATCAGCAATATTTAGGAATCATTATGTATAGGTTGTAATATGTGTGTTAAAAAATGTCCTTTATAGGCTATCAAGATTATTAACTTGCCTAAGGATATGTCCAAGGATTTGGTCCATAGATATGGTCCTAATACCTTCAAGTTACACAGATTACCTACTCCTCGTGCTGGTTAGGTAAATTATTTACTTTAAAACTAATTTTTGTAATTAATTCAGTAAGAAGTTTTTCTTAACTCTCAGTAATTTTATACTTTCTTCATTAATGTAAAATTAAAACTATCAGTGCAACTACATCTTTTCAATTTAAGAATGAGGAAGCTTAATTCAAAGAGTAGGATTAAGCACGTAGTGATAATAAATTAATAGTAAAATAGTAATTAAATTAATTGATTATATTATTGAAGAGTAAAAATTATAATTTAGTCTAAGAGAGTTATGTGAATATAAAATATCAAACAATTGCTGAAAAAATAAAAAATAAAATGTAATTTGTATAAAAATATATGTTAACTTTACTTTTAATAATAGGTTTTAGGTTTAGTTGGTACTAACGGTATTGGTAAATCTACAGCTTTGAAGATTTTAGCAGGTAAAGAAATGCCTAATTTAGGTCGTTTCGATAACCCTCCTGACTGGAAAGAATTACTTTAATACTTCAGAGGTTCAGAATTATAAGGCTATTTCACTAAGATGCTTGAACAAGAATTCAAGTAATAACACTTTTAAATTATCTCTTAATAGAATGAATTTATATTAAAGATTGCGATTGATTTTGATTTTTTAAATGAATAACTGAAATAAAGATTTTAAAAGATACTCACTCACTCTTTCATTCATTTTTATAATATTTAAATTTATATCTTATTAAATTTAATCAAAACTCACACATACATAGTTAGCAGAAAATTCATAATTAATTAATTCATTTAACGCCATACATAAAGATTTAATTGCAAAAAACGAAAAAATAAGTTAAAAATCTTATCAACAAATAAGAGCCAACAAAATATTTAAAAATATTTTAAATTGTTAAAATAAAAAATATTTGGTTAGATTTATATATTTATTTTTTTATAACTTATAGGTCTTCAATTAAGGTTTAATACGTTGATGCTATTCCTAAGCACGTTAAGGGTGTTGTTGGTGAAATCATCAAGAAAAAAGATACTAAGGGTAACTCTGAAAGATTAATATAAGAATTAGAATTATCTCATTTACTTGAAAGAGATATTTCTTAACTTTCTGGTGGTGAATTATAACGTTTAGCTATTTTGATTGTTTGCATCTAAAATGTTTAGATTTCTATGTTCGATGAACCTTCTTCTTATTTGGATGTAAAGCAAAGACTTAAAGCTGCCCAAGTTATCAGAAGTCTTATTGATGAAAAGAATTACATTATTTGTGTTGAACACGATTTATCCGTTTTGGATTATCTTTCTGATTTCGTTTGCTGTCTCTATGGTTCTCAAACTGCTTACGGTATTGTTACTATGCCATTCTCTGTCCGTGAAGGTATTAACATCTTCCTTGCTGGTTTCATCCCCACAGAAAATATGCGTTTCCGTGACTACGGTCTCAGTTTTAAGGTAAATAATTTAATTTTTGTTGATAATTGATGTAATTAACAAACAATCATTTTAATTAAATCAGGTTGCTGATAATTTAGAACCTATCGATTTAAAGAAGATGTCTCACTACACTTATCCTGCTATGGAAAAGCAATAAGGTGCATTCAAGCTCTCTATCTGCCCTGGTGAGTTCAATCAATCTCAAATCGTCGTACTTTTGGGTGAAAATGGTACTGGTAAAACTACCTTCATTAAAATGTTAGCTGGTAAAGACCCTGCAGTTAAAGACAAAATCCCTGAATTAAATGTTTCTTACAAGCCTCAAACTGTCAATCCTTCCTTTGAATCCAGTGTACGTGATTTGTTAAACATGAGAATTCCTGGTGTTTACACTCAACCTGCCTTCGTTTCTGATGTAACCAAGCCTATGCTTCTTGATGATATTATTGATAACTAAGTTCTTGAATTGTCAGGTATGATTACACTTTATTTGATCATTCAAATATGAGTCTAAATATCGATTTATTGAATTAAAAAAATAGGTGGTGAATTATAAAGAGTTTGCATTATTTTAGCTTTAGGTAAGCCTGCTGATGTTTATTTAATCGATGAACCCTCTGCTTACTTGGATTCTGAATAGAGAATTATTGCTGCTAAAGTTATTAAGAGATATATTTTAAATAGTAAAAAATCTGCTTTCGTTGTAGAACATGATTTCATTATGGCTACTTATCTTGCTGATAGGTAAATTTTATTTACAATCTGAATTTATAAATAGTATTATTTATTTAACAAATTAGTGTCATTGTTTATGAAGGTACTCCTGGTAAAGAATGTAAGGCTAACAGTCCTCAAAGTTTAGTAAGTGGTATGAACAGATTCTTAGAAATTATGGGTGTCACTTTCAGAAGAGACCCTTCAAACTTCAGACCTAGAATTAATAAAATCGACTCAATTTTGGATAGAGAACAAAAGATTGCTGGTAACTATTTCTCCTTAGAAGAGTGATTTGCTTTTTCAAGTAATCGTTAAGAAAGATGATTATTCATTCATCTTTATTATACACTAATAATTAAAATAGAAAAATCAAAGCAAATAAAATAATTTTAGTAATTTAAAATATATTAATTTATTTGATGATAAATAACTACTACGTATGTGTTCAGTTTTATGCATGAATAAATGATTATTTTATTTCATTTATTTAAATTAATTTCCTTATATTTTCATTATAAATTCTTATTATTCAATTCAATGAATTGTATCTAAATATCATTTATCTCTTTGTATTCAGTGTATGATTTATATTTTATTTATTCAAATATAACACTAACTTAATAAATTAATCAATCAATTATATTTACTTTGAAATTATCTATTCGGTTTAAAGCTATACATATCCTCATATAATTCATTAATTTTTGAAAATTTAAAAATAATTTAAATAATTAATTATCGTTAAAAAATTAAAAAATAAATGTCCAGAATAGTTAGCTTATAGGAAAAAATTGAAAGATAATATATGGAGCTCTAGCTTGATGAAAAAGAAGAAAGAGAGCTTTCAGAATGTTTTGCCTTGTTCGCTGACAGCAACACAAATTTGATTAATCCTCGTGAAATTAAAAAGGCTTTAGAGACTTTAGGTTTAGATGAGAGAAACAAGTATGTCAAAGTTATGCTTAATGATCTTGTGAAGCTTTGTGATGATAAAAAAATTGATTAACTTAACTATAAAGAATTTGTTGTGACTGTTACAGATAAGCTTGGTGATATAAAAACAGAAAAAGGTCAAAAGAAATTATTTGATCTGTATGATAAAAATGGAGATGGTTTTATAGATTGTGATGAGATAGAAGAAATTGCAAATGAATTATGTGAAAATATGACATAAGAGGATATATAAACTATGATACATCATGTTCATGTGTTAAACAAGACTTCAAGTATGGAAGGCTTTACATTAGAAGAATTTAAATAAATCATAGCCTCTGCCAATAATAGAGATGGAAGATGATATAAATTAATGTAAAATAAATCAAAATAAAATTGTAAAAAAATTATAATTAATTTTCTGAAATGTTAAATGAAAAAAGTATAGTAAATGATAAATATTATCAATAAAATAATAAGGCTAAAAAATAGCATAAAAATCCCTTAAATTTATATTAAATATTATTTTTTCTGTTAGATATTATACCAACCAACTCTTTATATGATTGTGGAATTAATTAACTTAAATCTCTTATTAAATTATATATTATTAGTCTAAAAATTTTAACTAATATTGTAATTGGATAAATTACTAATTAGTATTCAAGAAAAGCAAAAATTTTTTGTTATTTGCACTATTTTATTTTTAAAGATTGATAAAGAAGCATGTAGTGAATGATTTTGCTTATAAAAAAGTATAATTAAATCAAAAAATTTTACTTTTTTGCTGTTCATTTTTATAATTATGATTAGCAAAAAAAATGCAGTTTAATTGATTCAAGATTTATTTATTTATTGTTTTTTGGATGAAAAAATAAAATAAAAATGGCATGAGTTTTACTTACTTACTTATTTATTTATTTATTTATTTATTTGCAGTTTATCAAATTTATCTATTCATTTATTGATTAATTACAACATAAACGATAGAAATATTAAAAATAGATTTTATACAAATATATTATTTTATAATTTATTTATTTATTTAGTTAGGTAGGTAGGTAGGTAAGTAGTTAGACTTTTCTTCTTAAAATAAAATATTTTTAAATTTGTAGATTTAAGCAAACAAAAGTTTTATTCATTTCAAAATTCATTTGTTATCAAATATGTTTGTTGATTTCACACCTGGGGTCTATTTATTTAATACAAAAAATTATATTATCATCTTTTTTAAAATATTTATTTATTTACTGAAGACTTCTGATTTGAATTGGTTGATAAAGAGTTGGACTAAGATCTGTTACCTGGAATTACTGTAAAACCATCTTCATCTACTTTCTTTTCCTCAAAAACTTATTTCTTTTCTTAATAATTGTTGCTATCTTTATTAACAGTTTTATTGTTTTTGTTATTGTTTTGATTACTTCTTTTATTCTATCCTCCATCTTTGTTTTTTCTCTCATCAGAATTCTTTTCTTAATATTCTTGATTTCTTTTATTCTCATCTTAGTTCACTCTTTTTTAGTTATATTCCTTATTACCATTTTAGTGATTATTGTTGTTGTTGTTGTTGTTGTTGTTATTATTATTATTATGGTTTCCATTTTCTTAATTTTCTTATTTATTATTAAAGTATTCTCTTTTTTTATATTCTCTTGGCTTGTTATTGTTATCTCTGTTTTGGTTATCTCTCTTTTCATTGTTATCTCTGTTTTGGTTATCTCTTTTTTCATAGTTATCTCTATTAGGCCTTTCCTTTCTTTCCATATTTGAATATTCTTTCTTTTCATAATTTTTTTGTCCATTTCTTTAACCACCTTATTGCTAATGTTGTTACTATTACTACTATTGCTACTATTATTATTGTTATTCCTATTTAGGTTATTATTCAGTTTCCTGTAATTTATCAGATTCAAGACTATCTTTTTCATAGTAATGCTATTGTTAAAATTAAAAATGTTACTTGATTTTAAATGTCTTAATGTAAAATTTATTTACTTTTTGTCCTGTTCCTTTTTAAGTTTCATCTTTGTTTTCTGTTGATTAAATTTTAATTATTTATTTATATATTTATATATTAATTTTAAACAATTTTACATGTAGAGCTTTGATCCTTTTCATAGCTTTGCTTCTTTACGAATTCAACTTATTGCCTTTTTTCAGAATATTTTTTTTCAAGTTAAGGGGGCTAGTTTTAATTTTCAGCTCCCTTATTATTAGCATTTCTAGTCATTGTAAAGGCTAATTTTAATTATAAAAATTATTTAATTATAAATTAAATTTAATATTTTAATTTACGTTTTTCATTTTTTTCATATCCTCTTCCTTCTCTATCACCTCTATTTTCTCTATCACCTCTTTCACCTCTATTTTCTCTATTATCCTTATAGTTATTTTTTTTGTGGTCTTAGTCGTGTTTATCATCCCTTTTTCTATGGTCAGAGTCTCTTTTTTCTCTGTTATTAAAGTTGTTTTTCTTCTCTTACTCATATTCATTTTTGTTAGCTTTTTGTAAATAAAAATAATCTATAAAATCTATTTTTTTAATCAAAATTATATTACCATATCTAATTCTGAAATAGTATTTGTTGAAAGCCTTTTTATATTTTACATAATAATTAAAACTAGAAATTTATATTAGTTTATGATATTACCAAAGGTTCAGTAGGTAAAATCTTATCAAAATCAGATGTTTTAATTTAAACATTAATATGGTATTCGTTAGTTTTATCTTAATAGCCATCAATATTTAAAATATCAATTCCTTTAAATGACTATCTTATGTCTTCATAATTTATTTAATCAGTGACACCCAAACGGAAGCAATTAATCCATAAGAGCTCACTTTTGTGATTTTTTTGCTCCATAGCTTCTTTTATTTTTTTTACTAAATAGTTTTAAAATATATTTTTCAATAAGGATCACTGAAATAAAACGATTTTATTAAATATGAAAGCAATAGGCCGCCTATAACTTAGCAATTGATACCAAAATCAACTAATTTTCGTGGCTAAACCAAAAATTATTGCTATAATGAAAATTATTGACAAAATATATAATTATTAATAAATGTAGTACAACTGTCTTCATGTTGCTCAATAAACTTATCTTTTTAGTTATCTACTTTCTAATTTCTGTCTCTTCTGCCTCCATCTTGTTTATAGTTTTTCTATCTATCATATTGTTGTTAGTTTCCAATTTAGGCTTCTCTTTTTTCTTAAATTTAATAAAAATAATTAAATAATTCATTTTTTAATTTGTTATCAAGTAGTTTATCATTAAAAAATTTATTGGTAATTAAATTTATTTTTTTACTGTTCATTTTGAATTCTCCATTATTTTAACGTTCTTTGTTGTTTTAATTATTTTCTTGTTTAGCTTCTTCCTCATCCTCTTGCTAATTAACTTGCTATTAGGTAACTTGTTACTTAGCATCTTCTTCCTTTACATCTTTTTGAGGATTGCTTCTAACTTCTTTTTAATGAACTTCATTGGAGTTATTTTCATCATCGCTACTATCGCTATCAGCCATATCAGCCCAAACTATTAATTTTTTAGTAAATATTAATCTAATATTCGTACAAGAGAATCAAATATAAGATGTATTTATATATTTATTTATTAATGCAATTACGCTTAGATGACTTTGATTTTTATTGTTCAGACATTTTCAATTTTTTTTTAATTAATTAATTAATCAATGTTTCTTTATTTATTTATATATATATTAATTTCTTTCTTTATCAATTCCTTTTTGTTAATCCTTTATCAAATAATAATTTATTATTATTTTGCAATTTAATATTATTATTTATCATACAAAAATTCATTTCAGCTTTACTTTTTCCTTAGTTATAATTGACTTTTTATAGAATATAAAGCCAATAACTATCTTGTCTCTTTCACTAAATCTTCATTTTAACAAAATATTTTAAGAAACATATAAGAAAGCAAAAAATCGCTATGATAATTCCAATCTAGTGAATAAAAATTTCGCCTCAATTAAACCCACGCGTATCTTTTCTTAACTCCCAGTTCTTCTAAAAACATCAAATAGATTTTTAATTATGATAACTACCTTCTCATATTTTACCCCTCTTAATTTTAATAAATACATAAAATAAATAAACTCTCCAAAAATTTTAAATTAAATAAACATTTTTTTTGCTTTCATTTAAAGAATAAAATTCAATTATGAAATATAATATAAAACAAACACACTCCTCCTTATTTAATTTTAAATATATTATTTTTATTATTTTTGAATAAACAATAAATAAATTAATTAATTTTTAACTCTCATTTTATTTAAGTCAATAAAAAACTTTAGTAACAACTCCTACTGCTTTTAAAAGCTTTTCATCAATGTAAAACATCTAACCAACTTATATTCTCTCAGGTCTGTAAATAAAACGCATACGGAGATAATTCTTTACTTCTGGTTAGTACTTATTTAATTAGTTATTTACATTCTGTTTATTTTTGCTTGGTTCAATTACTATTACAGGTACATTATCTTAAGCTATTTCTATTTTTTATGATGTTTAGTCTAATGCTTAGTCATTTGGAAATAACTCTTTTATCTATCAAATAATTTTTTATTATTTATATTAAATTTGTGATTAATTAATAAATAAATAAATTTACTTTGTCTATTGATTTTGTTCTCCTTAAAAATTTTTTATTTAGATTTTTAGAAAAGACAAGAGCCTTCTCTTCTTTTTATTTATCTCCTTATGTTGAAGACTTGATGGCTTTAATCTAGTTATTAAAATTTATTTCATGTAAATGTTAATCAGAGTAATGATTCATTTCTCTTTCTAGCGATTTGCGTCTAGCGAGAGGACGATATCCTTTTCCCTCTAAATCTTCTTTGGTTACCATTATTTTACATATCTGTCTGATACTTTAAAAGTTAACTACCGGCTAGTAACCTGTTTTGATTAGTACTTTCTCCTTTATACTATCAAATAAAGTAAGTTCAGCTAAAAATTCTGATGCAGCCCTTGGCAATAACCTTGGGTCTACTAAAACTTATCCTTTTCGAACCTCGAACTTTTTTTTATCTTGCATATCCATACTCACTCTTACAGAGCATATTTAACTGGTTTAAACCCTTTCTACTGATGTTTTTACAACCATCAGCTCTTAGACTTTTACTTTTTTGAACAAACCCTAAATATTGGTAAAATAATTATTTTCTTCATTTTATTGTTGAAAAATAAATGAAATAAATACATTAATATCTGGGCCAATAAGTAGGTTCTAAGCTAAATGAAGCTCACCTTGTAAAACAGTTCCTTAAAAAATCACATTGTTATTACTTTTATCTACATTTATTGCTGATCTTTCAAGTGCATTGTATATTGTTAGTTCAGTCAATTCTTACTTATTTGTTTAATTAACTCTCCTATTATCTGGAAGCTAACTCAAAAATTTAGAAAATAGCTTAATGTTACTTAGTGTTTTACTAGAAACCAAGAAAATCGGTACAAAGTTTCCCTGCAAAAAACTTTCAGTAAAAATCTTAGCTACTTATGATATGTTATAAATTACTTAAACATATTTTTAAGCATAAGTGCTGTAAATAAAATTTTTAATCTCGCAAATGAGACTACCAATTTGAGAACTTGGAGCATTATCAGTATTAGTTATTACTATAAAAAAAACTAAACCCATTGAAACTGCATCCCTGATATATGTTTTATCACTCTCACTAAACTCATTTTTAGCTGAAATAACTATAAGTCCATAATTAGGTATTCTTGAGCAATAACTTAAAACAAAATATTTTCTATCTTTTTGTTTGCCACCTAATGTAAAATTAAAAAATATATTTTATAAACTGTTAATTTAGTTTTGTTTAATTATAAAAAATTTATTTTAGATAAAAAAGTGAAAATGAAAAATTTAACCCAAATTTTTGTTAATATTATTTTTAGAAATTATTAAAAAATGAAACGAACGAGGTAATATTTTATTCTTATCCATAGAGAAAAATTTATTTATTAATTTAAAAAAATTATAAATTTAAAGATAAGATTAAATATAAAAACCTTACAAAATAAAGCTTAACTTTTATTTATTTTTTTAAATATTTTAATAGCTGTTTTTTTATTATTAAGTAGAACTCTTAAAAATACTTTTTTAGTAAAAATTCAGCTTATATTTAAAAATTTTAGATTTGAATTTGGATTGAAAAATTAAAAACTGCTGATAAATTAGCTAACAAACATTTAAAAAATTACCTATATCTACAAAGCTAATAATCTTAGTTGCTAATTCTATTTCTCCTTCAATTCTATTTTATTTATTAAAATTTAAATTTGAATAACTATTTAATTTAATTTTTAAAAGTACCCAAGCACAGTGAAAGGAAATCTACTTAAAAGTTTTCCTTAAGAATCAAAGCATAAATATCTTTATTAGATTTAAGTTGTTTGCTCATTATTAATTTGACAACCAGACTCTTTATAATACATTGTTTTTATAAGTGTAGTTTTACCACTTCCAGTCTAACCCATTAGCTAGATACGAATATCTGCCCTTACAACGCTTCTTGGCCTTTATTTAATTTTTACAAATCCTATTCGCCCTCTTTCTCCATTATAAACTCTGTCTAACTAAAAATAACATTCATTCTTGTTTGCAACATGAGAGAGGATTTTTAAACTCAAAAAGAATTCCTCTTCTATCAATCCTAAAGTATTTCCATTATCTATTAATTAATTTATTATATAATTTTTTCAATTTACTCTCAATAATTTATATTTTAAACAATTGTCAAATATTTTATTACTATTAATATTCAAAATTTGAAATAGAAATTTTAAGAAAATTAAGATATTTGAAATAATTGTATTTGGTTAATACAAAGCTATGAAAATTCAGTTATATGTAAAATATTTTTAATTTTTATGAAAATGAATTACCTTCTACTCCAATCCAGTAATAGCATTCGTCTACACCTTCATCTAAACGACGAAGCATTTAGCATTCAAGCTCTTATAAACGACGCTCTTCTGTTTTTATTAGCTTTAATTTATATTCTATATTTCCATGCTTATCATCTTCAGGTGGTAGAGGGTCCAAGTACTCAGCGTCGTCTTGGTAGTGTTCCTTCACTGCCTGGCATAGCTATTCAATATCCATTTACTCAATTTAGTTAGTTTTAACATTGTTGAAAAAAACAATTTAGGGTGGTTTTAGCTGGATATTATTAACTGGCTTATTCACTATATATCTTTTTTTACCATGTCTAGTAGATGCACTGCTAATTGTTTAGTGGTTATCAACTTTTGTTGCTTTTTTTCCTTCTTGTTTTGGTTAGTGTGAGTCATATTATAAAAATTAACTAACAAGCTAATTAGTGTCCAAAATTTAATTGCTTTTATTTGAATCTTATAAAAAATAAGATTTTTCGGGTATTTCACTAAGCTAACTTTGTACTTGAGAATTTGACATCCGTCAATTTGAAGAGTAAATAGCCTTTATTATAATAATTTTTCTTTTAAAATCTTTAAATTTGAATAATATTTTTAGATGGAAATATTGTTGATTTTATAATTTGTAAAGTAAATTAATTTATTAAAAAAAGAATAACAAATGTGCTGTTCTTCAAAAGCTTTTCTTTAATTACTTTATTTAGAGAGTCTTAGAAGATGTTTAACGGAGTGAAGAATAGACAGAAAAGGCGAATTGAAGTATCTATTAAATAAGTAATGAAATTATCTCAATGAACTAAAATAGTTTAGTAATTTAATCTTCTCTTGTACAAACTAGGTTTGGTAATAGAGCCTTTTGGTTAGTTATAAACATTTCAGTGATTAGTTTGTAAAATAGAAATTATGTTTATTTTCCTATCCACTTTTTATTACTAGATAGCTAATCATAAGAATTCTTCAGATTATTTTTATTAAAATTTAATTAATGATTTAAAATTGCTTAAAAAAAATCTGATGAAGGCGAGATTCGAACTCGCGCCCTTTCGGAATAGAGCCTTAATCTACCGCCTTAGACCGCTCGGCCACTTCATCTTGGTTGATGTTTAAAGATTAATTCTACGCATACTATTTAATTATTTTTCAATTTATAAAATGCTATTGTACTTATTTTAGATTTACAAATATTGTAAAATTTTTTTAGTGATTTTGAAAAAGTCTAAATAGAAATTTTAAAATGAAATGGATGTGATGTTGTATGTTTAAATTTAAAAAATGGTATTTTACTTAAAATAAAGATATGATAAAAAAAAGTATTACAAAATGTTTGTTTGAGTTGCAAAAATTTAATTGATATCTTTAAGGTAAATTCAATTTTTTCTCAAATAATAACCAATAATCGCTTATGTTGGAAATGTAAAATAATTCAAAATTTATTTTTTGACTTATAATTTTTTTTTTGCATGATTGTTATTATCTTTAATATTCAAAATTATTAAATTCTTCATTTTAGGGAGTAACAAACGAGAAAGAAAAACAAAAATATTTTAAACTAAAACTATAAAAATTTTAATGGATAATTAGTAAAGCATAAAAACATAATTAAAATAAACTAGGCCATTAAATACAAATAATAGAGCTCCATCTGTAATTGTTTGATTTTGATACTTTTTTATATTGATCTAACCTTTTTTATTAAGGCTAAAATAATTAGACATGAAATGGCAATAGAAAAATATAAAATATATGAAACCCAAAAGCTCAACGATAAAAAAATAAATGAAATGATGCGTGTAAAATTTTAGTCTTCACAATAAACATTAATCTTTGCCTTAAAGTTTTCATTTATTTTTGTTAAATAAAATGTTAAGGGAGTAAAATAAGTAGAGTTTGTATAAAAACCAGGAGAATTTTTTGTATTATCTTCTCAACAAAACAGTCGCCCTAAAATCTCAACTCAATAAACTCAGCAAAGCATAAACTCTTCAAAAATATTTGGAACTATACTTGATGTAATTAATTATAAATTGGCTACTTTTGATTGATAAAATTAAGTTTTTTATTTATTATTCTCAATTATTACAAAGAGTGCTACTAAAATATATGAGAATTCATAAAGTTAAATAAGATCGATGAGCACTACTAGGTAAAGAATAATAAGCACTTCGTCAATTGTAAGTTTATTTTAGTTAAATATATCATAATTAAAAGCTTTTAAATATAAGCATAATTAGAGTAAACAATCTCCAGCATTCTTTAATAACTCAAATAATAAACTTAAGCCTCCTTTAAATATTTAAAATCAATAAGCTATAGAATAAAATAATTTATAAAAGATGGCAAACACATTCCACATAAATAACAGCAATAATAAATTATAAAATAATTTTGGATAAGAAGAATAATCTCCTCTTCCCTCGATTTAATATACTGAACAAGAGAGTCAAAGGGAAAATAAAACTATACTTAGACCAAGGAGATCTTAATCTTTGAATAAATTTAACTAAACAAGCACTCAATTTAATAACGACTATAGCTTTTAAATGCCCTAAAATAATAATGATGCAACTATACAAAATCAAACTCAAAATAATTTTTATGTAATTATCATTTAAATTTAAATAATCATTAAATAAACTAATTTTTTTAGTAGGAAGAAAGTCCTTTTGATAACCGTAATTAAGAAACTAACGAGTTTAACTAATCGAGAACCTAGTCTTCTATGCAAGTAAAGAAGCCTAAGCTAACCTAAAATTTAAAAATAATCCTTTCTAAGTAAGATACCTAAATGCTAATTAACAGTACAAAACTAATTTCTGAAATAGTCCAAGATAATTTAAATATAAATGAAAAAATCTAAGAAAATACAAACAGAATGAATAGCACAATGACTGCCTTTAAAAAAACATCTTAATCCTTTGTAAATTTGCAGAAGTAATTAAATGAAAAATCAGCAGCAAGTTCTTTTTTGATGTAGCAATTAAAAGAAGAGAACACTAATAACGTTAACAAGTCTTAAAGTAATAATAAATTTATATAAATTATAGATTAGTTTAAAAATATTCAAAATTAAAGTTATGAAAGATGCTAAGGGCAATGATAAGAAAGATAATGTTAAAAAAAATTTAAGATCCCATAGCTATCAGATTTTGCAAAGGACTTAAGTAAAAAATAAGCATATATCAGGGTATCAGACTATAGTAATAAACCATAAGCTAGAAGAAAAAATAAAAGAAGAGGAAAGAAAATAAAAAGAAGAACTGAAGAAAAAACAAACTAGCAAAATCATAGATTACTCTAAGATCTCTCCTTACATCATAGGAGATGAAGAGGCTGAGAAAAAAATTAATGCTAGAAATTAATTATTTTGTGAAGAATAAAAATTAACTAAATTTGATAAGAAGGAAAAAAATTATTTTTTACCATTAGATTACTATAATTTAGATGAAGAAGATTTAAATCCTCATGAACTCTTAAATAAATACTATGATAGTGAATCAAACACTATCCAAGGATATTCAAAATGGTTTTAAAATGATGGAAAATTTGAATGGTAGCCTTGCACAGTATTAGGTTACAACGAAGAATCTTAAAGATATGTTATTAAGTAAATTTTCAATTTATAAATTATATTAAATGTCTAACCAAGTTGTTTTTAGTTATATTTTAAATAAAATGAAATTTTTAGCCACTTTCTTTTTAGGAAATTAATAAGAATTTAATAATTTTTTGTTGATTTTAAATTTATTTTTATTTTCATTAATTTAATTTTACTTTTTTATTCATTTAAATTAGAAATTTAAATATAATTTTTAATTTTAAAAACAAACAAACAAATTAATGGATATTAAATTTTAATTAATGACAATTGTGCTTTATTTTAAATCAATATTTAATAAACGTTAAAGATAATTAAATTATTTTATATTTTTTAAAGATGGAATAATGGAAAAGAAAAATTGGTTTCAAGAGTTAATCTTAGATTCAAAGGGGAAAGTTAAGAATAATTCGAAAAGAAATTAGAGATTGCTAATATTTATAGGGAAATAAGTGAGTATTATATAAAGTATAATTTGATGATTGATACGATGGAAGATGAAACCTCTACTTTATCAGATGATATTATTGATAGAGTTATTATTTTTGCAACAAATTATCCTTTTAAGCTTTCTCAATATAGGAATCCTATTGAGTTTTATTAGTTAGATCCTCTTGTTAAGTTCAACTTTAAATTTAAAATGTTTCCTAAATAAATTGATATACCACCCTAAAAGACGTTAGAAAATATTTTAGATGAAAAGAAAATTAAACATAGAAGCTTGTTAGCACTGAAAAATGAAATAATGTAATTATTTGTAAGGTCAAACAGATAAATAAAATTTGATAATACACTTCCTTTTTCAGAGGAAAAGTAGCAATATTTCAAAGGAATTTTACCTGACTACATGTTTATTCCAATTACAGAAAGAGTGAAAGATAATCGTTATTATGCTACATTAGATGTTGGATATTCACAAAATCACAATTATACAAAATTTCTTAATTTAGTAAAATTAATCATATCATTAATGAATTTTGAAATATTTTATTATTTAAAAGTATTCTAAAATGTCTTAAACTTGCATGTACTCCATTGATTTTAAGTTAGAGCAGCTTAGATATATTAATGATGCCAGACTCTCTTTAGAATAAATGAGCTTGATAGAAACAGATTTTAAAAAAGAAATTGATATTTCAAAATTTTAATTTATTCAGAGAAAAAAATGCAAAGATTTAGTTAAAGAGTTGAACAATAAAGTGTATGATACAAACTTTACTTTAGTAATGAGAGTCGAGACAGAAACTAGAGAAATTTAGAAAAGAAACGAACAGCTTTTAAGAACAAAAATTAACGAGGAAGAAAAGGAAGCTTTGAGAAATGTAGAATATCCAAAAGAATTCATAGAAGATATAAGGAGAACTTAATTTTAGTACACTTTGCAATATGAAAGAATTTATAGAAATCTATATTTTACCAGCATTAAATAATTTTCTGCTCTTTTTCAAAAGCATAATAATTTTTTTAAAAAGATTAATAATTTAAAATTTATTACTGAAGACACATGTAATTATTCTCATATTGTTAATTATTTGCATATGATTAGACTATACTAGCCTTAAGAAAGTGATTTTGTAGGATAAATTAGGCTCATAAGGTATTTATTTATTACTTATTTATTAAAACCATAATTGTTAATATTTTTTAATGTCAGAAATGAGAAGAAGATAGCCTTTTCTCCGACTTTTGAAGAATGGAAAAAGGCTATATAGGATATAGAGGATGAAATGTATGAATAGATGATTAGTATTAGATGCATGAGAACAAATGAAATAGGTCTTAGTAGACCATCTAAGACACTATGTTTGTTTGATTAGAAAGACTAAGAAAAAGATGAAATAGAATCTATGTTTGAAAATACAATTAATGAGACTTTCACTATTATGGAAATGTTTTAAAAAAAAGTTAACGAATTCGAATATTTGCTTGATATATCAGGCGATTCTGTTCGAAAAAAATTTGCAAAAAAGAATAATTTTAAGGTAAAAAATATATTTAAAAATTATATTAATTGTTTAAAATTTTAAAATTAAAAGGACTTTGAACACCTTTTATAAAAACTCAGAAAAAGTAAAGATGAGTTTGATAATGTTTTAATTGGTGATAAAGTTATGTTGGGAAATTTTACAGTAGAATGTGCTGATTTTAGAAAATATGTCGAGGAAAGGATTAAATTAGCATCAAAGGTTGTTTATGAAATTTTGATGAATAAAATAAATGATGAAAATAGTAAAATGGAAAATGAAATAGAAAATATTATCTTAAAGCTGAAAAAAATGCCAGAAAACATTGAAGAAATGGATTAATTAAGAAAATATTGCAACATAACTTTGGTAAATGAATTAGCAGAGATAAAAGCAAGAATAGATTAAGTCATGGACAGAATGAATCTACTTGAATACATGTATTTTAAAATCTCATTTGAAGATTTTGCAAAATGCTGGAGTATATATGGAATGCCTCTTAAGCTTAATAAGAAGAAGAAAAAGTGTTTATAAAAAATGTTGGTCCTCGAAAAAAGCTTTTCTGATGATCTCCTTTTTTATTAACATGAACTTGTAGAGGAAATAAAGCAAATTAAAGGTAAATCCTCATTTATTTAAATAATTCTTGATAAATTAAATTTAATATTTAAAAAAGCAACTTTGGAGCTTCTTTAAAAAGAATCTTAAATAGAAGAAACTGATTCTATTAGTTTTAAATTTGCAGAACTAGGAGACAGGATTGATAAAGCATAGTAAGATGCAGATATAATCAATAGAAGAGAAGATATTTTGAAATGGTTAAAAACTGATTTCTAAATCATAACAAATATTCACAAAGAGTATTTCCCTTATAATAGGGTAACTAACTAATCAACTAAATAATTAACTAATAAAATAATTTTTTGTCATTTAATTTTTATTTTATAAACTATCAGGTTTGGCAACTTTCTAAAGACTATTCGTTTAAAATTCCAAATATCATGGAAGGTCCTTTGTCATCAATTAATAGAGAAGATGTTTGTTCTGATATTATTGATTCATGGAATGAGCTTTACAAAATGGAGAAGGGCGTTTTTAAGAATATTCCTCACATAAAAATGCTTTGTTAGCAAGTAAGATAGAAGTATGAAGACTTCAAACCTAACCTTCCTCTAATCATGGATCTCAGAAATCCTAATTTAGAGAAGAGACACTGGGTAAAAATAAACCATCTTATCAAGTAAAATTTTGTTATTCATTTGTTAATGAAATGTTTATAAAAATTTAATAATTAGAGAGCACAATAAAAAGGTTGAAAGAAAATAACTGTAAATCAGAGTTGAGTTTGATGAAGACTTAAACATAAATTTAAAAACCCTTTTAGAAAATAATATTCAGTTTATTTAGGATGACATACGAGAGATTTCTGAAATTGCATCTAAAGAAAAAGGATTTGAAAAGATTTTGAACAAAATGAAATCAGAATGGAAACCTATCAGACTCTAAATCTTTCCTTATAAAGACACAGGTACTTTTGTACTTCGTGGTGTCGAGCCTATCTTAGACAGGCTAGATGAAGATATTTCTAAAACTAACAGCATAGCTGCTTCTCCTTTTGTTAAGTTCTTTGAAAACGAAGTTAATTATTGGAGAACCATTCTTTACAAAATGCAAGAAACTATCGAAACTTGGTGTAAAGTTTAAAAAATGTGGTAATATCTCTAGCCAATATTTTTTAGCGAAGAAATCATTTAAGAAATGCCTCGTGAAGGAGGTAAGTATGAATTTGTTGATAAAATGTGGCGTTCCATCATGCTTACAACTACCTAAATACCAAATTGTATGGAAGCTTGCTCCCAAAGCAGGTTAAAAGAAAACTTTTAAATGATGATTGAAAATCTTGAAAGTGTAATTAAGGGTTTAAATGATTTTTTAAATAAAAAACGTGAAGCATATCCTAGATTCTATTTTCTTTCAAATGATGAACTATTACAAATTCTTGCCCAATCTAGAGATCCTTAAGCAGTATAGCCTCACTTACCTAAATGCTTTGAAGGAATATATCGTCTAAAGTTTATACCAATAACACTTCCAGAAGGAATAAGTTCATCAAATATAACACATATGATATCGAAAGAGGGTGAATAAGTAGAGTTTTTAAACCTGATAAATCCTTTTTATTTTAAGAAGCCAAAAGCTGTAGATACTAATAAACTTTAAGAAAAGGCATAAAATAAATAAATTGCTTTTAAATAAGAAACAGATGATATTTAAGATTAAGAATAAAAAGCAGAATAAGTTATTATTCAAGAAACTCCTAAACTAATTGCTAGAGGTGTTGAAGATTGGCTCCCTGAACTAGAAAATAATATGAGGGAAACTATGATGGATCTATTCAAAAATTGCTTAAAAGAACACAGTACTCTCTAGCCAGGACAAAAGAATAATTGGCTATTTAAATGGCCCTCTCAAGTTATAATAGTTTCAGATTAAACTTTATGGACTTCAAGTGCAACAGAGGCTATAATTGGTCTCGAAGAAAATCCTTAATCTCTTGTTAAATTCTTTAATTAGTTATAAGAAGATCTACTTGATATTGTTTCTTTAGTAAGAAATTCAAATATTGAAAATATTCACAGAATTATGCTTGGAGTGATGATAGTTACTAATGTGCATTAAAAAGATATTATAAAATCCTTAAAAGATGTTTCAAATGTTAAGTTGAATACAGAGTCATTTGAATGGCTTCAACATTTAAGGTACTATCAAGTTGAAAAGAAGATCAAGGTAGAATTAAAAGAATTTTTATTTTATTTTAACAACTTTTAATACTCTATTTAAAAAATAGAATCAGAATACTGACAATTTAGAAGTAAGGATGGTTAACAATAGTAGGACTTATGGATGGGAATATTTAGGAAACTAAGGAAGACTTGTTATTACCCCTTTAACAGACAGATGTTACAGAACTCTTATGTCTGCTCTTTAACAAAATTTAGGAGGTGCTCCAGAGGGGCCAGCTGGAACAGGTAAAACTGAAACAACAAAAGATCTAGCAAAAGCTATTGCAAAGCATTGCGTAGTATTTAATTGTTCTGATGCTCTTGATTATATAGCTATGGGTAAATTTTTTAAAGGTTTGTGTAGTTGTGGAAGTTGGGCATGCTTTGATGAGTTCAATCGTATTGAACTTGAAGTTCTCTCTGTTATTGCATAATAAATCTTAACAATTTAAACAGCCATTTATAAACTAAGTTTAGCTAGAGTCGTCAACAATAACCCTACCTTTAATTTTGAGGGTAGAACTTTATTAAATTAAAAAATTTTCTATTTATGTATTTGTACATTTTTATTAGGATAAAATATACCTTTAGACAGTAGTTGTGCTATCTTTATTACTATGAATCCAGGATATCAAGGCAGAAGTGAATTGCCAGATAATCTCAAAGCTTTATTTAGGCCTGTAGCTATGATGATTCCAAATTATACTATGATTACAGAGATTTCTCTTTATTCTTATGGCTTTTAATATGCGAGAGAATTAGCTATTAAAATTACCTATTCTTTAAAGCTTGCTAGTGAGTAGTTATCAACTTAAAGTCACTATGATTTTGGTATGAGAGCTGTTAAATCTATTATTTTAGCTGCAGGTACTTTGAAAAGGACTATGGACGCAGACGAAGATGAGTATTATTTGATACTTAAAGCAATTAGAGATTGCAACATCCCTAAATTTACTCATAAAGATGTTCCCCTTTTTGAAGCAATTTTACAAGATCTTTTCCCAACAACTTAATTCAAAGTTGGACAATATGAGTTACTTCATCATGCTATTAAAAAAATATCTGAAACCAACAATTTAGTTCTTTACGACGTATTTAGTTAATTTTTATTTAAAAAAGGTATTAAAATATTTGTTTTTCATAAAGAGGTTTTATCAAAAGATCATTGAGCTATTTGAAACAATATAAGTTAGACATGGTCTTATGATAGTTGGAGGAGCTTTAGGAGGCAAATCATCGTAATTAATTAGAAAATAATTTTAAAACTACTTTTTTTAAATATGATTTTAGGATATTAAAAGTTTTAGGTGATTCTATTGAACTCTCAAATAAGGAAGAATACTTGAAGTAGCACCCTGAAATAGTTGAACTTATGCATAAATTGTAAAAAGAGGAAGAAGAGAGAGAATTAGCATATAAAAATTTGAGTCAAATAGAGAAAAGGAGGTTAGCTAGACAGTAAACAGGAATAGATCTTGCACCAAAATAAGAAATCGTTCTTGAATATGATAGAGTTAAAAAATTCTTTATAAATCCTAAATCTATTTCTGGTTAAATGCTGTTCGGAGATGTTGAAGAAGCTTCAGGCGAATGGCATGATGGTATAACTGCTCTAACTTTTAGATAATGTTAAGAAGAAGATTCTAATCATTATAAATGGGTTGTTTTTGATGGACCCGTCGACGCACTTTGGATTGAAAATATGAATACAGTGTAAATAAATAAATAGTTAAAATATCAAAATATAGAATTTTAAAAACAAATTTTAATAGATTGGATGATAATAAGAAATTATGTTTGACGAATGGTGAAACTATCCCTTTAGCAAATAAAATGTCAATAATGTTTGAAGTAGAAAATCTATACGAGGCTTCACCTGCTACTGTGAGTAGATGTGGTATGGTTTACCTAGAATAATAGGGTATGCTTTTTATAACTTTATATTAATAATAAAGCTTTACTGTTTTTATAAATAGACCTTAAATGGGAAGTTTTTTACACTTGTTGGTATAACAACTTAACAGGTAATTTGTAAGGAGAGGAGTAAAATCAATTTTACCATAGTCTTTTAGAAGAATTACTGAAGCCAGCCATTGAGTACTTACTCAAGAAAAAAACTCCTCTTCCTGTAACTCCTTAATGGGCAGCTATGAATTTCCTAAAAATGTTTGAAGGGTTCCTTCTTAAGAAAAAGAATAAGGCTTAAACAATTGAAGCATTAAAATATGAATAAGAACAGTAAATTTCAAGAGAAAAAGCTGCACTTTTAGAAGGAAAAGAATTACAAGCAAAGAAAAAAGTAAATAAATTTTAGTTCAAAATAAAAATGATTAAAATTGACATTCATTTTATTTAAGACTTTTAGTGATAAAGAAAAAAGTGAAGTTTTTTCTAAATTTTTGATGGCTATGATATGGTCTTGTGGAGGTTTACTTTTAGAAGAAGAGAGAGACCAGTTTTCTTTAGTTTTACATAATTTAATTAAAATTTACATATAAAAAGAAAAAGATATTATAAAATCTACTTTACCTAATGAAAAAGAAAACCTCTTCGATTAAAGATTTTTCTCATAAAAAATGAATTGGAATTTATGGAAAGTAGGTGGCTAATACAAAATACCACCAGAGATTTAATTTTATGAAATTTTTATTCCAACCACTGATTCAATTAGATACACATATTTGCTAAAGTCACTCCTTTTGCATAATACTTCTACTCTCTTCCTTGGTAAAACAGGAACAGGAAAAACAGCAATTCATAAAAGGCTTCTTTTAAATGATTTGGATCCTGATTCTTTTATTACTACAATAACAGCATTTAGTGCGAATATTCCTGTTAATCAAGTAAGGCTTTACCTAAATTTTAATTATTCAAATTAAAGTTAAGGCATTTATTCATTTTTTTAAAATAAGGTTTAAGATGTTTTAGAGAGTAAGCTTGAAAAGCAAAAAAGAAAAAAAGGAGTATATGGTCCTTTGATAGGAAGGATTAACATAATCTTTGTTGATGATATAAACATGCCTAATAAAGAATACTATGGCGCTCAGCCGCCGTTAGAATTAATTAGATAATACTTTACCTATGGAGGTTGGTATGATAGGAAAGCATTAGAATTTAATTAAATTGTAAAAATTTTTCAAAAATAATTAAATTTTTTTATTGGCTTATTAATAACTATATTTTGATTTTAAATAAAAGGTTGATATCTAAATAACTGCAGCCATGGGAATGGGTAGAGCTAGTATATCTGACAGATTACTTAGACATTTCCATTTAATATATTTAAATCCTACTGACTCAAATACTTTGTTTTTTATGACTTAAAAAATTTTGGAATGGGGTTTCAGGGAACATATAGATAAAATTAAGTTTATGACATAAAATTTATCCAATCTATGCTTATAAGTACATAAACAAATTGAAAAAACTTTTTTACCACTCCCTTCAAAATCACATTATTTATTCAATTTTCGTGATCTCATGAATGTTTTATAAGGAGTTCTTGAAGTTCCTGGAAGCAAATATGAAGCAACAGGAGATTATCAAGGATAAATTCTTCGTTTATGGCTATTTGAGACTAATTGTGTGTATAAAGACAGACTTATAGAAAAAAAGGACATTTTTAAATATGACTCAATTATTAAAGAAAATCTTGAAATATATTTTAAAACATCTGTTGATAAAATTATGTTTGATTTCAAAGGTGAACCAATTAAAGATTTGTTGTTTGGTAATTTTAAGCCTGATAACGTTTATTAAGAATTAAATATGGATTAAAATACAATAAGAAAACTCATTTAAGATCACATAGATAGCTATAATAGAATTAATAATTAGAAAATTAACATAGTAGTTTTTCATGATGCTATTCAACTTTTATCAAAAATCAATAGAATAATAAATTAAACATTTTCTCATGCCTTACTGATTGGCCTAGGAGGTTCAGGCGCCCATACTTTAACAAGGTAAATATTTTTAAAAAAATATATAATTGTAAATTTAAATGTTGATGATTTTAAATAGACTTGCTACATTCATATCTGGATACACTATTTAAGAAATAGAAGGAGAAAAAAGTCTATCTATTGATGACTGGAAAGATTAAATGAGATAGCTACTTAAAAATATTGTGATGAAAGAATAAAGATCTGTGTTGCTGTTGTCTGACAGTTAATTTGATTCAGAGTTATATTTTGAAGACATCAACAATCTTCTTAACCTTGGTGAAATTCCTAACTTATTCTAAGGTGAAGAAAGGGTAATTTTATAACAAAAAAAATATTTGCTTAGCAGTTTATTTACATTTAAAAAGGAAAATATGATATCAGATCTCAAGGATCATTTATAGAAATATAAAATAAATTTGAATAGTATGCAGCTGTGGGAACATTTTGTAGGAAAATGCAGATTAAATTTACACATCACACTTTGTATGAGTCCTGTTGGCGATAAACTTAGAAATAGGATTAGAAATTTCCCTTCTCTTGTAAATTGTAGTTCAATTATTTGGGTGCAACCATGGTCTGAATCATCTTTGAAAGATGTTGCAAATTAATATCTTAATACAAATAAAGAAGTTCTATAGCTTGATGAGGCTAAAGCACAAAGTGTTTCAAATTTATTCCTTTACTTTCATAAATCTGTAGAATAAATAGCTATTGAGTATCACTAAACTACAAATTAACACTACTATGTTACTCCTAGCAGTTATCTAAAATTACTAAACAACTTTAGTGATATATATTAAAAATAGTTGCTTTCTCTGTAATTATTTTATCATCAATATTTATTTTTTTTAATTTTTTTAATTTTCATAGGTTAAGGAAAAAAGATATGTATGAAAATGGTGTTAAGAAATTAGATTTATGCACAGAAGTTGTCGAACAGATGAAAAAAGAACTTTAAGATTTATAGCCTATTTTAGTTATTAAAACAAAAGAAACTGAAAATATTATGGTAGAAGTAGAAGAAGAGAATGTCTAAGCAGAATTATAAAGAGAAATTGTTTAAAAGGATGAAATTTAAACTAAAGAAAAGGCTGATATTGCATAAGCAATTTAAGAATAGTGCAAAGAAAAACTTTCACTTGCTGAGCCTTAGCTTAAAGAAGCTCTTACCGCTTTAAAAACATTAAAAAAGGAAGATTTTATAGAAATGAAAAGTTTCTAAAAACCACCTGCCTTAATTAAAATTACTATGGATGCAGTTTGTATCTTGCTTGGTGTTAAAGGTAAATAAATTATTTCTCAACTTATTTTTATTGAGAAACTGTATAAAAATATAATTTATTAGGAAAAAAAGGATAAGACAAGCAAAGTATTGACTACTGGGAGGAATCTAAAAAACTCTTAAGCGAGCCTATTTTATTTATTAGAAAATTGGAGAAATATGAAAAAGATAACATTCCTGATTTAGTCATTTAGAAAATGAAATAATTCTTAAGTGAAAATTCAAATTTCAAACCTCAAATTATTGCTAAAGCATCTAAAGCTGCTGAAGGTGAATTGATAATTTTAATGCATTTAGTTTTTATCTCATTGATATTAAAATTAAATAGGTTTATGTAAATGGGCTAACTCTATCTACGAATATCATTTTGTTTTTAAATCAATTCTGCCTTTAAGAGAAGATTTAGATAGGGCTAATTAAGCCTTAGAAAGTGCTTAAAAGCTGCTTGAAAAAAAGAGATAGCTACTTCAGTAAGTAGAAGAAAAATGCTTTGAATTAAGGATTAAATTAGATAGTGTAGTCAAAGAAAAATAAAGATTAATTGATTCAATTAAAGAGTGCTAAGTCAAACTTGACAGAGCACTTGATTTAACTCAAGGACTCTCAGTAGAAAAAATAAGATGGAGTGAGAGTTCTAAAAAGCTAAAACTTGATATAGATAACTTCTTGGGAGATATGCTTATTGCTGTGGGTGCAGTTTCTTATTTTGGACCTCTCTCTGGTGAGTTTAGAAAGAGAATTGTAAGTGAAAAGTGGAAGCCAAAAATATTAGAATAAAACATTGTCTGCTCTTCAATATTTTCTCTTTTAAAGTGTTTAGGAGATCCTTTATAAGCATAGGAATGGGTTATACATGGTTTACCTTTTGACGAAACCTCATAAGAAAATATTATCATCATGAATAATTCAAGAAAGTAATAAGATTTAATTTATTTATTAATTGTTATTGGAAAAATATTTTTAATATTGAAATTAGCTATCCTCTATTTTTAGATCCTCAAAAGCAGGCAATCAGATTTTTGAGAAAGTATGAGTCTAGAAAGGATGAGAAAAATCTCTCTGTTTGCAAGCCTAAAAAGTAGATATAAAAGGCTATTGAAATGGTAAACAATTTTTTTTTTTAAATTATTATTAACAATTTTATTAAAATTTAGGCTATTAGGATGGGATAAGTCTTAATAATAGATGGCGTTGATGACTAAATTGAACCAATATTAAAACAAATTCTTGATAAAAATATTATTGTTTCAGGAGGATAAAAGCAATTTTAAATTGGTTAAGTTTTCATAGATTATAATGAAAATTTCAGATTTTGCTTAGTTAATTATTAATAGAATCCTCATTACACTCCAGACCTACTATCAAAGGTTTGTCTTCTTAATTTCAAGATTACACCTGATGCTATGAAAGATCAAATGATTTCAATTTTAATGAAAGAAGAAGAACCTGCTTTGGAAGAGGAAAAAATCAGATTGATGCAGGAAAATAAAGAAAATTAAGAAAATTTAGCAAATATCGAAAAAGAAATTTTGAGATTATTAAATACAACTGATGGCAATAAGATGCTTGATGATGAACAGTTGATTATATCATTAAAGTAATCGAAACAATTTGCAGAAGATGTTCAATAAAGAATTAAAGAATCAAGGTTTACTGAGGAAAAAATTAGAAATGCGAGATTCAATTTTGAGTAAACAGCAGAACTTGCTAGTAATATATTTTTCACTATCCAAAAACTCCATAAATTAAATCCAATGTATCAATTTTCTCTAGAATTCTTCATTAAGGTATTTATTTATTTATCAATCTATCACTCTTACTTTATTAGTATAAAATATAAAATAAAACATATTTATTTATTTATAAAAAGGTATTTAAAAAATCAATTAAAAAAGCCGAGAAACCCTAAATAAAAAATCCAAAAAATAAAACAAATTGCCTTAATGATAGTTTGAAAAAGTAAGTTTACTATGATATGAATAGATCTATCTTTGTAAAGCATAAGCTTCTCTTTTCATTTTTATTAACTCTAACAGTCATTGAAACTAATGTATTTTGTTGTTCATGTTAATACAAATAAAATATTTTATATTTTTATTATCAAATAGGAAGCACTTAATATTAATGATTATCATTACTTCTTAAGTGGAATAGTAGAGGAAAAATTATAAAACATTGATAACCCAGAACCTTCAAAAATATCAGAAAAATAATGGAATAGTATTTTGGAACTTTCGACTTTAGACTCATTTAAAAATATTGCATAGTTTATATGTAGAAAACCAGATTCTTGGATCAAGTTTATATAAGCTCCTGATTTAAATATGCCTGAACCTTTTTCTAAAGTACCGAATTTCGCTAAGCTCGTTTTAGTTAAATCACTACGTCCAGATTTTTTTGCAGAATTCCTTAAAGAGTTTATCAAAACTGAAATGGGTTCTTATTTCATAGAAAATGTATAAATCAGTATATAAGATACTCATTAAGAGTCTATTCCAGAGCAACCTATTTTATTTGTCCTTTCTCCAGGTGATAATCCATAGGAAGAGCTTAAAAAATTTGCTTAGGATTGTGGAAAATACTTAACGTTTATTTCTCTTGGTAAATATTGTTTTTAATTTTTTTATCATTTATTTAAAATTATTTAATTCATTAATTGATTTTTTATTATATTTTGAATAAAAATAACTTTGCTTTAATTTTATAGGTAAAGGTTAAGGATAGATAGCAGAAGAGAGTATTTAAGATTGCATATAAGCTGGAAGCTGGTGTATTTTATAGAATTGCCATCTTGCAATTAGTTGGCTTCCTCGATTAGAAGAGATCGTTGAAGATATTTCTTTAAACTTAAAGAAAGACTATTAAAAGTTTAATCCCGATTTTAGACTGTGGTTAACTTCTATGCCTACTGAAAAATTTCCTTCTTATTTAGTTTAGGACTCTATTAAAATTACTAAAGATCCTCCAAGAGGTATAAAAGCAAATATTTAACAGCTTTATGAAAATTAAACTGGAACAAAAGATGATAGAAAATATTATGAATCAGTAGAAAAACCTGAATGGAGAGTAATTTTCTTGAGTTTATCATTCTTCCATGCAATTGTTAGGGAAAGAAGAAGATATGGTCCTGTAGGATGGAATGTCAATTATGATTTTAATGAGTCTGATTTTAAGATCTCAGTTCGTTAATTAAAAATAATGATCGAAACATACCCTATGATTCCATTTAATGCTTTGAGTTATTTAATTGCTGAATGCTATTATGGTGGAAAAGTAAAATTAAAATGTTAGAAGTAAAAAATTAAATTTTTATTTAAAATAGGTCACAGATGATTGGGATAGAAGATTAATTAAATCTTTACTTAATTCGTTTATAAATGAGGAAATGATCTATGGTAACTATAATTTTTCAGAAGTTAAAGAGTATACTATCCCTGAAGAAGAGTAGATAAAAAATCTAGATGATACTATAAATTTCATAAATCAAATGCCAGATTTATACTAACCTGAACTATATGGACTCAATTCGAATGCAGCTATTACTTCAGCTACTCTAGAAACTAATAGAATTATATAAGATACTATTTTAGCTAGGGGTTCTGGGATAGGATAAAAAAAGAAGGAGAGCAATAATGAAAGTTAAGGACAAAATGAGTCAAAACTATTACAAGAACGTGCAAATACCATTTTGCAGTAAACACCTGAAGAATTTGATATAGATATAGCAAGATAGAGATTCTAAATAAATTACTACGAAAGCATGGTAAGCATTTGAATAATATGTTTCATGATAATATTTCTATATATTTATTAAAATAGAACACTGTCTTAATTCAAGAGCTGCTCAGATATAATACTCTACTTGGTATAATCAAAAAATCTCTTAAAGATTTAATTAAGGCTAGTGATGGTATTATTGTTATGACTTCTCAAATAGATTCATTTGCAGAGTCTATAAATAACAATAAAATACCTGATATGTGGAAAAGTAAAAGCTATCCTTCATTGAAACCATTGCTATCTTACCACAAAGATCTTTGCAAAAGAATAGAAATGTTTAAAAATTGGCTTAAAGATGGAATTCCAAAGGTCTTTTGGCTATCTGGATTTTATTTTACATAAAGTTTCTTCACAGGAGTTAAATAAAATTATGCAAGAAAAAATAAAATTCCAATAGATGAAATAGATTTTAAATTTGATTTTATTGATCCTAGAGATTTAAATAAAAAGTAAATGAAGGATGTTGGTTGCTTAACTAATGGCTTGTTCTTAGAAGGTATGATTTTTTTTAATTATAATTCGATTTTTTTAATATTTATTTTAAAGGAGGTAGATGGAATTTCACTAGCTAATGTATAGATGAAGCAGAACCAAAATAACTATTTAGTGACATGCCAATAGTAAATTTTAATAATACAAAACAATCAATTTACATTTAAATTAAAAAAAGGTTCATTTTATTCCACATCAATTAACTGAATATGAAATCAATTAAAAGCAAAACTAAACTTAGTCAAATAACAAAAGTAGCTTCTATGAGTACATATAACAATTTTTATATATAAAAAGTTATTTACCTTTAATAAATTTTTAATAGGTGTCCTCTTTACAAAACAAGCGAAAGAAAGGGCCAATTATCAACAACAGGTCATTCAACTAATTTCGTAAAAATTCATTAGATTTTAATTATTTATATTTACTTTTTTCAATATAAAATTAGATATTATCAATTTTACTACCTACAAATAAGAACTAAGATCATTGGATTAAAAGAGGTCTTGCCCTTCTAACTTAGCTAGACGATTGAAATCGAATTTTCAAAAAAAAAAAATAATTGTACATAATAAATCAATTTTAACTAAATTATTATTAAATATTCAGAATGTGAATACATGCATATATATTAATCTTATTCGTAACACGTTTTTTCTAAAGTGATTACTTTTAAAATTAATTAGTATCTTTCTATCTACATAAAATTAAATATATTAAACAAGAAAGCGCCCATTATTATTTAATGATTTTTAACTACAAAATATACTTTAACTTGAAATTATTTAAAAAATATTCTATTTCTTAAAAAGTATTTTATTATTTATATGATTAGTACAATAAGTTATAAATAACAGTTTAAATATATCTATCATATTTTTATTTTATCGATTAATTATTTTCATTTGCCTAAATCAAAATCTCCTAACTTCTATTGTAAGAACTACTTAAAAACAGCTCCTCTTGTAGACTTTACTGATTTAAAAGTAGGTCTAGAAAAGCTTGCATCATATCTATTATAAAAAAACGAAAAGTAAATAAACTTTATTCTTAAAATATTTAGTGTGAATGCAAATATGTATTTTAAAAATAAATTGTAAAAATATATCAATAATCATACCCAGTTTTAGAATCAAATTAGTAAATATCCTAAAATTTGCCATCTAAAAGAATTCCAAAGAATAAATTTAAGACTAATCCAAATACTATTTCAGCTAAAATCTATTTTTAAATAATAAAATCAACTGAATTCAATCTTAAGTAGAAAATATTTTTTATATTCAGTCTAAAAAATGAATATTATTTGGTCAAATTTATATTTGAATTTACATCTAAAGGTATAGAAAATTCATCTGCTCTATCATTGAAAGTTAAATACTTTCTATATTTCATTAATGAGTATCCTGCATGAATCAAAAACAAGAATCCAATAACTTTGAAAAAATTAATCATCTTAAAACTTAAATGACCTATAATTTATTTATTTATTTACTTGATTATTTTACAAATTATTAAAAATAAATAAGCTTAAATAATTTAAATATTTAGTAATTAATCTTAACAATATTATTTCTTCAAAGACTTTAATTTACTTTTTTATATATCTATTTTTAATTAACTACCCATATATTTATAATCTTCTTTCACTTTCAAAAATTAAATCTAATTTATCGATGAAAGCATTTAAATTCTACTCAAAAAAGGGCATCATTCAAATCATTCTTTTAAAATTATTTTATCATAATACAAAAATAAAAAGGTTGTCGACACTGGGACTTCCCAAGCGGTCCCCCACCTTAGTACTAACCCAGCCTTAAGGCGCTTAACTTCGGAGTTCGAATGGGATCCGGTGTTTTCACCTTAGTATGGCCGACAACAAAAACTATGAATAAATAAATAAATTATATGTATTAATTAATGTATGCATGTATAAGAATTACAAAAACAAATTATTAGAATACATTTTAGTAATTTATTGAAAATAAAATTTTGAATTGCATTATCAAATATTTATTATTTATTTAATATTGTAATATTATTCTTAAATCTTTATAAATCTTTGTCTGATAATAAATTTTTTATTTTGGAATATAATTAGAAAAAATATATACCAGTAAATAATAAAGCTTTTATCTAAACAGAATAGCAATATTAATTGAAAATTTGCAATAAAGGATTAAATAGTGAGAGAGAGAGTCAACCATTATAAGAATGATATAATTTATAATCATAATTTTTTTATTTCTTCGCTTTCTGTCTTTTAATAGCTCAGTAATGTCTTTTAAAATTATGTAAATGAGGATTCTTAACTTGATAGAAAAATAGAATAAGTATAAAATGGTTAGCATTTGTCTGATAATACTTTTCTTGCTAGCAACTAGCTTAAAATAGACTATATAAAATTTTTTTATTAAGCAAATTATTTATGAAAGTGTTGAAATTATGTTTATCCCTAAAATTACGTTGCACGCTTGCAATGGAAAAGACATTAATTATTTCATGACATTTATGTTTTGTGCGATGTGTTATAGTTTGATAGTTACTTCTCCTATCAATTGGATATTTTCTTCAATAATGATCTTAGAATTTTTCCTTCCAAAAATATTACCTTTGCATGTAATTAAATAAAATGAAAGTAAAGAGCTAAAAATGAAAATTCTTAATGAGAATAAGATTTTACTCATATCTTAAATGCGAACTTTACAGATTTATTGCACCTATAAAAATTCATTTGAATAAAAAATAAGCATATTCCCCTACTATGTAAGAAAGATTAAATACTTTGCAAACAAAGATTTACTGATACTAATTTGCGATGATTAGAGATTTAAAATATCATTACTTTATTTAACTGTAAAACACTTAAAGATTTTAAAAATCTAAGATATAAATGATATTAATTACTAAAGTAGAATAAAAGTCTTAAACGAAAACCATTTGGTTTACAGTTATTAAGATTCTATTTATAATTATAATCTCAGAAATAGCTAGAGCCAAAGATTATTTTAATGTTCCAAAATAATATTCTATAAAATTTATAATAATGATAATATAATTGTATTAAGCCAAAAGGGAAAACCTTATTCCCCAATAGATATACATTTCCTAGGGTCTAAATACTGTTTTTGTACAAGTTAATTTAAAGACAAGTTACTAAACCACCTAATAGTTGACAAACATAGTCTTTAAAATTTATTGATTTAACACTAAAAGAAAAATATGGCATTCAAACTATAATAGAATCCTGAAAATGATAAATTTCTGGTACTATGTTTTTAAAAAATAACCTAAATAATAAACCTTAATGATATAAATGATATAATATCTTTAAAAAATGGAAAAAGTTGTTCTGTAATTAAAAATATAACAAATTAATTAATTATTTATAAGATGAGTAACTATTACTACTTCTATTCTGAAAAGTTAAATTTCCAGAAATATTATCATTTTTTTAACTTTGCATAAATTAAAAGTATAAAACATCCTAATAAAACAATTAATAGTTAAGTTTATGGAATCATAAAAGATTATAAAAGCTATAGATTTGTCAAACTACAACTTTATAATGTATGAAAACTCAATCAAATGCTATTATATAATAATCTATCTAATCTTTATTTACTTAAAAATAAAAACATTTATAGATAGCATAATTAATTAATTAATGGTAAAATTTTTAGCTATTAAAATGTAAATTATTAAATCAATTTTTATTTCTCAATATAGAATATTAAACTCAAAAAATAATTTAAAAAAAACTATTAATCAATTCACAAAGCAACAATTTTAAAATAAATGAAAATTCATTTAAGTAAAATCTATCAATCAATAATATTATGTTATTAATCGTTCATTTTACTTTTGATACAAATTTCTTTTTTAAATACACTGCATAACAAATTAAAGATAAAGATTTTGTAAATTTATGAAAATTATAAAAAGATATTATACTAAATTTTGCTATTGAAAATATTTAATTTTTAAATGTTGCAAGTAAATTTATAAACCAAAAACTTTAAAATTAATTAATGCAAATTTAACTAAATAAAATCTTTTAATGTGCAATATAATGTTGTCAATCGTTCAATTTTTAATTTAAACAAATTTCTATTTTTAAAAAATTAAAAGACAACATTATTATTTATAATAAAGATTTTGGTTATTTAATGGATATTATATAAATTTTTAATCATCGATATTACCTCTGAAAATATTTAATTCAAAAATCTAAATTTTTTTCCGCTAAATTTTTAGTAGATTAAACATTTTTATAATTTAATAACAAACAGTATTAGAAAAAACTTAGTTAAAATAG